CCCCGACCTGCCGCCACCAACGGGGCCAGGCTTGTCGAGAATCGTGTTGTGCAGCGCTGTGATCATGTCGTAAATACACCTCACCATGACCCCGCGCCCAGTCTGGTCCAGGGATGGCCAGATGTGGGCGAGACAATCGCCGTGAATCCAGTCCATCAATATGTATGTACATTTCGTCATGTCGTGAGTCGGAATGTATTCGACGTCTTGCTCGACTGGCCACGCATCGTGTACATGGTACGAGTAGCGACGGGACACCTGCAGCGAGCCTCATGTTCTCTGCTTCTCCCATTTGAACTCCGGTGCCATATTTCACAGCGAGATCGGTCGATACGCGCACCACCTTTGCTGATCTGTAGGGTGGGAGGGGCGGCAAGACGCTCATGATCTCCTCTCGTGTCAAAGCTTGAGGCGCGCGGTTTTCCAGTGGATGCTCAACCATCTGCGGCTTGGGAGGAGCACGCGATGTGTACATCGCTGCGTTGGTGGTAGTGTGATGTCCTTGCCCAGGTCCAATAGGCCTTAGTAACTAGATAATATAGTAGTAGAGGTTCTTATATAGTTACCTAGGTAGTATTAAATCAAGTCCTTACTGCCGCTTAAGGAGCCGGCAGGGATATAACAGAACCAGGCACTAAGCTATCACCCTGACCAATGCCTCACGGATCCTTGTCCTCCTCTGACGAATGAGAAGTATTCTGTATGCATTTGATGACGACTTCCAAATTCGGCCGAGGTGAGGAGGAATACTACATGACATGAATTGACATTCCATATGTCATATGAAACGTTTTTCTCCAATTTCTTTGTTTTGCTCATCATGTTCATATTCCCTTTCTTCGTTATTCATTTCTATCACCATGACCCAAGTCTCCCATTCCAACTCCCCGCGATTTCCGGCCCACCACCGCCGGCACCACCGATCGCACCGCTGCCGCCACCACCACCAGCACCGCCTGCCACATCCGCATTCCCGGCACCGATATCCATACCATACTGTCGGACGAGCTGTTCCCAGTTCGCCCAGTCCACGTCTCCCGAGGTGTCCATAAAGTCGAATTCCGGGGTGCCGGGCTCAGGGACAGCGGCGGCAGACCCCGCATTGGTATTGTAGCTTCCCGGCATCTGTCTGAGTTGAGGTTGGAGGAAAGATGGTATTTGGTTCGGCATGACGAGTGACGGGGCGGGATTTGACGGGAAGCCGGGGTAGAAGGTCGATGGTGCTGCTGCGGTGGGAGGGGATGTTTGGGAGAAGAAATTATTGGGTTGTTGGAGATTGGTGGCTCCGACCTGGGGGTTGGAGGTCAAGTAGGTCTGCGTCAAGGGATTTTGCTGCAGTGTGGATGGAGTGGATTGAGCGGGTAAATATGCTGATGAGGTATATTGCGTTGTCATCGGATCGAATTGGGACGTGAGTGGAAGCTCGGTATTTATCGTGGGGTCTCGTGGAGTCGATGGTGGGCCGTCACTGAATCGTTGCAATTGTGCTTGACTGAGAGGCGCACGAGTGATACGTGGCCTACTGGCAGGGCCGAACATTGGATTTGGATTCGGACTATAGGTCCGCATGGGCTGGGCGGCTGCTCGCACTTGTTTCGGCATTGTATCCTGCTGACCACGCTGATGGACCTCCCTCGCTTTTCGATAGATCCGTTTGAGTGGTCGCCAGAGCTGACTTGAATTGGTGTCCTCGGGGACCTCCGAGCCCCAACGCGCATCACGAGTCTTCTCTACAGCCGTCCAAGCTCGCTCGACCATTTCACCAGTTGTCCGATGGCACAGCTCAGAAAGTGTAAAAGCCAAGGCATGCCACTGTACGTATGTTCGAAAGAGCCAATTCCACTTCATGGTTCTTGCTTCGGTCTCCAACATAAGGCTGTATTCCATATTCTCAATGCTCGTGATGAAGAGTTTTTCTCGGGTCTCCTTGGACAAAGTCGTGCCTCTGTTTTGTCTTTGAAAGGGATGATACACCATCAACCACATTTTGCTCATCATGAGCCTTGCAACGGTAGCCACGACCCAATTGAGAGGCTTGCTCATGTCGCAGTGAGTCAGATATTTCTCTTCGATCTTCTTGTGGCATTCTGCGATCCATTTCTCCTTCTCTGCTAGGGTCATCGACGCACAAGAGTCACCGCCAGGTTTGGCCGGTCCGGGAGGAACGTAGTTGATCCTCCTGAAGTAATTGCCAATCTCAAAACGCAAAAGACAGAAGGACATATCTGTACAACCCAATTTATCAGGAGGGTGCTCCTGCATCTCCGGCGACATATCCTCGTCATTGATATTCAGCGGCATCTTGGTGTCGTATGATTGTTCCAGGATTGTAGGATCGCAGCCATGATCTTCGCTCGCTCGGACATCAAGGACACAAACCTGCCACCAAAGTCGGCGTCGCATCTCGATTTCGAAGGGCGTCAGGCCAAAATGGGAACCGTCTCGGTGAATACCAATAGTCTGTGCAATCCTCACCACAAGACCCGTCAATGTCCAAATCACACGTGCGTCGTTGTTGCGTCGCAAGCAAATCAAAAATAGCACAAATGCTTGCAGCACCGCGACTTCTTCAGTGGTGAGAAAGTTTGCTCGGGCAAGTGCTTGTTCGATACCGAAGCGATAACGGGTCAGCAGTATTGTTCTGTCTTCGCCAAGCTGGTTTAGGCAATCTCGACCCGAAAGGCTTGTGGTAGCACAATAGTAGATGGCAAAAAGCAAGCATTCGAATCCTCGGGGTAGAGTCGTCAGGGAAGAAGAAGCGGCAATAATTGTAGATTCGGTTGTTGGTATATGCAATACCTTGACGAGAGGATCTACACGATCCTTGAAGATTTCCCAGTAAAGCTTGATTTGTCCAGGCTGCGGATGCAAGCTCAGGAGATCGACATTGTGCGAACTAGCCCCGAAGATGAAGCCGTGATGGTTGCTGGGTTCATGTTGCTGCGACAGGGCCGAGGTAGACTCCAGATCGTCGTCCTCTTCATCGCTTGATTGATTCAATAATCCCTTTAGATCTTCTACTTCGTTGCTGAGATTCGCCCAGAACGAACTGCTGACGTATCTCGATTTTCCTTCATTCATCACAAGCCGACCGAAACGGTTCTCAATCCCGGCTGCCGGGTTCTCGTCAATGTGTTTCGTCCTGCTCTGAGTAGACTTTTCGTTGCCATTGAATGACGTATCGGCATCCGTTGTTTCTCCTGTGACTTGCCCACGCGCAGCTCCTGCCTGCTCAGCTTCCAGCAGCTGCTGGCCCTGCTCTTTACCCCCATCCTCCCCGCTCTGCAGTGCCAACACCTCGAGATCGGTCACACCCAGTCCTTTAACCACACCTTCCAGGCGCCTCAATCTTTCCAGCAATTCCTTATCACGACTCTCGACAACTTTCTTGTTGACCTTCCGGGGCGCTCGTCCAGGAGCTGGGAAAATACACTCAATGTGGGCCCGTTTGCAGTTCGTACAAGGATGTAGCTTGTCGCATTTGACTTTGCGCTTGCGGCAGGTCACGCAAGACCTGTGAGTGAGAGACCTGTCAGGCAACCCACTCGACACTCTGGGCTGTGGTGACGTTTGCACTTCATCCGAAACAGGTGAGGCATCTTGCCATGGGCGCGTCGTGGATGGCGGTAGACCTGGGAGAAAATCGGAGGGTGCTGAGAAGGCAGAAGGTGCATTTGAGGGCGTGAGGCCGTACGGCGGGCTATGTCCAGCCTGACCTGGTGCGGTTGTCGTCTCAGCCATTGAGGATGACGCTGCGCGCTGGCATTAGCTGGAGCATGCAAGTTCTAGCTGGATCGCTCGCGATTTTGAGAGAGGTTGTTGATGAGAGCACCATTTCTGATTGGGAGAACGTCGAAGTCGGTGGACGTAGGCTGATTTGCGATTTATATTACAGAGACGAGGCTATGGGATGTCTTAGACTGCGGGCGGAATTGCGTCTTACAGTCGGAATCGTGGTGATGGAGTTGTCCTTGATGAGCTCGGCAATATCACTTCTTAGATCTAGATTGAACTGTCAAAAGCCGGATCGTTGGGGCAAGATTATACTGACATGGTGAAGGACATGCAGAGACATTAAGTGCGACACGTATCCCATGAATTTGATTTGAAGGCTAATAAAGTTGACGACATCGAGAGCTTTCACATGTCGTTACGAACCCTAACGCGATCCACAAGTTGGTGGTCACTCGCTCAGGACTGGAGTGGACATACATGTCTGGCCACAAAAAATAGTCATGTTTGTCGGGTCGAAACGATACATTCAGAATATCCATATCCCATGCCTCTGTGTCGCGCAGCGTACGCGCGCCAATGCGTCGCATGTCATCCGCCTTGCCTGCGAAATCGGCATTGCCCCCAATAACGGGATTTGCGAGACATCTGTCCTTGAGCGGTTAATAAAACGACCTCGTGCACCGACGTCTTGACGTGTCTTGATTGTACATGTTTTGCTCTTCGTGACAGAGTCTAAGGGCCGTGACAGCCTCATTCGAGAAGCTCTGCTATGCGAGGGCGCGTGCTACGACCTAGAACGATAAGGTCGCCCTGTGTAAGGCGAACATAGCCCTACGAACAAGTCCATTTTCTGCTGGCTCGCATCCTTTGGATGAGATGCGGGAAATGCTGTTGGGTAGTCTAAGAGCATCCAGATTTATACTCATTTCCAGATTTGCGGTTGGAGATTGGTGGAGCGCAAAGGCCGCAGTCTTGCACAGTGTGAAATGCACAGATTTTCGAGCTTGGCCTCTTTCGTATCCAGTGAAGGAGATGATATCACCAAGTTGTGCTCATCTGTCAACAGCCAATCGTGCCTGCAGCAAAGCCTTGCCATGCGCTCGGACGATATCATCGATGAACCTGCGGATCTGTTTGCAGCCATCCAAGCTCACAGCGATCATAGCCTCGAGTCTGCCCATCTGCACGCGAGTCTCCATGATGAGCGAGGTGACTTTGCCCTCGCCGCCGCTATTTGCGACAGTCAAGAAAGGTAGTTCTTGTTCTTCGGCACCGTTTAGGTCGAGAAGTGGATCGGCATCTTCTTCCCCACCCGCATGGAATGCCGCAGAGCCTGTTGTACAAGCTGCAACGTAGTCGCTCATTGGAATACCGGCATCGACGAGAGCCAGAGTTGCTGCGTTAATGCAGGCCGCGAGGAGGCTGCCGTCTTGAGATAGAACGTGTAGGTTGATCACAATGCTGGAGTGCGGGTAAAGATTTGTGAAAAGCGTGCTTGAGAATGCTTCAGAGATTGTGTACTGCATCTCTTGCGTCCGTCTGGACTGCAATCAGTATTCAATCTCACTGGTGAAATTACGTGTCTGAAATCCATGCTCACTTGTCCATCCGCGATCTTTTCCTACGATCCATGCCGCTGAAACCCGCGACGCTGAGTTCAACCTCGATGGTGGCTTCCTTACTTGAGTCTCGTGCACCGCCGGATCGCGTCTGCTGCTTTGGTCCGTTGACTGTGCAAATAATCTTGGTATTGCCCATTTCAAAATAACTGCTTCCGTCGGCAGCAGCTTGAGTTGACATTTGTCCGTGAATCCGGCGCAATTCATTCCATCTTCGACCATCGACGCGTAAATTCGCCAAAGCGTACGTAGAGCTGTCGAGGGGCATGATTTCGAGGGGCAATGATTGGTTTGTCTTTAATATGTGAAGTTTATGACCTTCATTTACTCACACGGAAATGAAGCATCGCAACTTTTCGTCTTTGACACCCTCGCTAGTGCGCAGCGTCATGGCTGCGCGGATATAAACGTCGGACTTAACCAGCAAGACATAAATTATGATGAACTTTTGGCAAGATGATGATTTGGGATTTATATAAAATATGAACGCATGAGTAATCTCATATAGCAACAAGTAATATACATGTCAAGAGAATCCTTTGAAAAGAATATTCGTCAATGTGAAGGTGGATTTGATAATCGCACTGTCGAGCAAATATCTCCATCGTGTCCAATCTGGCCAGCATTTCTTCCTGCACATTGTACATTTGGAGTCCAGCGATGCCAATAGGCCGCCCGGCACTGCTCTGCGAGGGTTCACCATGGACTGCGAAGCTATAAGAGCTATCCTGCGCAATAGCAGCCAGTGAATGATGCCGTTAACTTGAGGCGAGCGTGCCACCATCACATCCTGGCGATCGTGATTGGTCAAAGGCACATGGTTGGTCAAGCCTGCGTACCCGATGAATGGTTGATTTGCTGTATCATTGATTACAACACTTATAGGGCGCGAAGCGACCTGATGGACCATTTGTATCATATCTGATTCTCCAGCCTTTTGCGCTCTCAAGGTGGCTTCGGCGCCTTCAATCGCTCATCATAAATTTCCGTGAGGCTTTTGCGTGCCAGCGGTCCGCTATGCTCCTTTTCTTTGTCCGCCAACAGATTTCGCCATGCCCGTTCCTCCTCATTCCAGTCAATTCGACAGAGACCAGGTATGGGAACCACAGCTGCAAGAGCCCTCTGCGCGATAGCCCTTGGGGCAGAAGAGAATCCTCCGTGGAAAGCTGCGGCGTCGATGCGATCCCGAAACCTCGATCGAGCTGGACTTGTGATGATTTGAAACATTCGCGAGTCAAGAAGAGGCTGTGATTCAGCGTGTTCATCCTGGAGCGGAATCACGGGTGGTCGGGGCGGCGGCTGTGGAATAGCGTTCGCGGCCGTGGACATAGAGCGTTTCTGATTCACTTCGAATGATGCGTCGGCAAGTGTGGGAATGCGTCTGATGGGCACACTCGGGTCGCTGGCGTCTGCGTCGTCGGACGCCGTCTGGTTTCCATCTCTTGGTTCCTCCCGGGGCCCTGCTCGTCCCATCCGAAATCGAATCGGTGCCTTTTTTTGAAAATCGTAAGCGTCTTGGTCTCTTTTGAAGATCACTAATGCGACATGGGGATGAGTGAGGGCGTCGTATCTGAGATTCCGATAATATTCAACTTCGCCGAAGCGTGAGATGAGTTTGAGGATTTCCCGTGATTGTTCAAGGTCGGCTGGTCGAGGTGTGATCTTTAGATGCACGGCTCGCTTCGCAGTCGAGCGCACGATACTGCTCGCCATTGCTGCGGTGCACACACGATGTGTTGCGCTTGAAGCGCGACATGGAAGCACATGAAAGTTGCATTGTGAATTAGAGATTCGAGGATGCGTGACGGGAATGATACTTGACTCCGATTGGTCATATCTCAACGGCCGCTAGTGGACGACTGCATCCCTGCTCACGATCACCGTGCACGTCAGTCAAGCCCCTTCAGTGTCAGCTGGAACAATGCTCTAGAAGTCGCCCGGGGCTTGACTCCAATCGATCAAGATATCAAATTGTTTCCCAGGAGCGACATTTCCGCCCAAAATCGCAACGTGGTACACCGCTTCAACCATATACTCTTAAAAGACGATGTCAAACACATTCGGAAACTCACTAGGTGCCAGTCATACGAGGAGGCATCTGCAAGCCAGGGAAGTGCTTCTTCTGCTGCTGATTGTTCTAGTAAATATACCTTCTATCTTCAGCAATATCGTTCTCGATATTCTGCGCGGCAAAACTGTGGGCTCCAAAGCCTTGCTTATGAGCATAGTTCGCAGGGTTAGTATCCTCGTACCAAGGATCCCTGTTCAAATTGCGCAATGCCTTCAAGGGACCACCGGAGAGTCAGTAGTTGGCTTTTGCCGTAAGCATGGCATTGCTTATAAATCTACCACATTGCATCCACCAGGTGGCACCTTCCCACCGGCTCGGCTGTTTCATATCGAGGCAGACACGGAATCTGCAGGTGGCGTTCTGTTCTACGCACATGGTGGAGGCTACATCAGCCCGACCTCGTCTGGTTCGCTTAATGTTGCATTGGCTCTCGCAAAATCGCTTGGCTGCCGTCAGCTAAGCTTTCTGGAGTACAGTCTCGCACCGGCGGCAAGATATCCTAGTCAGCTAGCCCAAGGCGTAGAAGGCCTCAAGTGTTTACTTGAGGAATTTGGTGCAGCATCCGTCGTGATCGCTGGAGATTCAGCTGGCGCTAATCTCATGTTGGGCCTGCTGGCTCATTTGCGAACACCGCATCCGGACGTACGGTCGGATATAGAGCTCGACAGTAACTTGGCTGCTGTGGTCTGCATCAGTCCACGTTGTTCCAATGCAATCGTCGCTCCAAGTTTCCAGGAGAATGGTACTAGAGATGTGTTGAGCAAAAGAACGTGCCAATTCTTTGTTGAAACTTGGCAACCTGTGCTCGATCATGTTTGGGCTGCATCGAACAATGGAGATGCAAGCTTCTGGAGCGATGTCGAGGTCGACAAAATTTTGGTGCTAGCTGGAGAGTTCGAATGCTACATTGACGATATAAAGACTTTCGCAAATCTACTTGGAACTTCAGATACAAAAGATAAGGCACGGCAATTCCACATAGCCAGGGGTGCCATTCATGATCAAGTTGTCCTCGACCATGCTCTGAAGATCCAAGGAGGTTCCATGGACCGCTTACTATTTGAGTGGGCTGGCAACAATCGATTACCTTTGTAATGCACAATTTATCTATCGCCCAGGTTTACATCATCGGTCGTGCTGTTCAATCGACTCCTCACCAACAAGCTTTCTGGATGCCGGGCAGCATTTGGAGTCCTTTTATAAATTCAAACAATGAATTTTGCCTCCAATCATGATATCGAGACCCAGTAAGTCTTGGAAAGACGAGCATTCAATTTAATTGTGACACGGATAAGGTGGATTTCATATAGTAAGCAAAGTGTTCCTTTCGGAAGTGATCAGCAATCGTGTGATCGGCTTTTACGAATCCGCGGACTTAATAGCCCATGTCTCTGCAACACAGGGCCCCCGAAGTCGGCCTACTCAGCAAAAAAGTTGATGCGACAAAACTCGTGCGTTGCGATCGCACGTACTTTACTATACTGTATTGAGGTTCTAGAAAACTGAGTAGCATGCCCACGCGCAGCTCCAAACAGCACTTTCGTCGGAGCGTTACCTCCGTGCTTTATCTCCGTACTGCATGTCGTTCAGCACTATTTAACGACAGTGGACGCTAAGTGCAAATCGTCTACAACGAATAATCAGCGATACCCCCAAATCCTTTCGAGACGTATTGCTCAACCTCAGATGTTGGAGAAATGGTTCAAGAAATGTCTCGGTCAAATGTCCCAGCTGTCTTATCGAGGGACGGCAACTACGGCGCAATGGAAGAGCGTACTCAAGGGCGCAAGTCCGAAAGCGAGAGGCAGGCCAGCCAGCCTTCTTACGCAGCGTCTTCGATAGTCGACAACAAGGAGAAACTCGAATACTCGGAACACAACGAGCCCGTCGCCGAGGACAAGCCAGCAGAGAAACCCGAGGAGACTGTCACCTACGCGAAAGGTGCCGAAGCAGTATTCGTAATGCTTGCACTATTGCTCAGCATCACCCTGTGCTCTTTAGATCAGGTAAGTTCTGGGACATCCATGAGTGCACCTAACACTGCATGAGCCCAGCTGACGTCCTCGTTCCAAAGACCATCGTGGCAACAGCAATCCCCAAAATCACCGACCAATTCCGACAATTAAATGACATCTCCTGGTACGGCTCGGCATACTTCCTGACCCTCGGAGCGTTTCAATCTCAATGGGGAAAGATTTACAAATATTTTCCTCTCAAGACCAGCTTCTTGGTCGCGATTTTCATTTTCGAGCTTGGAAGTTTGATTTGCGCTGTCGCCCCAAACTCGACAACGCTGATTGTCGGGAGAGCGATCTCTGGGGTGGGAGGTTCGGGGATCGTGCCCGGCGTGTACACTATTGCTGCATTGTCCGCTGAGCCTACGAAGAGGGCGACCTATATGGGCGTTATTGGTGTTTCATATGGCTTTGCTGCAGTCATTGGACCGCTCATTGGTGGAGCAATCGCTGGTTCGACGACATGGAGATGGTGAGTCAGATACAATCTACTATTATTTGACGCAGGAAAGCGATCAAGTCTCTTCGTCCGCGGTTTGTATTTTCTGAGCGAATAAAAGCTGATCCCATCCTCACAGGTGCTTCTGGATCAATCTTCCAGTCGGAGGGCTGGCAGCGCTAGTCATCTTCATCACATTCAAAACTCCGTCCGCCGCAAAGCTCGTCCAGGCCACCCTCAAGGAGAAGTTCTTGAACATGGACTTCCCAGCAACGGTGTTGATCATGGGTGCATCCACAGCCTTGATCTTGGCTCTGCAGTATGGTGGCGTGACGCATCCATGGAATTCCAGCATCGTGATCGGGCTCCTGGTGGGGTTCGTAGTCATCGTGCTTGCGCTCACAGTCTTGGAAATATGGCAGGGTGAGCGGGCCATGCTGACACCGCGCCTTTTACTTCAACGTTCCGTTTGGGTCAACTGTGCATGGGGATTCTTCTTCACAGGCGGGTATTTCGTAACACTTTATTATCTACCCATCTACTTCCAGTCCATTGACAATGCAAGCCCGATCAGCTCCGGTGTACGGAACATACCTCTCATCGCGTTACTGAGTATTGCCACTGTTGGTTCAGGCTTGCTTACGACGAAGACCGGCATTGCAGCTCCATATCTGCTGGCGAGTTCGGTGATCACGACCATTGGATCCGGCTTGCTATTCACCCTGGACGTTGGAACACCGACAGGACAGTGGGTCGGTTATCAAATCTTGACCGGCTTCGGATACGGCCTGGGCTTTCAAATTCCAGTCGTGATTGCGCAGACCTTTTCTGCACCGAGCGACCTCGCGCCTGTGACAGCGATTGTCATATGTGAGTGAACCCCTGTGCTCTGCGAGTTCTGCTCATGTTTTCTCCTTCTGACATCAAGCTAACGGTCACCTTCTTCCATAGTCTTCCGGTCCATGGGCGCCACATTCTTGCTCGCAGCCGCAGAAGCAGGATTCGCCAACCAGCTTGTGGCGAGGCTGGCCATCACAGCACCAAGCGTTGATCCTGCCGCAGTCACGGCCACCGGTGCCACGAAATTACGCGAGGAGTTTGCGGGAGCTGAGCTGGATGGTATCTTGCAGGCGTATGCGTGGGCTATCCAAGTCGCTTTTGCAATCACTATTGCGGCATGTGGCCTGAGTGTCATTTTTGCCTTGTTCACGCGATGGGATAACGTAAATGCGAAGAAAGCCGAGACGGTGACGCAGGCGAAGGAAGCCGAAGCTTGAAGCGGTTGCTTGAATTCAACCGGCCGATGACCCTTCATTATGTCCCCGAATAGAAGAACTTTTCTCTTGAGTGGATGATGCATCAGTGGTTTTGAATGCGCGGGTTTTTCTCTGGACGCCTCACCGCTTCATAAAACTGGTGCCGCTGGATCTGGGAATGCATCTATTGATGACGAAGAGAGCTCAAACGGGCAAATGCTCTGACATGGTACGACGGGAATATCCTCAATAGTAAAGGAGCGGGAATTCCTATCGCGCCAGAAAAGCCGCAGTACGGGTTTGCCGTCAATTTCGAGGATTTCATCGTGTCTGACCTGACAGTCCTCGGGGAGATAATTGTTTGGCAGACCCTCTGGATACCGCTGCGATGCCCGCTCCTCCTCGGCCTTAATGACAGCCACGACACGGAAGCGGGCCATCTCTACCGTCCAGATACCTTCTCGGCGTGGGCATGTCTCGAGTACGAGTAGAGCCCGTCGGCGGACACAGAAGTCTTTGCATCGCGTGCCGACACTGTAGAGAACCGCGATAGCTCCTAGACCAATAGAGAAAGCGTTGGGAGCATCGGCAGCGCAGCCAGACTCATGTATTCGGAGCTGGGCGAGTGAATCCTCACAAACATCTACCATGCGCTGATAGGTTGCGAGGGTCGCCGCTTGCGGAATAGGTACACCGGTCAATGTACGAATCAGGCTGATAGCAAGCAAGCTTCGCGCTACAGCGAAGCCGCAATATGCCTTGGATCTTGCGTCTCCTTGTGCTGCTTCGATATAGTTTTCAGCCGCCTCGTTCAACGCCATCTCCTGGACCTCAGTGGCGCGCAATTTCACGGCTGCCACATCTGGGTCACAGACCGGGAGAGCATGTCCAGATTGTGCCGCTGTAGTCCACGCGTCTAGTGTAGTGACCATTTCCTCAACCAAACTTCGTTCTATCCGCACTACCTCATCAGCGTGCGGACGACACGCCCAGATGGTCTGTAACAGCTGACGAGCTCGGCTGGCATGCATAGCAATTGGGCTAAAGCCCACACTTGACAGAATATATGACTCTATGAGCAACGCAACCTGATCCAAGATCTCGGCTGTTTCTTGCCCTTGGGAACGCTGGTCCTGTAGAATGTATACACATGGTTTGAGATGGAGTTCGAGATTGGCGCATGAGCCTCGTAAGGATTCGAGAACTATCAGCAGTAAACATGATATTGCATGCACGGCATGATCGTTCCCTTCAAATTCGGAAAGAGACTGGGACTGTGCCCGGATCGCTGCACTATAAGCCGCAGCTGAGGCATAACTGGCGTCGTCTGGTGGTTCATCTTCTAGAGCACGTTGCTGATGGCTGATGGCAGCAGCAACCTTCCCAATGACAGGGTTGTTTTGGCGTAGCAGCCGGATCATGTGGTCCCATACTGGTGAAGATCTGCTTTGGCGCATGTATGGCAATGTGTTCCTGATGAAGTATTCCAATTCGGCAGCGGAAGTCCCATCATCTGTGGTGAAAGCACCTTGAGAGCCCGATGGATCTTCCGATTTCCGGTTACGAGGACGGTGAAGAGCGAGCAAGCTGTCTGTGTCGCGCACACACTCGCGATCATTGCGGCGGCATCGCAGACATATTGGATGGCCTTCGTCGCACTTCACTCTGCGATCTCTGATGAGAGAGCTGTCAGCACGGGTTACCATTTCAACGACCGGAGAACAACGACAACGAGAGCGCGATGACTCAGCCCGACGCAACTATTTCCCAATGCAGTCAAAGTATGTCCCCACTGTGCGCGTCTAGAGTCGGAGGAGGCTCCTATGGCGATCATACGTACTTGCATGGTCTGCAGCCATCACGGGACTTGTTGTGAAAGGTTCGGATCCGAGGTTTGGAAGCGGCCTTGCTTATGCCTTGGGACATATTGGATTGGTGGAACGTAGGATGCGTTCCAGAAAGCTACCCTCGTACAACCAGCGTAGTTGAGTTGTGGTGGGTGCCGAAATCCCGAGAACTCGTTTAGAGGAAAAGCAGGTGGGAATATATCTCAGACGGCAGCTTGTTTATACGTCCCTCGGTGCATCATCCTACCTGGAGAGCTATGTTGTATTTGATATCCGGGAGCGGATAGACACTCGTCGGCGACGCCGACTGACTGCCATGACTTACATCGGATCGGTGACGATCGCAAGGAGTTACTGATTCATCTCCGACACTCTATGGGTAGCCGCGTGGTCCGTCGAGCCTGCGAGATCGACACTGGTAGTATAATGTTCCATACCGCCTGTTGGCTTAGAAAGTAGCTTGTCACCGTTTGAAGCTATCGAGACGTAAACGAGTGCGTGTGAGATGTGCATAGCCACTCTGTAGTCAGCTCTAAGTAGAGCCCATCGTTTCCGATGAAGATCTCCGTTGCGATTAAGGTCCTTGACACGTGTAGTGGGCGGCACTGTGGGACGCACTCCAACTTGGTGCCGGCTGACGCCATCGCTTTCGCACACTACTTCCATCGACATGTCGGATTCAACCGTCTTTGTCATGCATCCCATCATGGCCGTTGCCCGTTAGGACTTTGGTGGGCGATCGGTCTTGTCTTGGCATTTGTGGTAGCAAGAATGTGTTCGAGGATCCGTGTTGTTGTCACCTTCCTAGTGTACCTATCCCGACCATCTAGTGTGGATCACCATGATGTTATTCATTTAAGACATCAGACGACGATCAATCGCGCTCCTTCGCGTAGTGACGATCGTACGTCAGGTCGGTCCAAGGTTTGATGGTCGCATGGAGGCGTTGCGCGCACGCTCCAATCGCGTTGTTGAAACTTGCGCGGCCGATGGATGAAGAATAGCCCTGAAGATGCCGTCGGCGAGCCCTCTTCCTTCCCCGCCCCGGCGCCGGGCTCCGGGAACCAGATTTGCCGGGATACAATCGAAACCCTAGGATAGATGGATTTTTACTTCAACCTTGGAACTTGTGTTAGCGCGTGTTTTGCTGAGAGGCAAGGAAAATGTGACCTCAGACATGCCGGCTATCTCGTGTACTGTAGCAGGCGAGCTCGAAGAATATTGAAACCCTCGCAAGGTTCGATATGTCCCACGGCGGCACAGTGGGACGGTCCCGCATTCATCCAGCGTCAAGACTTATAGACATGGTGCCCTCCCCGCTCCATTTTGGCACATCTCCATGTGGGCGTACCCGCATGCACAACTGATTCACGATGCATAAAGAATACCTGCACAAGTCCATTCATTAGCAGCTGCGAGGACAAAATTCGGGACGTCACAAGAGCACGGCGATCTGGTCTAGAATGAAAAGATACTAATAAAAGGCAAGATTTGAGTTTAGCTGACGGACATCCAATTACCCCGGAAGCCGTGTCCGCTTACCTAGGTAGCTATCTAGGGACATGAGTGCTCCCCGGAGACAAGTCGATCTAACAGAACTCTACACGTCGTACCTAAATATGTGCCATTCCCAGATGGGATTGTCTAGTAATATGCTCCTGCCAAGATTGCATAGCCTGCATGCTGGTTGTCCACGCCAAGGCTTGCGCCTCCATGATAGACAACATCCTCATCTTGGATTACGCATCATCATGCCGCCTTGAAGTTAGCTTTTTGATGCAGCCATGCCCGAAAAATTCACCGCTCAGATTTGGTAATCGTGCTGACAATTGGATATTTCAATGACTTCCGTCGGGGTTTCGCTTGTCCCGAAAGTGCGGCGTCATGAAGCAACAGCCGTGATGAGGCAAGCAGCACGCCCCAAACGCTGGTTGAAGATGTCGCAAAGAATCATTGTCAATCGATCTTTCGATCGACGACTGCAATGCTTCGACCTCGAGTCTGAGGCTCTGCATCATTCTTCGCTAGGGCCAGGACAAGAAGCTGGAAACATCTTAGCCTATTCATCCTTCTCACATCACGCCAAGATCAAGTGATCGTATAATCATCCTTGGCAGGTTGGAAACAGGTTTGAAGCACGAGGAAGTTCGATCTAGACGAGGGATTGCCTTCTTGACCTGTTGCCTGTCATTTTACGAGATGTCAACCAAGTTTGAGGCTTCTACTCTAGTGACTTAGCAAGTTCCAGCTCTAGATTCTGCTCCTGACGACGCATCATGCGCAGCCTAAATGATAGTCCCAGCGGTCTCAGTACTTCGGCTGTGCTCTGCTGATCTTGCTGTCGCGACCTAGTCAGTGGCCAATGTCTCAAAGGACAACGTTAACCGAGCCATTCGCCTCGTGCCATGTGTGTAGCTTCTGTTTTCAAGGCTGAGTCACTTCATGCCATATCACTTTTGCATGTCATGTAACTTTTGTTTTCAGGGGTCGGCACAGCGTGTCATGGGCAGCTCCCTTCCCATCCAGTTTGAGAGAGTCAGCAAGCGTTGACGATTGATCACGACATCCAAGAGGACATCACGACGAAAGATAGCATGTTCATATGAGCAACTGAGGTAATCCAGGGCAGCAAACGTCAGTATTGCTATGTCTGTCAACAACGGTGGGTTTGTACCATTCTCCACCAGTTGACATGAAGTTTGATCACCAGACCTTCAAGTCCTATCTCTCTTGCACGACTTCTCATCTCGAGGAAAGTACATCGAGATAAAGTGCAAATTGAAAGATTCTTCATAGAGCTCGTAATACAGGGATTTATTGACTCACACGGCCCATGCCTACCAGCCGCCAATCCATTAGCCAGCAGCAGCTTCAACTCGAAGAATCTCACTCGGCTAGCGCTTGCTTGGCCGATATTTGACATCGCAGTGGTACCAGAGTTAGTAATCGCCGATGACTGAGTCACAACAGGGTAGATATAGATTCCATCGATCATATGCATCTTCGGAACATGAGCTCTCAACACAGGACTGGCCGCCCCACTACTGGCTGGAGACAGAATCCCATTCTTGGTCCAATTTGCGATGGAAGGATTGCCATATAATGCTTATGGTCCGTGACGAACAATGCCAAGCGCTCTGAATTCTTGCCCAGGCTCATTCAGAAATGATCCGGTATTGAATGACTTCGTTCAATGCGCCAATTTTGAGTTTGAGAAGCACACGAGAATGCGACAGTGGCCGTGTGGGAGACGCGCCTCAGCCATATGCGGTGCCTCGGAGCGGCTGCCATACGTTGATAAGGAGCTTCAAGAGCGGTGGGCCCTGAGTCCTTCACAGTCACTCGTTTATTAGTTCCCGGTTTTGACCTTGAGACCAATTCTACTATCCTCGCAGCTCTTACATTCCGTGGATTGGACTTCCTGGGCAAACTTTTCATTTTAGGCGTCATGTATCCCGCCATGTGGGCGAAGCACTTTGGCCGCCTCATCTTTCGAGTCTGATATTGCATGGCTGATACATGAGAGCCAAGCCCTTCAGTGATTTCAGACCACGATGTACTCTTATACTTCCTCGTCGACGACACTGTCCTGATTGATCTCGTCGTAGGTCCGTCGGACGCACGAAATGCAGTGCATCATCTCGTCTGACGCCTTCGGGCAATCCTGACGTCAACACAGTCGGTTTCGAACAAATGCGCTTCACTTTTGAGATAGCCGCGATATACTGCTTGTTGGTGTGTTCACTTGTGCCGTGCGTGTCAAGGACTGTGCTTACATGAACTATGTCGACCAAATGTGTCTGGTCACTACTCGCCATATATATTCTCCGATTTCCTACGAGCTGCCAAGTTTCACAGGTCAAATAGCCCACGATTCAGGAACTCAATTCGAAGACGAACTCTTGGTCCACTGTATCGACTATCGCACATAGCAATCGAAGCCACTACACTCTTCACACTTCAGACTGGTCCGGCGATCTCCCATACTGGCAAATTAGAGATATCTGATAGCTGTATCATGGGTTCTTGACCGAATTTGCACGAGCCAGAAACGGTTGTAAATATGACCTTGCATCGTAATTCTACTGTGGACCTACTTCCTAGGTAGGTAAGTATATAACATCCAGTACTAATTTATGACGGCATTGGGGTTGTTGTGGAGAATTGTTATGTCCAGCGGTCGCGATCGGGCAACGAAACGCGGAAAGTCAGCCGAGCCTACTGCAGCGAGGAACGCGTCTCCTCGCGTCGAATTGTGTTCAGTGGTGGCTGCTGCTAATAAACGACGTCGACACGCGATTCTGAAATGGTTGGACATTGCTCGATGATCACTACACTGCTGCACTTACGCTTTACCTACATCATACTTTTGACGACCCTTGCCGACCTCGACGTGGCTCTCATAAACATCTGCTGTTATTCATGTAATTCAACGCACCATTTTTAAACGACTACACGATCCGAAATCACCATCCCGAACAACGATCGAGTGCAGATCGCATTCTGGCTGAGAGCCAATTGAATCGCGCGTTGTCTGTCGGACGACATATATTCTAGACGCTTCGCCTCAATCACAATGCATCTCCCTCGGCAGCAGATCGCGCAGCTATACAATTCCCTCCTCAAGACCACGCACTCTTCCTCGGCACCGGTTCTGATCCTGACCGCACTCACAGTAGACAGCATATGTGCTACTCGGATATTAACGAGCCTTCTCAAGCGCGACTACATCCCTCACACCATCAAACCTATAGCCGGCTATGCTGATCTATTACGTGTCGGAGCAGACTCGGTCCTGCCATTAACACGACAAAGAGGTGGAGATGGCGGCACGGTGGTGTGCTTGGGCTTGGGTGGATCAGCGGCCATGGAAGAAGTATTAGGACTAGATGGGGTGGGTGCAGACGGCGAGGCCTCGGGCGTAAGCATGGAAAATCACGGCGTCGAGGTCTGGATTATCGATGCCCGACGGCCGTGGAATCTCGAAAACCTGTTTGGAAATTCTGCAGCTATGAAGCGAGATGAAGCTGGAGTTGTGCGACGTCCTGGCGTGAGCGATGGCAAAATTGCACCCAACTACAGACCAGGTCAAGGCGGCGTCATCATATGGGATGACGACAACATAGAGCTGGACCTCCAAGTCGAACGAGAAGCGTTTCTTGCACTGCAAGGCATGCCGGATATCACGGAGGCCGATGTCGGAAACGACGAAGACGAGGATGAGCAACAGATGAACAGCTTCGAGGCCAGTGACCCTAGTTCACCCAGCAGCGTAGGCCAGAAACGCAAGCGCCAAGAAGCCGGTGACACATCCGACGCGGACTTGGATTCGGATGACGAAGATGAGCCAGAGAGACGACGAAGACGGAGCAATTCTAGCGGGTCCATTCCGATACCTTCATCTCCAGGCGGTAATCCTCTCTCGGCGCAGTACCACGGTACATCGACGCCGCCGACAATGCCATCCTCACCTCCCAAAGTTCGAGCACCCTCAGAGAAGCAATTGCGAAGGCAGCTTCTGGCGTTACGGAAGAAGCACGAGAATACGTTACTTCAGTACTACGGCCGGGGCAGTCAGATGGCAGAGCCTGTCAGTAGTATTCTATACTCGCTGGCATCGGAACTCGGTCGAGAAGACAACGAATTTCTCTGGCTGGCAATCGTGGGCATCAGCTCATTAGTATCATCTCCGTCAGGCATCGGAAAGAAGGCGAACCAGGTCCGAGAAGTTCTTCGAGATGAAGTTCGTCGATTGAATCCCGTCCCGCTCGCTGAGCTCCAAAGATCACAAAGCAGCGAGGCGATAATACCTACCACCGCAAGAAGTACCACCGACACAAGCATTCGACTGTCTCCCGAGCCGAGGTTTCTACTCATCCGACATTGGAGTTTGTACGATGCAATGCTACACTCGCCTTATCTGGCAACTCGACTACACGTCTGGTCAGATTCTGGACGGAAACGACTTCACAAGCTACTCGCCAAGATGGGCATCAGTCTGCAGGAGGCCGGCAAAGGATTCTTACACATGGACAGCGAGATCAAGAGAACATTGCGCAGCAGGATTCTGAAGTTCGTCGAGCAGTACAACCTCCATGGTCTGGTCCCTGTCGGTGATGCACGCTCAGGAATGGACGATTGGGGATTTGTTCGATCGTGGGGTTGGCGGGGGACGTTGAGCGCCGAAGATGTCGCCGTCGTAGTCGGCGCTATCCTCGAGGTGGGAACGGAGATTCGAGGCATGACCGATTTCCACAAGGACAACCGCGTGCACGTCTCCACCAGCTACAACAACCGCATGCGCAACCCTCCAACACCCCCTCACTCCTCCGACGACGGCCACGAGCGCGAGAAGCCCGACACCACCTCCGACTTCATCACCCAACGTTTCTTCAAAGCCTACGACGCCCTCGCCCCCGGCTCCGGGCTGAACACGCTCCTCCAAAACCTCGAAGTCGCACAGAACCTCTACAAGGCCATCCTCCGAGTCGGTTCCGCCATCATCAGCAAGCAACAGATCCGGCACCTGCGCTCCTTCCGCATGGCCGTCATCAAAGAAGGCCCCGACGTCCCGCTCTTCACCCACCCCGGCGCCCTCGCCCGCCTCGCCGCCTGGATCAGCGACGCCATGACCGTCATCGAGAGCGAAAAGGGCCGACGCTCGAACGCTCCCGGCGCCAACGCCTGGGTCCTCGCCACGCTCGACGAGGAGCGCGACGTCTTCGTCGTCATCGGCCTCGGCGGCGGGAGCGTCGGCGCCGCCGGCACCAAGACCTTCCGCTCGAAGGCGGAGATCAAAGCCCGCGCGGAGCGGAAACAGGCGAGGACGATCGCCCAGGCGGCGAAAGCGGCGGAGAAAACCCGCCGGCGCGAGGAGAAGCGACGGCTCCGGCGGGAGCGCAACGCCGCGAACAATCTGTTCGTCGACTCCGATGACGAGGAGGAGTTGGAGACCGAGTCCGAGTCGGAATCTTCCTCGGAAGGAGACGAGGATTCCGATCTCGACTCGGATGGCGACGACGAGGGTGATGCGAAGAGGGCGAAGAGGAGAGGTCTCAATCGCTTCGGCCTCGCGTTCCAGGAGACGGTCGAGCAGACGGGCGCGAGGGTCCGGCTGGATTCCTTCGAACATAGCGTCGTCGAAGTCGCCAAGGAGGATCTCGCGAGGTTTCTGGAGGCGTTGAGCACGAAGGCTGTTGTTGGGTAGGAAGGGAACTTTTCGGCATTTATCGATTGTTGTTGTTCTTTTCGGACACGCAGGAAATATTCCCCTCTGATTGTCGGTCCCTGCTTGTTGGCTATTGCTACTTATTGTTGTTGTCATTGCGATTGTTGCTGTTCATGGCGATGGTGGACTCGCCCATCTCGATTTTTTTTTTATCTTGGAAAGACAATCATGGAAGCGAAGCTAGATTTCATTGCGGTGCATTTGAGAATTGCTCATGGGATGAACAGCGGGAGATGTGTGTGGAAACTAGGCATGAAGTGACATGGAAGATATCCGGTATTGAACCTGGTCCTGAGATGATTTTTGCTTATCTCACTATTATCATATCAAAAGATAAAGCTGGCATTCCTGTGGTTTTGTGCGTTCCTCTTTTCTTGATGTGGTCGGATTCGTTTCGGGAGAAAGTACAGTTGTGGGTTTTTGTCAGAGAATTCAATTTCTTTGGTTTTTGGCTTTGGTATTTTTGAACAAGTTGTACAGTTTGAATGTAGCAGTAGTATGTGACAGCATTGGGGATATCCGAGATGACCTCATGGTCCTCCTCGGTTCCTCCTCTTCCTATTTCTCTTGCTCCCCTCTCCCCTCCTGAACCTCCCGCTCTTGCTCGAGAATCGTTTGTTTGTTACACAAGATCTGAAAGAGAAAGGAATTTTTGTTATACAAACACAACTTTTCTCCACCTGCCGTTATTCGACGTTGGAGGCAGGCCACGCGATGAGAGAAAAGCTCTCCCATAATCCTCACTTCACTGCTCGTCCCGCCTATTCCATGCTTCCTTGATGATTCCGCCTCACGCCCATGTCAAAATCCAAAGAAAAAGAGAATACAAATCTCGGAAGGGAAAGGAGGCCCATTCGCATACTTGAAAAAGCAGAGGGGGTTTTCTCCCCCCGGCTCACGCCGCTCCCCAGAGAGTTTTCCTCTCGGCGCGATCCTCCCTGGCCTCCGTGCGTTTCCGGCCCCACCGACTCTTCACCGCCGCCATCTCGTGCGCGCGCTCCGCGAACAGGTCCTTGTCGCCGATGCCATAGCAGCACAGCGTCGCGAAGTACACCGAGCAGTCGAATTTCTCGGCCAACTTCTGCAAGGGCCATGCACGCGTGTTTTCGGCACGTAGCCGGCGCATTTCGTCGACTTCGGCTTGGCCGAGGTGGTAGCGTTTCTCCTTGACGGGCTTGAGAGGTTGGGGGAGGGAGGCGGCGGATTGTTGTCGGCGGGCGGCGGCGATGGCGGCGAGGGTGGATTGGGGTGATGATAATGATGATGAGGTGGGCGGTGATGAGAGGCCGCTGGTCGTGGCCATGTGTCGGGCGAGCAGGGCTTTGCGTTTGTCTGTTGACGGGAGGAATTTGTAGGGCGTGTGATAGACGTTGGGTGCGCTCGAGGGCGGGTTGAAGATGATGTGGTCTTCGTGTTCGGTCGTCGAGCCGCTTTTCTGGGCGCCGACGACTTTTAACGCTTTGCGCGTTCGTCGGTATGTGGCTACGCTGCGGCGGGAGCAGGCATTGCAGATGTAGTCGATGGGTTCCGCTGAGAGGAGTGATGGCCGTAGCCTTGGTGAGATAAATGTGCCGGACATGTTTTTGGTGATGATTCGATGGGAAGCGGATGTTATTTTCCCTTCTGCGCGTGGTCGTGTGATGAGGTTGAAAATGGGATTGGAACTTTTGAGGCTCCAAATTATTCCCGTGTCAGGAGCTGTTGCTACGTGCCTCAGGCAGGAATTCTGTGCTCACTCCCGCGGACTTCTCCCTCAATGGCATTGGGTTGCCGATTGCGACAAAGTACGAATGAGCGAGATTGGCGGAAAATATTTAATAGTGAGATTATTTGTTTAGAAATGATATCCTTGGCATGTCTCAAAAGCATTCTGAAGAACGATTTCTTGAGGATCAGGGATTCGATTTGAAGACTCTATCGATAGTCATGTGGCAGTTAAATATCACCGCGGCAGACAGTTCAGAGACAGGATGGAGCGCTCAGTCTTAGACTCAAACTATCCTCTCACAACATTTTGCCAATTCGAGCCGTGACAGGAGTATTGTCCACAGCTTCCACGACGATGTCATTCACTCACCATCACGACGAGATTATTGTCCATGTTCAACGCTCTGTGTCTTGTCAGGGAGAGACCTCCGAATGATGAATGGTGGAGCAGTAACCCTTATGTCCATCAAATGGATCGTCACATCGCGCACGCGGAAGTCCGCGCCGAACCTGGTCCGAGCTCCCAAATCTTTGGAGATTCCATCACTCTATGGACAGGCGCCTTTGATGATCATCCCTATCGCCATCATCATCACGACGACCGAGATATAACATATCCGTAATTCCCAGTCATCTCAACAGCGAAATCTACAGCCCGATACCGAACCTCGACTCCTGCGCAATCATCAACAAGCACGTCAAAGAAACTACCCTTTCGCAAAGATGTCCATGTTCTTCAACCAACAGCGGCCCATGCCCTCTTCGGCCGAGAAGATCGCCGCTGCCGAAGCTGAGATTGAGATGGTTTCGAACATGTTCAACCAGTGAGTAATCATCCCTGTTCGCGAAAGAGAGAGAGAGAGAGAGAGAGATAGAGGCAGAGAGAAGGAGAGAAAGCGAAGAGAAAGGAGGGAAGAAGAGGATCGGATTGGATCGGGGAGAAGCAGCAGCAACCAGTCACAAGCAAAAACATCAGGAAAGGACGGCGTGATAGATCTACAGTGGAATAGTCCATGATCACAATGGATGGCGAGAGGACGACGTGCTAACCACAGCTTATCACCATAGACTCGTCGACACCTGCTTCAAGAAGTGCATTCCCCCGCAATACCGCGAGGCCGAATTGAACAAAGGCGAATCCGTCTGCCTGGATCGCTGCGTGTCGAAATTCTTCGAGGTCAACGTCAAGGTCTCGGAGAAGATGCAGAGCGGTGCGCAGGAGAAGGCGGCGATGATGGGTTGAAAGCGGCACGACGTCGAGATGGTCCGGATTTGTTTTCTGATGTGATTATGATGATCTTGCCCTGGCGATGGGGAGGGAGGATGGGAAGGGAGGAGATTGCTGATGGAGAGGTCCATGATGGACTTTCGATGGCCTTTTCAACGCGGCGGTAGAGTACCCTCTTTGGACGAGGCGAAGATGGCTTGAGAAAGACGCTCGACGGGAGGGAGGAGAGAGGATGTGTATATTTCGCATGTACATTATGGGTGTCGGAGGTAGGAGACTCTTTTCAAAATTCGAGACAATGGGTGACTACCGCATCTGGAATTCTAGGCTGGTCGAGTATCTAGGCATACCTGTGGTGATGTCCTCACGTCGGCAAATCGCCCAGTCCCATCCCGCTCGTCGTCGTCTCTCTTCACAGCTACGAAAAGATACACAAGCTGACCATACATGGACGGAGGACACTTCACCAGTGTGCCCTCTGCTCTCTGCATCATTCATCCATCGACACCTCGCACCTTCAAACCAAAAGTGTCCCAAGCAGACCTTCTCTCCGCTCCGCTCACGCTCCATGACCAGATCTGTCTTCCTTCCCAGCACACACACACACACGCACGCACGCAAGGGCAACAATAGCCAAATCCCCCCAAACCTCCACGGAACCTCGGAAAAAGAAGGAAGAACAAACAAAGCCCAGTCGCGAAATCCCACCCGAAGCATCAATCACAAAAGCAACCGCAACGACGCCTTCGTCCGCTGGCAGGCGGGCAGGCGGGCGGGCAGGCAGGCAGGCAGGCAGGACCATGGTCCGGGTCGCGGATGATCTCGGCGGACGGGCGGCCGGGTGCATTTTTCCCGCCCGATTGGATTGGATTGGATTCAATTGAGTTCACATGGGGATTTCCGCGGTCTGCTTCTGGCGTTGGGGATCTCCCATTGTCGAATTTCGGAGGAAGACGAACAGGAAATGGAAAAAAAACGGGTCGATGATCGGTCCCTACCTGAGGTCTAGTATCGGTTCTCGATGGGATTGGGATTGGGATTGGGATTTTTTTTGGCTTCTCCCTCCCGACTAGGTTCTGCCCTTTTTTTTCCAGCCGATCCATCTATCTCTCCCTTCACATGTCAAGCACAACGCAAACATACATCGTGGTAACCCGGGGTTTTCTATTTCTTTCTTCGCGGGTCTGATGGACCGGAGAGATGTCGGGATTGATGAACCACAGGGTTGTGGTGGATGCGGTCGCTCCCCGTCACGCGATCACTTGCCTTTCTCGGCTCCCTCCCTCTCTCTCTGGAACGATGGGCGCGGTTTTGGGTTGGTTCTGGTTGTCTTGGGCCGCCTGAGATTTGGGCCCCTCGTCTGTTATCATCACCGTTTTGTTGAAACCGCCCGGGACGTTATGTTTGAGAGATGTGGAGGTTCGTTCTTCGTGGACGATAGGTGTGTCGTCCTTGTTATTACTGCTCTTCGCCTGGAGGAAAGTGTCCCCAGGATCGAGGTTTTTTTTCTGGCTTTTTTTTCTTGCTTCACAACTACGATTTTCTATAGTGCGGATCAAAGGTTGTTCTTTACGGGATCTCTTCCCGACCGCTTTAAATGCTCTGTTTCGATGAATCGTGACCATGTCCCTCACCCTTCCCTGCCCTGCCCTGCTCTCAGACGGGAGGACCCCACCTAGCCCTCGCCGAGATGATCCCGATGTGGAACGCTCGCTCGTGGGCCGGAGCCTCTCGATTGATCTAAAATAAAATTCCGCGACGGGCGGGATCGTTTCTGTCTTATAATTTGCCCGGTGTGGCGAGCCGTAGATGATGAGAAGTCTTCGTGCGTGTAGGCGTAGAGAGATGTTTCTATCGTGGAAATGGTAGTGCAAAAAGTCGCATATGTTTATCATCCTATGGGAGGCAGGCTTCCACGTGGATGAGAGCGCGTGCCCTGAGACAGTGGCATGGCATGGCGTAGACCGTCTCTTAAGCCTGACAGAGGTGTATACTCGGCACATATATTTCCTTTCCAACGCGGAGGGGATATATCGGACCGTGCAATCTGTCTACCGCTCTCTTCAGATGTTCTGTCTATACCTGAGAGATATCCCTAGTAGATTTGATTCACGTGCGGACACACTGATTCATAACAAGCCACTGGACCTCGGACAGGGTCGTCGAGGGAGAGTCTAGAGATGTGGATGTGTCGACCATGTGCGCGCATGGATGATACATCACATCATGTGATTGTGACAGCGCGAAGGCCGCCGCTAATGCTGCACGATGGGGAATCATGCTGGGAAGCCCATGAGATGAGATGAGATGAGATGGATTGCCAAGAGAACGCCGGTTGGGAACTTCAGATGTTTCCCTGCTGCGCCTGGGAGGAATTACGCCGGCGTGGTGGTGGCCATGGCTGCTGACGTGTTGGGCTGGGTGCTGAGGTGAGGCAGTCCCGTCTTCTTCAATCGTCACATCTGGATCTGGCTGGAATAATGTCGTGTATTGTACGTACAGTACAGTACAGTACTTAGGTTTGCAGTGAGTCGGGTGCTCGTCGCAGAGCAGGACTTGCACGTGCGAGGGTCCCCTTCACGGTGGATTCGTCTGATCTTGGTCGAGATGGGAGCCTGTACCTAGTTATACCTGCACTACTGCTGCATAGACAGGAAACAAGTACACTACTGCTGCATGATGGGCGGGATTGTGCAGGAGGGAGAGGGAGAGGTGCAGGTGCAGGACGACGGGTGGACGGGTTGCTTGCTGCAGGTCTACCTTACCTACCCTCTAGTCCTGTTTCTGGCCGGGATTGTTGTTGTTGTTGCTGCTGTTATTGTAGGCGATCATCTCGTCATTCGGAGGATTATGATGATGATGGTGAACATGGCACTCACTCACTCACTCACTCACTCACTCACTCACTCACCCACCCACTCCTCCTCTTCTCCTCTTCCCCAGCCACAGCGGCAGTCGAGCAGGCGTCATCAAAACAAACAAACAACAACAATGACACCAAAGAGACGAGATCATGTCCAGTAGCAGTAGACACACCTGACATCGGGAATGGATTGCACTGTAAAGAATTTTATATGGGAGTGCCCCACCTGGGTACTCGGTGTGATTCCAGGATATTATCGTTACTATCGCCCAGCACTCACAATCATAACAATGATAATAAATAAATTGAAGGAAGATTGCGCCCGCCCGTGCCCGCTTGATTGACCGCCCGCCGCGCGAACTCCGACCACAACTGTGCGTCACCCACGGACTGCCCAGGTGGACTGCACTGAGCCACCACGCTCTTGGTTGTTAGACACCATTAATCACCGCCTAGGTTTATCACCACCACCGCCATCACAACATCAACTCTCCACCTACAGCAAGTTCCAACTCCCTCTGATCTCTGAGATTACAACACCATTAACCATACACACGCGCATATATATACATACACATATATATATATATCCATACACATCTCTGCGCGCTGTTGTTCCTGGCCGCTGTTTCTCCGCCCGGTCGCGGTTTCTCCTCCCCGATCCCATATCATCATCCCACCTGGACGCGTCAGGAAAAGACCACCAAACTCCGAAGCAGGAAAACCCGCCACTTTTAGAGGCCTACAGTAACATCACAGACGGCGGAGCGGAGCGGAGATTGTGCCTGGACCGTCGTGCACATCTCTTGGCCCCATCCTGGCCATCCGACAACGACAATTGATTGTTCCGTTTCACCATTCCTCTGACCCTGACACCCAGCGCACACGCCCGCCGCGTGGAGAGCATGCCGACGACACACGTTCCTGGTAGCGATGACGGAGCGTGAGCCCGTTCCCGACCCAATCCACGCCTTTCTCGATTCCCTCGTCGATGAGGGCCAACGTCTCGGCGAAAGTGCGCAACAACAACAACGACAACGACAACGACATCCTCTCTCAACGGCCGCGGCGGATCATCCGCCATCGTCTCTATTATCCTGCTGCTGCGGAAACCAAGCCTGCGCATATCTCGCTCACAATCAAACCACCCTCAACGCCCTCGCGCGTGATGTTTGCGAGGCCGGCAAGCTCGGCCAGGTACGTCTTTCTCATGTTTTTTTCCTTTCCTCTTGCTTCCCCTCCCCGCCGTTGGTAAATCGGATAGGGAAGAAAAAGGGAAATATGCATCGCCGTTGATCGCTATGCGCAACCTCAAAACATCCATCCCAGGGACTCATAAGCATCTGCTCGTGTGCTCCATTGCCGCATTCTCTCACATCATGGTGCCTGCGCGGACGCTTGTGTCTTCTGGACTCTTTCGCTTGTCTTGCTTGCTTGTTTCTCGTCCATCCTAGCTTCACCTGGCACATCGCCTTGCCTCTTGTCTCTACTAGCTTCACCTGCATCGCATCATGATCCCATCTGTCGCCGACACGCCCGAGTATACCCCGTCGCTGACTGTGGCCCTTCAGGCGCTGCTGACCCGGCACGAAGCTTACGTCAAGGACTCGGAGCAAGACCGGTCCAACCTCGCCATGAAGATCGAAACCTTGGAGAAGGACAAGCTGGGCCTGGAGAAGCTCAACGCCGATGTCGTCCGCGAGAACCGGGGATTGCTCGACCAATTGGAGTCCCTCAATGACGCCATCATCGATTCGGACAATCAGGTCACCAACCTGCAGGCTACTTTGCAGTCCAGCCAACAAGAGATCCACCGGTTGGCCCACCTCGCCGCGAGGACTGCGAAGCTGGAATCGCAGATCGCCGACTTTGAACGGGATCAAGCCCGCTGGCAATCGACCCTCACCGATCGGGAACAGTCGGAGAAGGCCGCGTTGCGAAGATGGCAGCAATCGGAGAGGACTTTGGCCGACATTTCACGACAGATCGAAGCGATCGAGCTGGAAGCGAAGGAGGAGCGAGATCGGCACGCGGAGGTCGTGGCGCGGATGGAACGCAGGCACGCCGTGGAGAGGGAACTCGACTCGTCAGCTGCTCGGTTGAAAGGTGCGGCCGCGGTCAAGACCGCAGAGAATGCCACTCAAGGAACCAATGTCGTGTCACACTTCGTTCGCGATTTACTGCAAGACAACACAGCCCTACAGAGTGGCGTCCTGGAATTGCGCGAGATGCTGGACAACTCGAATTTACAAGTGGAAGCCCTTCGTCGACAACTCACCGATCAGCAGGTCTCTGCGCCGATCACTCCTTCCGTAGTACGGCCACAGCCTGAAGCCATCCGGACGGATCTCAACGACGAGATGAAACGGGCCAATGCTCAAGAATTACATGTGCACCATCATTACCACGCGCCTTCTGCTCCCAAACAACCTGCTGTGATCCGCCGTCCGAAGAAGAAACGATATGGCGCACTCATGTCCGGTCACTTCACTCCCCCAACGTCAGGAATCAGCACACCGCGATCTTCGATCTCGTACAGTGTCCCCTCGTCACATGCCGCCATCCTCTCCTCCACAGCCGCGAGCTTACCCGAGAACTATCACGCGATGCGTGCCTTTTCTGGTCCCAGCTCCCCCGGCTCGACGAATCGCACATCGTCCATCTTCGACAACGTGTTCAGCGATGCAGGTCTAGACTCTTCGCGACCCACCACCCCCGGTACCGAGGAACCCGCCTCTCCGATGATGTTCCCCATCCATTCCAAACGTTCATCGATCAGTTCCTTTCAGCACCGGAGCCGGCCTTCGGGGCATCGGAGCCGCTCCTCGTTGGATGCGATCATGGACGTCGGTTTCGAGCACCTCGAAGGTCTCGATCTACGTATGAACCAAGAGAGGCCCATCCCCGAGGAGGAAGATCTCTCCTGGGACGAGTCACATCACCCATCCGCCGAGGACGAAACCCCCAGTTCCAATGACCAACACGCCGTCCCTTCCCTCTCCGACGAACTCGACCGCGCCTACGAACGCCGCAACCGACGCCTCCGCCGCGTCAACTCCCACGACTCCCTCCTCTCCGTCTCCGGCATGGACATCCATCTCCCCGCCAACAGCACGAGCACCCTCAAACCCCGTCCCTCCCAACTCCTCGCGCCCTACAACTCCGCCTCCCGATCTTTCACCACCCAGGCCGTCCTCAGCGACGCCACCGCCCACGCCGCCCGCCCGGCCATCCTCTCCTCATCGTCGTCCTCATACGCTTCCACACACAGTCTCCTCAGCGGCATGGCCGCCGACCGCTTACATCCGAACAAAGCCTCCTCGTCCTCCTCATCCTCCTCCACCAACAACAACGCATCCTCCTCCTCGGGAAGCGGCAGCGGTCTCGGGAACCGCATCGGCTGGGTCTTCGGGAAATGGGGCGCGACCCCCACCCCCGCCGTCGAACCTCCCCCATCATCATCGACAACAACGACCACATCAACCGCCCGCTCCCCGAGCATATCCTCCGTGGCCGCCAGCACGACCAGCAGCAGCATCGTCAGCAGCAGCAACAACAACAACACCGACGATGACGTCCACGCATCGCCCTCAGCCACCGACCCCCAACTCACGCCCAAACCGGCGCCTCTGCCCGCGCCCTCGAGGCTCCGCTCCTTCGGCGTCAACCAATCCGGCCCCATCCCGTTCTTCCCCGTCGAGACGAAGACCCCGCCGCGACCGCCCGTCGTGAACGTGCTGGACGAGGAGGGCTTGCGGAAAGTCCTCGACATGGGATGAAGATCAAACACATGGGGGTTTCGTCATCCCAAGAACAACAACGAAAGCATAAAAATATAGGGCGCATGGCTGGGACTTCTTCCTTCGCCCACCCCCCCTTGCTTCGGATGGATTTCTCGTCGAGTGTGTCTGCGAAGTGGCTGTGAAGAACGAACACGGTCCAATGAACAGGATTGTCTGGAATGAGGGCGCAGGAATGAATGCACGGTGGTGGTTTTTTTGTCGGCGGGGTGAACGGGGTGGATGTCACGATGATGATGATGATGGTATGGGAACGATTCCTCCCTCTCTCTCTCTCTCTCTCTAAATTTCCTTTATTCCTTCCTCTCTCTGTCGTCTCACGAGCAAACGCGGGATTTCCTCACGCTGTGGTTTCTCGGCTGCCTCGTTTCTCGTTACATCTCTCTCTCTCTCTCTCTCTCTCTCTCTCTCTCTCTCTCTGGCTCTCTCATCTGTTGTCTCTTTTTTTTCTCTTTCTTCTATCAATTAGCATATCCACCATCAGCGATTTCGAATTAAAAACGTATGTTATGTTCGTCGATGACGACGCCTCCTCCTCCTCCTTCTTCTCCATCTTCTCCTTCGTCCCCTTCTTCTTCCTGCTCCATTCTCCGTCCAATCAACTAAAAACATCATCGATTCCCCCTTTGGCCTTCGTTCTCCGCGAAGAGAGATAACAACAACAACAACCGAAAACAACATCCATGGTTTTTTCCATCCAGAAATCCAGAGCCGCAAGGCAACAGGAGAACAAAGGGATTCCGCCCTGCGCGCGCTCCTCCTATCCGGTCATTCCTCGTTTTCCTCGTTCGCCTCGTTTTCCTCCCGTGCTGCGGAATCCCCCGACGCGTTTCCTCTTCTTCTTACACAAACCCACGCGCGTTTTCTTTTTGGAAGGACCCGCACGTGCGCTGCTGGACGCGAATCGTCCCGATCGATGGCGTTTGTTGCGGCGTCCTGTGGAGACGGGGCGGGAGTCGGCGTGGGAGGTAGGTGGGTGGGTAGGTGGGTCACGAGTGCGGTAGTTGATGGATGGCCCCCGTTCATCTTCATAAGATGAGGGATTGTGCAGGACCGCGGGTGAAAGAATTCAGGCGAAAAGAGAAACGGACAAAAAACGGACAAGCGAGCAGACTTCTATGAATTTATTGCTACAGACATGTGTGTGTGTGTGTGTGTGTGTATCTCGCGCGCCATCTAAGTATTCGCCAATCATCCCGAGATCTCAGGGTCGAATCGCGTTCTAAAACTTGAACACCTGGTCCTTGCTGTATCCCAGCTCCTGGAGGTACCCCGCCAGCTCGCCCTGATCCGCGGGGCTCTTCTTGCCTCCGGAGATGGCCTTGTACAGGCCCGGGGGCCCGCAGACGAAGATCTTGACGTTCTCCTCCTTCGGGCCGGGGATGACGGTCTTCAGGAGGTCCTTGGTGATGTGGCCCTTGCCCTGCTGCCACTTCTCCGGCGGCTGGTCGAGGACGTAGAAGGCGCGGAAGCGCTGCGGGAACTTCTGCTCGAGGTCCTCGAATTCGCGCTTGAGCAGGATGTCCTCCTCCGTGATGTTGCCGAAGACGAGCGTGACCTTGGTCTTGTCGTCGGGGTTCTTGAAGATTTGGCGCGCGAGCTGGTACATGGGTGTGATGCCGGTTCCTCCGGCGATCAGGGCGATGTGGTTGTGCTTGTTGGTCTCCCATTGGTATTTGGTGATGGGTCCCTTGAAGTCGAGACGTTGGCCGGGCTCCATGTCGTGGAAGTGTGTCGACATCGGGCCGTCGGGGTACTTCTTCACGACCAGGTCGATGAATCCCTTCTCATCTGGATATTGGTCAGTTGAATATCCAAGTCTCCACATATGCTAGCCTTCTCGAATCCACATACCCTCGTCACTGGTAGGGGTGTAAGGTCGAATTGCCGGCTTCTGCATCTCGGGGCCCTTGTACTTGGTCAAGATGGCACTCGCAACATTGAGACCGCTGACAGCCTCCGGGTCCTCAAACTTGAAGCGGAACTTCTTGGTGTTGTGGTTGATGTTCTCGACGCTGTCCAATGCCAAGCTGATGAAGCCCTGGTCTATCGTATCGATTGTTATTATGCTGCCTTCTTCGTCCTTCATTCGGCTATAACGTACCTCCGCCACGGAAAACCTTCTCTGCGGATGCGCTGGGGACCGCGGCGCCGCTCTTCACGGACGCAGCGGTGTCTTTGGCGACGGCGACGGGATCCTTGGTGCCCGCGAAGGCGTAGTAGCCTCCTCCAATGGCCGCAGCACCGAGAGCGCCGTAGAGGAGAGTGTTGCTGCCACCGGATTTGGTGGTCGACTCGGTCGCGTAACGGCGAACATGCTGAGAAGCAGAGATGTCAGCAAACAGTCCTGCATCAGTCAGCGTCAAGTTAGATACTCACGCCGGAGAATTGCGTCGCCGGCCGGACAATGCGAGTTGCGAACATTGTGAAGTAGTAGAATTCGTCTGTGACGCGACAAATTCAATGGAGGTTGATTGCCAATGAGTGCGCGGAAAAGTTGTGATGTAGACGACCGCGAGCTAGAGGAAGCTCATCACAGTGCTAAGCTTGGCTGCGGTGTTCCGCGCTCCACCAACGATGACGACATACTGCAACTTGTGAGAGCATTCCCAGCTGCTGACTAATCCCTTCGACCGGACCTCGGGATCTTCTTGGCCAGATTAGCAAGGACCACACAGAACGGCATAGAGATAGCTTTCCTGGATGTCTCCTGCGAGCTTCATTTGGTGGTTTTTGCTACAGGGAGTGGCAGATCCTTTTTTGACAACTATCTTGATCAATCGTATGAAACAGATCGCGAAGCAGGTCTCATTTCGTGTTCTCGTTGGACATCCAGAAGGACACTGTCACATGCAGAAAAAGGTCTCCTGTCTGCCCCTATGATCGAAAGTTTTTCACATCGAGGGCAATACAAATAGTATTGATAAAATTCCAGCAGATCGCTCAACGCGACGATGGAGGAGAAAGACAGGCTATCTTCGTCATGTCCACAACATACCGGTTGCGACAGCATCGCTCATATAGCCACGTGATTTGCAACAGATACCAGACATGCTCGCAAGCCTGGCGGATGCAAAAGTTCTCTTGAGAAATGAGTACGATGTGGTAGAAACATAGCCGCGGCGCTGGTTGGTCTCTCAAATGTACACTCTCTTGCAATCCTTTGGTGCACACTCGTTAGGACAATAGGGACATTTCATTTTCCTGCAACATGTCAGCACGGATTCACGGTTTGGGCAAGATAGATTACTGCACTCACGGTTTTCCTCGGCTGTGAGCTTCGAGGCTTTCTTTGGCAATCACATGCCCGCAAGGCAGCATCATCGGCGGATTGGCATCGGTCGCCTGTTCCTTGGACACCGGACAGACAAAGACACTGTGGAATTGGAACCCCGGCGGCAGGGGAGTCTCGACGGGTAATTCGTTGACACTCGTCCATTGACCTCGATGTTGAGCCATAACCCTCTCCACTTTTTCCAGTCGCGGAAGAGCAATGCCACCTGCGGTGACAGCGGTGTAGAGAGGCGAGTGCGAGCTGAGTCCCAGCATACCGCAGAATTCTCGGGTGAATGAGGCACTTGCCTCTTCGTAGGAGAATTCATTGTGGAAGGTACTGCTGTAGGGGGAAGATTCGAGTCCGGAATAGAATGCTAAAGAGCCGAGAAGCCCTGACGTCTCCCGCGAATATCGCGTGCTGAGAGCGGGGAACATCTTGCGCGCGTACTCCAGCGCACGTAGAGGACCGGCCAAGGTTTGGTCTGGCATAGTGGCATCCGAGGTGTACAACTCCACAAACTTGAGCCTACTGAGCTCGAATTCCAGGTTTGAGCCTCGACTTTCCAGTTTCGCGCTATGTTTGCGGGCCCATTCGATTGCTGGCTCGAGATTGTGTTGGTTCCGAAGTGCAAACAGGATATGATACATCTCTGAGAACTTCTTCTGCAATCCACCCGGTCCGATGACGCCGCTTGGCTCCTCATCGTCGTATGACATCGCGCCGTCAGCTTCAGCTAGATCTTCAATCCAGCTCCTACCGACATCATCTTGCAATGCATCGGCCCCCTTATTCGACCCTTGGCCTTGAGTCACCTCCCGGACAAAGGTTTTAGCGATATCGAAGTTGCCCTCTCGTAGTAGGTGCATCGCAATAGCTCGGTTGATAAGGTTTGGTTGGCGCGCGAGTGCATCGTTGACTGCCGTAGGTAAGGCATTCGTTCGGAATTTGTCCTTTAACGCCTTCTGATAACCATTCAATCCTTTGTTGACATCCTTGAGATCACCATCTAATCTTTCAAATGTCTGCTCGACAGGCCTCCGTGCCTTGGCTACCTCCAGCGCTGCTGTAGCTGGCTTTGCGGCGGCATTGTCACGGGCGCTTTGAAGAATGTCGATGAGTTTTTGCGCATCAGCTATGGCGTTGGATAAGTTGCTCTTCGTCTCTTGTTGGTTATGAGCTCGCTGAATGCTGTCCATTGTGAGAAAGGTCACGAGACCAAAGTTCGAAATTGAGATGACGGTGGTGAGGTCAAGTCCGGATGTGGGTGGTTCTTTCTCGAGCCTATCGATTATGGTTCAGTCTCCTTCGTCACGGCAGGTGGACAACTGAGAGCGTAGCCAAGAAGGCAAGCACATGTTGTGTTGAATGACTAGATGAGTTGGATGTCATGCGATCTAGTAAGTTCGCATAAGGCGGTGGAAGTGTCTCAGGCGGGAGTGTGATCGAGAGTCTCCACAGATCGAGGCCTTCGCCAACAACGAAGTCTGGTCAATGAACGCAACAGTTATGATGTCGAGACATCAATCAACTGCAGAGCGCTTTGAGCTAGTTATCGCAACGATCACGTGGTAACGCGATCGTCCATATCCAGCGGTGATGCTGCAGGTGGAGAGACGATCGGGCGCAATTGTTGGTCCTCTATCAGTCCGTCCCGTCGTTGGTCGTGGGTGAGCGCAAGCGCGGAGAAGCCGCGACGCCGGACTAGGAAGCCCGACAGCCATTCATCAAACAGTACATTGCATGCAGTACATCATACCTGCATATATACGAAACCAAGATCCCTTTACCCAGTTGGGCATCTACTTTCTTTGGAGTACCAATATATGCCCTGCTTGATTTCGCGTTCCAGGAGATGACGAAGAGCCCGCTGTGAGCATCTTCGGAGAGCTGTCTTTCGGACATCCAATTCATTCAAGGCGACCTGGATCTCGTATGATGCGCCGGCCCACATCATATAATATCGAGACGTCGCATCGGAAGGGACGATTCTACCATGTCAAGGCTGAAGATCACACTGTGAGGTGAAGGCTTGGTAGGAGATAGACCCACCACCATGGCCAGCTATTCATCCATGACACGGCAGAAGCGAGATCTTTCAGGCTCCAAATCCAACATAACACGATCAAATGGATCGCCGACGAAAAAGCGGCTTCGCACACCTCCACCGCAGGTAGAGCCGATATCCAGTAATGAATTGCAAAGCCCTGCATCAAATTCAGACTCGTATCAACGCTTTGTCCTGACTGATCCAATCGCCTTTCGCTATCTGGAACAAGATGCTTCGACGACAGTATTGGAGCGACGACAAGAACTTCGCGGTTACGAATGCTACCTTGTTGAGCAATGGACCACTTCGCGTATCCATCCTACTTTTGTCATTACGACTTACACAGGTGATGCTTCTCATGTCGTAGTCGTGGGAGTTCTCAGCGTACCGACCGATGAGTCATCATGGTCACCACGACTACGTGTTTATTTCAAGGCCCTCAACCAATATCATGCCAGGAGGAAAGATACCGCTTTAGGCGTCATCATGGTGACCAATCTTTCCAGCTTTCCTTCTTCTCTGACCGTCATACCGGTACCCGACGGCGACCTTCGCAAACACCGATTCGATTATTTTGTCAACGAAAATCTGAAACGATTAGGCTGTTCGGGAAGGAGTGGTCTGACCTTGGCACAACCTGCGCCAGCTACTATGGCCAAATACCTCCATCTGTACAAGACGAGCGAGAAGATTGACATTTATCACTCGGTGATTGAACTAGTCAAGCTTTGTCAAAGCGCTTTGATGATGTTCGCAAAATTAGAGATCGACTACGCCGATGGGCTTCTCTGCGATGTCACGGAGCAAGCTATCGGAGATTGGTGGATTGACATCGGCTCGGACTTTTATGACTTCGAACCGCATGATGGCATCCTCGGACCCTCGACCGTTGCGGGTCTTCTTGGTCTTTTCATGGGCGCGAGAAACCGGCTTCACTCGGTCGGTGCACCTGTTGCGAAAGATCCATTCGATGTGGATGCGATGAAGCGTGGAATAAGCGTGTTCCAAAAACAGCAACGAATTCCTCGCACACGGCGACTGGACCATCATACTCTGGACGTCCTCCATAAACTCACCCAGAAGGCTGCAAATAAAGAGCGATGGGCTGTCTCGCGCGTAGTCAAATCTACTGTAGCCGAACTGAGCAGCAAAGGTGGAGAGTTGATGCTCGATGCTATCGCGCACCGAGACAGAGCTGGCATTGCAGACATTGAAACTGTCGATATTGACCGATTTGTGCATTTAATATTCGGAGAGCGCTGCAGATGGCTTTGGGAAGGCAAGGCCATCAAAAAGCCAAGAGGAAACGACAGATCCGAAAGAGCCCTCAACGATGCTCGTGAGCCCTCTGCACCGAGGAGAAGTCTAGTCTTTAAACACGATGAACACGGGGGGTTCACGTGGGCGTCTGGTCGTAAAAGCACCGTTGACGGGCTATCGGAGATGAAGGACGACGACGAGCGTCAGATTGATCCCCAGGATGATCTAACTCCGGCCGATCGAGCTGATGACAGTAGCGATGAAGGCATCAAGGCGACAGTGCTGAAACGAGCATCGGCCCTTCGCCACGAGGCAAAGAGCGGCCTCGGAAAAGTGAAAGGCGCTGTCGGACTGCGTGGTCATCGCTCAAAGCCATCTACAGATATGTCTCTCCACACCTCCGCTGGTGACCTAGACTATACTAGCTCATATCGAAAGGGCCATGAATCAGCAGCAGGCACAAATACGGGGCCCAGCAGCCCTGATATTCGCCCGATCGACTGGCGTCCATCAGACCTGGCATTCGAACAGAGTCCCATCTCGATGCAAGACGGAGAAGGCAGACGATTCTCAATCGATCATCAGATCCATCAAAGAACGACACTGTCGAAACATTCCCGCGATACGTTGCCTCAGTTCGATTTCCCTGCCAAGCGATCTGATGTGCACTCCGGAACAAGGGCTTCATCCCAGCTGTACGTCCCCAGCACCGCTATACGCTCAGGATCCGCCACCGCCGAGCCCTCCGTCGCCGGGTCTGTCTACAACGACAACGACAACTCCGAGCCGCTTCCACTCAGTCTTCCTAACGCCGCCTCTACCACGCACAATCTCCTCCATCGCTCCACTTCCCTCTCTGAAACCCGCAACCCAATCCCCCTCTCCGTCCTCAGCGACAAAATGCCACGACACCTAAGCTTCAGCCTGGCTGAAGACAGCGTCCTAACCTGGACACCGCTCCAGGAACCGTCCGAAGACCTGACGTCAACATCTCCCAATTACCGAGACCTCCTCGCCGCCCAAGAGTCCCTCCTCCTCCACACCAGCGCCCTATCCACCCAAATCACTTCCCTCTCCACCTGCACCCACCCCTGGACTCAATCGCAACTCACTGCCCTCCAATCCATCCTCTCTCAAGCATCCCAGGACCAAGAAACGCTCCTCTCCCTTCACCAGCCACTAGAACAACACCTCGCGACTCTCCGCGAACAAACCGCCGCCGCCCTCCGAGAAGGTCATGAACAACTCGATGGAGGAGTCCAGGAGACGGAGACTTTGGCCGCGAGACTTCGGTATGAAATTAATGAGTTAAGGAGTAAAGTCGAGGATGTGGAGGTTGGCGTCGCGGACTTTGAAAAGGGCGTCGCGAGGATTGAAGAGAGGGTGTTGGAACTGGAGGCCGAAGGGGAGGCCGATGGGAGGTGGCTGTGTGTGGTTTGCTGAAGGACGGGTCTTCTCATTTTTTACCTTTCCATTCCCTTCCCTGGTCTCCCGAGTCCCATGCTGGGTACATCTATTGCGATTTCTCTTGTTCGAGCGAGCGAGATCTCTGTTTTTTAAGGTGATGGTGACGTTTGGGCAAGCCTCTCGAATCCATTCACAGCGCGGAAGTAGGACTCAAAACGAACACCCGTATGTATGATCTTAATATCCTCTTTTAATTTCGAAGATACAATATGAATACTATTTAATACGCCGAACCTTTCTCGCTCTCTCACTTGCTCGCTCTGTCAAGAAATAGAGGTACAACTTCCCGAGAATGTGATAATCGATCAGTTTATCCATCGTGGTGACCGCGCTCATTCACTAGCACTATGAAATGCAATACATTGTTTCGAAAAAACAAGAGCTTGACTACATACATATGTGAAGACTAAAACCTCGCCAAGAGTACATTTCCAATCGAAGGAGTCGCTCCAACAGCGGAAAAGGTGGGAGGTCGAAGCTATGCAGAGCTCTCCCCATGCGCACACGAGCATCGCAGACACAACGTCATCTACAAACCACATCCGTTCGTCCCTCCGTTCGACATCAGCGTCATCTCATCAAGCGATCAACAAATTCCACGCGCACACAACAACGAAGAATTCCCCAAAACCACATTTTCCACAAACAAAAACAGCATTTGTCCGAGAAGCACACGACGAAAAACAAACAATCATGCCCGCCTACACGCTAGTCGTCCACCTCTACGCCATCGACGACGCCGAAGCCATCAAGAAACTTTCCGCGAAGCTGCAGGAGGCTAGTCAAGTGTACAGCAATGATAAGGAATGTCTAGGCTGGTAAGGAACTCCATGTACCTCCGAATCGAAGACACCACATCCATGCGAAGTGCGTGGAGGAGGATATCCGAAAGGGACTTATCACTAAAGACATGGTTCGTCGGGTGCTCATGGAATATAGGTTCGTAATGCAAGATCACAAAGACCCGCGGGCTTTCACCATCGTCGAGCGATATGCGCATGAGAGCAGTCAGAAGTGAGTTCCCTTTCCCGTGGATCAACCCCCATTGTGAGCGTATCGGAGAGCGCGGTTTCTTATGGAATCCATTCCGAAATAGATACCATCTGGAGAATCCTTACTGGAAGACTTTCGACCCCTATGTCATCCCGTTGTTGGCCAAGGACATGGATCTCCGCCGCTTCAATGAGCTGGACACCAGCACTGAAGTCAAAGTGGAGCAGGATGCGCAGCTTTGGGAGAACGTCAAGAAGCATCAATCTTGAACTGTGATTGGGATAGGATATGCATAGTTGAAAGGGAAGACTGATGTCCCCAATGAAAGCATTTGACTGCAATGACAGGCACTGTTGGCCGCGATCGTGATCCGTGATGTTCTTGGTGTGTTTCAGGTCAGGATACTGAACTTCACAGAACAATGAACCTTATTCCCACGACGAGCTGGGTCTCCTCAAATTCACCGGGTCGTGCTCTGCCTGCTTCTCGCAAGCGACCTGGAGAGGAATAGCCGACAGAACATCCTGGGTATGTTTCGTTGTTGTCATTGCCTGCGTGGTGATCCGAAAGACAACTAATGCTTCGGACGCCGCTGCTGCGTCTTCGATTGGAGGATGCGACACTAGTGCTACGGTTCGAAGGTGGTTGGAATTCTTCGTCGGGGGCGTCTTGTGGCTTGGTCCGTCTCTTATAGGGCCTGCGTGTCGGTCCGAGAGGTGTCATCATTTTCTTTTCCCCGGTGCTGACTGAATTAACTTCTTGGGCAGACTTCGTCGTATCAGGTCTGACAGTCGACAGCTGACTGTTGGAACTCGGGTCAAAGGGTGAAGGCGTTACTGGCGTCGGGAGAGGTACTACTCCGAGTCGTGGTGTGGCAGATTTACTGATTGCAGAGTCTCTACGAGTTCTAGTGGTAGATGGCTGAGCTGTTCCTTGACTGATGAACGGCGGGTCTCTAGCCATCGATTTAATATTATCTTGCGCCTGCTTTGTCGGTGTGGACGCGCCGGTGGCTTCACTCGTGAGTCGAGGGGCCTTAGCTACTGATCTCGATTTGAGTTTCTCTTCGATCAGTGGGGTCAAAACCTCTTTCTGGTTGACATCTTTAGACTCCTCATTGTTATTCCTCAAAGGTCTGAGCCGCGCCATCGGTTCATTCTCGATAGACGTTTTCTGTGAGTTTTCAGGCCAAACGCCTGCGGGCGCGCTTCCGCGACGCTGTTGCCCAGTGTTCGATTGTTTCTTGGTGCGAGGTGCCAAGTGCGAATTTGACTTATTATCTGCTGTTTTTGCCGGCACATCACGCCGGCTAGAGAAAATTTGAGAGGCGCCCAAGTCGTGATCGTTCGCGGCATCTTCCACGCTTGACAAGTCGTCCGTCGCGGTCCTCGTCCCTTTTCTCAGTGACGGGTCTGTCCGAACTGCATAGCGACGATCCAGCATCCTCAGTGGCTGAGCGACGAATCCACCGTCCATTCTGTCCCAGCCAAGTATCAGTGAGAGTTGGCGAATCTTTCCAGGAGTCGCATTCGTACGTACCCGTATTTGAACCCTATGCCGGTGGTGATGACCACATCAATTACGCTCAAGTTTGCGTGCCTTTGCAAATGGTTGGGTAAGTCAAGCATAGATAAAGCCTGGAGGAATTCAGCACTCGGCGGAGGTGAACCATGGATGTTGGTCCCTCGTAGCCTTGCCTCCGTACTGAGGGCTTTTTGATAGGTAGACCAGCGCTGTGCGGCTGTCATATCCGCCCCTTTGATTGAGTGATTACCACGGTATATCCATGGCTTCTCAAGTTGGCGTGCGGCTCGGGTGCCATAGAACACAAGCATATCTTCGTGAAGCTGCACAGCGTTTCTGGACTTGTTCAGGAAGACAACATCAGCAAGTTCTCCGTGCAAGAAGACTTCTACCTTCAGGTGAGGTAGCATGTGATTATCCAGTGCGCGAGGCCATTTCGGAGAACTGCCTTTCTCTTGGATATCCACTCGGAGGAGCAAAGCAGATTCTTTGGATGCAATTGACTCTTTCTGTTCCGAATTCGATGATTGTGTCAATGCGTTGATACTAGTCTCTCTCAAGCGCGGTCCCACAGCAGGTGTTTTTTCGAGAACGTTTTCCCTTGTGCTATTCGCACCTCCAGAAACACCGAAATCCTTAGAGGAGTCGTTGAACGTGCGTGATCTGCGAAGCGTGTCTTTTGGGGTCGCCAAATCGATGACCAGAGACCGTCGGCTTTGTTTTGCGTCGAAGGGAGCCGTTGCTGGACGGCTTGCAAGGTCGGTGGCGTGAAGGTCCTCTGCAGCTTCTACCATGAAAAAGGGCATGTCCCCGTCCGGTCCAATGAAATGCATCACTCCGTTACGATGACAATTGATGTCGATTGGCCGTTCCTGGAGGTCTCGCCACATTGCTAGCCTTCCACTGGGAGATGCATTCTTTCCATTGTGAGTGGCAACGGCGGTTGTTATGAATTGCTTCTCCAGGCTTTGCTGCAGCGAAGTGGTAGAAAGTGTGGCCTTGATTCCGACTGAGTGATATACAGGCATTGTGGTGATTTGCACCGCCCGTGGAACTTGTGGAAATGAAGAGTTCCAGACCTGGTAGATTGGAGCGAGTGGTGACAGGATTGAGGAGGAGCGAAACGGCTGCTGATCGTTGAGTCGTGGCCAGTGAAAGCAGTCCCACACAATCGGCGCCCGTGAAGCCCAGCATGTGATGCAAACATTCCAAAGCTTGTACAAACAGCGGAGTGAATTTGTCGTGGCGGCTGACTGCCGTCGTTAAGAGCTGTGGCCATTCACTTCTGAGCGTGCTTTGATTCCTACCCTTAATCATGGCGGCATGAAACCTTCGGAAATACATCTCACGCGTTGAGCTGTGTTATGTTATCATCATGCATTCTCTTGCTGCATTCCAGTCAAAGTTCATGTTCTTCAACAGCGACGTCCTTCCGTGATGATGCCAATACTTGGTTCCTCCAAACTATCGCCCAATTCAACAATAGTCCGATCGTAGACACGAGCAATCTGCATGTCTATAGTCGCCTCCTCCTCGTCAACAAAATCTTCAGCGCCTTCGATGATAAGATCATCCTCATTTGAGGCATCGCCATCCATGTTCAAATCATCGTCATCGGTCTCTGCATCAGTCATCTCTGCTCCATTGCTCTCAAAATCACCACGCTTAAAGGCTTCAACCACGCTGACCCGCGTCCGTTCTACCAAGCTTCTGATCCTCACCTTCTCAGTCCCGTTGACCGTTCTACCATCCGCGAGACCAGGCAGACTTTGACCAGTCTCACTATCCCGACCCTGCAAGAGCGATGTGAATGCGTGATCAAGCTTTTCGAGGATATGAAAGAGGCTTTTGGGGTGTGATGGCGGCATAGCTTGAATAATATTATGCACCTGGACAGCAATTGTAATCAGATACGGGATCTGCAAACCAGGCGTCCCACTAATCCAGACAATATTCACGAGCTCCTCGAGCTCGGCAAAGGCTTCCTTCATAGACGAGTATCCTTTCACGTCGCCCCAAGAGTCGCCCTTGTCGCGGTCCATCTCCGAGAGGAACGCCGAAGCAGGAGTTGTGCGTTTGGCGAACCGCCGTTGAATGTGCAGCATCTTCTGATCGACGAATCGGATAAATGTGCTTTCCTTGCTGCCTCCTGCGCGGAGGGGCATGTCGCGTGGAAATGGTAGTGTCTGACGATGAGATCGAAGTGAAGATGCGATCGAAGACGCTGGAGGCGACAACAGGAATCCGCCCTGAGGCTCATTTTGATTGGAAGCCATACTTGTTTATGATTGAGGGTGTGACACTATGCGGAGACGGAGCAGTCAAGCAAAAGGCTCCAGAGTTCACACCATGCTGATATTCTTGTACAGATCTTCAAGCTTTCTGTAGTGCACCTTTGGATGGCATGTTTGTAGAGCTTCAGTTTCTGACGTTTAATTTGCGAAATGCATAATGTTTGTAGCGATCGAGAGGGTATCTAGATGCGGATAGACAAAGCTATATACTTCAGAAAGCGGAACTCAAATTCTGGCCTTGGCGCTGAAGCTTCACAGTTCAGCTGAAACCGCGTTCCACCAATTCTGTTATCATCAAGCATACCGTCAATGATGAGATATCGTACGAGGCTCATCAATCGTGTCAATACAAACTTCGATCAAATAACTTGGCTCGGAGGACAATGATCGCGTTTTAGGACCTCATCCATTCACCCATTTTTGGAAGTATTTATCGTAGCCGATGACATGCAACTCAATGTTAAGAGATCGCAGCATCATATCCATCGTAAAGGTCTGTATGTGTCAGCACGCAGCGGCCGTGACTCTATTATCAATAATCCCAGTGTTGTGATCGTCGATACTCACATCGTCTTCAGCGCCATCCTCCTGCCATACCTTCGGCTTGGCGTCATTGGGATCGGGCTCAAGTGGAGTCTCGTCCACATCCGCAGCCTCCATCATTTCCTGTCGAGCCTGACGCTTCAGCTTCTTACGATACTCCTGTTCATCTTCAGGAAGCTCCTCGCCTTGAGAGTCAAACTCGCAATCAGCATCGTCGTCGGCTTCATCGGGCGGTTCCTGCTGGGCGAAGTCAAGATGTCGATTATGTTTGCGCTTCTCGGTCTCGCGCCAGGCTGCTACTCCGCCCATTCGACAGACTCGTTCTTTGACGGTTCCAAATAGCTCTTCGGCGACAGCTTGCGATGCCGAGCGCCACTTATCGATCAATTCTTCCAACTCGGCGTCTTGCGTTGATGTTGAAATCTGCTTGGCCTGTCGGAGCGTATCGAGATTCTTCTGCACTTGCCTTGACCGCGCCTCGAGCGAGGAGGTGGCTCGTTGTATAGCAAGATCCTCAGCATTATTTTGTTGAGATGACAAAGGAAAGGAGCGTCGCTTATTGATAGACTGTTCACGACTTGGCTCACGAAACTCATTACCTGAAGTTGATTTGTGACGGAGAGGCGTGTCACTCCCGCCCAGTATCTTTGGGGCACTTTCGTTGGCAGAGATTGGAGTAGAGATCTGATCGAAAGGTTCCACTTTGAGATCCCGAGCCTGTTTGGAATCATCTTCGAGTCGTGGCACGCGCATTGGAGACACAAACGGCTTCCTGAGCTGTGTGGACGCGTCCATGAGACGCCGTCTCTTCGTAGAGACTGGTGTTGTCATCGCGACTTATCCAGAGTCTCTTTCACAGCCTTGGAGCTCAATCTTGATTTTGTGCAAGGGTGTGTATACGTGAGTGCTGTCTGGTTGTCGAAGTGAATTGGAGTAATGTACAAGCCAAGGCAACCCTATCCAATATGTTGGGCTTGTGGTAGGGTTGCCTATCAGTCTGCGAGAAGTGAACATCTATCAAACTCCTGCATTCCGTCTCCCAAAATGTCGTGTTGTTGTCATTGAATTTGCCATAATCCAGGATGCGGAGCACCTGCAGCCGCTGAACAAAATATCTCTTGCTTGTCAAACCGGAAGGGCAGCCATAGTTGAAGCCTCTTCAACACAACTTCCTTGCGGATTTAGCCGCGTCGGTGCCGCATCGTTACGGCCACTGGATCGATATGTGTGGGCATGCAATGGTAGCAACCGGCACTCGACTCGCCGGGAAACATCGGGCGACAATTACGCGCCAGCACACGTGGCAAGCACTTGCAAAATGCGTCTCAAAGATAAAGAAGAACGCAAGCCTGCAACGACACTTCCAATTTCAACAATAGGCCGGAGCGATGGCACCAACAATGATCAGAGCCTCAAGGTTGCCCGGTGTTCGCAAAGCGCAATGACGAGCTCGGCTTATGATGCCGTCGACGATCTTTCCATGGCAACAGAATTGTCAAAATCTGGTCGCCAGTATCGACATCAGCATGATATTGGATAAATTTACATGCCAGCACGCCAAATCCGTGCACATACGACAGTCATGACCTGCATACTACACCCTGTCTCTCACGATTCGCCCTCCCTGTGGATCAGCGATGAACATGGCAAGTCGTGCTCCTCGACTGTTAGCCTTGGATCTGACCGTACGGTACATCAAAACAAATTACGATGCATTTCGACTGGCTCGATTTCGTCTAGACAATCGCCGCTGCTTTCGCTACCATAGAATGGTTCGACTAGCTCTCGCTCGACCTCTCGCGATTGGCTCGAAGCTTCAGGATCCGCATTGTGTCTGGATAATGCGAAGATCAAGTCGTTTCCTGGCAAGCCATCTCACTTCCATGCTAGAGACTTTGAGCAAGCAGATGCTGTTGCATTGCAAAGCATCCCAACAACAGATTCTAGCCGATCTCTACGTTTACCATTCGAAATAGACGACTCTGAGAATGTGAGTGATCTTCAGGAACCTCGCACATACGAAGTGGACCAGGATGGGCAAGATCCTCCAAGCCCAACATCAGACAAGGAGGAAGCAGAACCGCAAGCGTTTCGAAGGTGGGTCAGCACATTGAGACGAAGGAAAGCTCACCAGCCGGAAGCCCTTGCTCCGCGGAAGGACAGATGGACACTGGATGATTTCGACGTCGTGCCGGAGAAGGAAATGATTCCAGGACGTTCGCATCATGGAGCATCCCATTCGGACAGCTCGTCGCTGGCTTTCGTTACGGCAGTCAAGTCTGCGACAGTCACGTTGGCAAGCGTAAGCATTGCCGCGATCTCACGCCGTGGTCGTGGCGCTCATCTTGGCTTTGATCGTGGCTTCAAGAGTCCAGATCGTAGTTTCATGAGTCCAGATCGAGATCTTCGGACGTCCATCGATGGAGCGATCAGTGCAACGGATGTGCTAGCGAGACAGCGTGGTCGCAAAAGACGTGAAAAGATCGAGGAGCTGATCAGGACTGAAGAAAGTTACGTTGCAGATTTGAAAGCACTTTCAGACGTGAGTACTTGTTCGCACCTGTTATCATTCACAATGATGACTGATGTGACTGCGCAGGCATATTTCACCATACTCGTCAATCAAACGACTTCGGCAAGCTATGTTCGACACACAGCACAGAAGACAATCAGTGAGCTCCTAAGACTTCACAATGATATCCTTGGCGAATTACATGCCGTTGTGCCGTTCGCAGAATACGACCAGAGTACTGCTAAGACGAACGCGTCTTTCTCAACTTCACACAATCGATGGCATAGCATCGATGTGGTCCCTACACGGTCGCGACCTGCGAAGCATATGCGGGAAGTCATCCGCCAGGGACGTCGCTCACTGAACATCGCTCGTTCCACGGAAGAAGACCACCCTTTGCTTCAATGTAGTCCGCAAATAGCAGCCAAAGTCGCCGAGACATTCTTACGACAGGTGAGAAAGGTGAAAGCCCCATTCATATTTGTGGTTGACAAATTCGTTAGTTACATCGATTCGAAATATACAGGCAGTACGGCGCCGGTTATGAAGCGCTGCAACGCGACCTTGACGAGCTCAAGCAAACTCTTGCCACTTGGACCGAATTCGATCAAGCGATCGAAATTCTCGCCGCTCATGTGATACCTTCAAAAAGCTGGGATTGGCATAGCAAGAAGGCTATGATGATCAAGGATCTGCTGATCAAGGTAAGCTATAATCTCCGCCTACATTGAAAAGTTTAACACTAACATCTGAAAAGCCTATTCAACGCGTTCCGAGATACGAGCTATCATTTAGCGAGCTATGCAAGCTCACGCCTGCCTGCGATGATCCAAGTTCTCATGGTACGATGGAGAGCGTCCGAGACCAGATCGGTCTGGTTTGTCGACACGTCAATGATGCGAGACAACACCCAGCGCGTACGAAAGCCTTGGAGGCGACCTGGCGTGTTGGGGAACGTCTTAACTTCTCTGATCAGCTGCCACGATCTGTCTACCTCCGCCTGCTCGGAGAGGTGCAACTATGCGGTTGTCTATTTGTGGCATATCGCGGCCAGGTGGAAATACAAGGCTTCTACATGATATGCATCCTGTTCGAGACAACTCTACTACTAGCCACAATCAACGATAACGAATCAAGTCGATACAGCATCATAGCAGGAATTCCTCTCGCATCTCTCACCATGCAAGACTGCAGCAGCGTCATCGGTCTGCAATGCCATCACGCGCCGCATTCCTGGAAATTAACGTTTGAACGAGACAATCGTCACTACGAGTTGATACAGGTTGCGTGCTCGGCGGCTGAAGCTTCGGCATGGCGCGCGCATATTGTTTCGGGGATTGATCACGCTGTGAGTGCTGTCGCTCGCGGAAGGGCAAATATACTTGAACTCCAGTCGCCGCTCATGGAAGATATCAAAAGTATCGAAGAAATCAACGAAGAGAAAGGACTTCAACGTTATAGTTCACTACGCCATGCAAGTACGCGAAGCAACAGAAGTGATCAGCACCATGTTATCATCACGAACACACAGACTTACAGCGAGACGGTTGAAACTTCGTCACAAAGCTCTCTGCGACTCCTGAGATCACATTCGTCAGCTGTACCGAGCCGTACACAGACGCTCGCACCAAGACGTTCAGATCGACATCGCCTTGAGAAGGTATTGGTAGACGTGTGGAGCAGAGACCTCCTGCCATATCCTGGCCTCACTCGGAAGACAGATCCATTCCGTGCCTCGGCCAATCACGTCATGCGCAAATTCAGCATGGCAAGTATCACAAGCAATTTCTCATCTTCAAAGCGATCTGTGAGCTACACGAGCATAGGATCCTGGCGTAAGGACGAGTCCCCGTCCTGTCGTGCCGACGAAGCAAGTCGACAAACTCACAGTCTGCAAGTGAAAGCGACCCCCGACCGTCCAGCTCTAGTCAGCTTTCACACGACACCCGACGCGTTCCTCCCGGCGGACTTTGAGCCGAACAGCACTATGTCAAAAGGCAAGAAGTCGGCCCTACGACTACTCGCCTCGACATTCGAGCGACCTTTTACTCCTACGACCACGAACGAGAATCGCAAAGAAGGACTCGGCAGGACGCAGGGCGTTCGCCAACCCTCCAAAATCATCCCGGACGGTGCCAGACCGCCTCATAGTGTCCAGAGTTCTGATAGGCAAGTGATGTTACCTGTGCATAATCTGGGGAACGGCGAAGGGTATTCGGCTTCGTTCAGCCACGACCGGACCGCAAACTTGAATGTGGATGGCGAGCGCAAGGGCAAACGAAGCGGGAGTAGGTTGCTACGATTGTTTCAGTGATTTGGGAGCGAGAAATTGTCACCTGCATCTCTCGATCGATAGCCGTAGCCAGCAGTCTTTTAGAAAATTGCTATAGTATTATCCGATCGAAATGGGAATAGGTTCACAACACATATCCCAAAAGCGTTGAACAACAATTCCGAGACCACAGAAATTCCTCTCCATCAAAATTGAAAGGCAACATGACCGATGACAGATGGGTACGCAAGTGGAGAATTAATACAACTCTCTCTGCTTATGATAACAGACCGGTTCGCCGCATCGAGATGCGCTTAAATCGAAGTGTGGAAATTCCTTCAAGTGTGCTTGTGAAAATACCGTGGAAGCAGTGAAAGGCGAGATAGAAAGTCATGGATCGAACGAGATGCGGGATATGTTACATAACAAGTGAATGGCGTTCGTTAACAGCGGGCGTTGCTCCGATTTCTCACACCAAGAAACCAAACCCGCTCGTTCACCTTCCTCGAGGGCGATTTCTTTCTGTCGGTGATTTCGCTCGCATGTTTAAACCTTTGATGATCCAATTTATTTTCTCGAAACACCCGACAGAACCAACTGACAAGACTTGACGGGATAGCTCATAGCCCTTTCTATTGCAATGGATCGATTGTTATCGAACGACCCAACAAGCAGCACGACAGTCACCCGCAACGACCCAGCTCCACCACCACCACCACCACCGACCAACTCGACCTCCCCTTCCCGCGATCCCAACAACATCGCCACAACCACCACCACCACCACCACCACCACCAAACCCCTCAGCTGCAAGAACTACGCCACAGCCCTCCTCATCAACCTCACCACCTTCCTCCTCCCCGCCCTCTACTCCACCCTAAGCAAATTCTGGGTGTCGCAGCTCCACGCCCGCATGCTCGCGACGACGGACGTCTACAGCTACATCGGGATCGTGGCCGAGGTGCTCAACGAGGGCCTGCCGCGGGCAGCATGGAGCGTCATCGGCGACGCCGCGAACCGGACGCTCCGCTCCCGCCGACAACTGGCTTTCACGCTGATCGCGGCGCAGAGCATTGGATCAGCCGGATGTGCCGTTGGTGATCGGCACGGTGAAGTTCGGGGTGAACGTCGTGTTGGATTTGTTGCTAGTCTCGAAGTGGCTTATCCGGGGTGTCACGCCGAGTGTGAATGCCCAGGCGGTGACGCAGCTTGTGTGTGGATTGGTGGCGGCGGGGGCGGGTTTGGGATATTTCTGCTGGACGACTCTCTGGAAGGGTTCGGGAGGTGCTGCTGGAATGGAGGAGTGTCGGCAGTCGGTTCGGCCTTCGTTGAACAATCCTCATTCGACCTGGAGTCTTCACTTTGCTGGAGTCGGCGATCAGGAATGCCCTCTACCTATGGCTGGGTTCTGGCGTGGTGGCCGTGGGTCTGGTCTACACCACGGCTTGGTCGGTTTTCAACACGATCCGGTGGGGATTGATAATAGTCCCGATCCAAGCATTGGAAGCCACGGCATTGACATTCGTCGGCCACCGCTGGGGAGCATTCCGCAACAGCGTCGGCATGGACAACCGTCGTCCGACGGCCTCCAAGCGGCAAATCTACAACATCGTCTCTCCGGCTCTGCAATCATGCTTGATCGCATTAGCCTTCGAGGTGCCCGTCGCGCTCTTCCTGTCATTCTACGGCGCACGTCGTTTCGCACACTACATCTCCAGCTCGGAGGAAGTCTCGGTCGTGACGGAGAGGATGTGGCGCACGATCGATTGGTGCTACATCTTCTACGCGGTCTCAACGCAACTCGCGACCATTCTTCTCGCTACCGGACCGCTTCGGTACCTCTACCAGTCTCTGGTGAATAACCTCTGCTGGGTACTCTCGTGGGCAGTGGCGGTTTCGAGGATCGGAATCACGCCGGACGACGCGTGGAAGTATCACTCTATCGTGTTCGGTGGGAGTCTTGTGTTCAGCTTCTTGGATATTGCGCTCGTCGTCGTGATCTGGGCTTGGATGCTCCTGTCGGGTAAGGTTCACTTGCTGGCAGTCACACGTGCTGGGCGATGAAAGCAACCGAAGCGCCTAGGCAGTCGAGAGAGCGGAGCCATGATGCACTGCTGAGCAATTGCGAAACCTTTTCGAGCTGTGCGATGCAACCGGCTTCGTTGGCCTGCTGGCCGCAGCGGACACCCGCCGCAACACTTCTAGTATGCTATCAAGTCATCATCGCCATCTCAAACGCATGATTCCCGTTGACGTCCAGGGAGAATTTCGTCATGTGAATCATGCTAAGCCTCATTCTGTGGCACCAATGGTACTTCTTTTGTCTGTCTGCTCGTGCGGATGTGCGAAACTATAGAATACATTCCAGCGAAATTACCTACCTAGGTAGGTAATAAGCCCAGCCAGCCCTATATATGTCCACACACGTGGCGGCGAGGCTTGGACACCCAACAAAACCCGCCCGGGCGCGTGCGGCTCGGGGGGAAAATTGGCCCAGTCCACCCATCATCGGTGAGGCACCTTGGCCGTGCTGCGCCGACCTTGGGCAGTGCATGGATGGTGGTGACGGCGATGAGTATTGTCACAACACATGCATGGGATTGATGATAGTCGACATACGCGTACGTATATTCGATGAGTTGCATGGGTGGAGTGAACGTGTATTAGGCTGTCGGAAGGAGTATCATGAGGATTATTATGCCGTCGTACTTTTGTAGGATTCCATCGCGAGAATCGTCACTGGTGTGGTTGTCCCCGACGATATGATACTGTATAGGAAAGAACAAGCAGAAACCCGCAAGGCTAGGCGATAGTCTATTCATCAAAGCGGAATCGAGATACGGAATTCTCCAGTGGTGCCGGTTTCATGCTCTTTTATCTAACCTCTGATCGATCGGGAAGAAGTGCGAGAGACGATTCAATCTCTACTACGGAACATGGTGGATATCGATACTGTGAAAAAAAACCATGAATCAATGTTCATATGCATCATTGCCCACGTGTGTGTTCATGGCAGCATGTTTCGTGATCAAGCACAGAAACCAGGACGGCTGGGAATGGATAGATGATGAGCAGAAAGGTGAGACATGGGTTTCTCTCTCTCTCACCATGAAACGGCGAGAGGCAAAACGAGATCCAGAGGTGTGTGCGAGTTTGTGTTTCAGCTGAGGATTTGTGCATCTGCTCATACAGTGTGTGACGAAGAGGAACGGTTGTATTTGGGTTAAATGAGCATTTGAGACACATGGAGATCCTTACAACGGCGGCTCTTGTCCATCAATGTGCACCATGGCGGAATTCTCTTCAAACATGGAACAGTGCGCTGTTTTGCTGGTTCTCTGCTTGTGCTGGTGCTGATTTCTTTGCCCGTGACTAATAAATGCGTACGTCAAGTCATTCAATTGATCGGGCAGAGGTGTTTTCCCATCGCCCGACGGTGGGAAATCATGGTTGCGGATTACGCGGTCCTGCAAGCCGCCATCGTCGATCGCGGGATCGTGGAAGCGCGCCAACACACGTGCACGCTCTCCCGATCAATCTAGCAGTAAAAAGATCTCGGGACGACATAGAGTGATGTGTAGTTGGAAGACCATGAACTGTATCTCTATCACATCTACGACACCATCGACGGCAGAGAGTGGACATGGGGGCTAGAATCTCGACCGCTGGGTGGAAATTCGGGTACGACTGCGGGTTTTCTCAACGTTTGGGACCGTACGTGCTGTCGTTGACGATGCCCAGGTGGTCATGATGATGATGTTCCGTCTGTCGGATAGGGCTGGCTGTGTTACACAGTATCAATTCCTTTCTGCGAAATGTCCTGTATCAAAGTCTATAGGGCACCTCACATCTCCCTCTCTTGGCTGGTCCTCTAATGTGACTGATAAACGGTCGAGGTTCTGAGACCCGCCATGACCTCTCCATGATCACATTCACGATTCACCGCTTGCACGACAACATTTCGTCGTGTACAGCGGGATTCTCGATTGTCTCTTCTTGTGATGCTATCGCATGTCACTCGAGGTATCGGAGTTAATCCTACGGCATGGTGAAGAAGAGATAGGTAGATAGCTGGGGACAATCGTTACGCCTCACCGCTATCGAGACATTTCTGTGCTTGCGACACCACGCCCACCCATCGACCATCTTTTCTTGTTCTTCTTACTTCCCAGATGTTTCTCCCAGACCACGGTCAGTAGAAGGTTTCCTCTCCCATTCACGACAGACAGCACAGACATGGACGATGCCTCCGTACTAATCAGTGGGAAGTGGGTCTGAGTGATCAAACTCGAGGAAGTCCAAGTGCCAATGGAAATGATGGGCAGGAAATCGCGGCCCCGCTTGCTCGCAAAAAGGTGGGGAAATCTCTTGTCGATTAATTATTCCGGTTCTCCTGAATCCTTTCATAACAATTAAGAGGGGAGAAAGGGCCTGCCCTTTGTGATAAAACGGCCTAGACAAGCCAGGCGCACTCGCTTTGTGATGATGGTCTTGGTGCAATCAATTAGACATTTCCAGGCCAAGCCAAAGAAAAAAAGATACCGTTGAAATCAGCAAAGGGAGATGGACTGTTGTGTTTTTATGCAAGATGCGAACTGCCACGCGCGTGGGAAGAAAGGCACCAGGGCGATAAGTGGAGATGCTAGTGAGATGATGATATGCGTGCGGGATCGGAATGTGGGCTGTGTGTCGTCCCTAGGTAGGGGACAACAATTAATTGAATGGTTCGTGGGTTTCCCTTTGCTGATTGGCACCGCCCGGATCGTCCGGATCGACTCTAGATGGATGGATGCGAGGAGGAGAGAAGCCGAGGAGAGGCCCAGTGATTCGGTGACACTACTGTACTAACGACCTGTTGTAGGGAGAACTCTGATGCCGTGCAGTGTGTCTCTTCGGGACTGTAGGTAGTGCTGGCCGGCCGGCTGGCTGGCTTGTTGGCTGCAGGACATGCGGGAATATGCGAGTCGGATCAGTGATGTGTGCTGTGTGGTTTTTTTGAACCGTCTTTGCGTTTGTGTTCATCTGGTGTTATTGCGGTGGAGAGGCTCGGAACTGAGCATGGTGTGATATATGTATGCATTGGTCATGACAGGAAGCACACAGTCTTACAGGAAGTCTCTCTCACTCTCACTCTAGCGGTCCGTCCAGCATGTGAAGTATTATTTGATCGAGTCCGTCGGGATAAATGTCCTTGAGATGCAGTGCATTAGACCGGGACGGAAGCAGGCTTATCAGCGGCATGTATGGCATACACATGGCTCGGATTGGATTGTCTGCATTGCATGGACGACGGGGGGACGGCGGACTTGGGTTGATGGGAAGCGATTCGGTTCGGTGGTGATATCCACACATAGATCGCTTCCGATCATCCCACCTGCGCGCTCTCTCCCGCAACACTGGACGGTCTGCACACACATCCGTAGGTATGATACATACAGACACACACACACACACACACACACACACACACACACACACACACTCACTCGTTCTCTCTCTCCTCTCGTGAGTTCGTGGGTCTTACCCATCCCCCGCGCGGCCACTGATCACTCACATCCACTCATCATCATCATCTCCTCCGGGCGCCGATCTCACCCTCATACACACGCCGCCGGTCGCGCCTGCTCTCCTTCTCTCCATCTCCGTGCAAAGACCGTGCGGGCCATTGTTGTGTGTGGCTGTCTGTTCCAATGAAATCTGCAATCTGAGTGAAAACGTGCTCGGTGGAGATTTCAATCTTCGTCAATCATCATCGTCCTCCTCCTCACCACCACCATCATCATCACTATCCACCTCCCACTCTCAACCGTTCTCACCGTTCGCAGCTCCCTTGTGACTTTGAGTGGTACATCTCCAACGACGAACTCGCCCACCAACGACATCTCCACACTGCGAAACCACCCTGATCATCATTGGGGAAGAGAAAACCGTTGCGACTTGGCGGTTTAAGCTCCAACGTCCAGAGTGAAAAGGTTTGGGGCAGGGGTCCCGACAACGCGAGACTCTCCAACGGTCGACGACGAGGACGACGGTCCCACCAACCACCCGCTTCCACTTGCGACGGGGGCCTGTTCATCATTTACAGGAATCCGCCCGACACTGCTGTGTCACTCATTCTATCATCATCATTATTGCTCCTCACGGCCGGCGACAGTGCATCTGTACTCACTTGGCTTCCCTTGGCTTGAAATTCAACTCCTGCCGATCCGCATCATTGTCTCGCGCCCGCCCGCGCAAATCTCACACACGATTCTCTCTTCCAATCAACGCTCGTCGGGAGACTCTACGAGCGAGGGAGAGAGAGAGGGGAGAAGCGAAGACAGAGTCCGAACACACGAAACAGAGCCTCGCCACCGATATCCCTATTGATCACTGACCATCCCAACGAGCGGATCACGTCGTTGTACTTCCTGTGCTTATTCTTATTCTGATTATCATTGTTCCTATTATAACAACAACAACATGTTCCCGAAGCTCGCACTGCTTCATGGCTGATCTGGCTCCTCTCGTGACCGCCGCAGCAAGCAATCCATTATTATTATTATTATCCTCACCCGAAGCGACTGCGGCCTAGATCCTGTTGGGTCTCCTCCCTCCAATTTACCCCAGCTATTCACACAGCGAGCTTGGGGTGGCCCGCAGCGTGGCACATCCGACTCAGCCACAAGCCCGACGTATCAGTCACTCCAGTATCTTATCGCTATCATTCATAACCACCGACCCGCATCATGACCTGCAACCATGGCATGTCAACTCATCAGTCGCTGCTTGTGCAGTCACGACCACCGCTCTCCATCAGCACTAGAGCATCCGACCCTTCGCTCTTTGGCAATGCTTATAGCCCCATCGCCGACCACGCGTTAGTCCGTCGGATCTCCATGCGACATACCTCCGAACCCATGATGGGCGCGGTGACAACATCACATCGAGGCAGCAATGCTTCACTGACGGCGCCCTCGCCGACCTTGATCTCTCCCGCTCGCACACCGTCGCTCTTCGGCACTTCCGACACCCATTGGGAGCCGTCAATATCCTCCAAATCCCGACCATCCCGCCTGCGGAAGCTGTCCACCGCGAAGGAGGATCGAGGTCAACTCGACTTGTCTAAGAGCACTGCGGAGAACGATCAATTGGCAGGTCTAGGCATTGTCGACTCTCGCGGTCCGCGATCTGCCGCCGACGTTGCCTTCTCACGGGCGACCCGCAACAAACACAGCCGGACCAACAGCATTGGGTCGCAGGCATCGAATGGGTCCAATTCAAATCGACCTGGATACCACTTCACACACCCGTTGAAGCAGACTCCAGGAGCATACACGCCTCCGGCCGGGGATCGTGCATCCTTTTTCGATCCCGAGGAGCTGGATGAGACCAAAGATGTTGTCGAGCGTGAAGCCCTCGTGCCGACGGGATACACCAGCCATCGGAGCATGTCCGTCTCCTCGACGTCACAATTCCAATCTGCGCCGATCGCACAATCCAGAACAGGCGCCGACCCTGTCCTGATTCGTCAAACGACGGGCAATTCGCAGTCGAACATCTCGATCAAATCGAACCACTCTGGTGGAAATGCCAAACCTGCCAAACTCAAGAAGACTCGGCCGAGCCCAGAGCACGGCCACTCGTATGAATACGGAGCCTCGTCGTCTGCCCGGACCAGCTTCGACAAAGCCATCAGCTTCGTCTCCCGCCGATCAGAGACCGACGTCGTCACTCAGGAGGAGCTCGTCCAGGCCGCACGAAGGAAGTTCGAGGAGAAGACCGCCTTGAAGGAACTGAAATACCAACGAGAAGCCGAACACCGCCGAGAGATCGAAGAGGCGAAGATGATCAAGCGGGAAGGGTTAGAACGCCGCCGATCCGAAGCCTACGAAGTCCGGGACCTGCCGTCGACCAAAGCCGCCCTGAAGCATCTCTCCGGCCTCATCAGCGGCAGCGGCATCAACAACAATAACAACAACCCGATGTTCAGCAACAAGAATCTCTCCGACGAGAACATCGAACCCTCCCGCCCATCGATGACGGGAAGAGATCGGAGACCAACCCCTCCCACCGACTCCCTCCAAACCAAAAGCTACGAATCCTACCGCAGCGCCAGCACCCCGAACCCCACCGCCAACCTCTTCACCGCCGCCGAGAAACCCCGCCGCCCGATCGAGAGGTCCCGCCTCAGTCGTCTCGCGCAGAAATCCTCCAAGGCGGTGGGGATCTCCTGGTGGTTCCACACGAAATTGCTCAGTCTGGGGAGTCGGGATTGATTCGGCTTTCGCACATCATCGACTCCTCCTCCTCCATCGTCCTCATTTCACGACCGCCTTGCTTCCAGGCCCCATGTTGGCTTCTTCGCACATTGCTTTTGAAATTTCTGGCAAACATATCATCGTTGCTTTCTTGGATACCCCCCTGCCCTCCCTCCCTCGCCTTTGCCCGCCTTGTTTGTTTCTGGAAGATCTTTGCCTGCCTGCTTGTTTTTTGGTTTCTTCCGGGAGTCTTGGTTGCACTGCGGTGCGCGTGTCCCGCGCGGGAGTTGGTGTTTTCACGGATAAACGACGAGCGGGGTGCCTCTGCGGAGATCTCGCGAGCGATGACGAGGGCGTTCTTTTGAGCCTTGTTTTTGCTTTTTGCTTTCGGGAGGCTGGTGTTTTACCTTTGGATGGAGTTTCTTCATCATGACCGTGGGAACCACGGTCTGGAGTTTTTGTTTCATGGACGGCCTCGTTGTTTCTTCTGGATGCTGGAGGCGTCTTCTTTTTTCGAGGGTGATGGTTTTGACTATCGAGCTTCTTCTTCTTCTTCTTGGGATGGTGCGAGGGGTTCGATGGGACCGGAATAGATAGAACTCTCTACATATATATTTATGTGTGTGTGTTTTTTGGCCCTCTTGGGGAAGATTTGATGAGGGAGGTTCGGATAGAATTTCATATTGGATTTTTCATCTTCCCTCTATTGACTGCTTGTGTCGTTCTGATCCCCTACCACTACTGTTCGTGTCTCCCCTATGCTTCGAGATCGGTCTATGTTTTTTTCACTGAACATCGTGTGAGCTTTGGTCGACTCTCACGGTCATTCTGCCACTATCTTGTCTTGTCGTGGGGACATGGTTGAGACGAGACATCGTAGTCGGTGCAGTGTTCGGTCGAATCATGGGGACCTTCTCGACTACGCTAACACTTGCGTTCAGTTGTTATTACGGAGCGTTTTCATTTTGTATATTCGCGTCGGTGTCAATTAGACATCAAATCAACCAAAGACGGTCCAATGGTGAGCGTGTCTGTTAGGGTTACCAATGCACGTTTCTCAGATTGCAGAGGCGGGCGATCGGCGAACGCATGTGCCAAAATGTCTAGTCTACTATAGTCTGCGCCGGGACTTGCTGCAGCTAAAGGATGGAGCGTATATCGTCTGTCGTCACTCGCCAACAACCTGGATGTGCACTCTCTACCTCTCCAACTTCGGAAACTTCAAACTCCACGACCATTGTCGCCAACATATTGAACGCTCTACACTCGTAAAAGACACTTGTGATATATCCATTTTGAGATCTCTACGCAAGCCATGTCCATCACCGGGCCTCGCACTGCCCCGAAGCGCTCACCTAGCGTTCTGGTATGCGATCGCGAACTTGTAACTTCTAAATGTCGCGACTTACAATTCTGACTGCTTCCGAAACAGGTCACCGATGCGCGAGAAGTCCGCCAGTCGAATCGCCCACATCCTCAGCGCACCGGGACTCGCATCATCTCCGTCGACAACGTCCTCCAATACGCGTCCGATATTCCCTCCGCACAGACTCGACTCCCGCCCAACCTCCGGCCAGCCTCACACGGTAGGACACCCTCCGGCCGACATCCTCTCGACCCGAAGCTGCGTGGTCTTCCAACCGGAGGTGCGATCATCCCTGCTCGCAGCAGCAAAATCAGTGAGAAGCTCGTGCTTCTACCGGAGACCGACGAGGGCTTGAACGAGGACGACGATGAGTTTGACGAAGACGACGAGTCCGCTCCCCCGCGAGACGAAGAATTAAAGAAGCGGAGGTTGTTTAAACGAGGAGGGAAGAGCGATGCTGAGCGTCTTCCGAAATCACAACGGATCGCCGATCCTCAGCTCGCCCGCGTCACGGCGTATTGCACCGCACAGAGCTTCAAATTACGCGCCGCTGCGACGTTCGTCCGAGATCAGCATGGAGCCAAGACCAAGCTCTACGACGACTGTTTGTACTGCGTATATCAGCTTCCTTTGTTGGGCGGCAGCGATGGAAACCGGGTACGGAGTAGTCCTGTGGTACGGAATCCCGGCGGACGGAGTGTGCTAGACGAACAAATCGAAGCGAATGAAAGGCGGCAGTATCGGGATGGATGGCACGAGGAGAGCGAGGAGTATTCGGTTCCGGATCATACGACATACATTGCAACATCACCCCCGCAACGAGAATCGGGAGCGGAAGAGGGCGTGGATACACAGGAGGAAGCTGTCGATGACAGCCGGGACGACTCCATGACGGCGACGGATGGCCGTGAGATGGCCGAGTCATGGGCTCGCGAGCATGAAGAATTCCGCCGGGAGAGCGGTAGTTCGTCAGCACCGAGTTTCCCATCACCATCACCGGGGATCAACCCGGACGCGTATACCACGGCCGAGCTCTTCATCTTCAGCTACGGCGTGATAGTATTCTGGAACTTCACCGCCAACCAAGAAAAGGACCTCCTCGCCGACATGACCTTCTCCTCCGCCGGCACGACCACCTCCAGCGGCAAACAAACGAGCCTCCTCTCTCAGAAATCCTCCGCCATCGACCAACCCCTCAACCTCCCCCTCTCCACCCGGCCCCTCGACGAAGACGACTTCGAGACGGAGGAGTTCCACTTCCAATACGACGACGCCGCCGAGAAGCCGCGCATCTACAACGACATGATCACCCTGCGCACCAGCGACCACATGATCAAACTCGCCATGTCGCACGGCATCGCGCAGTCCACCAAGCTCTGCTTCTTCGAGGAGCGCATGCATCAGACCATGAGCGAGGCGCAGTATGTTCCGCGCCGGCTGGCCCTCGAGGGCAGATTGGGCATGGACCGGAAGGAAGTCGTGGGCCTCGTGGGGAGATTATTCGAAGGACGGGTCGATGTGAACCTCTGTAAGTCTTGGCCCTCAAACCTCCCTCCCCGCTGAATCTCGATCCGAATTCCCGAACAATTCACTGACCTCTCGAAACCCACAGCGAGCAACATGCTCGACACGCCCAACTTCTTCTGGGACTCGGAGCCGACGCTGCACCCGCTCTACCAGGCCGTGCGCGAATACCTCGAGATCAAGCCGCGCATCCAGGTCCTCAACGAGCGCTGCCAGGTCTTCCTCGACCTCGCGGAGATCCTCTCGGACTCCATCGCCGACGTCAAGATGACGCGCATCAACTGGATCGTCATCGCGCTCATCGCCCTGAGCATCGCCGTCACCGTCTGCGAGGTCGTCCTCCGCTTCACCATCCTGGCCGCCAGCGGGAAGAAGAGGGCCGCGGGCATCACCGTGCTCCGCGCCGCCTGGGCCGCCGCGCAGAATGTCGGCCTCGTCCCCCCCGGACCGCCGGGAAGCCATGTCGGCGGGCCCGGGCAGATGGTGTTGGGGGCAGTGACGGGGAGTGAACTGTGAGGACTGCTTTCCGTTGATAAAAATGCGAAGAGGAGGCAGGTCGTCCGCGGTTAATTCGTCCCCTCTGATGTATAATGAGTGGAAATGGGTAGATCCAACCCCCCAATCATCGGTATACTCTCCATTGTGCATCGTGGACGGCCTCCTCTTCACCAGATCTGCCAGGTGTGAGTGAGATTCAGGAGTGTAAAATTTTCTCTCTTTTACAATCTCGCAGAGAAGGCAGGAGGATGACGTATACCGTCGAGGCGACGCTATTCCGTAGAGGAGGGGTGTTATCCCTTTGCACGGGGGATTCAGGGTTACACATAAGGGCCTATCTCTGCATTTCCCTTCACGCTATAGATCGGTTCCTTGTGTGTTGGATCGTCTCAAATCCTTTCCAACGATTTAAATTCAGCGACAAATCCGGAATTCACAAAGGGGGGGTATCATTCGAAAAAGAAATAAGAGACAACGAAGCACAGAAAACAGCGCCACAGCGCAGGAGCGACTCTCCCTCCCCCTCGAACACCCGTGTTCGACGCTCTAAAACACCGCAATCGCCCCCGGCGGACTGCCCACGCCACCCTTGACGTGCAACGGCGCGCTCGTCAGGAAGAAAGTCCATCTCTTCTCCTTGTGACAGATCTTACTCAGCGCCTCCAAATCCCAAAGCTCACCGATGGGCGTCCCCCACTGACACAAGAGCCACTCGTGGAGTTTCCAGTCGTTGTCCTTCTCCGGCGGCCAGGCCTCCAAGGCGATGGTGTCGCCCGCGACGGCGGCGAAGTGGCGCTCGTACAGCCACCGGACCATGGCCTCGCTGCTCTGCAGGCCGATGGCCGCCGTGTCGCCCTGGGTGCCGCGCTGCCGCTCGCTGGGCGACGCGTAGTTGTGCCAGCGCGTGTAGCCCGTCCGCACCAGCAGGATGTCCCCGGGCCGCGTCACGGTGGCCTGGGACCGCAGGCAGGCCTCGAGGTCCTCCAGCGGGATCTCGTGTCGGGACGCCGCGCTCGGCGGATCCCCGTGCTTCCGCTCGTACCAGCTCAGCCAGTCGATCAGCACCCCGCGGCCGACGATCCCGCCGCGCTCGCACCACCTGTGGATGCCGTTGGTGTCGCAGACGGCGGCGACGTCGTGCGAGAGGCCATTGTAGTACATCTGGGATTTCTGGTGCGCGTAGTGCTTCAGCGAGTCCCACTGTGAGCCGGATTGGGTGTTGAAAGTGAGTTCGTCGTCGAAGCCGGCGTGTTTGCCGTTCGACGAGGCGCGTTTGTCGAGGACTTTGTGTTCGAACTTCCGTCGTCCGAAGCCGGGATATTGCACGTTGTCGCTGAGGCACCAGTCGAGCTGGACGTGGCGGCCTGTGCGGATCTCCTGCGATGCGCGCCGGACGACGTCTGCGGTGAGGAGGTTGAGGGTGCCGATCTCATCTTTCTTGGTGCGCGTGTCGAAGAGGCCCCAGCAGCATCCTTGCGGTTGTCCTTCGACTTTGGGCAGTTGGTCGAATTTGGGGAAGTGAAAGGTTGGTGGCTTCAGGAGGATGGTGTCCTTTAGAGCTGAGAGACGTTCGGATGCGGTCTGGATCAGACTTCGTTCTTTGCCTTCAGACATGTTGGCGCGAGTGGTGGAGGATACGTTGTGAGCATTGGCTGGTGCTTATTCGATTGGTGGTATCCGGAGAATGCGGATGCGCCGAGATGTCTCGGACACGGAGCGCAACAATGTCGATTGAGATGGACGGAACCAATGCGTGACGCCGAGACAGACAGACGCGTGATGCAATGCTGAGGAGGAGGATTACATAAGTCCACGTGATCGGAAGCTTTCCCCACACGCATGCTGTGCACCCCGAGGATCTAATCTGATCGGCTCTATTCATGTCCTGTATCACAATACTAGACAAAGTCAAATGCGCTCCGCCAAAGAGAAGAATGGTTGGCGTGCTGTAGCAATCTGGCAGGGATTCGTCTCGTCCTCTTCCAACCGCGTGTGATATAGCATATCGAAGCATAACCAGACATCACCTGGACTGAAGTATGTACTGTACTCCACCCCGTATCGTCTTGTTCATGTGGAGAGTGGGAGGAAACCCCCGCGCGTGACTCGACCCTTATCAGATGCCGGAGCGCGTGTGCTCTCGGGCGGCGCTTGTGAGTGAGCAACGAACGTGTGGATGGGGGGGCCGAACTGCCTATCGCATCGCCAACAGACCAACAACCTTGATGGATCTCACAGCTCCTGCGTGACCGCTCAGCCTGATAGATGAATCACCTAATTCGGTAGGTATCGTCCTTGTATTACTGGGTCGACCATCCATATCCATATCTCTCTGCGTATATATCATATCTATCTCCTCCTTCGATCATATCAGCTTGTTCCTCCTCAAACCTCCTCTCCACGCCCGTGAGCCTCATTCGTTCCTCCCCTTGGCTCGTGACTCTGTACATCATTATGGGTAACGCCGAGTCAACACCGGTCCCTCAGACCGTCCACCGCGCAGCTCCCATCCGACAACGTCGAGCCGTCGCGTCGTCCTCCGAGAACGACTTCAATGAGAAGTTCGATGCCTTGAGACTGGAACGCAAGAATGTCGGGCGGGTCATTTATGCCAATGACGATCCCGAGAATGTAGATGCCAGTGCCACAGAAGAGTTCGCCCACCGCTTGCTCCAGGATCCCCGAAACCGACTAGGTTATGCTGCGTTGAGCGGCAGCAACCCGAGGACGGTCCTTCAGCGACCTTCGGTACCTGTGCGGGATCAACAGACATTCAACGTTACGCTTCCTCACGAAGGCACACCGGTACGTTCATAAGCCACCGCTTCATAAGATGCATCGGATACTAACACCGGAAACAGGTCACCAACCAACGCAGTAGTGGCCGTTGCTGGATCTTCGCCTCCTGCAATGTCTTCCGCATCGCCATCATGGACAAATACAACATCAAAAGCTTCGAACTGAGCCAATCCTACCTCTTCTTCTGGGATAAAGTCGAGAAATCCAACTACTTCCTCGAATCGATCCTGGAAACCTGCGACTCCGACGTCGATAGCCGCCTCGTCAGCGCCCTCAACAGCTCCCCCGTAGGCGACGGCGGCCAATGGGACATGATCGTCAATCTGGTCGAGAAATACGGCATCGTACCGCAGAATCTCTACCCGGACAGCTGGAACGCGCAGAACAGCTCCGTGATGGACTCCACCCTCACGACCAAACTCCGCGAAGACGGCCTGCGTCTGCGCGCGCTCAAAGCCAACCGCGTGTCCGCCACCCACATCGCCGAAGCGAAAGAAGCCATGATGCAGGACATTGTGCGAATCCTGACCTTGTGTCTCGGCCCGCCGCCCTCCGCCACCGAGAAATTCACCTGGGAATTCTACGACCGCAGCAACACGCTCAAATCCGTTTCCCTGACGCCCCTGGAATTCGCCGACACCACGCACGTCAAGCGCTTCATTTCCCTCGTCAACGACCCGCGGAACGAATACAACACCTTGCTGACGGTGAACAACCTCGGGAACGTCTGGGACGGCCGACCGGTGACCTACATCAACGTGGACGCGCAGGTCATGAAGGCCGCCTGTGTGGCGCAGCTGAAGAAAGGCCTGCCCATCTTCTTCGGCTCGGACGTCGGGAAACAGAGCAACTCCTCCCTGGGGATCATGGACACGGATCTCGTCGACTACGAGCTCGGCTTCAACATCAAACTGAACCTGACCAAAGCCGAGCGTCTCATGACTGGCGAGAGCGCCATGACGCACGCGATGGTCTTGACGGCCGTGCATCTCGACTCCGAGGGCAAACCTGTGCGGTGGCGGGTGGAGAATAGCTGGAGCGCGACGGCCGGGACGGAGGGGTATTTCGTCATGAGCGATAAGTGGATGGATGAGTTTTGTTATCAGGCCGTGGTGGATCCGAGTTTCGTGAGCAAGGAGGTGAGGGATGTCCTGAAGCAGAAGCCAAAGGTTTTGCCGCTTTGGGATCCCATGGGCGCGTTGGCGTGAATGGGGGGTTGCTCCTCCACTTTCTTCTGTTTCTGACACGGACTGGGATGATATGAGATGACATGATATGATAGAATGGGCCGCACGAGACTATATAGCGAAGATGTATTGAAACATTCTCACCCCGGGGAGGGGTTTCTCATACCTTTGCATGATGATTTACCGTTGGCCAGAGAAAATCAACCGTTGAGAGAGAAGGCTAAAAGGGGGTATCTCCGAAAAGACTATGCAACACTAGCAACAACCACAGCACGCCGCTCAGGCTAAACAGAAGAGACGCCATATCATCAATATCAGCTCCGCCAGAAATCCTACTTCTGACGCGCTTGACTCTCCTCCATACTCAAACTAATCGCTCTCCGCAGACCCTCATCGTCCTCGGCCCCCTCGCCTGCTCGACTCGGACCTGCTGCACTCCCACCAGACGCTTTACTCCGACGAAGTTCCTCCTCAAGGAGACTCTGCTTCTTGGCATATTCCAAGACGATTTGTTCTTCAGACTTCTCCTGGGCGGTCTTCTCAGTAGGTGGCTGTTTGGGCTTCTTGCCCGCCGCCGCTCCGGAATTTAGACCGCCTTCGTCGTCGTTGGGATAGAGGTGGTCGTATTGCGGCGGAGCTTCGGCGCTCTGCTGCTGCTGGGAAGAAGGACCGGCTTCGCTCTCGTAGTTGTCGTCGGGCCAGCCTCGCTGCTCTTTCAAACTTGCTGTGAGCACTCGCTCGAGGTCTTTGTCAAAGGCGATTTGGGTCTGTTTGTGGCGTTCGGCGTCGGCGCTACTTTCCGCGAGGGCACGATTGAGGCTCTCGTCATCTACGTCGGTGCGGTCGCTAGGCTGGTTTTGATCGAGATATTGGCGCATGCTCTCGCGGATACCTTGCTCGACTCGGGCATCTTCTGTTTGGTTGCCCTCAGAAGTCTGTTGGACGCTCTGCCGAATTGCTTCCTGCAGTGCGCGTTCTTCTGCTTCACGGCTTTTGGGGATTTCAATGGCAAGCATGGCGCTTTCGGGATCATGAAATGGCGCGCTTCCTTTAGACGATGCCATGCTGGGGCCTCGGCTTCGTCGCTTCTCTGCTCGCTCGGCCTTTTTGGAATCGACCCACACGTCCTTCTTGCGAGCTTGCTCTTGGAGGATCTGGCGGACAAGCTCATCCGGGTTGCGCTTCTTCTTCAGTGTCATCTGCATTTCCTTCCAGCGTTCGATCACCAATCGACGTTCCTGCACGTCACTCCGTTGCCACTCGTCGTACCCCTGTGCAGTACGAGCAGCGATGATATAACCCTGCACGCTGGAGCCAAAGACCTTCTGCATCTCCTTGTACACACCCATCATCGTATATCCGGGAATACTGAATATGGCGGCACTAGGCTTGAACACAATGCCGCCGATACCTTTTCCGATACCCTTGAAGAAACCCGCGGGCCCCTCCTTTTGTGCACCTTGAATCGGCTGGGAAACCAACCCAGTGATGCCGTCAAACATGCCGAGACCGAATCCTTTGGCGGCGGCCTTGACTCCTGATTTGAAGTCGGTGACCTGATCTGCCTTCCGGACCGTTTCATCGCCGTACAGCTTTGGGGCGTTGTGAAAGCCTCGCGCGACACCGAGCGTAAAGTCCATCGGTGACTTCAACCCTGCGCCAACAATCCGTTGAACACCTTTGCCAGTGTCGAAAGTTGTCCGCAAGAGATCACCGTTCCCACCGGCAGCGTTCGCGTTGTTCGGACTACGCGGGCGGCCGCTGGATCGCTGTCTACTCTTCGACAAATTTCCATTGAGCGCATCAGCCATAGAGCTTGGCAGTTTTCCAGAGTTCACTATGCTTTGAGTAGGAGACAAAGTCCCCGAGCTCATCCTCGACAGTGAGTCCTGGAAATTGAAGCTCGAATTTGAGTGGCTTGAGGTCATAGGAGTCAGGGTACCTTGTTGGCTAGGCACAACTGTGCTTCCTGATACGGTGGAAATAGATCGGGTATCAGCATCCGAGCTAGACATTGCCTCCGAACCACGTCGACTCATCGTTCGTGAAGACGGTCCAGATGATTGTGTCGACTCAGACGTAATGTTGCTCTCCTTCTTAGCCTTAGTAGCATCCGGATGAATCTTCAGCGCCTTGAGAGTCTCGATGGGAAAGTCCGCAATGCCCAACATCATTGTGCTCGCAGTGCCAATGATAGCGCCAGCTCCGCCCGTGATGGGATCCCAAGGCCCTTCATCAGTCTCGTATTCCTTGGCGCGGAAAAGCTTCAGGTCATTGAAGTCAAGTAGACCCTCGTTCGCCAAGGTGCAAGCCGCCATTGCACTCAAACGAACTTGCGTGCGCTTCACCCGCCAGACTGCAACACGACTGGGCGAGAGATTGCATCGTAATTTGTCAACCTCCAAGAATTGATGGAAGCTTTTCGCGCCCTCGTCCGATCCTTTTTCGGTGGCGATCTTCGCCGCCAACTCATGCGCCTTTTCTTGACTGGCTGGCTCGAGGCATTTCATGATAGCTTCCGCGAGATTGTCCGCGGTCAATTGCTTGTTCGGGATCGGAGGTGGTCCGGCGCCTGCACGAGCGACCATCGAGCCCCAGAAAGGCTGATCACCGAAGAACGGTACAACCACTGTGGGTCTGCCTGCGGTGATTCCAGCAGCTGTTGTTCCAGCACCACCGTGATGCACAACACACGAGACCTGCTTGAATAGCCAGTCGTGTGGACAATTCCCGAGCATAAAGACGTTGTCCGGCTTTCCGAGTTCGTCTGCTCCCATACCACCCCAGCCCTTTGACACAAGTGCTCTCTGACCAGTCTTGCGCACTGCTTCAAAAATGAGCTTTGTCATCTCATTAGGGTCATCCAAGACGATCGATCCGAAACCGATATACACCGGCGGTGGACCAGCATCCAAAAATGCCTTCAGCTCAGGATCGGGCGTGTAGTTTGTCGCGAGATCAAGGAAGAAGAAACCACTGATGTTGATGTTGGCACCCCAATCTTTTGGTTTTGGGATCAGTACGGGAGACCAACAGTATGTGAATGGAATTCGAAGACGCTGCAACAAGCCTGGTGCTGCCATCAGACTGATTGGCTCGAGTCCTAGACTCCGCTCTCGGAAGCGATTGATCACGTCGCCCAGTCCTTGCCATGTCAACATCTCTATGAGTGTGTAGGAAATATAGTTGGTCAGATTCTCATCCGCATTTGATGTCTGGATGTTTGCCAACGGGTGTGGAAATGCTTGCGTGGGTGAGTATGGCATGGTGAAGTAGCAATGACATGGTATTCCCATTTTCTCGGCGATGTGGATATGGGCAAAGCTCGGAGGATTTGCGATGATGCAGTCAGCGACGAAAGGCTTGGTACTGTAGTCGTTTGGATCGGTATTGGAGAGCCAGTCTTCCACAGTCTCATCACTCGCTTCAACACCTGTCCCATCTCCCGTTTCGTAGCAGGATCGCCAACATCCGCGAAGGTACTCCGATACCTCGTGACGCCGTTTTCCAATATCTCCAGCACGCAATGCATCGAATCCTGGCATCAGACCAGGGTTCTTCACCATGAAAGCCATGAGCGCGGCCGGGTCGGCTCCTATACTGAAGAATTCCAATCCATTTTCCGTGACGAAGTCCTTGAAGTTAGGATGTGTTGCAAGACGGACGCGATGCCCATATGTCTCTTTCAGAAGCTTTCCTAATGCAACGAAAGGTTGCACGTCGCCTCTGGATCCAACGATCTGTATGACGACATTCAACGGAGGAGGTGGCGAGGCATCAGAGCTGCCCAAGTAAGGCGGAATGTAGGGCGGAGGAGGAGCTTCCTCCTCATCTCGTGCTTTCTGTAGCTTCTTCAACGTCGGTAGGAGAGCAGCTGACACTTTCCGGTCATGCTGATCGATTCTGATATTGACTCGACCATCGCTGGTGACGGATGCCTTGGTTCCAAAGCCGTCTTGGTCGTTGCGGATGTCCCCATAGCGCTCACCGAATGCAGGAGGTGGAACGGCCTGTTCTTCCGCATCGACTGCAGGCGCATTTGTGGCATCCGCAATACTGACATCGTGGCCCACATGTCGCTTTTGCTCTGGTGACATGGCACTTGGGTCGGTTTCGGCTGCCATGGCGGCTTCGGCTTGTTCGACCATGGTCATAGGGACGGGAGCCTCTGGCATTTTCTCGCCACCGTCTTTGTTTGATGATAGTTGTGTCATGGTTGGAAAGGTTGTCGCTGCTTAAGACCTCAAAGCTGTGATCTCGTCGAGCGTGTGGCTAGGGCAAGTTTGAGGAAATGGCACAGTTTTGTCTGAAAATCGCACGAAACTGCTCAGTGTTTCTGAATTTTTGATTCGAATGTGCTATCGTAGGCAAGAGCGCAGACTACCAGCGTCGGCTCGCAAGCAGTGGTCGAAGCCGTGAATCCCAGATTGACGACTCTCCAAAGTTTCGGGTCGATGTGATCAAATATATCGTTAGCAGAAAACAGCAATGAATCTTTCAATCAGTGTCAAATGCACTGAACTGCAAAATTTATACAGGTCGAAAGAAAAGTGCTCCGGGAAATGTTTATTAATGTCTTCTCAAAAGGCCCAGATGAACTGCCTCCTTGAGCTCCACAGCTGAAGGCGCAGCAGGTACGTCATCCGGCGCCGCGCGTTGTTCAAGCAAGCAAACTTGGAAGCGACAGGACGCCAAACGGCGTACAATCATTCGTAATAATTCCTCAAGTTTGCAATTGTGGCCAAAGTCTTTTGCGAGGGAGGAATCGGATGAAATTCCCGTGATAAGTACAAACAATAGCGGTATCATTATGCATTTTCTCAAGGCCAGTGTCAAAAAGGCACGTCTCCCAAAAGGAGAGATAGAGAGATGGGAGAACGCTGCGCAACAGCAATCCGCGCATAGAATCATTAAATTACATACGAGACCCAGATGTCAATGAATAGACCCAGGTGGATCACCTCCAAACCCCAAGTAAAAAAGGTATGTTGACAAAGCATCTTGCTGCACATTCAGCCGCAATAGTGCTTCGATACGAGCCACTCAGCCCGGTTTCCCGTTCGATGTGCAGTCCCGTCGTTGCCTCAGTGGGTAAAGAAAGAGAAGAGTCTATCTTCCCATTTCGTCATATCATACATGGAAAATCAAAGAAGACAGCAGAGGGAAGAGGATGGCTGAAGACTAATCGCTGACCTTATCAGCGAAAGCATCGTCACCATCCTCACATTCCGCCTCGGCCTGAATTTCCAACTCCGTCAGTAACGGGATTCTACTCTTCCAATCAACCCGGTTCTCCATCGCAAGATGTGCGCAATGGATTTTCGCCGCGAGGGTCTCGTCGTCGATGGGGAGCGGTGCGATGCTCTGCATTCTCGAACGCAGGTTTTCGAGGAACTCTATGGTGGGTTTGTGTGAGGTGAATTTCCACGGCAGCGTGATGGTTACGTCGTGGACCTGGTGGAGGTGCATGAAGGGCTGCAGGGCGAGTTGGATGTCGGAGAGGCCGTGGAAACAGGTCCAGAGGGGTTCTTGGGTTTGGTCGTTCCACCAGGGATCCGTGGTGCCGAGCTTTCGACCAAGAGACGATGTATTGGCGGCCTCGCTATCTTCGTTTTCGGTTCGTTCGTTCGGTGCCTCGATGAATATCCTTAGGGAGTTGACCTTCCCGCCTTCTTCGATCCTCTGCTGGATGAGATAGACCAGTGCGGCATTCATCGCGTTGGCTGCGAGAACGCCATGTGCACGGTCGCCTCGGTTTTTGGATTTGGCGGGAAATATGTGGACGTCGATCTGCGCAAGACTGGAGAAGCCAAAGTCATCACTCAAGGCGAATCTTCGAAATCGATCGTCGAATTTCCCGATGTGATACTGAAGCGGTTGACGCCCGGTGTCCACAAATTCGACTCCTCCTCCGACATATCCGGAATGGACATGGATAGCGAAACGCCTTCCTTCGTAGATGACGCGCTGGAGTTCCTTGCAGATTTTGGAATTGACTGTCATGAGGTTGGACAACTCGCGGGCTGTCGACTTCTGTTCCGCGACATCTTCGGCTTTGTTACTATTTTCGCAGCATGGCTTTGCGATCGTGGTGTTGAGCTGTACAACTTGCTTGTAGATCAAGACGCGGATCTCGGTGGGAAGTCGGTCGAGGAAGGGACATGCTTTGAAGGGGGGCGGAAGAGACGGTGAGACGATCTTTGGACGCTTTCTAAGCGTCGGCCAATCGATCTCAGAACGGCGATCCTGAGCAGCGAAGAACTCGATTCGTTCGATTATCTCCTCCGGGATACGCGCAGTCAGTTCACGCGAGCAACCAGAGTCGATGAAGGTCCGAACGTCGCCTTTGAAGCTGGAAACGGAACGCCATTGATCCAATGAGCTGAAGAAATCGCTGAACAATGGACGGCGTGTGATTGTGTCTGTTCCGTGTGCATTCGCTTGGACTTCGCGATATCTCTTTTCGCGAATCATTCTCACATCAGCAGGAATCTGCATCAGTAAAGCCATCGCTGCAATTGGCGGCTAGTAATTATGGTAGTAAACAAAAAAAAGGCGTTGCACTGCGTAACCAGCGCACAAGACGAGCAATTGTTGAGATGTTGTGAAATCAATATCGTTGGATGTGCTTTCGGGCCTGCGAGGATACTAGCTAGATAGTAGATGGATATGTTCATGTGAGTGAAGAGTGTCGCACAGATATCACGTGTGTCGTAAGGCGTCAAGTGTGAAAGGAACTTTTGGAGGTACCGGGCATGTACGCATAGAATCGCAACAAGCTCCTGGAATGCTGCTGGGATTGTGGCGGAGCTTCTTCACCGGTGACGAGGAAGCTTACAGCTGAAGGACGAAAGCTGGAATTCTCCAACAACAGCTTACCGCATTCCAAAATCCCTCTTCACATGGTAGGTTTTGGCGAGAATAGTACTCTATGGTCGTGGACAAAGAGGTTCTCGGTGTGCACCAATCGAAATATCCAGAGGGCATCCTTACGCAAGGATGTTTGACGGAATGAATGCTCGCCTTTCCGGCACATGTTAATAATAACTTGGACTATAGCGCCATTCTCTGGGCTCAAAGGCTTTCGTGGCGAGGAATTATATCTGCGACGATCAAACATTTTTGGAAGAACGGCTTTTTCATTCACTTATCTGGGTCAACTACTACGCGCTGCTGGCACCGTGAAATCGGCATAAGCATGACTTTAGCTAAGCTGCCGCAGAGCATATTTGGCACATCCGCCAGGTCATTCAGTGTTGTTCGCTGGAGGACTTTCGTCGTCCATACCCCATGAAAGTGTCGCGCTTTTTTCCATCTCCTTCTTCTCTGACCTCAAATCTTTTGGTTCGTTAAATCGTGCAGAACGTAGCTCGGCTGTGTGCCAAGAGCTCAGTGGTTGACGGTGCCACCTTGGGAGATGTTGCGAGTGCCGTTGCGGTCGGCATTCTGAACATTGGTGTCAGTAATTGATCATAAACTTGTGAATCATCCATAATCAAACATAGATATGATTATCCTAGACTGAGACTTACCTCTGACTCGTTGATGGATCCCTTCTCAATGATTTGAGCGACGACGTCATCTTCCTTGCTTGTACCAAACTCGTTCTCGAGAGAGCTCTTTGAGGCAGTGTCAAGGATACCCTGATTTCCGTGCCTGATTCAGTGTTAGCATGGACGTTGCCATCACCGCCCGGGGCTTGAGCGGCAGTAGTGGAAGCTTACTTGTGGGTGACAAAGACCTTCCAGCCGTTGACTACTTGAGCAAGAGGGATGGTCTTGTCCTTCTTCCAGTCCTGGACCGCCTTAGCTGACTCGACGAAGACAATGAAGTCGTCTTGCTCGCCCTTGAAGTGGACCTTGACCTGGTTCTCGTTGCCGCGCATGATGTGGTTTGTGTGTGGAGGGTGATGGCGAGGGTGTTCTGTGTAGATCCGATTGTAATATCGATGAAGTTCGTCTGGATGATGTGTGAAAGGTTGATGTTTGATGAAAGGAAGGAATGGCTCAAGAAGACGAGTACATTGCTAATATATGCTCACGTGAAATACGGCCTGGAAGCTACTCGATCAGTGCGGGCCAGTTCTGGTCGCGTGTACAATGATGATTGTGACGCGGGCTTGAGCTCATTGACGCTTGACGTCACCCATCAGTCCCCATGAGACCCGCCCGCCCTCACCAGAGTTTCGCCTGGACCAGCCAAGAGTGTGGGGCAGCGTCAGGCACAGACCGACGATCTCGCCCGCCCACGCGGCTGTCATCGACTGCCCGGAACTCCCGAGGTCTCCTGGACAAAATCCATCATCATTGTCAGTAGCTAGCCAGGGAGGGTTGCAGCATCGGCAGTGCAGCCGACATGCGACCTTGCGCCGGCAGAGTAGACATTCCTACGTATCCAATTACGTAGTGCGCCCATTCCTCTCGTCCACGAAACTCTTCCCATTACGATCCTGAAAGCCTCACCTTTGGGATGCACCGGATTTGCCATGTATGTAGGGTTGGCGACTGGCGACTCGTGTAGGAATACACTTATGATCATCAGTGATTCCATCATCACGAAAGTGTTAGGACCAAACAATCTCGACAATATAAGTACACCCGCCATTACCCAACAGAAATCGTAAATCTTTCCTCTCGGATGTCCCCGCAATGATGCTATCGCCCGCAAGAAGGTCCTGAGTATCGACCTTTGCCAAGTCTTGGGAAGAAGAGCACTTTTCGGTTTCAATACACAGCTTCACCTTCGCTGAAGCGCCGTAGCTGGATCCATTGCTGTCAAGCTCAAGGAAGAGATCCATCCCCTGAACGTGAAGGTGGCCCGGCTCCTGAGCAGAGACATCACATTCGAGAACTTTTTGATCGTGGAAGATTTGCGGGGAGGCACATGACACGTCTGGCAGGATATTTGCTCTCTTGCTGTCAATCAGCTTACATGATCGATCGTGCTGGTCGTTCTCGTCGTCGGTCTCGGCAGGGAGGATTGGCCGAACCCCCGGAGGGATGACAATGGCAGATGGGTGTTCCTCGATCGAGTCCATTATCTCATTTTCTAACGATGCGGGTGGCGTCGATATAGTAGATGCAGAGAGGCTTGTGGCACCGCCTACAAGGATTTTGCTGACTGTCTGATTCGTGTGCTGATAGATTCTGTTTGGACGAGCGATTGTGGTTTCGCATGTCAAAGCAGCGACATCGGCGGCAACGCCTTGCAGTGCTGACCGTATATTTTTGCGGACCTCAAGTGTGTAATTGATATTATCTAGTATCATCCAGTTTTTGTAAACCTCTCCATGGGTCTGTGGCACATCGTACGCGCCGTGGGCGCGCATAAAGGAGTAACAAAGGAAGCATGGCTTCTTGCTCGCTCGGATCACTCGGGGTCGACGCTGAGGCTGGAGCTCAAAGTGTACAAGAATCTGTAACTCGGCGTGGACGGTTTTCCTGGAATGCTGTCCCAAAGGCGCTGGGCGTAGCAGGAGCACATTGAGCTCAATTGATACGAACAATTCGCGTTGCTGACGTGCGATCTTTATCAAATCGATGAGAATGCGTCGGTAAAGTGCCAGAGCGCGCAGCTCTCTGATCACACGGGTACCGATGCATGTACTAGGTTGGATTTCGATAGAACAAAGCTGTTCTATGGAGCTGCCATGGACACTCACGACTTGCAATGCCGCCTCGAGGATGGTTCCGATGGCTCCGTGTTCAGGATCGCTGTGGGCCACTGCAGACTGAACACTCCGTATTGCTTGTTTGAACTGACGGAGCAGACCTATCAGGTTATCAACAGTCTCGATGGCAGGCTTTGGTTGCTCTTCGGCGATTCGTATGAGGAGAGTGAGCTTTTCACTTATAACGACACGTCTCCGGCCAGTTGCCTTGACCAGACCGAGTCGACCGAGAATTCGATCGCGATGGATAGCTATGATGGTCCTTTGGCATCGAGCAAATGTTTCTTCTCTGCTCAAGTTGCCGCTAGCGCGTTTACTAAGATCATTCAATAGTGTCCTAAATGCTTTTTCAGTAGTGTTAGGTATGCCTGAATTAGCAGCAAGAGTGATCTGAAGTCGCGAGGGCTGCTCCAAACACTGAACCGCCGCTGCCGAGACGCCCTCAGGTTCTGTTGTAGTACATGCTAGGAAGGCAAAGTCGTCCGCAAGGCGAAGTTCTTGCGCTCCGGAAAGAGGCGTGGTCAGGTCGGCTTCGGCCGAATGCCGATTGATTGCACACCCTTGGAAGCGATGGCCATTCCTACATAGCTGATCAAGATTTGCGACTCTGGACCGGAAAACCTGCGTATCAATGCCGTCCCAGACAGACATCGGAAAGTGCGGGCCATCTCTCACGAGAGACACTCACAATGGAGACTCATCGAGTTCATCAAGAAGATATAGGGATGTAGCTCTTCAAGGACAGCGCATCTTACACACGCATATGCAGGTCGTTTCATGATGCAGCAAACCAGCCATTGAAGTCACACGAAGCCAGGCAGTCTGTACTCTTGATGGCATTCACTGGCAAGTCGTATCCCAGCACCCACCTGAAGACGCCGACATGACGATCCCTGTGCGACTTTGCAGCCGATATGCTCCAATTGAAAGCGATCCTGCCAACCTTGGTGGATCGGGCATTCATCTGGAAATCTTGAGGGGCAGAACTTCCGCATGAATTCAGCGACGTGGTCGACGCAGCATCCGAATCCGTGGGGGTTCCACTGCATATGCATGCGTCAATACATTGTCCTGCACGAATACTGTATCCTTGTTGGCATTGCGGCAAGGTTTTACTACCGCCGCACGTGATTTCTCAGCTCTCTCGAAGCATTCATAGCCGTCACGAAAGCCGGTCTGACGAGCACCAGGCCTGCATCAAGACATAAGCCTCCGCTTCTAACATCTCGATAGTCCGCATAGAATGCACCGAGACTCTCGTGTGGTTCGCGGGCTCCCGAATTATGCATAACAGTAGTCGACATTTGAATATGCCTAGATAAGCAGGTCTCTCCGTTTGGACCGAATAATGCTGCAGCGAAGGTGTGGTTTCGCCTCAGCAAACGGGCAGAGGTCTTGAAGATGAAGTGCCCGCTGGGACTTCGCAGCCTTCCAGCAAGGATCTCAGGTAGGCATCGTAGTATGATCTCCTCATCTACCTTCGAGTAACATGTTCATTGAGCAGTTGAGATAATGCTGGAACCGCTGTGTCATAGCTTACGTGAGGTTTGACGTCTCCCGCGCCGAAATCAACACGGCAGCCGAGGCCGTCACGCGCAAAACCGCCGCACTCAAAATTCCCCAACTCTGTCGTCACCGACGACACGCCCTGCCATCGAGTGGACGTATATTTGCATGTGATCCTCCAAGACTTCACCTTTGGATAACCACACGACAACCGAGAAACATATATTCTTCAAACCGGTCCACAAATACGAGATCCAAGATTAGCAAAAACCAAGATATTAAAAAATGTCCAACTACGATAACATCAAATTCATCCGCATCACGTTCCCTGCGGAAAATGTCGCACATGTGGAGCTCAATCGCCCGGAGAAATTGAATGCCTTTACGACCGAGTAAGTTTCAATTTCCAGGTCACATCTCTAGACATCCGGGAATAGAGGCACGAGAGAGGAGAGAAAAACATGCGCTTTTCCTCTCGCAGGCAAACGATTGGGGAATGATCACGAAGTTCTGACCAAGAGTGTGAAATCCTCCACAGAATGTTCGCCAACCTCGGCCTCGCTTTCGACCGTCTGTCCAAAGACTCCGCCGTGCGATGTATCGTCCTCTCTGGAGCAGGCGATCGGGCGTTTACTTCCGGCCTAGACGTGAGTCCTTCACCCTCGACCAATTTCAAACTTCCAACTCTGCAGGTGGGAATCAATACAGAACGAGAAGCTGATGCTGTGTGCTTTGCAAATTAGGTGCAAGCGGCATCCAGCGGCGGGCCGGTTTTCTCAAAGGACTCTGACGACGACGTCGCGCGCCGAGCCCGGAACATTCGTCACCATATCGATGAGTTGCAGTATAGCATCAGCGCGCTGGAACGCTGCGAAAAGCGTAAGTACCCTCATGCCCCGACCCTCTCAACATCGGACTTCAAGTGAGAAGAAACAAGGAGGCCCCAATCAAAAAGTATCCCCAAGAGACAGGAGCCCCCACCCCCACTAACAGAGTCTTTCTCCAATACAGCCGTCATCGCTCTTTGCCATGGCATCTCATTCGGCGCCGCCGTCGATATCGCCGTCGCATCCGACATCCGCTATTGCGTAGCCGACTCACGCTTCAGCATCAAAGAAGTCGACATCGGGCTTGCCGCCGACCTCGGAACGCTGACACGACTTCCCAAAATCGGGGTATCCTATAGCTGGGCGAAAGAAGCCGCGTACAGCGCCCGGATATTCTCCGGCGAGGAGGCCGGACGGGTCGGGTTCGCGAGTCGGGTTTTCAAGTCCAAGGGGGAGATGGTGGAGGCGGCATTGGAGACGGCGAAAGTCATCGCGGCGAAAAGTCCCGTGGCGGTGCAGGGCACCAAGGCCCTGCTGGATTTCTCCAGGGATCGCTCGGTCGAGGATGGATTGAGGTACACGGCGGTGTGGAATGCGGCGATGTTGCAGACGGAGGATGTGGGCAAAGCGATGATGAGTGGGCTAAGGAAGACAAAGCCTACTTTTGAGAAACTTTAAAATATGGGAAATTGGCATGAAAGAAAGCGAATGGGAAGTCGACTTTGGAGCAAAACATTTCGATTTTCGATTTTCGATTTTTGCTTCCTGTGCAGTGACAGACTAATTGCTGTGGTGGTGGTGGTGGTGGTAGTAGTAGTAACTAGACGTACAGCGCCTTGGATACGCGCGGTCTTTTGTAAAGAATTTGTAGAAAACAAAAGGCGCAAAAGGGCAAACCATTAGCAAAAAGGAGAAACTCCAATGTACGCCTCGTCCAAGAAAAAGGTCCACCCCGGGAATCCCAGCAGTCTGATTCCATCCACGCCACGACTTATTCTACCCCATCGGTCTCTCTCTCTCTCTCTCTCCAGATTTTCCAAAAAGCAAGCAGAGTCAAACTACCGAATACTGACTCCACTCCGATTCGTAAACATGCGAGTAGCGACATTCATAGCCGCGAGTTCCTGGAACAGCAATTTCGCCGCATACGGGATGATAATCTGGGCGATTTTCGTCTTGTTCTGGCAAGGACGACATTCGAATTGTGAATTTTTCAATTTCGCAATCGGCGTCATCAGACCGCAGATTTCGCAGATGTGTACGCGGAAAGCATCCGAGACGTCAAGGAGTCGCTCCTTCAAGAATGCGGACGCGCCGTGCGCGATCATGCAGTCGCGCTCCATTTCTCCGAAGCGCAGGCCGCCGTCGCGCGCACGACCTTCGACCGGCTGGCGGGTGAGGATCTGCAGAGGGCCACGGGCGCGGGCGTGGATTTTGTCGTCGACCATGTGGCGCAGGCGCTGGTAGTAGGTCGGGCCGAGGAAGATTTGGGCGTTGAGCTTTTTGCCCGTGTGGCCGTTGTACATGACTTCGAAACCGCGCTGTTGGAAGCCGTGGTCGCGCAGAATTTCGGAGACGGAGGTGACGGTGACGTCGGTGAAGGGCGTGGCGTCACCTTCCTGGCCGTTGAGAGCGCCGACTTTGGAGAGGAGACATTCAACCAAATGGGCAATGGTCATACGGGATGGAATAGCGTGAGGGTTGATGATAATGTCGGGAGTGAGACCGTCGGCGGAGAAAGGCATGTCTTCTTGTCGGTACGTGATACCAATAGTACCCTTCTGTCCGTGACGTGAGGCGAACTTGTCTCCGATTTGAGGAACCTTCGTGACACGCGTACGGACTTTGACGAATCTCAAGCCTTCCAAGTTCGTGGTGAGAAGGACTTGATCAATGACACCGTTTTCTGTAGATCGCAGTGGTGTACTGACGTCGCGCTTGACGTGCAACTTGGTCCTCTGTCCAAGTTCTTCGGCATCCGGGGGGATAGGCGCGGTCTTGCCGATGATGACATCTTCACCGGAAACACGGCAACCGGGGCTGATGATTCCGTCGTCGTCGAGTTTGTCGTACGTTCCATGCTTCATTCTCATGGTATCGGCACGAACGGGCTTCTCGAATGCCTCCACAACTTGCATGCCGACACGTTTTTCCTGGTCCATGTATGCACGGTAGAACAAGGATCTGAAAAGACCTCGATCGATACTGCTCTGGTTCATGATGACGGAATCTTCCTGGTTGTAACCAGAGTAACAAGCGATTGCAACAATGGCGTTCTGGCCAGCAGGCAAGTCGCGGAATTTCAGGTACTCCATACTGCGAGTGGTGGCCAACGGCTTTTGCGGGTAGTAAAGCACGTTCGCCATGGTGTCCATACGCACGTTGTAGTTAGTCAGGGTGATACCCATCGCTTGCTTCCCCATCGCAGCTATCATTGGAGTCAGCGAAAATTTTCAACCAGTCTGATTCACGAGATGACAACTTACATTGATACGTATTTCTGGGACTCTGGTTGTGATCGGGGAAGGGAATAATACTGGCACAGATACCCAAGATCATAGCAGGATGAATCTCACAATGGGTCCATGTCCGCACATGCTTGTTAGGTTTTTGTTTGATACGTCGGTGAGGATCGGCCTTGGACTCTTCGAAGCTGGGCAGACCCGATCGGAGCATGCGGTGCTCTTCGAGATCTTCAGGTGTCATGATAATCATGGCGGTCTCTTCTTCTTCGGCATCCAGGTATTCGACCACACCGTCCTCCAGTAGACCCTTCCAGCCGTAAATGTAATTCTGACGATCCTCCTCGCTCATGCCATCGGTGCTGGAAAGCATTTCCTGGTCTTGCTCCAACCGCTTCAAGTGTTCTCGCTTGAGAACCAGTCCACCTCGACCGGGTGAGCCAGGCTTGTTGTCCACCACAAATAAAGGTCGGCAGACACGACCCACATCCGTGAAAATCTTGATCTCCCGTTCACGGACATCTCGAATGATGGTGACCTCGAAGCTGATGACACCCTTTCTACGGATCTCATGCAACATATCGACCAGTTGATTCGGGCCGTGTGTGACACCCAACCAGACACCGTTCAGGAAAATCTTGGTGGCATTCGGGCTAGCAGCAGGATCATAATCTTCGAGCGGTTCCAGGTAGCGGGATTGCAAGAAGTGAACAAGAGGTCGCGTCGGGGTACCGACAGTGACATAACACATCAACGACAAATTCTTCACCAGTCCACAAGCTTGTCCTTCGGGTGTTTCTGCTGGACAGACCAAACCCCAATGAGTGTTGTGAAGTTGACGCGGTTTGGCAATTTTACCGTCACGTCCAATTGGGGTGTTAGTTCTCCGAAGATGGCTCAGTGTCGAAGCATATGTATATCTGTTCAACACCTGACTGACACCAGCCTTGGCACTGGAAGCCTTCTTCTGGTCACCCCAATTACCGGTGGCAAGACAGTATCGTAGACCGGATGTGAGAATGTTAGTCTTGATAGCGAGTGCAAGGTTAGGCTCCTTGTTCTGCTCAACCTGACGGGTCAGGTACTGCTTGGTGTCTTTGACGAGCTGGGCAAACTTAAGGCGGAAAACCTGTGCCATCAATGGTCCAGCAAGATCCAGTCGCTTCTTACCGAAATGATCACGATCGTCCTCATCGATACGGCCGAGCGCACATTGCAGCAGTCGATTGACCATGTATCCCAAGAAGAAAGCCTTACGTGTCTCGCAACCCTTGCTTTGCGAAATGTGAGGCAGGAACTCCTTGACTAGGATATCTTCGGCGTGACGCTCACGCTTCTTCCTGTCGCCAGTGATGTTTCCACGAGTACCGATGAAATTCTTGGCAGCATCCATGTCCTGAATGGGGGCGGATTCCTCCAAACACGGCTTGAGCATTTCCAGCATTTGAGTATCGCCCTTTCGGCAGATGGTGTTGAGAATGTCTTCGTCGGAGATCACGTTCAGCGCACGGAACACGATCACCAACGGAATATCTGCCTTGATGATCGGGAGCGAGACGTGGATCGTCTTGCCCTTGCCTGACTGTGCACTTCCCGCCAGCAGCTTGACCGACATCGAACTCATCAATCGAGTACCGCCTTCGATTGCACTTCTGATCTCTGCAACGACAGGTGTAGGCGAGCCTCTTTTCCGGAAAACTTGGACGATGTTGGCCGCACTACGCTCCTGCGCAATAAGGACCTTTTCACTACCGTTGATAATAAAGTATCCTCCCTGATCGTAAGGACACTCCTGGAAAGCGTAGAGCTCGGGTTCAGTCCGATTCCGTAATGTGCAGATTTTCGATTTGAGCATGATGGGCAACTTTCCGATGAAAATCCGACTATAGACTTCATCGAATTCGCCTTGCCCTGGTGGCCGGTCGGGATCGAGCTCCCATACAGTCTCATAAGCGTCTGGTGATGATGGATCCCAGTCTTCCGGTGGCACCCACATGCCTGACGAGTCCAAGTGTCCACCAGCGGCTCTCTCCCGGGCGACCTCCTGCTTTGTGTAAAAATCGAGGTACATCGGAGACGAGTACGTCAAATTTCGTAGACGAGCTTCGTGAGGAAACAGCGGTCGCGTGCTACCGTCACCTTCCGTCATGGCCGCAGCGCTGACGGTCAGCGTCTTCATGGTCACCGTCCATCGCTTCTTCACCACCACCTGGCCAGAGCCGTCATCCTCGTTCATGCTCTTGAAGATCTCGAATTTACCCCATCGGTCACGGCCGGGGTTTGGGTCGTCATCGTGAGCAGGAGTGGCGCCGCCTATTTCAGCAACAATCTGCTGCATGGTCGAGCCGGCGAATTCATCGAAGGAGTCGATCTGCTGGGAGACCAGACCCTTGGAGTCGAAATGTGAGTGGATGACGGTCCAACAATCCTCGGCGGTGATCATATCATCGTCGGCGGTCATCGCATCCGCGAGCATGGGATCCTCCTCGGCGTGAGCCATGATGGGCGAGAAGTCCTTGGGAATTCGTCCTTGGGAAGCCGAGTGTTTGCAAAGTCGAAGGAGTGGCAGCCTTGTCGGTGGCACCCGCAGCGCGCAAATGCGCTCGTCGACCACTAAGAGCGCCTGTTCGCCAGAGTATCGATGCCGTCGGGCTGTTGGCGAGCGAGAATGTTGTACAGTCTGGCCGATGCCACGTTCGACAGGCGAGCAGCGCGGATTATTGATGGATTTATTGTAAAGGCGCGAGCTTTGGGTGAAAGTTGTCGCGCCTCCAGGGCTGTTCGTTTCGCGCGGCTTGGGAATTGCGGCTCCGCTCACGTGTGTCCGACGGGTGCTGCCGTGAGCATCGATATCACATTTCTACACCAAGTCAAGGATTTGTAACCAGTTCCTCAACATACGCAGTTATCCGCTTCAGCGTTGATTCAGAGGGACGGTGGCTATCTGTGCGCGGCTATCATGAGTATTGGTCATATCGGCAGGATACAAGCGACTTATTTGGGAGAGTCACGAGGCAAGGCAGTATTGAAAAAAGTCATGAATAAAGACGTTTCTAGATATACTTGCATCTATATTTCTTGTTCTGCCATAAATAAGGAAAGAGTCCCCCCTTTGTGGAGATATAAAGCCTTCAGAAGCGATAGAGCAACGACAAATCATTCAACGACGATGAATAAAAAAAGGCAATAAGTGCGTAACAGCGATCAGCGACCGTAAAAGCAGAATTGATCTCTGCTCGTCCGGTGAGCGATCTGGCTAAGAGCCACCGCATGCACACTTAAACCGAGCAAAATATTCGCCCACGGAGCTCTTAGCCTCATGAATCAGACGCCATGGGACACCGAGCCTCACCCGACAATGACACAGAGGATGTGGCACTTCCGCCAGCAGAGGGCCCTCTCTCGTGTGCAATATCACCCAAGTTCAGCTGAATGGCGAATGGTAAGAATTGAAAAGAGCAAAAGCCAAACTCAAAATCAAGCAAGAGCAGATCGCACAAAACAGCCGCCGCATCATCGTCAACAGTAATGACAAAACCCCATAGGAAATAAGCGAGACAGACAATTAATGGGCATTCGAAGTGGACAAAGCAGGGGCTGAAAGAACTCTCCAGCAGGAGGGCATCGTAGCGGGACCTGTCGACGTGCCGCGCTCCCTTGCAGTACTCGCGCGGTAACGACGGTGGCGGAGACGGGTGGAGGCGGCGGTGGGAGCTCATAGGTATCCTCTTGTTTTCATCTTTCTCCAATGCCGCAAATAGAATTTTCCGAGATGAACGACTTTTCTTTGATGAGAAATATAGTCAACCCCGGTTAAAGAAGAGAAATCATCCCAATAAGCTCCTGGTGAACGCCTTCGCTAATGGATATAGAACGAGAAAAGCAACAAAATATTGAATCGACAGAGAACCGTGAGGGAGAAAGTGTAGCAGGTCTCGGATGGACTGCTTGGAGGCCGATGACGATCGAGCGGTGACGATCGTCATGGATCCAATGACGGGGTTTGGAGCCGTTCGTGCTTGAATTTCCAAGTAGAGCCTCGATCGCGTGATATCAGAGACAGCATCTCTGCTCGTTTCAATATCGTGGTGGAGGGGACGATATGGACAATCAGAAGTCATGAGTCTGTCGCTTGCTTTCATGCTGATACGCTGTCACATCGAAGACAGCGCCCCGCGTGAGAGCTCCGTCGCAGAGAAATCGCGCGTGCGATCGTGACTGTGTCTGCTCCAAATGATGGCAGTCTTGTATCCAATGCTTGAAGCTCCAAATATCATGGGAGCCTCGTTGGCGACGAGGGGCAAAATCAGTAACCCATCGCCTCGTTCATTCCGACAAGGCCAGCACCTGCGACATTGGCATTGATATTTTGCAGGTTCGTGCCCATTGGGCTCATCGTGCCCGCATTAAGCTTGAGATCGGTGTTGCATGGCGGGCTGTGCTGTCGGTGGTATTTGAGTCCGTTGAGGTTTTTGTACCGCTTCCCGCATACCTCACATCGGTAGGGCTTCTCTTTCTCCATTCCTACAGTGCCTGGATAAGGAATCGATGTGGTGGGATCGACGATTGAGAAAGTTCCGTCGGGATTCTCCTTGAGTTGCTGGTTCTGGTGACCGTGTTGCTTGTGGTATTTCAAACCATTTTGGTTCTTATATGCCTTTTCACATCCAATAACCGGGCACTTGAATGGCTTGATCTCTTCGCCGACGAAGCCACCAGCACCAGCCAGGCCGTTAAGCAACTGGTTCTCGCGCACTCGCTTCGCAATCTCGCCCGTATTGAACGAATTTGCAGGGAAGCCCTTATTGCCAAAGCCTTGTTTACTCAGTAACCGCTTTTCAGGATTGTCAATTGTCGCAGACCCACCAATGTTGTTGCCGTTGTTCAGGCCGCTGAAATCATAATTGTTCTGAAGCTGACCGTAATCGAGGTTGGCGCTTTGCATCTGTGCAAGGAGATCGGGATCGAGCTCGGCGGGGGTATTAGGTTGAGATGGGTCTGGTGTGCCCGAGTGCTGTGCAGAAGCTGGAGTAGTTAATGACGGGGTGTTGACAGATGACACCGTTGGGTTGTTCGTGAGCATTGGCAAACCGTGAAATTGTGAAGGCGCATGAGGTGTGGTAGGCGTGGCAGAGTTGAGGCCTTGACCCTGGAAGGCGCTGGCGAGGTTGACATTCACAGAAGGGCCACGAGGTTGTTGACGACCAAATTGCGGTTGCGGCTGGAAGTTGCTGCCATGTGCGGGCGGGAGCTGTGACGCCGGTGCGCTGTCATCCATATCCATGTCGTCGAGATTATCGAAAGTACCTATCTGATCCTGGCTTTGACCGCTGAAGAGAGGCGAAGCAGTCAATTGTTGTTGCAGATGTGGCTGCAGTTGACCCATCTGTTGTGTCTGCGCCTGTGCCTGCTGTTGGATGCCTTGCGCTGTGTTTGCGGCATTTGCAGCACGGCTGCTGGGATATTGCTGATCTTTGGGAGTCCGGCCCATAGTCTGTGTGGGTTGTGCGGCGTGCGCCTCTTCGTAGTGCTGCAAAAGCTCGTGCATAGAATCGAGGTGGATGTCGCAGCAAACGTAGTCTTTCATGTAATTCGCCTCCATTTTGGGAAGATATGAGGAAGAGTGGAATGAGGGTGATTGAAAGTTGTATGGAGAGGTGCCGGTCATCATGATACTGTGCGCGATCGGTTAATCTTGGGATGGGCGAGAATGCAATGTACAAAAACTTACTCGTCGCGAATAAAACTGCCCATGGATATGCCGCCCCAGCTCATGCCACCAACCAGGCTGCCGGACATGCCAGCGTTGTCGCGCCGTTGGCCATTGGCGATTGGTATTTGCCGTGCGCCATATGGTGTAGTACCGAACATGCTGGTGGAGTCTTGCTTCGACTTGTCGGCTTGATTTTGTGCCTCAGCTGCGACCTCTTCCGTCGTAGGTGTACTACTTCGCACGTCGATTGTAGGTTGTTGAAGCTGTGATGTCAGGTTGGATTGTTGGTTACGAGGTGAAGAGGAATTCTGTCGCGCAGTGGCGATGTCTATTGCGCTGGCTATTCCAGACATTTCGTCGTTGGCGAAGAGTTGTGGCGAGGTTGTCGCAAAGGTCAGATCGAAGTCGAGGTCAACGTCGTCACTATCACCACGGCGATCGCCGTGGTCGGCTTTTCGCTTGTGGAAGGCGGATGCGAAGAATGAATGGTCGCTGGCAGACCGAGAGTGGTCAAAGGTCGCGTGACTGGAGGATGGTTTACGACCGGGAGGATGAAGTGAGTCCAGGAGAAGGAGGCCTGATTTCAATAGAGTGAGAGAGGACGATGGAGAAGGAGTGACGGGAGCGGGAGGAGTGGTGATATGATCACTGTCGAGACTTGGCGAATGCGCCGGTGAAGTGGTAAGTAGGAGATCGGGTGGAGTGTCTGACGCCAGTTTGACCGAGGAAGTGGTAGAGTCAGCGGCCGTAGCGGATGGAGATGGTGGTATGGAATGTATAGTAGTGTGGAAGTGGAAGGTATGGTGGTCTGGCTATGGTCTGGTCTGGGATATGGCTATGGTATTCTAGTATGATGACTATGGATCCAGACGAGAGGCGGACGGGTGGTGTAGGTAGGGGTGTGGTGTGTGTTATGTCTGCGCTAGACGTTGGGTGACTTTTTGTACGTAAAATGGTGCAGCGAGTCACAACCCGTCGGAGGAGAGTGAGCGGCGTAGTGTGTGCGCAGGGCAGATCAGGAACAGCCGCCACCACTGATGACACGGTCCAAACGCGGTGGCCACACACACACGCAAGCGCGGTACTTGCGTTGTCGGTATTTCTCGGCGAGTTCGACAGTCCAATTGTATGAATGCGACTCTGTGCGTAGATCTGGGGGAGTGATGAGGATGGGAGGCGAGTCGGCGGGAGCGAAGAAGCGTAAGCAGGCAGGAGAAAGGCGCAGGCGTCCGGTACTATCGCGGATAGTTACCGTTCTGTTCGTGGGTGTGACAGTTGAAATGCGACTACAGATGTTGGTGATGGAGGCTGTTCTGTACGGTATGCAAGTATGCGTGCGTCTTCAGCAAGGCGGGCCGTCAAAGTCAATATCGATGCCAGTGGGAGCTGTGATGGTAACCCGTTGACAAAGGACAAAGGACGATTGTTTTGCTTGGATGAGAGAAGGACAGACAAGCAGCGGCGGCGGCGGGGAGGTAAGGTATGGACCTTAGCAAGAGTAGTGGAGGTGCTGGTGCTGGCAGAGGTGATGATATGGTCGGCGATAGCTCGTCCGAAAAAGCAATGTGAGCAGCAGTGGCAGCAGCGACGACAGCAGTGTTCAAGAGCTGGCAGCAATGGAAGCTCTTTTAATAGAACCGCGGCCCGCAAAACGATAGATCGAAGACTGTAACCGTATTACTCTGCCTATCGCGTACGCGGTGTGATTGATGAGTCGATATGACTGTGTACTGTATTTCCGTCGGGTTTAGATCCGATGACGAGTAGAGTCTAATAACGTCAGGATAAATCGGCACAAATTCGAGAAAGCGAGAGAGAGACACTGGCCAAACAAGGCGGACAGGACATGGCAGTCATATACATACTATAAGGTGCAGCGATAGCTTACTTTGAGCAGCCACACCACAACGATTAAGGGTAGGGGAGCAGCGGCATCACAAGAATCTCAATCCGAGGCGTCGTCGACCTTTCCTGCATTGAGGCGAGCCGACCGCTGAATTGACGTGCAGCCTCATCATCGGAAATGGTATCGAATACATGCAGAAGTGTACATAGAGTACATACAACATATGTCTACCGGGCAGTACATGTCTGGGGTACCTCCAATATTTCCAATTGTTGGCTCCTTCCACCTCGAGTAAATCGGTTGCTGCAGGGAAAGATGTACGATGGTCGCACCAGTATCGACATCTCAACAACGGGCACGGCGGTTCAGATGGACAATGTACAACCTGTCACAAAGGAGTCCGGCATCAGGCCCGTCAATGCGCAGTGCCGATGGGACGCCGTACATGCGACAGAGTATGTTGAATAGAATAGAATCAATGCCTGAGGTGCTTGAGGAGTGTTCTCCGTCTCGGTCATCCTCATCCTGACGACGATGACCACCATGACGATGAAAATACGGAGAAGCAGAATCGCCTCGTTTCAGAATGACGACAACACCGACTGTGATCGGCACGAACCCGCGAGATACCGCCGAATCATTTCCTGATGAATGCAAGACCCGGGCAATCGTGACACGCCGCCGATCTCGTTTCGTGTTGAGGGTGGTGGACTGAAAAGCATAAAATACTGTATCACTACTATACCGTCGCGGCGGCCGGCGGCGCACATGATGGTAAGACCTCGGCCGATTCAACCATATCCCCTACCCGGAGAGACTGGTACCGCGGACGGCAGAATAGACGGTAATGAGGATAGATTGCAATGGAAAGCGTAAAGAATAGACAGCGCACGGAGGACGAGACTGGTGATGTAATCATCATTTAGCATCATCATCGGTTGCATCTGTCAAATGTTCAGCCGCGGTCAGAATTTTGGCCCTGGAAGACACTCCGAGGTCATCTCGTGCCGATTCGGCAGGACCGATGTCTGCGGTCGCACTTGAACATCCTCAGTCTGTGGTTAGTATCATCACCAACACCGATCGATCAGCATTGTACGTTCGTCGTGATCTTGGAAGTCATCTACGGAAAATCACACGTTCTTCGAATTTTGTCCATGAACATTTTCCGCCGAACAGAAAAGTCAAGCGTCTCGCCGTTGCACCGTGCATGTCAAACTAATGCAGGGTTCAGACGGTCAGGTCTTGGCGGCATGCGTCATGCACTTGCGCCGGCATCGCTAAGACCATCTTCTGTCTTGTCGTGCCTGTATGCACATGCTCGACATGAAGTATGACCGTTTGAATACCAAGCATCGAGATGGGTCTGGGTACATCTATGCTGTATCTATCGGAGTCGTCGGCGACAAGGAAACTCATCGATCGGACTTCAATCTGTACCTCCTCCCTATTTCAGCCTTCTCGAAACGTCACAGGAGGCGCATCCCTGCAAGGACATGATGATTGCGAGGATCATGGCGGCAACAGACGAGACGCCGGACAGATGATCAACCGACGATCTGATATGTTTGTGTTGACGATGCACAGAAGCAATTCCTCCCTCCTCGACATGGATCCCGACAAGCATTAATAGCATCTCCACATACCCACAGTTCCCTCTCAACCCTCTGTGACGAATTGCGCATGACATGAAACGCATTGATGCCCAAGCCTTGTACCAGCAAGCTCTCGTCTAAAATGCTTTACTTCTATATGATCCTCATACAGTAGCTCCACAGGGGCAACGGTAAACTCAGACAAAAGATTACATCTGTAGCGGCTAATATCTCAATAGAGATTTGATCACGAGAGCAATTACCTCCTTCCGATCCAGGCCAGGCACATTAGAAGTGTCCTCGTACTACCGAAGGACAGAGTAAGGGAAAGGAATATTCCATCGGCAGTAGTGGCTCATTTAGCTATGTTTCAACCGGATCCGTTGAATTTCGTAGTGAAATATAGCGCTGTATCACGTAGAGTGAACGACAGCTTGTAGCCTCATTTACGAGGATAACTCGCACCGAATCTTCCCGAGGCTGGCGTCGTTCCATGTCTTTGCTTCTGTAGTACATAGGCTTTGAAGGCTTCTCAAGAGGATGATGCTGTCTTGTAGAAATCATCAGGCTGTCCACTACAGCAGAGCGCAAACGGAAAACAATAAATCCACGCCGCCCGCCATAGAAAAAAAGTTTAACGAGTATCAAGGCATGATTGGCGGATTCTACTCCAGCTCGAGCATTGCTCTAGTGTCCTGTCCTCAGCATGGGTCTTGCGGAAGGAAAAAGGGCTGGCTGCTTGGCAGTGACAACCCTGGTCCGACCGACCGTTGACAAAAGTTGGCCGGTGCACTTCGGGAATTGGGCAATCATCTTCGTGGCGACTGGTTGGCCCTGTCGCAAGGCCCTAGAGGAATAGTCACTTGATCGACCACGATTCTGACAAGCGAGGATAATCAGCCACGGCAGCGCAATTGTCACACACGCAGGATGTCGACGTCAGGTGCCGAAAGATATCGAATTTGCTTCGATCTGGAGAATAATTTCCCTTGTCAGTCATGCCCTGGATGTAGTGCGACAGGCCATATAGATTGGCGAGCATTTCGCGGATACGAGGAGTCCTCCTGTATATTGGCACCGAACATCGATTCGCATGTGATTGTCACACGTCCACGACAAAGCTGCGGCCCTGGTGCAGACGTATCATTCACTTGGCCCTCCCAAAATGCATCACGCCCAGAAAGGTCATCTTGTATATGCAGCGTATCCCCAGGGAAACCATCCCATATCGCATGCATGATGCACCTCATATATACTTTATGTGCCCCGACCTCAATCTGGTCGGATTTGCAGGAAAGAGTGCCGTCGCAGACAGACAAACACATGCATACCTCAACCTATCTACCTACCTAGGTAAGTAGGTATATGAAGCGAGGAGCAGCGGAAAACTCTCGGCCGCTTACTGACGGCCTCGGGACGATCCGCGGATCAAGCAGCAGCAGGGCAAAACTGGAAGAGAGGACCTGGAGAGCTGTGGTGCCGAAAACGGTAGGCCGATGCGCGGTTTACTTTTTGACTCTCTCTCTCTCTCCCCCCAATGTCCTTTGCCCGAAGGCGAGGAGCAGGCACAAACAGCTCACAGCCATGCTGACAGCAATGGATACAAAGGTACTGTTCAGCCTGGCTGCTGCTGGCCGGACCTGCACCAAGAGCTTCTCCTCGTTGACTTTCCTAGGCGCAAACCTTAGAACTGTAGGGCGACGCACGCCTCTGACTCGCATTCAACCTTGGATGTCCAGCATGTATACTGGAATCACATGTTATCTCCTCGCAGCCTCGTCTTGAAACCTTGAGAAATGGCCGCAAATCTGGACCGGTCTGAAGCGCTGGAAGTCAGCCAGACGGGAGTAAAACAAGGCGAGATCCGGGGTGGGTTTGCATGTATGTGTACAGAATGTCGCTATCGTGAGTGAGTAGCCATCCTGCGGCAGCGAGATTGTAGCTGAGATAAGAGAAGTGGTGGTGGACAACCTCGACATCATCACGTTCCTATTGCTGACGACGAGGTCTCGACCTGCCTTGCCATACCTGCCGTGCCTCCCTACCTTTGCCTGTTCCTGGCATTACCTGGGCTACCTACCTAGGTAGTCACTTTGAGGACTTCCCGGTATCCGCGCGCCGCTGTTTCACCAACCATCTTTTGCGCGAACTGTGTAGAACTTGGGCACAACCCGGCAATATACTGCATCGCCCCGAAGTACCTAGGTATGTATCTCCCTCATCATCATCGTCGTCATCATCGTCGTTGTCGCCGTCGCTGTCACGATACAATATCCCATCAATGAGATGAAGCCGCAAAGCATTCCACGTCGCACATGTGACACTCCCACGACTCCCCGTCAATCGTCGCCGCTGCCGCCGCCGCAAGGGTCCGCGCCGGTTTCGCACAGTGCAACGTTCAACAACGGCGGTGGGTAACTCACAGGCCGACCTCCTATGCCTCATCGGGTGATGGCTCGTATATAGACATCGCCTCGCGATCACATGTCTATTCCACACTGCGAAATTCACATGTCCTGTGAGGAAACACGGCGTCGTGCACCAGGCGCACGTATATGAGGGCGTGGAAGCCGAGACCATAGGATCGACCACAATGCACTCTTTCCGCCGCTATCAACCTAGTTGTTGTAGATAAGGAACACGCCCGGAATAACATCTCTCATGGTTTGGTGACGATACTGCATCGCAACTCTCAAAAGTGTGGCGTTCTCTTAGCCAGCCGAACCGGATCGCATGGTGCGGTTTCCGCGCGGTGCCATATATGATTTGATACACACGTGGTGCTGATACTCTCGCCTCATTATTCCAAATTATGCAGGTATCCCTTTCGGGAGGAGCTGGGGCAGTCGGTATCTCTGGACTCATGGGATCCCTTTGGGAGAAATCTGGAGCACTTGGAACTTGTATTTGCTGTAGTACTGGGAGGTGGTGTTGTTGCTTTTTTGCCATGTGAAAGTCGAAATGAATGATGGCAACCCTAGGGTAGTGGTAGGGTTGACGATGATGGGAGGTGCCGATTTGGAAATTGATGAGATGAGAATATGAGGATGGGCCGAATGGGGTCGTAAGTTTAGGTGAATGATGGAAAGGACTCGGGATAAGTTTAAATTCATGCTATGCTCGGATCAACACTCGTCCTGGCAATGCCACCAGGCTTGGCCATCGTTCGCAAACTTCGTGATCGACTGTGATCATGACTCCTGAGGGTCCGTGGATACATGATCGCCGAAAAACAGACACAGATCGAGCATTCCATCGAATATGTTGAAGCTTGTGTTGCTCATCCTTCAGCCTCAATCTCGTAGCTGTTGGACTTGTGCTTCGGGAGGAAGTTGAAGTCCTTGTGTGCAGGACCGAGGAACATTTCACTGTTTGATCACCTAGTGTTAGTTTCGCGCTCGCTAAACAAAATTTATCATGGTTCTCATCACAAGGACATACCTGATCTTGATCCAATCCTTGTAATTCGGACTGCTTAATAATGTCTCCAAATCACTACGACCACGGAACGCCGGCGGTCGATCGCCGAATTTGGGCGGGAGATATTCCAACAGGCCGAGTGGGACATAGCGACAACTGAAGCTCAGCCATTCCAGCAGGAAACGGCGCGTGGTGCCGACACCGATTTCATCTGAGCCCCAGTACTCCAGACCATTCCGGACAAACTTCTCAATGTAGCCTAAACGCTCGGTGGCGGATTTGTCGAGGTATTGGTTGGTTTCGATTTCTTCGAAGATCCAAGGCTTGACCAGGGCGCCACGGCCGATCATGATGCTGTCGACTTTGGAATTGATGATGCCGGATTGGTAGTCGACGTGGGAGAGAACGTCGCCGTTGCCGCAGAAGTAGGGAAAACCGTCATTGCCGGCGGGTAAATCTCTCGCATCTGGTTCCCGGACTGTGTCGGTAACGTCGGCGCGCTCACTTCTCATGCGCTTCACCAGCGAGGCGCATTCCGCGATGTATTCCCAATCTGCGCTTTTGGTGTACCGCTGCTGGCGGGATCGACCATGTAGTGTGATTGCTGCCACACCCGCAGGACCCCCGTCCTCTTGATCGTCGGTTGACCCCAGGATCAAACGTGAGCATAGCTTTTCCGCTGTAGGTTGTTTGTCCTTGGTGCCCATCCGAATCTTGACGGTAATGGGCACTTCACCAGAGACGGTATTCATTCCGCGAAGGATTTTGGCCAGTTTTCCATGCGTGTCCAACAGTGCTGATCCAGCGCCCTGGCGGAATACCAGATCGATCGGACAGCCGCAGTTGAGGTCGATGGCCCGTAGTCTTGGGCAGAGATTCGTAAGTGCTTCAGTCGTCTTCACCGCCAGCCATGGTTTGTTGGCAGCAATTTGTACACCAAATCGAATATCGTTAGCGTTGTCGTATCCCTCGACGACCGATTCCGACTTATATGCAGGCGGTGCAAGCTCCGATTCATGCGCCTTCATCAACGCCCATTCACCCTTTTCTCCTTGCAACAGCGGAAGACCCATGGCCATCTCTGACCATGTTACTTGAGCACCAAGTGACACACATAGGCGCCGATAGGGGAGATTCCCTTGCGTGGTGAGCGGTGCAAGGACAGGCGTTTCTGGCCCATAGTAGATCCGACGCTTCTCAGATGGCAAAAGCGGTGGCTCCACGTATTCTGCTCGGTTGTCTTGCTTTCCCTTTTTATTCGGATCGTCTCGCGAGTATTGCTTGTCGAGCCATTGCAGATATTTATCTGACTTGGGGAGAGGATGCTTCTTCTTGCGCAAGGTGATTTTGTCGCCGTTGCTGACGATATTGAAAATTCCCGGTCCGTCGGCTTCCTCATCCTTAGAAGCATCCTCGACGGATTGATCAGCACCCTCGTTCTTCTTGAGTTGAACCAGTTCTTTGCTGCCATCCTCACGTTCGACTTCTTTGGAATGACTTTTACTGAAACGGCATCTCCAACCTGCGTTGCACTTCCCACGAGCCTCCCAGATGGGGCATGAATCGTGGAAGGTGGTCAGGTCTTCGCGCTTGCCGTCCTGCAGGTACTTCCTGATATCGTGAATGTGCTTGCACTTGTCGCCAAAACGACACGTGATCGGATCAAATTCATTAGCCAGTGCACGAGTTCGACACAATTCAATGGCATCGCGAGAAGTGCCAAATTGTCGGTGAGTGTTTTGACCACCTTTGGTCTTGGCACCACCTCGACCAGCAGTGAGTTCGGGTTTGGATTTGCCAGAAGCTTCAGCAGCATCGTCGTCAATTGCTTCAGCCGATACTCCCTTCTGGCTCAGCTCAATGAGATATTCCTTTTTGATCGGCGCGACGCCACGTTGTCGTCCCGATTGCGTATCGTCCCGGGCATCTGTTGAACCATTGTTCAGTTTGATTCTCTTGTTCGGACCTTGATCATCGTGATCGTCGGACGACACCGCCGCATCGCCGTGCCGCTCAATCTTTTCTGCCTTGGTCATGGCAGAATCGCCTGGGAGTATGACCGCTTGAGGATGCACTTCGGCATCTTTGCTGGTCGACTGAATATCGACGTTGTCTGCCGACGTTTGCAAATCCTGCTGTGGGAGACCCATATTGAGTGAACGTCCGTCCAGTGTCTCTTGTCTCTTGTCACTCGGCGATTCTAGATTCATTCAACGGCTTGATATAAGTCCAATGTACACTGACACACCCATTGGCCGTTTTTGTCAATTGAATCCCGCAAAAATTGTAGCGCAAATGTTCACGATCGGGATTGCTGTATTCAGCCTAGACTGATTCCCAAGGGCAGAAATGTACTGTAGACCCTGACCGCACTCGCTGCGTATTTCACAGTCTTCCTCCACCTCATTACGGGTGTGTGGCTTCTTCGCACTGGCCCCGGCCTCTTCTGAAGAAGCCCGCGCGCGTCCAGAATTGCGGTGCGATGATGTACTGATGAGGTGGCCGCAACCCGCAATGACGTCGGTCGCAGTCAACGCCCGTACACTTTCGAAACTTGGACACTTCGCGCGCGCGTCGAGGCAGCAGTCATATTAACTTTGTCGAGCTCTGCCAAAGCTACTTCTCTTCCTTTGAAAACAATTCACATTGCTTCTTTGCACTTGTATCAGGAATCGACCGAGTCATTGCAATTTGCGCAAAGGCTCATCTCAACACATCTCGGACAGCTACGACCTGATTTATTCCGTCCTAAAAACTACCAAACACACCGCCACCATGACGCTCTACTACAGTCTTGTGAGTATCTTCGCGCAGCACAGTAGATTCCTAGCATCCAGAACTAGATGAAGACGGATGAAGACGGACGCAATGGCGATTGAACAGGGTTTCTGGTCAGACAACACAGACTTGTCCAAAAAGCTGACTATTCCAAGGTTTTCGCACTTCTGGTGTTCGAAATGGCGCTCTTTGCGACCTTGATCATCCCGCTGCCCTTCAAGCTGAAGCGTGGTCTCTTCACCTTCATTTCGGAGAACCCGATCGTGGCCAAGATCCAATATGGCATGAAGGTAAGCTTTGATCGCAACTGAGGGTTTCATCTTCCTTATTAATCGAGATTTCCACAGATTACCTTCATCTTTATCCTCATCCTCTTCGTTGACAGCGTCAACCGCGTCTACCGAGTCCAGGTTGAGTTGGCCAATGCCAAGCACTCCGGTGCCGCCGCTGGGTGAGTTCATACACAGCTTCACAAGCCGCGTGTCACATTCCGACCATTGGCTAACAAATATGCAGTGTTGTTGCTGGCAGCGACCGTATGGAGGTCCAGGCCCGCAAGTTCTACTCGCAGCGCAACATGTACCTGTGTGGTTTCACCCTCTTCCTCTCACTCATCCTCAACCGCACCTATGTCATGATCCTCGACACTCTCCGGTTGGAGACCGAGGTCAAGAAGCTCAGGGGTGAGAACCCGGGCAGCGACAAGACCAGCTCCAAGCTCGGCGAGGCCGGTGGTATTGGTGAGATCGCTCGCCTGAAGAAGGACCTTGCTCAGCGCGACCGCGACCTCGAGACTTTGAAGAAGCAGAGCCAAGGTCTCACCAACGAGTACAACAAGCTCGGTGACCAACACACCGTCAACGACGGCAGCGTCAAGAAGGACAGGTAAATTAGGAAACCGAGTGAATGATAAAGAGCAGATTCTGGAGATGTTACCACATATCGCTATCATGGCGAAAGAGAAGCGCGCCCAGGAGATGCGAGGAAGTTGGCAAGAGATGCTGTTGTTGAGCCTATGGAAACCGCGAAAAGCACCACGAGCCCTGGTACGGACACAGATATGGACAATGTGTTCATGATGATATCCTTTACTTGTAATTCAAAATCCCGATTGAAATTCAACGGAAACTCTGCTCGCATAATATATCAGCCGTACTGGTGCTATGATCCGTCTCGCAGTGCATGAAGTACCGTCGTAGCTGCGCATATTATCGAGGCACAGCCACATGCCTGTACATAAATCGCCTCTACTAATAATGCTGGGAGCACAGCCTTATCAAGCTGGGCGCCGCGCCTTGCAGACCTCGCGAAGCTCAATTGCAGACATGAACGAGGCAATGGGTGCACTACGGCGTCTGCATTGCCCTCAAAAGATAACTGATGCAATCGAAATCTTAAATCCAGGGACGTTGAGATCCGGGTCCCGATCTGCAAGATTGTATTGCTTGCTGTGTGTCGAGCGCCGATTCCGCGATGGGCTTGGAGAGACAAGCTGTGTCAAGGGAGCACAGCGTGCACAGTAGACAGCACTACTTGCACCATACGGCAAGACATTGTGAGACTTTGCTCTCAGACATGTGTCCAGCCGGAGCAGTTCTCATCAGAGAAATTGTCTCCCATGTTGGGGGGCTTTTGTGTGCTCTCAGTACCTTCAACCTCCAGCTTGTAGCTGCTTAAAGGCCGAATCATTGGGAGGTGCTACACAGTCCAGCGCAGTACGGTACTTGCGGGATGCTACTTGATCGTCTGGCGTGCATCTCGCATCTCACCCGTCCAAAGAGTGACGAGGTGTCATCGCGCACGCATTAGGAACGACGACAGCAATTACGGCGGCACAACCCACAGAACCTCACGGGAGCGGAGTGCCCAATTCACCCGTCGTGGTGCATTAGTCCACCAGGGTGAGATTTTCGAACAGGCCATTTCATCCCACGTCCGCAGCAGCCCACCCACGTGGTTGCTTCAATCGCCCGGCCAAGGCAAGCACGGCAGGGAAAGCCCGGGACGGGGAAGAGGCAGGCAGCGCGGAGGCGCGGGCGACCGTTGAAAGCCGGGAAACGGTTCGCACCTGTAGTCGACGAACGACAGGAGGGACCGACTTGACTTGACTGAAGCAGGGAACGCGTCGGCTCAGGACTCAGGAGTCTGAACATCTGCGGGCAAAAAGGACAGCAGGTCTACCTCCATACCTAGCCCTGGAGGTATTTGAGGTGGTTGTTCCTCTACACAGTCCGACGACAATTTACCATGATGATTCAATTGCATGGGTTGTTTCCCAGGTCTCCACCCACGCTGCGATGATGACGGGAGAAGGAATGTCATTCCTCTCCTTGAGCCAAGACGAGGCGCGTTCCCGCCCAGTTTTTCTGGATTGAGTGAGGAGCAGTCGTAACAAGCAAGGCCGTTGCGTGTTTTTTCCTCTTCCCTGCGGCGGAGCCAAACTGAATATTGATGATCCTTGCTCATCGTATGAGAGAATACGATCGTTGCTGACGCGTACCGAACTATATTGCAGTACTGTACTGTGCAATCCGATCTTTCGGGCTCTGCAGGATGGAAGCCGGGCCATGGGCTGAGGCTGGCGCGAAACCTTGTGCTGAGGGAAAGAGAGAGAGAGAGCCAAGGGATAGGGGGCCCCGTCCTCCACCAACAAAGGAGCAGATGCGACTATTTGTTTCCTGGATGCGATGCGAGTTTTTACCTTTCTCAACCGACCATTCGGATGGGACGCAGCAGCAGCTCCGTGAGAAATGTTTGTGCATGGGGACGGGCTGGCACTGGGAGGAGAATGGGTTTATAATTATCATCATGTAGCTGTCGCTGCGCCGCGTCTCACCATCGGTCTTCGTTTCGAAACTTCTCTCCAATTGCACTGCCAATCCTCACACACAACGCGCGCCGCAAAAGTCTATCTGGGGAGGGTGTGTTTCGATATACAGTGTTCAACTGTTATCATTATTATCATAACTTCGAGTGCTGTGCTGTGCTGTACACCACCGGATTTCCAATCGCATCGCCCGTCGCCGCCGCCCGCGTAACGTCTCGCCGATCTCCAGGCCGAGTCATCAATTCGCCCGTTCCTTGGAATTGGAAGTGAGATTATTCCTTGCAGTCACAATAAATATACTACGGACGACGCGAATCCTCCTTGCTCCTGAATCCTTGGCAGACGTCGCCTGGAAGGAGGAAACGAACCGAAAACCGGGCGAGACAGCAGCTGCGCCGAGAGAGAGAGAGAGAGAGAGCCATCATCACCGATCATCATTTCTGCTGGAAGTGACTGCTAACATCCATCCATCGAACCACCATCCATTTCGGCCAGAACAGCGCTGGAGGAGAAGAGAAGAGAATAGAACGCGACTGGACTGACTGCCCAGACAGCCTGGAGGAGGAGGAGGAGCAGTCTAATAAAATCGCCGACTACTGCACGCGCTACTGTACAAGCAGCAGCGTTTTCTGCCAGACTTTGCATGCGTGCTGAGCCGCCCAGACGTCATCTTCTCTTGCCCCAAGGCTGGAATTTTCCCTCCGTCTGCCAGCCTGGCATCATCAACATCCACCATTTCCCTATTGTTTTTCATTACTGGATTCTTTATTTTTACTGCGCAGTTCAACACACCCACCCACTCACCCACCTACCCACCCGCGCTTTATGCATGAACGCATGGCTTTTTAGTCTCCTCTCCCTGCTCGACTTTCCATACAGAGACTGAGCGAAAGAAAACAGGTCGCGTGCCCTTTGCATATTGTTATCCTTTTCTTGTGCCTGTCGTCGCCTCTCCTATACATACATCTACCTCACTTCCGCCTCACCCTCCTCTTCCTTCAACAACACATATTATTGTTGGTCTACTATCCCTAGTACTTCTCTGTCCTCTGATCAGTTTCACACTTCACGTTCACGATCACGTTCCACGCCATTTTACATACCTTCTCTTTGTGCAACATCGGGCTCGGGAATTTGCTTTGTTCTACGTTTCGCGCGCTCACGTACAGAGTACATCTTTTGCAATCCTCCTGCGACCCTTTTCCGTCTTCTTCTTTCGCATCACCATTGAGCTTCCTGTTTCGCATTACTCAAGGCCCAAGCGTTGACACTGGTCGATACCCTGTCGAATTCTGAGACCTTGACCCACCTCCCTCGTCACCCATCGATCTGATCCTTGTCGTCCGCTTGAATCCACGTCCTCTTCTGTTCGCTCCTCAACGGCCAAACGCCAACCGAGTTCACCTCACATCGACTCGTTACGACCTGCCGGCCCTGACTACAGCACTTCACCCAAGCCAATCTCGTTCGCGTGTTCAGAATGGCGTCCTGGATGTCGGGTTGGAACCCGATCGTCAACTTCCCTCAATACCACGGTCCATACGATGTCGGCACTGTAGATGTCGAGATACCAGCAGCCGATCTGCCTTCACCCGCAGAAGCACCAGAGGATGCTCAACCTACCATCGCCTTCCGAATCTTCTACCCTTGCGTCAAGCCCTCCTCTAGCAAACAGGATCGTCCCGTACGATGGATCCCTCAGCCACAGCGAGCGACCATCAGCGCCTTCGCCAAGTTCGTTGGTGTCAAGTCGCCGCGGATAGCTTCCGCAATCTCTCTCATGCCACAACAACTCTACTGGATCACACTTCCAGCACATCGCAACGCCAAACTCCTTGACCCACCTACGAGCAATGGCCGCTGGCCTGTCACATTCTTCAGCCACGGTCTTGCAGGAAGTCGGAATGCATACAGCTACGTCTGTGGAGATCTCGCGAGTCACGGCATGATTGTCATCGCCCTCGACCACCGTGACGGAAGCAGCCCCATTCAGTACGTCCGCGCCACGACCACCACCGAAGCGCATGTGGTCGACCCTGTAAAGATTAGTCATGAACCGAGTCAGGAGGTGTACGAGGGAAGAGACAAGCAACTGCGGATTCGCCTCTGGGAGATCAGCATGGCATATGAGGCGTTGATGAAGATTGATGCTGGATTGGAGGTGGAGAACCTGGACATCAACGCGAGCTCGCGCCGACGGGAGCGGGTAGAGGTACTTTGGCAATTTGACGGAATGCTGGATATCCACCGTGCTGGCAAGGTCACTTGGGCGGGTCACTCTTTCGGAGCCGCGACCACGGTCCAGCTCCTGAAGAGTATCTACTACTGCCAGGACCGACCTGCCAACTTTGGAAAACCTCTCATCACCCCCAAGGCCGACGCTGCGATTATTCACCAGATCGTTCCGGAATCACCAACCCTCCTCCTCGACATGTGGTGCTTGCCGCTGCGATCACCCGACCAGGCTTTCCTCTGGGACAAGCCGCTGCCATCGCATGCTGCTGGAGGACCAGGGGGTGACAATGTCCTATCGGTACTTTCGGAAGCATTTTGTAATTGGGAGGACAACCTCAACATCAACAAGCACATCGCCAGTGCACCTTCGCGATCTCGCAGACCGTCCAACGCGCCACGCCTCACGCGCGACCGTGGCAAGCTCCTCCCCGACTGGGCACGACTCCGCGAAGTATCTCCCTCCAAGGACTCCGGTTATGCCTCCGAAGCATCTCGGTCACCACTCCCGTCTCTACGGCGCCAAGCTAGTAGGGGCTCCGTACTGACGACCCCCTCCCTCCGGAGCGCAGTCTCCTCGAAGAACTATTCGGAGAAGACCGCGGACCGGACCAAGGGTCCGCACATGTTCTTCATCCAACGCAGCCAACACTTCAACCAATCCGACTTCGGCATCCTCTTCCCCTGGATCGCCAAGCGCGTCACCAAGGCCGAAGAACCCGAGCGCATCCTCGAGCTGAACGTCCGCGCCATGGTCCAGGTCATCCGCGAATCCGGCATCGAAATCCCGGGCGACGACGACAAGGAAATCCTCGACAAGGAGGGCAGTGTCCGGAGATGGATCAACGTGCCCAACGAGGAGGAATCCGCCGCGGATACCATCGGCGCCTTGCACCGTATCAACCGAAAGCTCTCCATCACGTCCACTCGATCCATCGCCCCTCCGCGCGACGGTATGACCATGGGTCAAAAGATGGAGGCCCAGTTGGACATGGTCTAGTCTTCTTCCATTTTATTTCCGCTATCTCAAGTTATGGCTCTCTTTTTTTTTCCATCGAAGGAAAAGAACGGAGGGATTTTCCCTTCACTCACACTGGGGGCTTTTTCTTTTCTCCCCTACATACCTGTTTTGTTGTTTCTCTGGTTTCTGTCTAAACCTTGTCCCAAGCATCTAGCGAGCGTGTGGCGAGATGGGGGTGGCATCCCCCTCCTTTCCTTTCCTTTCCTTTCATCTTCGTTTGCTTGGGTCGGTCAATTCTCACTATGCATACAACATCCCCCTTGACGGCGCGCGGTCGGGGATAAAATCCTGGAGAGCGAGAATTCTTTTTTTGTGCTGGGAAAAATCGGGATGGGATACGGCAATATCGGAGCAGAAAAAGGAGGGAATCATTCTTATTGTTTGTAGAAAGATACCCAAATGGCGTTTTGTTTTCATCGTCATTTCTGAACTTGACTTCTCTCTCTCTCTCTCTCTCTCTGTGTGTGTGTGTGTGTGTGTAAGTCACGTACTACCTGCCACCATCATCGCCATTCATTTAGAAAAATCACCACTTTTTCCCACGTCTGGGAGCGACCTATGATAGCGGGCGGTCACAATTCGAGGTCCGCCTTTTTGCCCTTCCCTCCAAGAAAGTTTGGGGAGAGTGCCGGATTTCATCAACGGGAAGTCACATTCATGGGCTTGGGTAGGTGAGATTTCGTTTTTGTCCCTGTTGGACATCGAGGATAATATTGATGATGATGATGATGATGATGATGGTGATGGTTGAAGTGAACAGAAATACAATTCATCCCCCCCCCCTTTCCCGATGTGGTGCATGCATCATCCGTGCCGTTTTGGAGGGCCATCGGGGGGTTTCTTGATCCCCTTCCGCTCCTCCTCCTCCTCCTCCATCAATGCTACTTTCTCTCCACGCTCCCCTCATCCAATCGTCGCCACTCCGCTAGCACGGTCTGGGGCCCCACGGGGAGAATGCAGTCGATGCCAATCCGGAAGTACCTGTGAGAGAAAGGCCGACTTGCTTTTTCCTGTGCGAAAGGGGAACGGATAGACGTTCGTCCTCGTAAAAGGCACAACTTGGCGTGATGGGAAGGGGGGCCCGTATAATTTACTTGCAGATGGGAAAGCAGGCTCCGCGAAATTGGTCCACGTCGGGAGAGCTCGGGCAGGCACCCGCTCTCTATCACGCGCTGGCCTCCGCAATGGATGCTACGGAGTTTGGCGTAAACGACGACGAAGATGATGATCTCGGCCGTGATCCCAGGAGATGGAGAATCTCCGCGATACGCTGTTCCGGCTGTTCTTTGAGATATTGCTCGATCTCCGGCGGGAGGTTGTGGCCTTGTCGCTGTTCCCACGCCGCGATGATTCGCTGGTTTATCCTCCGCCGCACCGACGCATTGCGGCGTTCTCGCACCTCCGCCATATGTCGTAGTCGGGCGGCGTTTTCTGTGGCAGATTCGCGTTCTGTCTCGGAGGAGTCTGCTGCGGCATCGAGATCGTCCTCGTCTTCGTCCTCCTCTGCTTCTTCTTCTCCTTCTTCCTCGTCTTCTTCCTCTCCTTCCTCCCCATCGCTGACGTCTTCCTCACTGGTATCTCCTGTTTCGGCGCGCGGACCCGTCTCGTTGCGATCTTCGACGGTGACGGAAATCTCCGTCTTGCGAATGATACTACACCGCCGGTTTTGGCGATCCCGTGGGTTGAATTCCCTAGGATCCCGATACGCACCGATCTCGTCTCCGGTCGTGTCCAACACCTTGATCCCCTCATCCTTCTCATAGCGTTCCCGCGCCGACTTGGTACCTTCCCAATTGCAGAATTCTTGGATCTCGCTGTCCGTGATCCTCAACTCGTCAAAGGCGTCGAAGAGTCTCCGGTGGTGCGGGAAGCGTCCTAAACGCATACGATGTGCTCGGTGGCAGTAGTTGAGACCCGGATATCGAGCCTCGGCGCTGTTGAGGTCGCCATAGTAGAGGTTGACTTCGATGCGGACCTCTGGGACGAGATTCCGTGCGAGGTGGGTGGAGAAGTTCTGTGGGTCGCCTTGCTTGGGCTCGGGGAAGATGTGATTGTACAGGAGCGTCGCGATGGGGGCTTGACGGCGCATTGTGATTATCCGAGACGATTGTGTTGTAATTGGGACGGTGCGGCTTCTGCTGTTATCGCTTCTTGATTTGTTGAGGCGTGGTATATACAATGGGGTGAATTTGGAGAGGCGAACGTGGAAGTTACAATGGCATCAAAACCGCCAGGCAAGTGTTGTGAGGGAGGGAGGTTAAAATCGCTATACTCGGCGCAAATGGTAGACAAAGAAATCGCGAGTGGAAACGGGACAGTGGCAGGCAAGCAAAGGACAACGAATGCAGCAGGTGGGAATGGTGGTGGTAAAGGTTCAAATGGGACAGACGATCCATTAGCGGTGCTGCATTATGCGGGCGGTGACAGAGCCGCCGACCAGGCAAAAAAGTCAACGATCTTCCCCAGCTTGAGGGCGAACCGCGGCGGTGGAATCCTCCGTGGCCGCATTGTACATGGTCCAGAGTTTCTGCCCAACCCAGAAGGGCAGGCGCACCATTTCTCCTCCACCATTGGGAATTGTCTACATGATCCTCATGGACACAGGTACAGTTCAGCAGCTCCAAAGACGATGGCTCATGAAGTACTGAAACCTTGGGAATGAATGCAAGAGAAATGGCCGTGAGGGTGTGCCGACGGATGCAGTGGACAGTTTCGTTTCACCTCCAGCGCACACATCAGGAAGAAGCAGCAGCAGCAACGTCAGGCAGGATCGGACCGCGCGCGGCAGGCAAGACATGATGGGAGCCATGGATGCTACGTATGTGCAGGCAAGAGGAATGTGGACTACCCACCTCATCAATCCTTATCGCTCATCTCTCTCGCCGATTGAAGATGATGATGGCGAAACATTCCATTCGAGTACTGCGGTCCATACAGTACAGTATCACTGAGCCTATGCAACATGGGGCGCAGACAGCCTAAACGCGGGACGACGAGAGGTTGCATGGGAACGCGCGTGATACACCGCTCTTTGTTGCAAATTTCTCAAGTCCTCCTGTATTGCACCAGCTTCACCATCGCACTTGTGGCCACTCCTCCTACTATCTCCTACTTAATCCAATGGGAACCATGTCGTCTCGAGTCGGTGGGCGAGTTCGTCGTAGGCATATAAACGGCGTCACGAGAGCGGCTTCCATCGTCGAAAACGACTGTTCAACATCCATGACAGGCGATCTGCTTGGCAGGATATTTGGGCACAAATAACCCGACGATGGGACATGAAGTTGGCCTGATGCAGGTTCGTACAGTAGTAGCAACAGTGGCGTTTGTGTGTGTGAGTGTGTGTGCTCAACTCTGCATCTGCATGGCCGGGGGAGGACTTGCGGGCTACCCTAAAGGCGTCAAATCAAAGCAATGCGCCTCGTAATCGCTGCGGCCTGCAGGTGGCCTCTCGACGGCCTGGTCCAATGCTCGACAGAGCTGAAATTTGCCCAGGTGTTCATCATATCAAGGTTGTCTTGGAGAGTTTGGCACGTCCAGATGCGGATATACTGCTGTACTCTTGGGCACTTGTGATGAGTCTGCAATGATCGTGGACTCAGCAATTGCCGTATGCCCAGGTGTATACACACGTCCTGCGCATCTACTCTCGGTCTTCCTACGGATCGGTCCCCTTCGGAGCACATCGCCGCTTCTAGCACGAACCGTGGACGTTGGCCTCCCATTGTTCACCAGCACGACCAGGTCCAGTACGCGCGGCCTTGTGATCTTCCCGTATACTACTACTATCATCCCTATATCCCTTTCGACTCGGGCAACGTCGAAATTAATCCTTATGCTCGCCAGGGACATTGGCTCAAATCCTCACGCATCGGTCATGCAGTTTTGTTGGCGGTTGGTCACAATTCGTCGTCAGACGAGTGGAATTTCCCCACAAATGCCAATGACTTCACCACAGTACAACGCAAAGAATTTCGATACTTTTTCGTCAGCGTAGCTTGACGAGCCATGTCTGGCGACATATCGTCAACTATCCGCCTGCCAATTCATCTTGCAATGCCATGCAGAACCACACATGAACAACAGAGAAGATGAAACCACAAGACTCACCCTCCAACATCGAAGAGTGGAGAAAGCACAACCCTAAAGAATCACGGAGTAAACGCCGATCCTCCCAGAAAAAAAAGTTGTCGTCCACACAGCGGCAATCCATCATCGTCCCCGCTGCTGTTGATAGCACCCGGGACACCATGGCCAAATGTATCGCATCCAACAGCTTGGGGGCCGCGCCTGACACATACCTATACGCTCTTGCCCACTGCACAGCCGGGAACGTCAAAACCCTCGCGACCATCGGCTCCGACGACACCCTCCGCCTCTTCGACCCCAACTTGAAGTTGTCCCAAGCTACGTCATCATGTCACGCCGGCGTGACCTGCCTGACCTCCAGCGACGACAACAGCAGCAACGTCCAATTCCTCACCGGAGGCCGCGACGGTCTCGTGCGGTGCTGGGACCCACGCTCGCGGGGACACATCGCACAAGCCTCCGACCCGCGGGGCAATGGCATCGCATCGCTAGCCAGTCGCGACCGCTTCATCGCCGTCGGCACAGAGAGTCTCAAGGAAGGCCTCGGCGACGTGAGCGTCCTGCTCTACGACACGCGGAACTTCACCGCGCCCATCCGCCAGTATGAAGAATCCCACACGGACACCATCACGCAGCTGGTGTTCCATCCGACACAACCAAACTTGCTCCTGTCCGGCAGTACGGACGGCCTGGCCTCGATCTTCGACGTCGAACAAACCGACGAGGAGGACGCCCTCCAACAGGTCCTCAACCCGCGATCGGCGGTGCACTGTGCGGGATTCATCGCCGAGGATCAAGTCTACGTGATATCTACCGACGAGCAGTATTCCATCCATACCCTGGCCAAGACGTTGTCCGAAGACGAAGAGGTCCCGCCGCCGATTCAATTTGGTGATATGCGCGAACGCCTGCAGTGTACTTATGTGATTGATGTGGTGCTACAGAGCAGTGGCGGCCCACCCTTGATTGCGCATGGGAACGCGGAAAGTGGGAAGCTTTCGTTGACGTCCCTGGGAAGTCCGGGCTCGTGGGCTTTGGGTCAGAGCATCGACCTTCCGGATGCGCATGGCTCGGAGATTGTTCGTGGAGTGCTCCTGGATGCTGGCCTCACGTACACGTGTGGTGAGGACGGCACAGTGAAGGTTTGGAACGTGGGTCAATGATATCCGAGCAGACAGCCTGGTGGATGCAGGAGCTAGCTCGATGAGCGTAGACGCGCCTCACCAGCGATGAAACACCATCGAAACTCACCCATTCACCCATTGTAACCCGGTCCACTATCGCTGTTCAGAGGGATCACAACGGGTTCACAATCACGTCGCACGAAAAATTTCCAGACAGGATTCGAAAGCGTTGCAAACAGCAACGAGCGTGCAATTCATGAGCTGCTTAATGCCACTATTGTAACGCCATGTTCCCTCCCAAAACCCGCAAATGCCCATCCTAGCCCAGCTAATGACATCGTCACATCTAGTAGAAAGTGTTGGGGCGCGAGGCGGCGAAAACGTTCTTGTTGCGCTTGGGTGCCTGGCGATGGGGCAGAGGGAACTTGAGATCCTTGGTGATGAGCTGCTTGATGTAAGGTCTCCGGATGTCCTCGGTCTTCTCAACCTCGACGACCTTGAGGATCTATCTCGATGGGTTAGTATATGCGATCTTTGCTCCAGTCCGCAACGGTTGATACTCACGTGGATCGACCTAAAGCGAGCGCGGTGGCGGGAAGCCATGTCCTGGTAGAGGGCGACGACGGCATCGCATCGGGACATCTCGCGGTACTCCTTGTACATGTTGTGGGTGCCTGAGCGAGAGTCGTATCGGATCCAGACACCGAAGTTCTTGACCTTGAGGGGGTGCTTCTCGTTGATCTGTCGTCCGTGTCAATTATGCGCTTTGTATGTCTTCTTCATGGAGAAACCAATCTCCATGCAAGTTGCACCCTGAAGCCGTACCTTGTTGAGGCTGACGATCTCACCGTTGGCCTTCTTGATCTTTCGCAGCTTGGCAAGGAAGTACCAGAAACGGCTCTTCGCGATCACATCGTTGGGAGCAAAGATGCGCATGCGGTAGAGCTTTGGCGACGGGTTGGCATCGGACGGCAGATGACGGCCGATGACCTGGTATTCCTGCAGGCGACCTGTTTTACAACAGAATCAGCGCTGTCTTATGGAAGAATTGATAACCCAATGTGTATGTCCACTGAAGCGCCATAATCCCTCGAAACCAACTCTTTGGGGCTATTGCATTGAGCAAGAAGAACACATCATCGCCCGTAAGTCGTTACAAGCTCTTTCTTCCAGAACAAGTCGGAGAATCTCATGGCGCTTCGGTGGACACGCATTGGGTTGCGACATTGTCGCTGAGAAACTGCTTACCCATCTTGAAGAAGGTCAGTAAAGTTCTTAAAGTGTGTTGTGTAATTCGCGGGCTACTCACTGTGACTGAAATTTACCAACAGCAATTGATGATGTTGAATTTGGTCGTGTGTGCACCAGTCGTAAAAGATGTTGTCGGATTTCGTGCTGGAGTGTGTGCGGCACGACGGCAAGGTCCGCAGCGCCAAGTCTCATTGTTATCCTCAGGCATCAACACATGCTCGAGGGCAGAACCCATGTCTACGATACCCTAACCAACCTCACATGCACAAATATTGAAATGCATCCGAGAGAGGCTACCTAAATCGCATTGACGGTCATCTGTAGCCTGCGGAGCACGGAAAAAGCCTTTCGAAATGGCTGATGCGAATTCTCTGTTTAACGATTTTGCCCGGGCAAACGATGAACAGAATGGGCCACTGCTAGCTACAACCATCGACCCAGCGCCACCAGCACATGATCCAGCTCGTCTCTACAATTTTCGAAAATCAATCAGTCAGTACAGTGTGCGTGCAGATCTTCAATACCGCCTGCAGTACAGTCCTTCCCTCCAATTGGAAAAGAAAGAAGCTGCTGCCTGGCTTGAAGTGCTGGTGGCGTACTACAAATTTGTAGTCACGCTTCTAAGCACTCAGGAAACTCAAAACGTTGGCCGGCCCAGCGATGCGGACTGGAGTAAAGTGTATGAAGCATGGAAAGACGTCGTGAACGCCCTCTACCGAGGCTACCAGGGCAATGTCTTCGCTGCATGGACGATCCCATGTTTGTATGCGGCAGGACGCTATCTTCGCATCTTTGCAATCAAGGCCGATCAAGAGATCGCCGTGCAACGAGAGTCTGGTCTTACTTATGGCGGGATCCAAGAGGACGATGCGTTTGATCCGAGTAGCAAGCACGATAAGCTCGAGGACGCTGCTCGCCAGATCAACCGCATTTTCGGATTATGCATCGGTGACCGGTAAGTTTTAAAAACTGGTGAGTCGTGCGGTAGCGGGCAAATTCCAAAAAACTCATGGTAAGTTTAGTAATCCCATTGAAGATTCTCGAAAATGGGCTCTCTACTACGTCGCTACCTTGCTCTTCAAAACCCATTTCAAGCTCAACCACATTTCGCTTTCTAAAAACATCTTGCGTTCCTTACGAGCCTCCAACGAGGACATGCCCCCTTTGACGGCCTTCCCAGCAAGCCATCAAGTCACATTCCTGTATTATTGCGGCGTGATCCACTTTCTCGAGGAGGACTATGCGACTGCAGAAGAACACCTTCTGGCAGCTTACAACAAGTGCCACGTTGGCGCCACCAAAAACCTTCAGCTGATTCTGACATACCTGATACCGACCAAATTACTCACGTCCCACATGCTCCCCTCCTCAGCGCTGCTCGCACAATACCCTCAACTAGCCCGCTTATTCCAGCCCGTCTGCGATGCCATCCGTACTGCAGACCTGAAAGCGTTCAATGCGGCGCTCGAGAAGGGTGAGGATGAATTCGTCAAACGTCGAATCTATCTGACACTAGAGCGGGGACGCGACATCATCCTCCGGAACATCCTTCGGAAAGTGTTCATCTCCGCAGGATTCGAAGCTCCCAAGGACGGCGATACATCGGCTCCTCCTTCGAGAAGAACTAGAATTCCCGTGGACGAATTCGCGGCAGCTTTGCATCTCGCTGGGGCAGAAGTGGACAATGGAGAGGGTACCGTTGACCGCGATGAGGTGGAATGTCTGATCGCAAATGCAATCTACAAGGTACGTCTCCCCTGATGGCAGTCTACATGCGATCTACGAAGAGACTGACATGACACAGAATCTGATGAAAGGTTACATTGCTCGGGAGAGAGGAATCGTTGTGCTCAGCAAAGCCGGTGCCTTCCCGGGTACAGGCGTGTGAGAGTTTCCATCCTTCCAGAACACAACGTATGTGGCTATCTCTTTCCGGACCATATAGCCGATGTTGTGCATGTGTCTCCGCAAGGCAAGCATAGATCCTCCACTGTTGGCAAGGGTGTGTTGACCGATGTAGTCACCATTATGACTCATACCCATTCGCCTCGCCAAAGACTTGATCGCCCTAGAAGGACATGCATCACATGACCTCTATGGTGGCCATGCATGACCATGTCAAGCCTGATAGAACACATCGAGTGGATAGAAACAGGAAACGTGATGCAGAAATGAGATGTCCAAGCTATCATGTCTACGTAGTGCATCATTTGCCTAGGCAATAAAAAATCTTGTGATAGGAAGAGAAATTTCAGACTCGCGATACTTCCCTAGAGGGCTAATTCCAACCCATTTCCGCCTCTCTCGCACGACCTCGCGTTTCCGCGCCGATGGTCAATAGCGTTAGTGTGACAATTTGTGTATGCGTCCTCGCCCGCATATAGTGATACAAAAACCAACAACAACAATAATAGATCTCTCTCCAATCTCGTGATGTTTCCTCGGAAACTTGTGGAGAGGAAAATTCTGTCCCACCAATAACGCCTTGCTGAAAGGAAAGAAGTTCGAACCCAAAAAGACTCATCGCGCCCGCCGCCGTATTTGTACAAGAACATGTCGTCGTGGGAGACGAGTGAAGAGGAAACGATGTGTCTTTCGTGGAAAGGCATCGTTGAGAGATAGAATGGAAGAGAAAAAAAAGAAAAGAAGCAAGAAATGAACAGAGAAGAAAGCAGATCATCGATTGTGCCGGTCGCGACAAAATATCGCGACCGGCTCAATCGATGACGGTGAGAAGAGAAGCCGCGAAGAGAGAGTTCATCGTGGGGTGCGTTGGACGGACGGCACTACACTCGAGGGGATTTGCCGCTCGTGACATCCTCCTGTGCAGAGATCCGTCAGCATGGACATGTAATGTATTCAATGACTCAGGTGTACTTACGAGATGGTTGACCATGGCGACGAAGAGGTCGAAGAAGAGTGGCGTGCCTCCTGCTTCCATCTCCAACTGCATGGTGCCGCTGCGCTTGAATGTGTTGCGGCTGCGGATGATTAAGGCGAGGTAATGTGCCCGAAGTTTCGAGTCGGAAGCGGGTGTATTGGCGTAAGCGTAGCGGGCGGAAGACAGGATGGTGCTGCATTGCACGTTTGCCGCGAGGCCTTGCTTTTTAAGTGCTAAGCGTTGGAGTTCGGGTAGTTGGTAGCGATAAGCGGAGCACTATGTTCTCAGGATGAGATCGAGAAGGAATGAGATGACAAGTGAGTCTTGTGACTTACATAGATGACAGTGTCCCTCAAGATTGATGCGCCGTGTGCCGACTGGATGCAATAGTCGTTACCCTGTGTCCCCTCTTGGTCTTCCAGGAACCAACTGCCACGCTTCTTATCATAGTTGATGTTTGGAGTATAATCTCCCTTATAGAGATACTCGAGAACCGCAGAGAATACTTCAGGCGCTTCGTTGGGAAGTTCGATACGCTTGCCGGCAGGTTCGAAGAATTGCGCCCGAACGATGTCGGCGAAGTAGGGCGACTTGTTCAAGACGCCTTCGTGAGCGGCGAATAATCTCTGCTCAGGTCCGACACTGATGGTCACGACAGCTGATGCAGAGTCACTTCATGGCGATATTAGTCTTTGTATATTCCATTCAAGGAGACGATGTTCGAGACTTACGGTGATGTGGGATATGTACTCTCAGTCCGGGTAGGTGAGGAATGTGATGACGATACTGGAGCCAAACGAGTGGTTGTGACACGCTTTATCGGAAGTTGGATCTCTTTAAATGATTTCTGTTTTTTGCTCATCGATTTTCCAGCACGATGCTGGAAACTCTCTCGATGGGATTTGCTGCGTGAGCTGGAAATGAACATGATGGATGAACGCTTGCACGACACGCGGAGGGAAATCACAAAGTTGAAGGCAAACCACGGAAGATGATGAAGGAATTTCGATACAGGATGTGGAGATACTTATATGACACAGACAGGAAGTGCTCAGGCATCATCAGAAGGAGACCGGGATCGATCGCGAGCGATGGAGATATCTCTCTCTGGGTCAGCCATCGTAATGCGGGCACACCAGTCCTATCTTGCTAGTCAAAAGGCGTCCGCTTCGACGTACAAAGGGCGGGACCATGAATTTCTTGATACTTCCGGGCGACGACGGCGTTGGTGATTGGACGTGTAAAGTGGTTTGACCAACGCGCTATCCCGAACGCGAACGAGTCGCGATATCACGAGTCAATTTGGATCCTTCCGGGCATAGATGAGTCAAGGTGCACAGGGATGACACTGTCCAGGCCATGCCCAAAGCGACGGAAGACCAAGCCGCTTCAGGGAAGGAGGCTCGCGCGAGTGAAGCCTCCCGCTGTGGAATGCGGCCGTGGTGTCAACGTCCGTCCACCTCCTCACTGTGCCATCCGTCGCCACGACGCCGACGGCCGAGAAGGCGTCAGCAGACAAAAAGATGCTGTGCAATAATACAGTACGTCGCGGCTGAGTCACAGAGATAGTATGCGGTGTCGCTGTCGATCAAAGCCTGACCGGACAGCCTTGTACGAATCCGCAGCTTTTTCCTGTGTTGGACAATTGAGAAATCCCATGTTGGAGCGATGGGCTCCGAGATTTTGGTGATGGCCTCCTCTCGATGATTGACGGCGCAGGAGTGACCCTCGAAATGATGCCAAAGATCCAGCTGATCACGACGCTAAATTGTTAGAGTTTACCCACCGGATTACCGTAGCGCAGGAACCATCCAACAGACCCCTTTCCGTCGGTCGCCTGTGACGGGAGGCATTTGTCCTGCCGATGAGACCTTTCCAACCAGCCGGAATGGTCGAAATGTTGGCATTCCATCATGTCGTAGTCGCCTGGTGGAAGACGCTCGGTGCTCCGATGGGAACAAACGTGTGAAAAATCCGTCATATTTGTGAGTGACGACACATGTGGAGCCCCGAACCCTAAAAGCACCCCTTGCCTGTTCCTTGATCCTTGGGCACTGCTGCCTAGAAACGCTTCAGCCAACGACTGGGGTAGATGATAATGGCCTTGTGGCAGTGCCCGGCAGTAGGCCGACACTGTGATCATCGATAGTGAAGCTCAACTACAGGCAATCCACAGCTCTGAATCAGACAAATAAAACCTCGCCCTTTCACTATTAACAACATAGAGGAGAAGACGAGTTGCCCATACGTGAGTCATCAAACACGACCATGTAAGCTCGCCTCTGTTGGTGAGGCAGTCGTCTCCACTCATCTGTGTGCGATGCTTCCTCTTCAATCGTAAAGACAGACCGACGCAGTTCTAGTCTGCACGTAAGACATGCCAGAACTCCCGGAGGATGTGATACACCTGATATGCGCTCAGATCATATCAACTCCCCGTCACAGACTACTTCCCGCGACGCCGAGAGAAGTTCTTTCGTGGAAGATCGACCGCGCACATGGCAGTCTCCATGATTTGCAGTCTATAGCATTAGTCAACCGCGCCTGGAACCGTGCGGCCAACTGGTCGTTATATAACACACTTCAGATCCGGCCTCGATGGGTTCCCAACATCGACCGGCTGTTGGAGGGATTCGTGCGAGATCCGGAGAGGGCGAGCCACGTTCGAGCGCTGCGTATACGCAGCACACCTACCTGGTCTAGTAAATTGTCCCGCCAGGCGTGCCATCCGGCGGTCATCGATGCTGCCAAGGATCTACCAATCGATGGAGGCATTCGCCGACAGCTGATTGAGGATCTGAAGTTGGGCAGAGCGGATGCGAAAATCGTTTCGCTGCTCTGCCTTTGTCCGAAAACGGAAGCTCTGCAATTCCGGGATGGTGGATGTGAGGCCGACTCGCTCATGTTAGATGTGATTGCAAGTGCTCGGAAATTCAGCAAACCAAGAGATCTTCCGTTTTCAAGCATAAATTTGCCTGGCGAGGCGAATGACTGCCATTCACGAGCTCAGCTAACAAATCTCGACTTCTTAACGCATCTCAGAATAGTAAGAGTCTATTGGAAGAATAGCAAAGCAGGTGAATGCGCAGGAACGATTATCGCAGGCAACGGCGATGCCCACCTTGCAATGCCAGTCGAGGGCCTTCACCCATCTGTCGACTGCCTTTTCTCACCTATGAGAAGAGTGTTGCAAGACTTCCCGTTTCTGAACGCACTTGCTCTATATTCAGGTCGAAGGCCTTGGGGTCGAGAGGCGTGGCCTTGGCATGCATCAGAGAAGTGGTTCACGAACAGCAATCAATGTCCTGACCGAATCGGGTCCGCAATCGACATCTGATCAGACTCGGGAACATGACCGGATCCTGGAGCAAAGGCTTTCCTGGACACATCTCCTTCGGACATCTTCTTTGCAAGCATTGGAAATCGACCGCAGGGCTCTTTTCGCTCGAGGAGGACGCACAACTCTGCAACAAAAGCTACCTAAATCGATCCAGGCGCTTTGGATCAATCATCAATGTGCAACACGCGGGAACACTGGTATGGATTTCCTTCGGGTACACATCCAGGACCATGATCTGCAGCTAGTACAGCTCATTCTGGATCCTGAGTTCGCAGAATTGTGTCAAGTGTGTCTTGTGCCTAACGGCGATTATCCCTACAAATTTGAATCTACATTGCGCCTTCAGTTGTTTCAGACTGCGCTCATGGGAACTTCATGGGAGATAACGGCAGGATCCGACTGGATGCTCTTTAAAAAAAGGCGACAAGATCGGCTTGCGAACGAGAATGAGGATCGCAGTGGCTCTTGGCCCTGTGAGCCTGGATACATACTTGCAGACAAAGGTTCATCCAATTTTGGGCCGAACTTTTGAAACTTAAGATTTCTCTCAATCGGCTTCTGCACTATGATTATCTTCGACATGCAACAATTATGTCTCATTTGATATTGGGAAACGAGATGAAGGTGTTGAGAAAGATCACGTACTTCACTGAGGGGTTTCCGCCATATACAATGATACCCACCGCACGGCCAGGCCAGATCTACAACGACGAGATGGCACACAGATCAATTTTGGGTACCTCACAGCTGGGCAAACATTCCTGAAACTTACATTCGCGGTGGGATAATGTCTTGGGTACTGTGATTAGCGTTTTGCAATTGTACGAGGTCCGGTTGGCAAAAGCCACGACAACCCTTGCGCAAGACAGCAGAGCCACGATGGGATTCTGTGCTGTACCAGCGTCACTGTATCTATAACAGCATGGCAGCATGACAGCATCTGTTGTTTTGCCAATTCGTCACGCCCGACCAACATCTCACCGCCCGTGAAATTGTCTTCCGATGCTGCAAAAGAGTACAAATGAATGCTAAGGCTCACGAATTTGAAGCCGAATGGGGAAGGAGGCAGTGCTAATTTGCTGCTTTATTGTCCTAATCTGGCCAAAGTCTGCATGGCTGTCATAGCCTAGTGAACATGATTCGTCGTGTAAGCGCCCGGTTGGCAACTGCACGACAGTGATGACTTCCCATCCCTGCCCAGGCGGACATGAACAGTAACGGGCAAATCCTCCGCAAGGGAAACCATCAAAAGCGCATCAGCACGTCCATGCCCGACGATCCCTGACCGAACCGTTGAAAGGACAGCCATTCTTTCAAGACCGATAGTCAGGTCGGCAAAGGATCCAATTTCGCCCGTGATGGTGTGTCTAGCATTGTTGGTCTCGATTGACTAGGCTCTATACGGCCACTTACCATTGCTCCCACAACTCGCGTCTAGATAGCGGCTAAGCCACAACCGACCCACTGTTCCGGGTTTGGACCATTTCGGCACCATGGCAGCGACGATGGTGGTGGTTTGCATTGGGGGCGGTGTCACCACTAGAGTTGGGCGGGAGTGAAGTAGAGTGAGAGAGGCAGACTCACAGGCCGATCTTGTGCGGATGCGGTGTCTTGCATCCGCAGTGGCCTTTCTCGCCGAATATTGATAAAGCGCAAGCCATGCAAGCCCATCAACCAACACTTCCAAGGTTTCTATCCTGTTTTGCTCCGTACAGGGACCGAGCGACATCCCACCTCACCGCTCGATCACATCTCGCTGGTGGCTACGCGCGCGTGCAACATGATTTTTCGGACAGGTCATATTCGTCATACAGTACGTGCGTGGACGTTCTGCGAGAACAATACGAGCCGCTCGGGCAATCGCCGAGAGGGAGGAATACGTTCCCGTCCGTCACGGTCCGATCAGGCCGGGGAGCTGTACCAGCGCCGTTGTTACATAGTGCTATGTCCCATGTCCGGCTTTATTATCCATGGACGACGTGGATACGTGCAGCGTATGCGTTGGTTGAAGACGGCCGACATGTGCCAATGGCAAAGTCCATGTGTCTCTGATGACAGCGCACACATCTGCGCGCTTACGTAGCGGGGTACATGTGATCTCTAGATCGAGGTTCGCGGGAAGATGTTGTTAGGGGTACATGTGCATACTCTGACACGTACATTTATAGCATTGCGATAGCAAAGAAAATGCAGCTATGCCGGTTGTACGCGCGCGTCGATGCCGTAGAAGTATCTATCATCACGGCGATATCGTCCCGTCGGTGGGGACTGACACACTGCTAAGCTCGCCAGGCAGTAGCATGCATGAGCCTTTCTACAGTAGATACAGGAGGAATAGAGCAAGAGATGTTTGAGGCTTGGTGAAGAAGGCGGAGGAGAAGAAGATGGCAGAAGGCAAAGGAGGGGGAATGAGGAGTCGGAAATCCGCTGAGTGTTTCACATCTGCCAGGCGAAGGAAGGAAGCCTGTCCCTGGACCAGGGTCCATCTCATTCGCTCGTGACTGCCGCGATGGGGTGAACGTCGTCCTCGCCCTCTTTCTCTCTACACCGTGCCGTGCTGGACTTCTTACAGTCTATCATCACTACAACAAGACATGGAGAGGACAGATTGACGGGAATGATTGAGAACCCCACCGACGACATAAATCATCGCGATGATGAGGACAATGAATGCCGCAAGCCAGTTTCATCTTGCTTGCTGCCCAGCAAAAGAAAAGACTCAGAACTGTGCCGCTCGCCTGCCGCAACGGACACTTGCGACAATTCGGCTATCCCGGTCGCCTGTACTTCCTGCCCCGTCTCATCATCAAAGCTTCCTTGACCGCGCCTCATTGATACCCGTCTCTCGTCTCCGTCCCGCGATCCTCTCACCTCGTAAAAGACGAGATGGGATGATGCATTATGCCGTTAGAGAACCGAGATTGCCTGAAATTGACCGCGGCTAGGAAACTATAATCCATATTGTCATCATCATCACAACAATTCTAGATATCCTGTAGATCGACGACGCCAAAACCCAACAATCTTGGAAAGACATTCCTGCGTCTGCGGCCCACGCTCCGTTGGTGATGTTGCTTGATGGTGCGAGAGAGAAAAATGGGCGAGACAAGGCTCAGACGAATTAGTTAGTCTCGGGCCATGGCTCTCTCGTCGACCGAACACACCATCGCGAGTCTTGGACGACCGCGCCCAGTTTCGCCCGTGCAAGGAGCTGCGCCTTCATGCCATTGATGCTGCATATGTACATACATTAACTCATATAACACTATACACACACGCCGTGTAGGAGGACTGTGCCCTGTGCGGATCCGTCTAGTGGTGGGTGCGGGCGCAGAGGGCGAGTCCTGCACTGCGGTCAAAGAAATCAATGGGTTGATATGAGCGATAAGACAAGGCGACGGGCAACTCATCCCATCTTTTTCACCTCTGGGCATCCGGCCAGCACCCAGCTTACGGCCTCTTTGCATTGCGCCGCCTTGAACCAACACCAACCTACTGCACTGTACATTATGATTCTTATTCCTACATAGGTAGCGATCCAACCATACCATGCATGTGTCCTCCTTCCTTTTCCTCTCCTCTTCTACAAGCCTCTGCATCTGTCTCCACCAATATCGCGACTTGCCTATCACCAACCTCAATCGTCGTGACGGAGCGACATTACGCCATCTGCTGTAGCTTTCGGACCATTTGCGCCGGCATGCCGCGTTATCATTGACTGCGCCGCGATCCTCCACCGCGTCAACTTTCGTAAAATACCAGTCGCCGCTTCGCCGTTGAGATCATAATTCCCCGTCCCGAATTGCCATGGCCTTGAAGAGTCCCGTGATGGCTTCACCCTCAACCGCCAGTCTGGCGTCCGCATTCAGCCCATATAGCGCTTCAGAGTCACCAAAATCGCCTTCGCAATTTGGATCGCCGTATTCCAACACCACGGCCAATGCGAGCAACCGGTAGGTCAAGACAAATGCGAGGTCGACTCGCGATGCAGTTGACGTGCTCTGCCTGGGATCGTGCTAACTTTCCCGGCGCAGAAACTCGATTCCTCCCGACAGCTTGGCCCCACCAAAGAGCCCTTACCCACAGCAAATTGAACCTTCGCCAGTCGATTCGAATGGGACAGCAAGCACAGAGATCGAGGACGACGAACAAGAGGAGGAAAACCGACGGCGCGGCACGGACGTTGACGAGGCACTGTCGCCCGACATAGAGATCACCAGTCCGGGGAGTGCGAGGAGCGTGAGTGCTGCGCAAAGAGATCAAGATGATACTTGTGCTGACCCACAACAGGAGGCCCCGCCTCGGTTGGATACCCAGCTCCTTCGGACGAGGTCCGATTCCACAGAGGACGCGCCACAATCAGTCATTCATGTCCCAGAAGGGTTCAAAAGCTTTGACAAGGCAGCACGAGGACCTTCTCGAGAGAAGCGGTTCAACAATGCCGCTGGAGCCTCTCCGGTCACGCCCGAGGCTGCTGTTCCAAGTCAAGATCTGAAAGTGAGTTGAACATTTTGCGACGTCGGTACCGATTGATTCAATGTTGACATTGGATAGAATCCGTTTCCTCTCAGTCCTGTCATCACCGATATTCCACGAGTCATGGAGCGAGCTACACCACGAGCACAGTCCAGACAGGAATCAGAAGACGAGTACAAGCGCAAGAGTCGTCGCACCTCGAGTCTAGAAGGTGAGCAAACTTTAGCAAGACACAAATTGAGTCCCACTAATCAGATCTCAGACATTCCCGAGGCTGCAGACAAAGACGCCGACGATTCGAATCGCCAGAAGAGTAAACCCGCAAGCCCCGAAACGGCCGGTCTCGTGGAAGACGGCGTACTGAGCAAGGCCATTCGCCAGATAGATCAAGCTGAAACCGACATCTCTGCACTGCGGACTGCCTTGAGTGAATGTTGGACTTTGTGCAACACCCTCGCCGGCCTATCTTCTTCTCACCGACAACGAACCTTCAAGTTCACAGGCAGGGCCGAAGTACAGGAGCAGGCCTGGCGGAATTGCTGGCGCCTCTGTCAACAATTATACGAAAAACGCGATGAGGACCATGCTAGTCAAGTAATCCCCACCATGGAACTATGTCGCGACTTCTGCCAGGCATTATTCGAGGCAAGGCAAAAAACCGACGAGGCGTCTGACTCCGTCCTACGCGTGAGCTTCGAGCTCAACAATCACCTCTACAACACACATGATCGAAGTCTTCCAGATGCGTTCAACGAGCGAACACTTGAATTCTACATCACGCTTTGCCATCGATTGATGAAGCAACGGACATCGCTCCCTCAGGAGACGGACTCGTTGCTGCGAGCGTGTTGGTCACTCGCAGAGATGCTTTTCAACCTTCGACAAAGCAAGCACGAAGGACGAGCCGATGACGAGGAATTGATTGGTTCAGCTGTACAAGCCTGCTGGGACTTGTGTGATCTTTTCCGCGAAGGCTGGTCGCAGGTTCGTCCTGATAGAGGAACGCCACGCGCCGGTCAAACGAGCTTTGCGTCCTCTGCGCCATTCCGGTCGGGCTCCGGACAATCCATGCGATCGATCGCGCGGTCGACTTCGAGCGCATTGAGTATGAGCAAGAAAGCCTATGACATCGGGGCATTCCCTCCAGAGACCCCAATTACTGTATTCGATGACACCACCTCCACCGCCGCATCCTCGCCCGACTCGGCCACGATGCCGAACATTCTCGTGTTAGGTCCATCGAGTACCTCGGGTGGATCCATCCGTGGGGGCATATCTCACCACGACCGATGGTCAAGCGATGCATCCGTACTCAGCGATTACTCCGAATCCGTGGCCTCCCAATCCGTAGCCTCATCACAACATTCCTCTTCGACGGCAACCGCTGCTGCGGAGGAGACGCATCTCCTCCGACTCCGATGCCTGCTCCTGCGCGCCGCTATGCAAATTGGCTACGCCAGGGCATCGGGTCAACCTCTCCAGGCCTTCGTACAAACACTCCCGAGCACAGCCTTTGGCACAGCGCCTTGGCACATCAAAGTCTTTGGGTACTACAAAAACCTGATTCAGAGCGACAAGTCCATGGCTGCAGCACACATGATGCCTTCACGACGCCTCAGCGCCAACGAGGCCGCGAAAGCGGTGCGATGGCTCGGCAACAACGACCAGTGGGCTTGGATGCGCGATCTCTTCCGGATCGTGTTCGGGTTCGGCATCGATGAGGCCAACGACCGTGAAGCGCAGTTCCTTGTCTGATACGTCGCGATGAGCACGCAAATAACCTTTCATGATATCTTCGCGCGGTGCCAGTCAATTCGACATGCTTACGAATTCATCTGGATCTTTGACTGCCGGTTTCCCCCGTCAGCATACAAGACTCTGCTCTGCCTGCACACAACAGCAGCCGCAAATTATCTAAAACCTCACCTTGGTTCTCCAGTGGTATGTATGCACATCCTCTGGGAATCAACACAATATCCGCTTGTTTTCCATATGTATAGGGTGGTTCTCTTTGGCAAGCACACGGGGCGTTATTCGCACGGCGGGTTGACCATCAGGGAAGTTCTTTTATGATACCCAATCTGATTATATTTCGCGAACATGTAGAGAAACCAACTGCCGGATCTTTTCACTGCTCACTGTATATGCGATTTGTGTTTATATTGTGATATTACGGGCCTGTCGTCAAGTCGTGATTGATCTTGACGAGATTTGCCCATCGACTTACACTACAAATTCTCGCCTTCGGTCTCATGGTTCTGCAGGGTGCTCTCGTAGGACACACGAATTACAACACCGCGAGAGTGGCAATGAACGCTTGTAAACGTTTCGCCGAACTCTGGAGCATTGCCCGCGCCGCGCCATCGCTCTCGTGCTTCTTCCCGGTCTTGCTCTTCGCACTGCCCGCCTTCTTCTCCCTTGCAGCGATCCCAACCTCCACCGCACGTACAAGTGTGTCCCTCTTCTCAATCGGCAAGCACTCGGCCTGCCACAGGTTTCTCAGGACACTCTCAACCAGCACGCTGACCTTGGCATTATCCACCGCACTCGAACTGCTGGCCGCACGGGGCGCATACCATTTCTCAAATGCATCCTGCGTCATACTCGATGAGGGATCCGTCGCCGGTGTGTCCCCCGCTACCAGCGACTTGAGCAGCATCTCACTAATGGTGACTTGCATGTCGATGGAGAAGTTGGAGGTTAGGGGTAGTGTGAACTGCATGAAATTCCCAATGGGTAGTGGCCGGACGAATTCTGCGATCAAGGAGGCGAGGTTATATGGCTCGATGGAGAGCTCGGGTGCTCCGAAGCTGAGCGAGGAGATTACCGCTAGGATTCGTTGTCGGAGGACGATTGTGGGGTCGCTGCCTTCTTGCCATGCTATGGCTCTGGCCGATGCTGCCTGTTCATCATCGTCGTCGTGTTCGTTGTCTCCTAGGATTTTGTCTAGAGCAGCGGAGCTATTGGGGTCGTTCGTGACCGATTCAGTATCACTTTCGGCGTCGAAGTAATCTGCAAATTCGTCGTTCTCAATGTCGAGCTGCTTGCGCTTTTGAGATTTATCCTGCGAGTCTCGCTTGGGTGGACGGGCTTCATTGCGCCAGATCTCTGGGAATTCAGCGATGGTTTGTGCTGAACCATCCGCGAAGATGGCGCGCATGATACGACGGATATTGATGAGCCTACCGCCGGCGCCGAACATGTACTGACAGATGAGCGCTTTTTGAAAGCTCGATGTGCCCTCGGTTGTATCCTTACAGTGCTGGATGTCATCCTCCAACAGGTCTAGCATCACCTGGAGCCATGTCTTCCAGATCACCCAGCGATTGGGGTGCTTCACACTGCAATTGAACGACCAGCCGACCACGGACCAGAAATCATCGGCATTTCTGAAAAGCGATTGCTCCCGGGCGTAGGAATTATGAATTTGTCGATCTTCTTCTCCTAATTTCGATTTGTCGTCCGTATCGTCAGAGTGTCGTACTGCCGCTGAACGACGCAATCGTGCCCTCTGGTCGCGTCCACTATTCGCGCTTCCTCCAAAGACAAAGGCGCGCGCGAAGCCAGCAGTCTCAACTGTCGTATTTTTCTGCACGTGTCTCAGATATGCTGATGCAGCCTGAGCAGCCTTATGTTTCTCGGCCTGGAGGGTCCGGGTCGTGAAACTTGGATGCACTGATAGAGTTGCCGCAAGGGCTAGGTGCTGTGGTGGAGGCACGTAGAGGGGCGAAGAATTGCTGAAGCCAGAGAGCAGCGCACTTGAAAGCGTTGCGAATCCTTGATTATATAACTGCTCCTCGAGATATGTCGTGCAATCTTCTAATAAGGCTGATGGCAACGGCCGCACAACGTTTTGTACTCGCTGTCGCCCCGGGTTTGTCATCGTACGTCTTCTGTTAATCTTGCAGATGGACGGGGTGCGCGAGTCGAAGTGCAAGGCTGATGGGAAACCTGGATTTGGCTGTGTACCGAAGGAACGGTTTAAAACTCAGTATCGCACGCAAATACAGAAAGCAGCAATGCTGCAGTGTTCGTGATTTCACGCGCATTTGCTCGTGCTTTCACCTGCGTGCGAAAACCCAACAAGAACAATGCTTTTTTTGAAGTATCGACATATTACAGCATGCAGCTATTCCTCAAGTCTATCACGACTGTGATCCATGACGACAAATGTTTAGACAGGGTGCTTCTTCGTGCAGGACTGAACGATAGCAATGTCCATCTGATCAAGAAGATTGCAATGCATATAAGATAATTTACATAATGATAATTCGGTACCAAAGGGCGGATTTCAAGCCCTCGCCGACGATTCTATTTATTCACTTTCCTCGAAAAATGGCCAACGTTGGATCAAGCGGTTGGTGCTGATAGAATTGAACCTGGCGCGTTGCCGTCATATGGTGTTGTTGTCTGATCCTTCGGCAGCTGAAGGGGCTGTTCCGTGTTGCATGACCGGATAGGGTGCGGCATTGACCAGCTGCTATGCTGGCCATAAATGATAGCCCAGTCCAGGAAACACAAAGCGGCTCTGCAATCAAACGGGCGTATGTTGAAGCTGATGGCATGAGGCATCATCAAGAGAGGTTGGTGCTTCGTCTGCGCCATTACGTGCACCGGCCTGGTCCCGATCAGATGTTGGTATGCAATACGTGCCCGGGCTCGATCGAAGGATAGGGATGAACGATGTTTAAGTTTTTGCATCTTGTCTCCCCCGTGCGAAGCCTTGTACGTAGAGGGCAAGAAACGACTGCCTCGAAGTCGGATTGCAATCTAAGAGGTTCAGACCGATGAATCGTATTACTAGCCTCCCAAACAAGACACCCACTGGAGAATTCGCATGGCGTAGAGCATGTTTTTGACCAACGCAAGGCTGTATCGCAAATAAATCCAAATACCCCATTTGAGAAAAGCTTAGGCGACCACCTGCGCAGAGTTCGACATGTGTCTGCCTTTCGCAGAAAAAGCGCAGAAATCTCAGATTTCCAAATCTATGCCCAGGTCGAGGCTGCCAATGACATCGTCGTCAAGATTCTTGCGCTTGAGTGCTCCAAGAGGACCACCGTGTGAGCCGTTGGCTGATGTGCTGGAACGCTCAGGAAGCGATGACTCCCGAGTCGCTTTTGCATTGCTCTGCGCCAGAGAAATGGCCTCCTCCGCAGCTTTTGCTTTCCTTGCAGCTGCCTCCTCACGTTCGCGCTGGAGTTTCCGACGCTCCTCGATTAATGCCTGTCGGACTTCCTGTATAGTTTTGCCGCGGTTCTTGTGGTTCAACTTCGCAAGACGATCCAGATTTTGCGAGTTCGTCACAGGAGATGCAGAAGCTTTGTTGACGTGGCTGATGGCGGCGCCGTTCATGAGTGCCGAGAGCTCTGCGTCACACTTCTCCAGCTGTTCCGTGTCACCATTCTCTTGAGCTTCAGCGCGGCGTTTCTCGATAGCCTCGCGTTTGACTCGTGCCATGTTGGCGGGATCGTACTTCAGCTGCATGGCTCTTTGCTTGTTAAACTTGAGCTGCAGCGTCTCCTCTGTGAAGTTGGTGTGCAGCAGAGCATGGATACGATCTAGTTTGGAATGCAGAAATCTGCGTGGCGGTAGGCGGATATTATCTTTGCGCAGTGTCTCCGAATAGCGAGTAAATTCTGCGTCGGTAAATGGACTGTCCGAGCAAGCGGAAAATGGATACGGCCTTTCGTTGGTGCCCTGAGCGACGATCGCGAATTGATCGGTCGTAAATCGCTTGCCGTTCGAAGTCTCCATAGTGTATGGCTTGCCTTCGGTGAATCCTTCAGTCATAGTCAGCTTACACGTCCACTCAACATTGCGGGTATTGAGCCACCTTTTATTTGCGTCATACGATATTCCGCCTGACCGGTCTCCTTGCTGAGCCCAATATTGATCCGGCAGAAACATCCTCGAATCGTCTCTTCAAATGCGGGATAAAAGCACACCCTCGCAAAGTTTGAGCGGCCAACCCTGCAGCGCTCAAAGTCCTTCAGTTCTGCCGGAGGATCGTTGCGATGTTTGTCGGTCGCTGGTTCCGCCCATTCCACTTCACTCTCGCCTTCAGCATCTTGCACAGATCTTGGAGTAGGCGATCGTGCATTGCGATCGCTCCGATTTTGATCTAGCCGGTTACGCTCGGCACCCTTTTGCTCGCGAGCCTTTCTGTAGTCATCTAAGGCTGATCTCTTGTCCGTCTTGGGTCGAGTGTTGCGTCTCGATCCATCTTCGTCCTCTGTGTCAATCGCCTTCCGTTTATTTCTGTTTGCTGAAGCTCGGCTGTCCGCCAGAGCTTTTCTCAATTGCAAATCTTGCTGCCGGCGAAGCACTTGCGCGGCACGTTCGGCAAGGAGTTCCTCTCTCTCAATCTCATTCATGGCCATGATAGCTTCCCGATCCCGCGCATTCTCAAATTTGCCCTCGAGAGGAAAGAGTGGTGCCTCATCATCCAAGCCATCTGCGCCATCGGCCTCATTTTCAGAATCATTTCGAGCGTTCGCATCAGGGGAGTATGGGGGCGAGGGCGATCGATCTGCTGGGTCATCGTTCAAGTCATCGTCATCAAGATCGCTCTCTTGCTGCTTGCGCTTTCTTCTTCCACGCGCTTTGACTTTTTGAGCGACGCCTCGAGTTCGAGTTGGTGCCTCGACAGTTCGTGCCGCTGGCTCCTGGAACTCGGAATCGGAGAGCTCATCCTCCACGACCTGGGTCTGGTCAATGTCGTCACCTTCATCCTCCGAGCTGTCGCCGGCCATGGCCAGCAATTCCGCGTCAATCTCATCCGCAGACATGGCGAGAGCTTATTGACTCAAACTGGTGATGATGATTGTGATTGTTCAGATACTTATATCTCTCCACAACGCAGTCTCAGCGGTGGACATGCACGTGACGGTGGTGTGAGACACAACTCTGTCGAGTTCCTAAATTCAGTGAGTGTGTGAAGGGATAAGTGTTGAATCCGGCGCGAGATCCAAAAATTAATGTTGCTTTCAGACTGCCTGCGGCCGGAGACGTGTTCAGGCTACGGCGTACCGTTGGAGCGTGTACCACAGATGCGGCTCACAGACCCCTGATCTCTGGTCAAAACTCCGCAATCTCCGAAGATTTGCTTGTGACGTCGGTCTTCTGGAAAGACGTCTACAGGTTGTCAGAGCTGATGCGTATTACTACTATGGAACAATACAGGAATACATGCAAGTCGACGTGTACCACTCTTTTGTAGGTTCATGGTCGAATTGTGAGATCTCTTAATGTACAGATATTTAAACAATTTCCCATAGGACATACTCCATGACCATGCGAACATGGTGCCCGTGTGATCAACCCTGTAGAGCCAGATGCTTGTCTGGAGAGTCCTTCGCAATTCTTTCGGCACCTTTCTATCGTTGGATATTATCCTTTCTCCACATGACCTCTTTGACATGTGCAAGCTGAGCACACGAAAATTCCCATCGCAGCGCTGTCTGCGCGATGGTGTATTCATAACTAGCGCCCGTCGCTAGGCTCTTGCGAGCCGATGTATATCATCGGCACCGCTCCCTGCGCCATGTCCGAGGTGTTATCTCGCTGTTGATCGTCGAAAAATGTCACAACAACGGAGAGATCGCCGCGAACACTTGGGCTAATGGGAGGCCTGAGCGTCATAACACTCTCGAACAAACCTCTCCTGCTTCCACCAAGTGCATTCTTAATGAGATGGACTCCGCAATGGTCATCCTCCACGACGAAATGCTTGTTTTGGGCCTTCCATGTCAATTGGCCACTCTGTCGGTCGATGGAGGTGTCGTCGTTGTCCGTTATGCGCCTGGATTGTCGACCGCCTGGTGAGAAAGGTTGATCAGAATCAAGCTGCATTTTACGCTTTAGTTCGATGAAACCTTGGGTGACCAGGTAACGAAGCTTCGAGTTCAGAGTCGTCTGAGGGCCATCGGCGATTGCTTCTGAAGGATGAAACTCGTTTAGTCATGCTTCTACGCATGCAACGGCATCTTGATTGTCGAATAGCTCCCATAGTCGTCGGTTTGCCTTAATTCACAGTCAGAATTGCGTCACGATACGGGCGAGATTCGTTTGAACGTACCATGATCAGGAAATCTGGATGGTCACCAGTGGAGTGCACATCCGTCTCGACGACCTCGGGCTCGGAAATCAGATATGGCGGCGCTCGCAGTGCATGGTCAGACTTTGGTCGTGGACCCCAGAAATTTTCGGATGCGATTCGTGCGACGCTTGAAGGCCATTTGAAGATACCAAAACCAAGAGCTCGTGTGACGCGGATTCCCAGCAGATTTCCTGTCTCGGGATCAATCACTTTCTCATCTGGATGCTCCTTTTGCAATCGGGATACTTCGCATGGGTTGTGGCCATTGTGCTCCGCAGATAAAGGAATCGCAATATATCGCTTGGCCTGCGGGTCCCATCGTCCAAGCACAGTACGGGAATCGCCGGCATTGGCTACTCGAAGAACATTTGTCTGGGGGTCGTGGAGTGCGGCTAGAGCGCAGGATCCGAACAGGGCGGGTGATGATTGGCTCACGACTTCGGCCGTAGGCAACTTCGATTGGATCAAGCGCTGACTAGATTCCAATAGCAAATAGTCGATATAGGTGAATGGTCCTTTCATCATGTGGTGGATCTCTGCATTATTTCTGACTTGTGCCTTTGTGAAATAGTCGAGTTGAAACGACCGCACACCAGACCCGGCACAAGTAGGTTTCCAACGTAGCGAGATGTGACGCTACTTCCCTGTCCATCGGATATTCCAAAACTTGTGAGCTGGTACGGCGGCTTGTCGTCGGCTGTCGCTGCGCCCGAAACCATTGATGTTACGTGAGAAGGAAGGTTTGCAGCAAGTTCGGTGAGATGAACGTGTCCGCCAGGCACTGCGAAAGCTTGCGAGCCCGCTTGCAACCGCATTGTAGCCGTTTCGGTCGTTTCAGGCTGCACGTCTTCGCCAACGAAATAATGAGACATCAGCAATTCGGGGTTGACTATCCCTTCTCCGGCCATCATGTTTGCTTCGAGTGCCATCTCGGCTGCTTTACGTTCAGCAATATCCTCCAATTTTCGAAGGAAGTCAGGATCAACCATAAATATGCCGGTCGATACTCCGATGAAAAAGCCGCCTCCCCATGAGACTATCTTCAGGAAAATGCGGCCGTAGCTACGTGGTGCAGCTGGCACGGCCGGCTGTGGCGTTTGCGGGTGATGGAAATATGTCTTCTGACGACATTGTTTGATCACATTGCGCACCGATCGTGATGTTCCTGACAAAAGACGCGGGTGGCCGGGCCGCGCTTTGTGTAGAATCGCGAGCATTTCTATTGTGAGGGTGCTTTACACGATAAGGTGAAGCGGATTTGTTTTTCTTATCTTGCTGCAACAGTGGAGTTTCCTCGAAAAGGCATTACGATTTCATATCAAGGTGGAGTAATTGATGTACGAGGACGATGGAGGGATGAATTTGATGATTCACTCGGGTGAAGCAAGCCCGGATGTTTATTGTAATTATACCTACCTAGGTAGGCAGTTGGGAAAGCTTGGATACTCCTATGTGTACAAAATCACAAACCCTAGGATCAACACCTACAGCTCTAGAGCTATGGTGGGAGAAAACCATTTGACATGAGCCCCTTTCTGGGCCTGGAGGCTTTGCGAAGATGGGAATTTTCCAAGACAGATATTGGCCTTCATTTATTCGGCGATCTACAGAGCATTCATTGTCCCCATCGCTGAAGCCCATATAATTTTGGAACATTGAAGTGAGGCAGGCGATAATCCATATCGGACACAGGTCCGGTCAAACCCTCCATACTTCGTTAATTCTCCGCACAATTTCCACCGCTGGCACAACGAGTCTTAATCACTTCTTACTTCGACCATGGCGACTAAAGAGCTCACCAACTCTACCTGGACAAATATACACAAAATATTATATATTGTAGATGCGAATCTCAGAATTACAGCGGGTAAAAGATCATCAAGAAACATCGAGGATTGAGCGAGCAATTGCGTGTCGAGGTAGTGGGGATGTACAAAAAGGGCGGTTGGACCTGGGACGCGCGCGTAGATCTGTAATAATCAGAGCTTCCAGAGTTGCATCGCTAATATCGGCGTCCTCGGCTGTACCCTCCTCCACCGCCATTGTGACCATTGGAGTTCCCGTAGCCTCCGCCTCTACCACCGTACCCGTTGGAGGCTCCGTAGCCGTATGATCCTCCCCGTGAGTCCCCTCCCGAATAACCACCACGGCCTCGTGAGCCGTATCCCGACTGACGAGGAGGCTGCGACCCATAGCCGTAGCCATTCCCGTTACCTTGGAAGTGCGCAGGAGGTTGACCGCCCGCTGCGAAACCATGCTGCGCAGCCTGTGCCGCCAGAGCAGGTGGTAGATGTGCCAGAGGGTTGCCGTTGTCGTTCCGATAATGACCTCCCTGGTCTTGACCGCCGTATCCACCATAACCATTTCCATTGCGCCGTCCACCATCGTGCTGATCTCTTGCAGAATAATTGATCCGTTGTCCATCTGATCTATCCCCATTGCGAGAGAGTTGCACGCCGCCGTGAGTTCGACCGCTGCGTTCTGCTCGATTGCGTGTTTGAGATATATCATTGTAGTCCAGCATGGAGGGCGCGAATTTGACACCGGGCAGCAACATCGACTTGTGGACGCTACGCAGCACTGGCATGTGATATGTTACCTTTGCACTCTCATCCGCGTCCAAGCTCGTGAACTCGCCCTGACTTCCGCTGTCGAAGGGAAACTCGAGGCTCGAGCTCGGGACATAAGAATCATCTTTCGATACCTTGCCCGATAAACCTTGCGACTTTCTAGGATTGATCTTGATCTCCTTCTCGCCCGCTTTCTTGCCGTAGAAGCTCCCGACGATCTCGTCATACAGAGGATGACGAGTGCTGAATAGGAGCGTCTCTGCCCCGGGGGCGTTTCTGCGTTTCTCGTCGTCACTCAAAAGCGGATATCTTGTGGCCATGGCATCAAGGAGTCGCTTCTCATCGATAAATGGAAGTAAAGCAATTCCTTGCCATGCCATTTTCTTGCCGTTCATATCGATCTGGAAATCAGCAGGGTAGAAGTCCAGGACGGGGCTATCTTCGTCAGTCATGAGCGAATGGAATGCTGGAGGTATCGCGTGGTTGGATGCTGCCGGCAAAACTCCCATGAGCTGTTCGTACGGCCGAAAAGGTTTCCCTTTGTCAAAAGTGATGGTCATTTGATCGAGATTGACGAAATCCTCAGCAAATGGGGCATAATGGTATGGGTAATACCAAGTCCACGAAGGACATCCTTGGAAATAGTATAACAATACCCAGGCGAGGCCTTCAACGTAGTGACGAGCGACTTGATTGCGAAATTCCGTGTCACCAGGCGATGCATGGAACTTTTGCTCATAGTATCGATTTTGGTAGCCATCTTCCCATAGCATAACAGTATCCTCCGGTAGTCCACTTTCCTCGTTGCTAGAGTTGCCTCCTAAAGCGCCGGATGTGCCGCGACTGTTCGGATCCGCAATCTCTCGGTTGGGCGTATTTCTACCAGGAGTGGAAGGATCGGTACTGGCCGCATCTGCAGCTTCATCTGCAAGGTCGCGAGCTCTCTTTCCGAGGCCGGAAGCGGGAGCTTGATCAACAGAAGCGCTTGCAGGAGGCGCAGTCGTGTCGCCGCCTTGTCCGTATGCAGCTAATCGCTCCTTTAGAGCTGCAGCGGCAGACCGATTGTCCTGATTGGCCTTGTGGATGGCATTGTTGCCTGAGCCACCCACGACGTCGGCGTGAGTCAAGGTAGCGGCATATCGTGGATCATTGCGAGTCTGCGCTGCCCCTGGGGCAAAAACGGGTAGAGCATTGATGTCCGGTGTGGCTTCTCCTCGAATGATGCCACCCTTGGGTCCTCTGCGGATGATTGTCTCGTCGTATCCAGTCGGAGCTCCATTCCCGCCATCGGACATGCGAGCCTTTTTGTTGGGATTTCTCCGGTCCTGTCTTTGGTTTCGCTGGTTCCGCTCTTCCTGCCTAACCTCATTCTGTCGTCGTCTTTTGAAGATAGCATCTTCCTGCTTTGCGAGGCCTTGAAGAATGAGCTGTGCGCGAGCGAGATCGACGTGCCCATCTTTGGTCACGTAGCCGCCCATAATTGGCAGATTGTCTCGCCAGATCGCGATGAGGGTGTCGATTCCATCCTCCCGAATGTCGAGGGAAGGTAGATGCGGTAAGAAATCGTTTCCGACGAAGAAGCACATGAAAACCCAATCGTCCAACGCTCGTTCGAGGTCAAATTGGAACCCGGAATTCGGTACATTCATTTCAATTGCCAAGTATTCACGAAGGATGCTGACATGCAACCAGATGAAAGGTTTGAGCGGTTTCGTGACAAGGGCATCCTCGGGCTTAGGTGCTGGTTTCCCTTGACATTGGGCGGCAATGTGACCAGGTTGGTTACATTTTCTGCAGTGTCCCGGCTTTGTGTCGTTCGCGAACACATCTTCTCGCAAGACGCGGAAATGGGGCTCGTGTGTTGCGATACCCAGCATGATCAGATCTGCATCTAGACCGTACATGACATGCCTGTTTTTTCAAGTCAGCTCGATCATCTCACCAACGAGGATCGGGGGAGACAGAACACACTTACCTTGTATTTGGATCATGATCAGGGGAGATTCTCTGAGAGCGAATGAAGTTCATAATCTTGTGTTCTCCCTCTCCGGGTACGGTTGCATCTGAGATGATGACTTTGCGGTCCGCCCAAGACGGGTCCGTGGTGAGTTTATAGCTGATCCAGTATCGAAGACTGGCGGCCAACAGATCCATGAAAGGTGTTCCAGGAGTGATGGAATTTGAATCCCACGTCTTCTTCGGGCCGTCTTCCGTGCCATCTCGTTCGGCAGCTATTCCTCGGGCAACAAGATCGGCATGAAATTCTTGAGCGGCCTGGTCCTTCTCGGCAGCTTCTTGTGCGCTTCTGAACCGCCGGCTCCGTTGTTGATTCATCTTGGCTCTTGGCGCGACACCGTCGACCGCAATCATCAGCAGCTTCCGCGGTCGTACCATGTTGAGCACTCGCTCTGTGTACTCAAACACGGCCACCATCATATCCTCCTCAGTTGCTGGAGGCGGGCGATCTTCTGGATGTGAACATGGGTGCACGATACCATTCATGTCCAAGTACAGGTTGTCAAACTCTTCTCCGTTCGGATTGGGCCCGCGGGCATCTATCGGGATTTTTGATATTGATCCATCGGCATTTGTAACCTCGACCGGCAGCTCCTCCAGCACTGGCGACACGATCTTGGGATACTTCTTGCTCAGCCATCGGAAGAGCGCTGGGACACCCATGGTGGCGAGTAATGGGCGAAGTTGGTACTGAGCGATCACTCAAAGCCTATGCGGATGCAAATCACGTCTCAATGGAAATGATGGTGCGGTTTGTTCTGTAAAGAATGGACTTTTGATTAAGCGCAGTGCGCCAAATTCTACTTGCAGTCGACAAATATTGAATCTACCGAACAAATATCGTGAGATCGAGGAGCGTCAGGTGCGGATGGTGTTTTGATGAGTGACTGAAGAAGTCACTGTGATGGTGAAGGGTTGTATGAAGGATGTTGCGATATGTTGGACGGACAGTGGAATCGCATCCCATGTGGTGATTTGATGAATCCAGGACTAGCAAGGCAACAGGCTGCAGATGTCGCGCGTTCGACGTGACTAAAGAGATTTCCGTGTGGAGGCGAACCACTGTAGGGCAGCCGCATTCATGACTCGCGGCGATAGGTCATACAGGGTCCGCGTCCTGCATAATAATACTGCAGGGCGGCTTTTATACACAAGGAGCCAATGTCTACACCTTTCATCAGGTCGCAGTGGATAATACTGTAATTCGGGGTCAATTGCGAGCGACCTTCGTTGAAGAACAACACCTTGCGGAGGACATCCCAGGAGGACACTGACAACGGATTTTGCGTCGCCATTGCGGTCAATCTGCATCGCATCCAGCTACGTTTTCTTTTCTGGCGCGCATAACCATACGGAACATTGCGCTCAGCCAGCGCAGCTCAACGTCCACGTAGGAGGGCGCATTGCTGTGGGCCGGCGAAGACGATATCTCTACTGCGAATCCTCCTCCACACTGCGACGAGGGTTGAATTCCACTGCTCTGCAAACATACAGACGAGCGCAGATGCGATAAAGATCGTGGCCCAAGCACCAGCAATTTTCCAAGACGAATCGGCTTTGCGCAATGCTCAGAACACCACCTCTTCAAACGGCCACGGCCACGATCGAGACTCTCTGCGGTCGGTTACAATCAGCGACCCTCCTCGAAGACCGACGTGCCGCCATATTAGGTCTCCGTAGCTTCGCGAAGCAATATCCAGCGTCTGTGGCCAGTGGATCTCTTCGCGAATTGATTACAACACTGAAGCGTGATGGACTGGGTGAAGCTATTACCGGCAAAGTCTCACAGGATGGGACATCACAGCTTGGGCAAGAGGGCGGGGACGTGGACACTATCAGACTGATTCTTGAGACGTTCCTGATGTTGTTCAATCCCGATGCTTCATCTCCGGAGGCAGGTGATGAGATCGCCTTTTTCATGGCCGATGAGTTTTCCATGGTATGCTACTCTCTCCATGCCTCTTTGCTTTCCACGTAAAACTATAGGTGCAGGAGCTAAGCTAATATTAGCGCCAAGACAACGTCACGCTGTTGCTCTCCCTCTTGAATCCAACCAGTCCGTTCGCCGACTACTATACCAGATTGTACTCCGTACAATTACTCTCCGCAATCAGCGCTGCGCGCCCTGAAAGGCTTCAAGAATGTATTTTAGCTGCACCGCTAGGTGTCTCACGCTTGGTTGGTGTTCTCGACGATGTCCGGGATGCGGTCCGCAATGCTGGCCTGCTGCTCCTGGTCGAATTAACGACTGGGGCCAACGAGGACTTGCGCAAGATCGTGGCGTTTGAGGACGTCTTCGGCAAGGTTTTCACGGTCATCCAATCCGAGGGCGGCCTGTCCGAAGCCGGAATTGTGGCTCAAGACTGTCTAACGCTGCTTGCCAACCTCGTCCGCGGCTCCGCTAGCAATCAGACCATGTTTCGTGAATCAGGTTGCGTTAAACAATTGCACCAGCTTCTCGTGGCGACGTTTCCTCCCGACCCTGCGGAAGCCGGGCTCCTCGCACAGAATCGAGAAAAGGCCACATGGGGCACATTGCAGCTGATGAAGTTATTCTTTACCGCTGGGGAGAGCAACACACCACCCAATCAGAATATGTTTTATCATGCAGGTATAGCTCGACTGCTTTGCGACATATCATTCTCTGCACTTGTGCCTCCGCCGATACGCGCTTCTGCGTTGGAGACAATCGCTCTATTGATCGCTGGAAACCCGCCGCTGCAGGAACAATTCGCCGGACTTCAAGTTGTGACTCTGGCAGACGAGCAGCAGAATGCTCAAATCGCACAGCAAGCTGTGCGACCAGATGGAGGACGCCCGGATGCGGCCGCCACAAAGACAGAGAAATTCAAGTCAGAACCCCGCCAATCCTACATCATTGAAGCTTTGCTAGAACTATGTCTGGCAGGCAATTCAGCAGATGTTGGATTGCGTAGCGCAGGGCGCGATGTTATCCAGGCTTATCTATCACGGCATGATCTCATCAAATCGCACTTTCTACTGCGCGCCATCGCTGGATACGACAACCGAGAAACTGCGGCTAATGTGCTTACCACCATGCTACAAAGTCCAACAACGGATGTGTTCGCCCTCGTGCTTGCTTCAACCATACTTCAGAGCCTGCTGTCGGGAAATGATCCCGCCAAGACAGCGCTTCTGGGCGTAAAAGAAGGTAATGAGGATGAAGGCGAGGACGTCATTACCGCTATCCAGGCAATGAGTTCGCAATTACAGTCCTCCCTTCTACAAGTACCGCGAGACGAGCGATGTGTCACCGCATATGCTGGCGTACTGTCCGTCTTACTGTGGGACTTTCCGAGTGGCGTCAACCATTTTCTGGCCGAGGGTTCAAGCCTTGTGCAGACTCTCATCGCCACAGTGAAGGCGGCAAATGCAGGAGTTGTAGTCGCAGGCGCATCCGCAGTTCTTCTTGGCATTGTCTATGAATTCAGCACAAAGGATTCGCCCATTCCAAGACGTACCCTTGCGCCTCTGATGCAGCAGAAGCTGGGCAGAGCGAATTATCTGGATGCGCTATCTGGTCTCCGTCGCGACTCGGCGATCAGTAATCATCAATTTGATCGCGAGACGAATAACGTGGCCGAGATGTATCTTGCCTTCGAATACGTTGACTTCTTCATCACTGAGTACGCTCGACTCCGTCGGGCGATAGATAAGGATCCAGGTCTAGAAGTCCTGCAAGGTGCTGCCGATGCGGGTATCGACCGCGACATCTTGGACGATCTGCGACAACAGGTTCAAACCGCCAGAGACGCCCTTGCAGCGGGCCAACAAGAAGCAGCAAACGAAACGCAAAAGCTAGAACAGAGTCGCAATCTCGCCTCGCGAGATTTGCAGAACGCCAATGCAGAACTCGAACGGCTGCGAAAAATCAATCAGTCCCTGCAGCAGGAACATACAAAGGAGGTCGAGAAAGTCCACAAACAAAACGAGCAGAAGGCACAAACTCTCGAGTCTCAGCATCAGCGGGCTATGGTGGAAGTCAAACAAGAAGCTGAACGCCGAGTGCACGCTGCATTACGCGAGCAGGAAGCGCGCTCAGCACAGAAAGCACAAGATCTCGAACGCAAGATAGCCGAACTCGGTAATTCACATCGGACGGAAGTCCGTGAGCATAAAGCAGCTCGAGAGCAGCTGGAGACACTTTCAGCAAAGCACACCGAGACTTCTCTCCGCGAAAAAGACCTTGCTGGGAGATTCGAGGATCTCCAGCAGAAGTTCACAGCTGCAAGTCAAGAACTGCAGAGTGCGCGTGACCGCGCATCAAGGGCCGAGTCAGAGCTGTCAAAGGCGTCAACGGAGGTGACAAACCAGGCAGAGAAGATCGCCGAAATGACCACACAGCTTAATGAGCTTCAAGAAGAGGTCAAGAGCCGCGAGAGTGAGCTTGCATCTGAGCGGGCGGGTTTCGCCGATCTCGAGAAGGAGCTTGAGGTAGCACGGAGCAGTGCAAAGAAGAAAAGCGCTAGCGAGACCGACAGCGCAAAGCTACTCAAGTTACAAAAGGACCTCGATACTGCCAACGAGGCTGAAAAGAATGCGAAAGAGGAGTTGGAAAGTATGCTCTTGGTCCTCAGCGATATCGAAAGTAAGCGAGATGCGTACAAGAAGAAGCTCAAGGCTCTTGGCGGAGAAATCAGCGATGACGACGAGGACGAGGAGGAAGATGCAGATGAGGACGGTGGTGACAGTGAAGACGACGTCGACTGATTATGCGTCACGAACATATCATGCATGAGCTTTGATCACTTCTCGTAAATTGTGCTCAGCAGCTTTAGTCTGCGCACTCCCGTAGCAATTTCGCACGGGCGTATCTAGTCTCGCAGGCACAATGCCCGTCATGTATGTGTATTCCGAGATCTAAAGATGAGGGACACCACCACTCGCTAGTCCCAAATTAATAATGCTAAGAAGACCTTCGCCCAGAATTAAGCCTGAACTTAACACAATCATTGGCGTTCCCTCCCTCTTCCTGATAGTCGTCCAGTACCACACCACAAGGCCGCCAAATGTTCGCGCGAGGGTGAATGATGGCGTGTTGTACATGCCCACAGCAACGGCAATACCTCCGGGAATGTATGATGTCCACCATGCCTTTCGTGTGTTTCCATAGATCCTCAATACCGTCAGACACGCCCATATAGCAGCGGCAGCAATGGCGAATTGTGCCGTATGAGGAGGTAATCCCTGCCCAGTGACAAGTCGAGCCGTGAATACCCAGACATAGGCCGTTGGTACCTGAAATATGCCGCCCGGAATAGAGTATGTCGCAGTGTATAACTTGTATATGATGGCGCTCGCGACTGCTCCGACCGCAGAACCAATGAGCTGGCCCCAGAACTGAGCTTTAGGACTCGCACCGAGGAGATGACCAGTCTTGAGATCCTGAAGCAGATCTCCGGCCTGCAGGGCTCCAGCCTCACTAATGCCCCCTGCGATGAGGTTGACCGTCACAGCATTAGGATTGCCAGGAGGAATAAGCAACGCGAAAATAAGCTGTGTGAGCTTGCTGATGCCACTGACGGGGTTGATGTCCGTCTCTCCCAGTGCTCTAACGCCCATGATACTCAGAAGCATAGCCAGCACGAGTGCAAGGATGGTCAGTCCCACGTCGATAATGCCTGCAAAGGAATATTGTATTGCAAATATGCAGAAGCCCAGCGTAAGTAGTAGACCAACCACCGTAGTTCTGAAGCCGATCTGGTGCTCGTGTGGCGCATCGTATGCCTCTTCGCTTGTTGAATCCGCTCTAGACTGTACACGACCTTGACCGTTTTGAGTTGCAAAAAGCATGGACACGTATGTTGAAATTCCTCTTTCTTTGATCTCTCGTAAGGTGTCCAGTCCGTTGTGCCTCAGAAACGATATTGAAGGCCTCAAGACGAGCCATGTCAGGCTCACAATGGCATCCGCGAGCATGATTGCCAAGCTGATCCATACTATCCATCCCTTTGATCCAGAATTCCAGTCTTCTACTGGTCCAGGAGCCCATCTTTGGTGTTTGGATAATGGTGATAGGATCGCCCATCCGAGTATTGCTCCTAGTAGCATATGAATTGTGGTTGCAGGTCCCATTATGATACCTTGACCGATATAGGCTGGACTCGGATTGAGGCTCCACAGCCATTCTTTGGACAGATACGTGCCAAAGAGCGGCACAGCGTGTACTTGTGGAATGAAGTATGAGCCTAATGTCTACGTGCAATTGTCAGTGACCATAGGCCATCGGCAAGTTGGGCTCAGTGAAACTCACGTATATACCTGAGACGGCGAAGGAGATTGATAAGAGTCGAATCTGAGTTTTCCAATCGTCGGATGTGGGTCTCGGACGATCCTCGATTGATTCAGGATCATCCCCGTCGTCCTCCCATCGTGATTCAACGTCGCCCGTCGCTGCATCGTCGCTCATGAGTGCGCGGCTTTCTTCATCTTCGTTTTCATGCAGCTTCCGAGGTGAGGATGCCGCCAACTCTTCGATATTACCTTCGACTCCAGTCCTTTTACCTCCGTGAAGAACACCTATCATTAGAGCAGTAGCTGTGCCAGAGGGAAACTTCAGCCTCTCACGAATGATGACCTCTTTGCGCAAAGGGACAGCGAAGAGAACCCCGAAAAAGCACAGTCCGAGTGCCCACAACATAAGCTTGCCTAGCGGAAGATTAAGGCCTCCCAGTCGCTGCGCATTTGCTAAAGCTGTGATGATTTCAGGATCTTTTGAGTCGCTATGAGGAGTCTCCGAGCGTTTCAATAGAAACTCCAGCGCGGGAATGACTCCAACAAATCCACATCCTAGTGGCATGGTGCCTACGGAGCCAGCAACCGTCTGTACGAGAACGTTTTCCACTTCTGAGAAGCCGTCGCCAATACCCCATTGCTTGAATGGTTCGCCCAGCTTCCACGCAAGAGCCCTCAGGCCTTTAAAATATGCAAAGCCGATAAGGGCGCTGGGCATGGCCATGCCTGAGATCCACCCGGTCTGCAGACCGAAATATGTGTTGGAAAAGGCGATGAGTATACCGATCGCCAGGCCCAGGAGCAGCGCTCGCAGGGTAAATTGACGTTCATCAACATCGCGAGATCGAGGCTGTTTAGGGCGGGCTGCACTGTCGGATTCTTGATGAATCGCGGTCATATTGTTGTCTTGCGCCTGCGACTCCAGCACTTTAATCGTCTGACGGTCCGACGAGTCCATCAGCAAATATCATCGCCACTGTGAAATTTGCGATCATTTCAGCAGCGCGTGACGTCTTCAAGATAACGGACTAGAATCGATAACGCTCTGGTGCTAAAGCCGTTGCATCATCTTTGCTGGTACCGAAATCGTAAGGCCCGGTCCGCGTATCAGGCCGAGCACGGTTTCCACAATTCTGCAGGTGGCTAGGGTCTCATGAATTGTTCATAACACAAAAATACACAAGTTTGAAGAATTCACTCCAATAAATTTTCGGACTTTGCGGAGGGTGCAGCGTAGTAACAAGCATCGCCTTCACGATTCCGTTCCAAGTTTCGAACGAACAATAAATTCCCATCACATTTGGCCGAAAACATATCATACAAAAAATGCAGAGTCTCCCACACGGATGGCGGATGCACAATAGCACCGCAGATGTCAGTGGCCCGCCAATTCCAGACGCTGAGAGCGAGGATGGTTCCGACGTGGAAGATGTCGACATCAAGCCAGACTCCGAAGGCTGGGAGGACTTGGAAGAAGACACGGAAGAAGTTGCCATCCAATGTTTACTTTGCGAAGAGAAATTTGCGAAAGTGGACACCATGGTCAATGACCATTGCAGAGCTTTACACGATTTCGATCTTCAGGAGATCCGTCGCAAACTAAGTAGGTCCAAGCCTTCTCGTGATATAGTCGTTTTACTCATTATCTGCAAGACTTAGATTTCTACGGCACCATCAGACTGGTCAATTATATTCGATCGGAAGTGCTCTCAGGTCATGGCGTCCCCAATGTATCCTCTCCTGAAGCCTGGGCAGACGACAAATTCTTGCAACCAGCATTAGCGGATGATGCTTTGCTCTTCAGCCTCGACGAGCTCGAGGAGCCCAGTCAGCAAGATTCGGCTTAATCAGTGGTCAGCGAGAGGGCGAGCGTATGTTGAGGGAGTTTGAACGAACTTACAGTCGACCCGGAGATTCTCGACCGACGTAACGATAGGATTCAGCTGAACAGTGATGTTTTCGCAATGATCATGATAAGCGTCCGCTGCAAAGATGGTGCGCATCTCTCGTCCCCGAGACATCGCATGAGGATTCCGTAATTCTCCTCAATACTGTATGGAGGAGCGAATAGACCACTGCCAAATGAGATGGTCTGCGGTGCGCGGCGATGCGGCAATGTATGCTAAGCACTCGGCCTCAATTGGCTCTCATTCGTTCGATTCCCGGCGTGACATATGTTCGGACAGGTCTGATGCCTCGGACATCACTCAGCACAAATGCGACAAATTGGGAATTCGCTCGCAAGGCCTTCATTCGCTCTTGGCATGAATGCAAAGCGTGATGCCTCCGAGAACGAGAGCAATGCCGAACCACGTATCTGCCAATAATCAGAATAGGGCAACACACGTTAACGTAGTGCCAAGTACCAAGTGATATTGTTTTCGATTCCGCCCACCAATCGCCCAAGACGACGAAGAGGAAAGCCAATGAATTTGTGATCGGCACCGTAAGGCTCAATTCTGACGAGAGAAGTCAGTATTTCTGACAGAATGGTAGCATCAACAGACAGTGGAAACTGACCAGCTTGTCCAATGAGCAGAAAGAACCAGATGCTTCCTGTGACGTTGAGAAGAAACGGGATTGCATAGCCGGGATTGCTGAGTAAGTCAAAAATCGCGTAACCAATGGTCCACAGATGTCTTGTCAGCCAATTCGTGTTTGAGTCGGACGTTTCAGGCCTGTCTGATTTTGGTCGTTGATCTCGTTTCACAGCAGCGCGACGCATGAAAGGGGTAGTAAATCCCCAGCAAATGCCCACTGCGAGAAATCCCAGTGACCATCGCCACAAGGGAGGCGCAGCAATTGTGTCCGGTTCCATGACCGTGGAATCGTGTAGTGTGAGTTGATTCAAGCGCTGGTCTATGGAAAGTGCGAATGCCCGCCCAGGTGGTGATCAATTGATGAGCGCGGTGTCAAAGATGGTTAGTGTGAGCAAGATCTATGGACACGGGAGAATCTTGACCTAGGGTTGTTTTAGGGTTGGCTTCGCTCTCGATCTTGCGAGTCGTTGACTTTCAGATTGCCATCTTGAACCTATATCAAGCTTGAGATGAGCAAGCCGCTGACATCCGGACGAAAGCGCATACTCTGGTACACCAGCGTGATACAGCCTTGTTCGAGGATTTCTGCAAGGACGCGAGGTGACATTTGCGGCCTCAGCAAAATGGCCGTGACGAAGGCCGGTCGTGTACTCAGCGATGAGCAGTTGGAGTTTTGGCAAAAAAACGGCTATGTACTGATCCCGGATGCACTCAGTAGAGAACAAGTGGACCATCTTCTTGCGGAAGTCCAGGCCCTTCTGAACGGGCTCTCTTTAGTCGATCATCCTATGACTCGCTTCTCTACGGGTGAACAGAGTGACCACGTAGGCGACGACTACTTCCTCACTTCGGGCGATAAAGTTCGATTCTTCTTCGAGGAGGATGCGTTTGACACTGATGGCAACCTTCTCAAGCCAAAAGAAAAAGCCATCAACAAGATAGGTCACTATATTCATCAACTTAGTGAGCCCTTCAACAAGATTAGTATGACGGAGACCAATGCCGGTATAGCACACGATCTGGGCTTCCATGATCCTCGTGTGCTACAAAGTATGGTTATCTGCAAGCAACCAGAGATAGGCGGTCGCGTTCCTCCGCATCAAGATTCTGTTTTCCTTTATACTGATCCTCCGTCCGCTGTCGGCTTCTGGTATGCTCTTGAGGATTGCACACTCGAAAACGGATGCCTGGCATTCGCTCCTGGCAGTCACAAGCGTGCCCCGATTCGTGAACGATTCGTTCGCTCAAATGAAGGCAGTGGTACCACGTTTATTGAGAACGATGGAAGCAGTTGGCCGAAAGATCTCGAGCCAAAGAACAGCATTAGCTCTGATGAGACTTACGAGCCTGGCGAGGTCAAAGCCGGTACTCTAGTACTCATCCATGGTAATATCCTGCACAAGAGTGAGAAGAATACAAGCTCGCGCGGCCGCATAATATACACCTTTCATGTCATCGAAGGGGACCATCGATATGACGAGCGCAATTGGTTGCAACCGCCGACAGAAGGTTTCTCAAAGTTAAATGCTTGACCCGTGAGCAATTGTATATCATTTCGTAATTTATAACGTCTATTGCGCAACGAGAGCAGGGTAAAAACCCACGCACCGGGTGAATCAAGATGTTTACAGACTGCTTTTGGGTGACTCAGAAGAGACCGAACAATCATGATGAGCAATATGTTGTGACATGATGTTAAAGTAAGAGCGCAGATTCGGCCAGCCTCGTTAACAGCTTGCAGCATCTCGCGCGGTTCAGACGATGTTCATCTGTGATAACCTTGGAACGTATTGATACCACGGCTGGAGTTTGTTACCGCACGTCAAACATTCAAGCGATCTCTCTCCATTCGTACCTGCACATGAGGGCTGTACACCACTGTCATCAATAAACCGCAGATGTCATGCTTTCAGCGTATATTTTGCGCCCGACGAACGCCAAACTCCTGTCGTCAAAAAATCGAAGTTGTCAAGATCGACGACACTTCATCTGGGGTGCCTCGGCCGGAAGTGTTCAGCCGCACGCTCACGCCGAAGGTGGTAAGTCGTCCGCCACCACAGCGCCCTGGAAATGAGGGGCGAGGCGGCAGCTGCAGAAGCACCCATCATTCATGATATACATAAACTATGGCACTTCTTGGAAATGGAAAAATGCATATGAAGGCAGAATTCCCTCGTCGCGCGAAATTTGGCGAAATTAGAAAACGAAGAAATCAAAATCGAAACCATGGCCTGGCAACCCTTTGAGAAGACGGAGAACTGCTATGATGTCGTGATTGTTGGCGCCGGAATTTCCGGCATCAATTTTGCCTATCGTTTACAAGAGAGATTGCCGCATCTTTCGTACATAATACTGGAAGGACGGCACGAGATTGGTGGTACATGGAGCTTGTTCAAATATCCAGGTACGCTTTTCTGTCGTCTTCGGCGACTGGATGTCTAACTTATTCATTTCAGGCCTTCGATCTGATTCTGACCTCTACACATTTGGTTTCTCATGGCGACCCTGGACCGAACGAACGTCGATCGCGCGTGGTGAGTTGATCAAGGACTACGTTGAGGAGTCCGCGCGCAAGTACAATATCGACAAGAAAATCAAGTTTAACCACCGAGTGAGCAATGCGAACTACTCATCATCAGAAAATTCATGGACACTCAACGTTCAAGCCAAAGGCGAGTCGTTCAACGTCAAGGCGCGGTTCCTTTCACTATGCACTGGCTACTACGACTACGAGATGCCATTGCAGACCACGATTCCAGGCATCGATAGCTTCTGTGGCAAGGTTGTGCATCCTCAATTCTGGCCCGAAGATCTCGACTATACCGACAAAGACATCGTCGTTATTGGATCTGGTGCCACTGCAGTCACAATTCTCCCCGTCTTAGCGGAAAAGGCATCGCAAGTGACGATGGTGCAACGCTCGCCCGGCTATGTCATTTCCGCACTTACAGAGGATGCGACCGAAAAATTTGTGCGTCGATGGTTCTCATGGTGGCCTGCCTTCCAGCACTGGGTCATTCGTACCAAGTACATCTTGATGTCACTCTTCTTCATGAACATCTTGGCGCGATACCCAGAGAAAGCGAAGGAGGGCATTCTGAAAAGAATCGCAGCATCACTACCTGAAACCGTCCCCATCGACCCTCACTTCACGCCGCGTTACTTTCCTGGACAGCAACGAATGTGCCTTAGTCCCAACGGTGACTTCTACGATGCTTTCAAATCAGGAAAAGCTACCGTGGAGACGGGAGAAATTGAGACTGTTACGAAGGATGCAATCAAGCTTGCCTCTGGAAAGACTCTTCACCCTGACATTATCATTACAGCGACAGGCCTGAAGCTCATCTTTGCTAGTGGAATTAAATTCCAAGTTGATAACGCCATTGTTGATGTCTCGAAACAATTCGTCTGGCGCGGTGTCATGATAGAAGGCTTACCGAATGCCGCAACAGCCATGGGCTATTCGAATGCTTCCTGGACTCTCGGAGCCGATGCTTCTGCACAGCTTGTATGTCGCATCATCAAGCAGATGCGTCGTGATGGTGTCGTACGAGTCACGCCAAAGATGACTGAGACCGAGAGGTCGACGATGAAACCGGGACCCTCTCGCATGACAAGTACATATCTTAAGCTAGGGGGTGGAGCCATGCCGAAGCCAGGCAACAGCGGTCCGTGGTTGCCTCGCTCGCATTATATCAAAGACATTTGGACCGCATGGTATGGAAACATATATACTAATCTTGAGTGGGAAAAAGCTTGAGTTATCTATGTCTAGTTTTGAAATATTGTTTACGCAGAGACGAGAATAGTACTAGTAAACAAACAAGGTCCTATTTACTTCTTTACAGTTTTATATAGTCTCTTATTATAACATTCTTCTAATCTTCTTAAATTTATATTTAAAGTGAAATACTATAATTTACTTAAGATTTATCTACACTAAAATCTCCGTTTAAAATTACTAAAATATAATATAAGTACTAGAACTATTCTCTAATAATATATCTTCTAATGATATATTCTTTTAAGTTAAAAGTATTAATTTATATAAAATATCTAGTATAAACGGACTATACTACTAATAAATATAGACTTTAGTATTATTCTTTTTTCTTCTTTTCCTTTTACTTTATAAATGTTTCTTAATTTCTCTTCTATAATTTATATTATATTTTAGGCTTCTATAAGCCTATTTATAATAAGTATAAAGTTTCTCTAAAGCTAGAGATATTATTCTAGTTATCTAAAAGTTTTTAGAGTTTTGAAATATTTTATAGATCTTTTAAGTTCTATAAAACTCTTATTTAAATACTTACTACTTAATACTTTTATTAGTTAATACTATGTATTATCTAGAATGATTTTCTTTATTTAAGACTTAAGTAAATTAAAGTATAAGACTTATAAAAGACCTTTCTTCTCTAAAGTTTTTACTATAATTATTATCCCTTAACTCTATTACTTTTAAGTATTATATATATAGAAAGAGAGAGAGGAAGAGAGGGATACATATATTTTTTATATAATTTAGAGCTTTATCTTTTCCTAAATAAAAAATAGGAAATTTAAAGAGAAAAGAGTTTTAAAGCTTATTTTATCTATTAGATATATATTTTAAATTATCTACTTTATATCTAATAGTATAGAAATAAATAATCTACTACTTAATTTACTTTATAAATCTATATAGTAGAATTAATTTCCTATTTACTTAACCTAAGTAGAACTTTCTATATTTAGAGTATTTTAAAATAAGTTTCTAGAAGCAATTTCCTATTATTATTATTATTATGTTTTTAGTTTATATATATATATCTTTCTTAATAATAATTTTTATATTTAAACTAATTTAATTATTATTATAATACTTTACTTCTAAGTATTTAAAGCCTTATTAGTATATATTATTCTTAAAGGGAAGTATGAATTTATAACTGTAATACTAAGTATTATAATAAAGGGTTATTTACTAATAATAAGTTTTACTTATTCTTCTATTTCTATACTATTATATTTTATTGAATACATTTCTTATTTTATTACTTTTCTTAGAAACCTCTAAAGCTTTAGTTAGGAGTTTAAGTCGTAAGATTAATATTAAATATACTTCTAAAGAAAAAGCTCTTAAAGTAAATAGATTTATTTATACCTAGCTAAAATTTAAGACTATTAGAATCTTAACTAATTTTTAATCTATTAGTTTTTTTAGCTTCTAAGTAATTTAATATTCAATATTTATAATACTAATATATGTAAAATATAACTAGTTTTAAAAGATTCTAACTAAGGATACTAAATATTAATATTTTAGTAAGCTATAGAAATCTTTAAAACAAGATTCTTATATTAAAGAAAAAAGAGATAGTTTTTTAAAAGGTGTTAAAGGAATAGACTATAGAACTTTCTTTATATAAAATTATAACTTTTATTAAAATTATTTATAAGCCTTTAACATTAATATAGTTCATTATACCTTTAGTTATTTATAGATATTATAAGCTCTCTAAGCCTAAAATATTATTATCTCTAGACTAGAAGAAATCTCTTAGAAATAGTATATCTTAAAAGCTAGAGAAGTTACTTTTAGGTTTTAAGAAATTTCTCTAAAATATAGATAAAAGGTCCTAGGAAATTTTTAATAATATAATATGTAGTATATTCTTCTATTTAAACGTCCTTCTTAATCCTCTTAATATTCTCTCACATTAGTCCTTTAAGTAGAGATATATATTATAAAAATAGTTCTCTTTAGAAATATAAACGTATAATTTATATATCTTTAAAGCTAAAGTATAAAATTAATTTAAGTCTTAGCTAAGTCTACATATTTAGTTTAAATAGGTTAAGATCTAAGGCTATCTAGTATTAATATAGTATTATATAAATGTTTATAAACTGTTACGATCACACGACCGTGCCGCCTCAGGCACATGATCCCTCCACAGAACCCTAATCACGTGACTAAGCCAACAGAACAGACGGAGCAGGCTTCGCTCTGTTAGCTCTGCTACAACAGAACAAGCAGCATCAACTGCGTTCTGTTAGTACTACCTGTAGCAGGCATTTCCCTTTGTATGTAAGAAGACACACATATATAGGTAGGACGAGCTGACCTTATGTCGGCTCGTGTTGAACTCATGTTACCAACCTAGCCATTGAAATCAAAGACCCTTTCCTGCTCCTACCTCGCTACTCATTCTCAAGAAGCTACCTCGAGTAAACTACCCTTTGGCAGTTGACCCGTAACATAAACCTTTAAGGTAATTATTAAAAGTTATTACTATAGGCGTCTTTAACAACTATCTAAACTTTAGAGATAAGAGCTAAAATATATTTTATTTATCTATACTAAGGAGTAAAGCCTATATATTTAATTTCTATAAGAAAGAGATAATTCTTAGTTCTCTTTTCCCTTTATAAATATATAGTAATATATAAGGTTAGGACAAGAAAATTTTCTTTTCCTACCTTTATTATATAGTTAAGACGTATTCTGTAAAAAGGTTGATTGAATAACTAACTACTGTGTACTTCGAAATAACATATCGTGTCTAACTCCGCCGGCTATAGCAACTACGACTGTCCAAGTCGCCTTAGACAGTCGTAATTACGGGCAAGTATAGCCGGCGGTAACGAGGAAGACGACCCTTTGTCTTCCTCGGAGGGTACCGTAACAACCTTTTTCTAGATTAAGGAAATATATATCTTACTACTAGTTTAGAAGAAGATATAAGAGTATAGAAGTATATATTAGCTTCAAGAATAAGAGCCTTTTAGTAGAAATAATATATAGTATAAGCAAATAGCTTAGAATTTTATTTATCTTTTCCTTATTAGATTATTAAGTTTTAACATATTATTATATCTTTTAATAAAGTAAGAAGAGTATATAATTAGGTTAACTAATTTATCTTTAAACTATATATATTTTCTAGCGCTATATATTATAACCTAATAGTAGCCGAATAAGATTATATTAATTTATATTAGTATATAGATTAGTTACTAATTCTATTACTTAATATCAATATATTAATTTAGTAATTAATTACTAAATCTATATACTTCTTATAAATACTACTTTAAGTTTAATACTAAGAAATTTAGCTAAAGTATTAAGAGAATAAGATATAAAGTATTAGTTTTAAGTTATAAATATTATTTATTTACTAATCTAATAATCTAATTACTATAGAATAGAGCTTTAAAGATAAGAATAAGTTTACTTTAGTAGTATTACTAAGTCCTAAAGTATAGCTACCTATATAGTATAGCTAATAATCCCTATATAAACTTTAATATTAACTTAGATATAAAATAACTCTATTAAAATATATTTAAATAAGTTTAAATAAAGAGATTATACTTCTTATAATATAAGCTCCTAGATTAGATTTTATTAAATTAATATTAGTTATTATAAGAATATTCTTTATTATAGATTCTAGATAATACCTAGTATAGGAAACTATATACTATAGTATAGTAGCTTTATTCTAATTAAAGAGAGTATTCTTTTTAAGGATATATTTAAGTAAATTTTTCAAGAGTAATCTCCTTCCCTTAATATTCTATAATTTATAGTAGGTTTTATTTATAAAGCTAAAAAAACTTAAACTTAAGTAGTACTAGTCTAATAGTTTTATTTAATATAATCTCTTATTTATAGTAGAATTTAAAAGAACTTATAAATATTTAATATAGAGGAGGCTTTATTAATCTCTAGTAGTAATTAAGACTTAAATTAAAATTATAAAGAATACTATTCATAAGTATAATATATTATTATAAGATATATTTAACTTAAGTAAGATAGGTTTTTTACTTAGTTGAATCTTAACTTCTAGAGTAGTTATTTTATTAAAGAATTAGTAGACTATAATATATCTAATACTTTAAAAATTATATAAAGATAAAGACTATTAATAGTAAAATATTAAAAATATCAGGTAATTATATAATTTGTAAGATACTAGAGTTCTTTATTTTCTATATATATATTTTTATTCTTCTTATTTAAATACCTCTTTATTAATTTTATATACTTTAACTCCTTAACATTATTTACTTTAGTTCTTTAAACTAGACCTACTTAAGATAGACTTAATACTTAATCTATAATTATATCTTTTATATTAATAAAAATATCTTTATAAATATATTTAAAAGTATATACTTTAAAATAGATATATATTAGGATATTTAACTAAGATTAATATAAAGGCTCTAATTTGTATATATCTAGCTTTAAAGCTATATTATTTAAGCTTATCCTATTATTCTTTAAGCCTCTTAATATAGCTCTATAAGAGTACTAATATATATAGACTCTAAGAACTATTAAGAAAGTAGATTAGTTAGCTATATTTATTAAGGAATAGTTAAGGAGATTTTAAAGTAGCTTTCTAATACTTTATTTTAAAGTAATAAACTAGCTTTTTAAAGAAAGTTTAGAGATAGCTAGTTCTACTACTCTATATCAAACTTAAGTTTTTATTCTATAGGAGACTAATAAATATTAAAATTAAAATTAGAATAAAAGTAAGTAATTTTATTAAGTTATATTCTATTAGCCTCCTAACTTAAAGAAATAATAGAATAATATAATATAGAAGTATAAGTAATAGTAGAGCTTTAGAGTATTAAAGTATTAAAATTTATTAAGAGGTATAGTAAGTATAGCATCTTAAACTTTAATTTTAGAGTATATATAATAGGGTAGCTAGTATTAATATATAATATATTTAAATTTTGAAATTATTTTCGAATATTTATAGAAAGTAATACCTAAGACGTAGGTATACTCTAGTACTTAGTATTAGAAATAAAACCTCGTTCATAATTCTAGAGATTTAAGTAATTATAATTATACTATATTATTTATTAATTGTTTTTAAAAATTCTTTAAGCTATTTTACTAAAGTAAAGGAGGTAATACTCTTTAGTATTATCGAATTTATAAACTAAATTATATAATTTTAAACTTCGATTTACTTTTAAATACTTCTAGTTTTTCTTCCTAAATGTATATACTATAATTATATTAGAGGAAATTAAAGTAGCTCTCTAATAGTCTCTCGAGTTTACTTTTAATTCTAGTCTTTAGACTATGTAAAGGAGAAATACTCTTAAGACTAACTACTTCCTAAGAGCTTCTTAAGTCTAGAACGTTATATATTATATAATTTCTCTTATAGATAATAGTCTACTTCTTAAAATAATTAGTAATCTATTTATTACTCCTTAGTTTACCTAAAGGAGTAGCTTTTTATAAAAGGCTTATACTCTCTATAGACTTTGTACTTTATTTTTTATTCTTAGCTTTTATTATTATAAGGACTATCAAAAAGAAACTTAATTTAATTACTAAAAGCTTATTAATAAATTATATTTTCAATCTATTAGATCTTTAATCTTATAGAAGTACTTACTTTAGACCGAGAAAAAAGATTTACTAGAAAAGGCGCATCTTTAAGGTTAAAGAAGGCTAGAGAAGCTACTACTAGCTATAGATATTTAAGAAAGATCTCTACAAAGGTTAAATAAATAGTATTAAAAGGCGAGTAGAATATCTTATATAATATTTATTTAAACTATAACCTTTTAAAGCTTTTTAAAATGTTTCTAAAATAGTATTAAGAAAGAAATAAAAGTTTTTTCTAGGAAAAAGTTATATTTAAAGGTATAAAGAAGAGTAATCTCCTTATTTATATAGCTAGAGAGTATAGATAAGGAGAATATTAGCTTAGTCCGTAATTCTAGCTAAAAGAGGCTAAGACCTATAATTTTATAGTATTATATAACGAGTATAGACTTTCTAAACTAATTGTAAAAGGTAATTCTATAGTTATTATTATACCCCCTAAATAAAAAGAGTAATAAGTTACCCTTATTAATATTAGTTATACTTACTTATACAATACTATAGTAAATAAAATTAGACTTATAGTTATATATTAAGGATAGTTAGTCTAATTATCTTTTTTAAAGATAAGTTCTTGCTATAGGATAATAAGCTTATATAGTTACTATTCTAAGTTAACGAAAAGAGTAGACTTTACTTATATATTAAAGCGTAAAGTATTTATAAATTCCTCTCTTATTAGTAATCTCTAGAAGGTATATTATTAAATACCTTCCTTTTCCTATTATATTAAGTAGAAGCGTAAGAAAAGATTATTACTTTACTAGTTTTAAAGAAATATATAAGAGAATATAAGTTTTATTAAGCCTTAAAGACGAGGGCTACTTAGTAAAACCTTTATTTAATAAAATATTCTAAGGTTCTAGAAATCCTATTTCTTAGAAATATACTAAAAATATATACCTTTATTATACTAGGTAGGTACAAATTAGCTAAAATATATAAAAGATTTCAGAACTTACTTAATATATTATATAATTAAGACATATTCTATAAAATTTTTAATTAATTAACTAAACTACTATACTTTAACTTAATATATAAGGTTTTAGTCCCGCTAGCTATAGTAACTACGACTATTTAAGTTACTTCAAATAGTCGTAATTATAAGTAAGTATAGCTAATAGTAATAAGGTCGACCCTTCGTCCTTAGAGGGTACTATAATATAATAATAATATACTTTAATAATAATTACTTCTTCTTATTATATTAGACCTAAGAGATTTTCTTCCAAGTTTTATACTAAGAATATACTAATATTAGTACTTCTCTATATTAAAATAGCTTACTTTACTTAAGAATATCTACTATATAGTTAGTCTTAGTAAAAGATTAAATAATTAATAATAGGAAGAATATTATTTTATAAAGTACTATATACTTACTTTAAACATTATTATATAGTATACTCTTATACTATATATATAAAATAGTATATTCTCTTTAGATACTAAATAGATTATATATAGTAGATATTCTTTACTTTTTAATTAGAATTATTAAAATTATCTACTAGTTTATACTACCTTATTCTATATAAAAGTAGAGATAGAACTAAAATCCTAAATTTTAGAGCTAAGTATTTTAGAAGATATAAAGATTTAAAATTTATATATTACTTTTAAATATTTAGCTTTTCTTATTCTATTTAGTAAGTATTTAAATTATATAATTCTTTTATTCTATATAGAGAAGGTTTATAAAACTTATAGAACTTTTTTAAAGTTATATTTAAGCTTATATAATAATATAAGAGCTTTACCTAAAAGATTTATTATATTATAAAATAAAGAAGTTTAAGTAATCTTTTTCTAATTTTTAAAATAAAATTCTAAAGTTCTCTTAGTAGCTTAATATCTATTAATATATTCTATATTCTAACGATAAAAAAAATAGAGTTCTAGTAGTTTTACTTATAGAATCCTAAATTTAATATAACTTTAGGAAAAGAACTTTAAATTATAATTATTACTTAAAGTTTAATAATAAGTATAGAACTTTAAAAGAATTAATTAGTTTCTAAAAAGAATAGTATATAGAAATCTAGTTTAATAATCTAAATAATAATAATTAGAGTACTAATAAACATTACTTATTAAGCTATTCTTTAATCTCTTAAAGAAATTAAAAATTAATATATTACTTTTAAAAAGCTACTAGCTTAAATAAAGGAGAAATATCTAATAAAGATTTAAAAAAAAAATCTCTATAATAAATATATATATTTAATAGTTTAAAGAATCTTAAGTTCTTAGAAAAAATAAGAGTAATATAAGAAAAGAAATAAAGATATAAATATAAAATAGACTTTCTTTATAAACTACTTAAGAGAGTCTCTTAGAACTTTTTAAGATTTACTTATAGTTTGTCTAGAGTTCTTTCTATTAGATATTTTAACTATATTAAAATAAGAAGAAAGAGTAAAAATAATTAATACCTTAGGGTTAGTACTGGGACTTAAGTAATTACATAAGTACTAAGAAATAGTTAAAATAAATAAGTATTTCTTAGAATAAAAATTTAAGATACTCTAATATTCCGAAAGCTTTAAAGTTAAAAATATATCGTTTCTACTTATGTAGAAGACATTTTAATTTATATTAGTAGAGCTTCGAAAAATTTAGTAACTTAGAGAAGATTAGTATACTAAGTATATTATAAAGTATAAGATAATATAAATAGGTATTTCTTAAAAGAAATTAAAAGTTCAAAAATACTCTTAAGACTCCTAACTTTTAAATCGATAGATATATTAACTTACTCTAAAAGAAGTCTCTTTAAATTTTTACAAAATCCTTAATAGGCTAAAGACTATCTAAAGATAAGAGAAGGAAAAGAATCTTACTAAGTAAAATATAGAGATAGAAGATAAGAAAAAAAGCAAATAGGACTATTATATAGAGTCTAGTCCTATAGGGCTAGACGTCCTATTTAGTTTAGGACTCTCGTATAGGACGAATATAGTATATATATATAAGAAAAATCAGGCTCTCTAAAAGTACTAAGTACTATATTATATAAGTTAGAATATTTTATAAGATATTAGATTTCTTTTAAGAAATATTCCTATTAATTTTTCGATAATTACGACGTCTCTGGCCTTAAAGAGGCCTTATTATAGACTAATAAAGCCTAATAGCCTTAAAGAATTATATAGATTATAGGAAGGAAATAGGAAAATACCTTTTAAATAAAAGAAAAACGAATTAGTTAGAAGAAAAGAAAGCTATTATAGTATGTATTTATTAGAAGTCTAGCTCTTATACGCTAGGTATTCTTTACACTATTATATATTTATATTAGACGTAAATAATATAAGTTAAATAGTAGGTCTCTCTAAATTTTAAAGGTTTTTAAAGAGAGGAAGAGTAACGTTTGTTCTATAATTAAATTTAGAAATTTTATACTCTTATTAACTAATATTAAATCTTACTCTAGAGTATAAATATATAGTATTACTTCTAATAGTTTTAAATTATATACTTATTATATAGATGAATTTAATATAAGCTATTAAAATTTAATACATAATTTTTATATTCTAAGAATAAGAAATTTATTAAGAAAGTATTCTAGGAGAGTTTTATATTAAGAAATTACTAATCTTATAAATATTAATCTAGAAAAAAGAGCTTTAAAATAGTAATATAGTAAAGTAGTAAATCTTCCCCTAATACTTTCTATATTATACTATATATTAGCTAATATCTTAACATCTAAAAGAGTCCTAAGTTAATAAATCGAGATCATTAAAGATATTTAATATCTCTATAATTTATAAAATCGAGCTATACCTTTTGTTCGCGTAGCTTAGTTCGACGACCGGCTGTAGGTAATATAGTATATACTTACCCGCTTGCGCCTTTAATACTTGTAGACTACCGCTTAGTAGCGATCCTCTCTAGGCGGCCATGCCATACTATCCAAGACTTTGCCAGGGTGGTTACACATTAGTGGGCACCAGCGAAACATGACGGTTGGTCGCAGCTCAAATGTCATTTTGCGTGAATCAAAGCTGGCAGCGAAGAGGTCTTCAAGGAAGCCTTCCATCTCCGGGGCCGAGCTACGATAGAAGCTCTGAGGAGGTTGGGCATTCGGACTTTCCCTTTCGCATAACTCGGCCAGATCATACAGGGCATTGATTTTTTTCTGGTCGCGAATATCGACAATTTGAACAGGAGCGTCTCCCAGAATGCCGAACAGTCCAGACGTGTGTACACTCCTGGATCCATGGATAACTACGATCCGCATTACAACATACCATTTCGAGCGGCGGCTCAGGATGTCGATCCACTCTCGCTTGTTTTGAATGCTTCTAGAGGGCCAATAAAGGCGTGACGGGTCATAAGGGGTTGACACGTCGGGGATATCATCGCCGTAGTCGGAGTTCAGATAGGCTGCGACGAAGGAGCCGACTTGATGGCCGCGACGTTGGCTTAAACGCCATTCCAGACATCTCAAATGCTTTTCATAGCTTCTGTTATCCTCATGACCTTCCCCGCCACCACCGTCGTAATCATAATCTGGGTTCCAGTACAGATTCAACAGCGTTCCGGTGCGATTCCACCAAGGCTTCCCCGTGGCGGCATTCGACGAATCGAGTTGGCAATTTTCCGGTACAGCAACTTCAGCGTTGGTGATTGGTCTGAACCCTTCCAAGGCCATTTCTCTAGCTTCGAAACAGACTCGAGAGATGATGGGCGGATGCCTGTTTAGGCGGCTTGACATGTACAGACTGCAGGGACCGGGTGTGTCACAGGGTTTACCATCTAGATAGAATGCGAATTGATAGCTCACATTGTCCATTTCCTCTACGCGATCTGGCGGAAGGCAAAAGCGCCAAATGGCCCTTCGAAGCTCTTTTGGCAGTCTTGGAAAACACGTAAAGGCCGCTGATTCCATCGAGGCACTGGATTACATGTTGACCGTGTACCGAAACTGAAGTGAAAGTTGATGGTTTCGCTACGTTCGTCGCGATGAGTGGACACGGCGGGAATATGTTGACAGGCCGTCATGCGATGCTACCAGTGATGTTGCAGATTGTGTATCCTGAAATCGGCTCGGGAATGTTGTTGCCAGTAACCTTGAAGGCACCTCAGACCAGAAGACCTTCGTTGTCTTGTATGTACGATGAGAAGAATGCCGGCCGATCGCAGCGTCAACCTCATCCGCGCCAAGGATTGTTGCCAATGCCAGTGCATCGATCTTGAATAGATCCACCCTGACAGGTACCGAAGCAACGTACCGCGAGATTTTGGTTCGAGTGCGACGGTGTTTGATCGTACAGGCCCTTACATAGACGAAGGGCTCACCAATTCACTGATTACCTAGGTATGTGTTATTGCTCTGAGCGGTGGCTCACCAGCACGAGCCCGCACCGCCGCAGCTGACGGCTGCGTTGGCTATGCGAAGTGCTGCTCGCTCAAAGATTGATTGCCAGGCCGCCCACAGCAGCAGGAAACCACCAGGATTTTCCAACAAATGTCTACCGATGCTGAGCAGGCTTTGCGCGGCCAAAGCATAATGTCAATCTCAGATTGCTGCAGCACTGCACGCTTTTCAAGGCGCCGGACAAGCCAGAATCGCTAACAAGACTCGCCGTCCACAGTGTAACGCACACTCAGCTATCAATCTCAAGGCATTTTTGCGAGCTGAGCGCTCAAAATACAATGCGATCCACCCGCACAACAATACCCACCCTGTCACGAATCCAATGGTAGCCAGCAATACAAACGCCTGCGACCCGCAGCTTCCCCTGGGCTTCCCATTCAGCTTTCCACTCAGCCTCCTTTGCTTCCATCGCTCGTTGAAGTCGCTCGATCTTTTTTTCGTGCTTTCGGCAAGCCAATCCTTGAATGATTCGCAATTCTTTTAGCTCGCGTTTGCGTTTCTCGTTAGTATCATCCGCATCTGGATCGCATGAATCATCAGCTTCATCCGCTTCCTCGGTTACCGCTGTCTGGAAGTTTTCTCTTTTGGTCAGAAGATCCCGGTACTCCCGCTCCTGCTGATCGGAATCTCATTGCGCATCGACCGAAGTCTGTTCGTTGTGGCTTTGATATGTGGAGAAATTCTCGCGCACAGTGGCTGTGATACTATTGATATGCATTGCCGGCTTTCCCGAAGCATCCGCAGTCGTACCTAAAACCGATTCAAGTAATCTTGCGCGAGACGACTGGGGCGAAGTGTCATCGTTGGTGCTCATGTTAAGGCCAGCAAGCTCGTTTCAGGGCGATGTATCTGCATACCCTGCAATCGAAACAGTTGAATACACCAGAGTCCTGGAAGCACATGGTTCGAATATTGAGAGAGGCTATGATCGAGTGCAACATTCTCGACGGCATTCCGAAAGTGTTCCTCGCTTTCATTCACTAGTGGCGGTGGAGCAGGAGCAAGATCAAGATCACTCCTTTAGAAGGTACGATCAACTTTCATTGAATCGCGCGCGTCGCAGGAATACCTAATCATTCTCTATATAAAGATCGGGCTGGACGCCTGACAAGAAGAACCGAGCAAGGGAATAGGGAGTTCTTGACACCTTGTACCGCGGTGCTCACGACAGAAATCATGCCGCGTGCGGCACCCACGCGGACTTCGGTGAGTGCTATATGGGCTTTAAGTAACCACGATTACAATGATACACAATTCAATGACACGATCAGAGTGGGCTTCCATTGACATCTCATACGGGCTTTTCCTCGCCGACCACCAAGTCTTGAATATCGCGGACTCTGAATTGGTCATACTACTGGCGATCTTGTGCCAGGATCTTCGTACTTAGGCAGATGATTGATCAGGCCAAGTCTTCGGATGGACTTCGTGGAAGACACACTATCGTCAGGTATCAACGCTCTTGCCTCCATTTCTTGGGGAAAGTCTCTCTTGACCAAGCAAAGAAACTTTGTGTGGAAGCATCCTTTGTGGACGTCGATAGCTCTCGGTCTGCCGTGCGGTCCGTCCGGAAGTCCTTTCGTGTTGTTGCAGTACCGTGACACGAAGAATCGCTGAAAAGGTGCTTTTTGCAGGACAACATGGCTGAATTTGTCCTTGAGATCTGTAATCTAGATGCGGCAAGGACATATACGTGATATCCATCAGTATCACAGAACGGGAAAGCTTGATTCCACGTCTAGGGATGAAATGTGCTGTATTTCGAGAGTGAGCTCTCAAGCGTGCAGACGTTACTCTTTTATCTCATCATTATCGTCACTATCAGCGGCCTTGGTAGACGCCCGTTCGCCCTGCTTCCGATATAGCTCGGCAAGAATTGAATTCGTGCTCGCTTCATCGATGCCTTTGTCCTCGCGCACTTTAAGGAAGCGAGGAAATCGAAGACTCAGACCACGTTCGTCGCTGACCAATCCACGTGCTGCGCTATATGTTGGACTCAAAGTGATGTCTGCGAAGACTATCTCCCACACCTCCTGGGGATTGAACCAAACTTGAGGCTCGGGCCCAGTGTATGTGATATATGATGGGCGCGAGATGACATTGTTTGTGACCCCCTTGTTCATGCTGATGTGGTCGGTTTCATTGTTGACGTGATCGCCATTGTCTGCAGCTTCTTCGTCACAACTTTCCATTTGATCGGGATCGTACTTAGCCCTCATTTCCTTGTAAAACGCATCGGTGAAACCAGACATGCATTTGGTGACCACTTCAAGCGATCCATCCTCCTCGTTCCGGCATGCCAGCAGGACTGGACTCCACCATTTGTTCTTTCTGCCTTGACCATGCCAGCCTCCCACCGGCACAAGGTCGAGTGTATCGGTCTGAGCATTATTGTAGTCCTTTTTGACTTTGAGCCAGGAATCTAGCCGCTTGTCCGGGGTGTAAGTTGATGGCAGAGCCTTTCGTCTCGACGACGCTTTCACGCCAGCGACGTTGGCTTCCTCGGTCTCACGAGGGTTATCTAGAACCTTGACCATAATGCCTTCGCATTTGATATCGATTGCGCTCTTGAAGAACGCACTGATGGCATCAACGTCTTCCGAGGTGGCATCGATGCTTTTGACCCAAGTGAAGTGGTTTGGGATCTCGACGAACAGGCTTCTGAGCAGACTGCGCCGCTCTCGGAATGATCTGTCCAATAATTCTTCTCCGTTGAGATACATAAGATCGAATGCGAACAAGCACACATCGACCTTGACCTCATGGACCACTACGTCCTTTCGCGCGCGATTCGACAAAATCTGAAAAGGCTGAAGGTCACCACTCACTTTGTCGACCGCGACGACTTCGCCCTCCAGGATGAAGCTCCGCACACCGTCGCCTCGGATCTGAGGAACAAGAGCCACCAGATCGGGGTACTTAGCTGTCATAACTTCAAGGTGCCGAGAGAAAATGGTCACTTTGCCCGAAGCATCACAATGGACTTGAGCTCGCTGACCATCATATTTGAACTCGCCAGAGAAATCTCGGCCTTCGAGCCGAAGCAACATTTCATTGAGATCACGCGTAATGCCGCCCAACATGGGCCGCAACGGGATGTGCATTGCAAGTCCGCAGCGGGCGAGAAACTCTTCGGGAGCGAGCACTCCGAGATCATTCAGGGCAGGAATAAGATCGTTGTAATTTGGACGCCGAGCAAAGCTTGCTTTCACAAGCTCCTCTCCAGGACGATAGGTATCGGCGAGCTCTTGCTTGCTCAGCCGAAGGAGGTCCGCTCGTTGTCTCACTTCAAAAGTAGCGCCAGCAGGACGTGACAGCAAGAAGGCGCGAGAGAGGGCAATAAGCATCGTCGTCTTGACAGCTCCGATCCGAAGATGTTGCACCAAGGTACGAACGACATAGCGGGACTCTTCAGCTCCGCGTGCATCCTGAACTAGGCGCTCAACGATGCGCTGTTTGACTTCGACAGAACCTTGTCCCTTGGCGTTGGCAATTCTCGTCAGACTTTCAAACACAAATTTGATAGTCAAAGGATGGGGTTTGCGTAGGGTGAGACTCTGGCGTTTCTTTGCTTCAAAGGCGACATCCCCTGCATCGCCGTGCTTGTTGTACAACGTCCTGAGAGATGAGTTGTCCAGCCCACATACACGCTTGAGCGCTTTGGAGATGGCTGAACCGCCAAGACCAAGCTCGACATCGATATACGGTGGAGAGATGCTGTTTGTTGCGAGCCAGACAGCCGGAATGAGTGAGCCAGGGTCGCCTTCAATCAGTGTCCGCAAAAGGTTCGTCAGTGTATCAACAATCTTGATGCGAGAAGTTGTTGCATTGACAAGCATGAAGCAATGTGTCAGCAGGGCATAAGTCGACTTGTTGGACGATTTTTGCCATTGCGTCTGCAATGCTGGGATATAGTCCTGAGGATCAAACGTGAGAGGCGATTGATCGAATGGAATGTTGTATGAAATGGTATCCTCCTCGGCAGTGGCAGACTGGAGCGAAAGTGTTGTTTTCTGCACCGCTGGAGGCAATGTACTTTTGCTTTCCCCTGCCACTTCGGGCGACTCTCGTTCACCCGTCGAGGGCTTCACACCGACTGCATCCGAGTCTCCATCTCCTGGCAACTGAGCATCCGCGCTGGTCAGCTCTTGAGCGCTACCGCGGACATCGGCATCCTCTTGGTCCCATTCTGCTTGTAACTTGCGAGCCAACTCTTCATCTGTCATCGATTGAGCTGTGTCGGTGGCGGTGGCTCTATCGGCGAGTGTTGCCGCCGCCGACTGCTTGTCATCTGAAGACTCGACATGGACATCGAGTTTTTCAGATCGATTTCGCGCTTTGCCGAAGAAGAAGTCGATGCTCCGTGTTCCCTGGCTCGGCGAAGATCCGAACTGTGTGTTCAATTTGCGCTTCTTGCGCGGCGTAGTGCTCATTGAGGGTGGACGAATGCGCTCATCGGCCCGAGTGGCATGGTGCTTGTCTGCGCTTCAATACTCGACCTCTTCGAACTTGTCCCCTAGATTGTTCGAGAGAAGAAGGGTCTAACGCCGTTGAAGTTGCGACGCCTTTCATATGAGCAACTCCTGCAATCGCTGTGCACTCTCTACGCCGGCACGCGAGCTTAACTTAATCGCGGGCATCACTGATGACGTATGTGCAGATGTTTGCGATTTTGATAACCCCAACCCTAAGTCAAAGGCCGTCCACGGGTCATCTTTCCCGCCCCCCAAATGAAGAAAGTGGTGTATGATTGTAAGTAGCGTAGCTTTCTAAACATGTCGTTTATCTAAAAGTATGATTTATTAGACTCTCGGAGAATGATGTCCGATCTCGGTGAGAAGACCGATGCGTTCGGCCTGTAGGACAAGTGAGAAGAACGAAGCGGTCAATGGCTTGATGGAGCGCCGCTCAGAGCCGCACCGCCCCAATTCATCTCACTCACCGCACAAACGAGAACCGCACAAACGAGACCTCGATGGGCTCTGTAGTCAAGTGTGTTGGTCTTATTCGGCAAATGTCCGGGCATCGGGTCTATTCCTATTTGCGAATCGGATGAACGGGACCGACATCGGCAGACTACGGCACTGAAGATCCGAGTGTATGACTCTTCGTGATTGTCAGCCTCGTGATCTCAATTGTGGTGGATTATATTACAAGCTGCAGGCACTCGTAAGACACATCTTAGCATTAATGTGCTGTGGCATAAATACTCCTTAGCTTATATAAAAGACATGGTCGACATATCTACCATTCGAAGAGCGAGCTTATGGTTCTACAACGAATTCGGCGTCAAGTCGATATACCACACTGGTCGAAATGCATACCTCATTATTCTGGCGAGAACATGTCGCATGGTCGCGTATGGCAGCAGTTCGTTGGCTCTGGGTTGGTTTTATCTTCTCTCCAAGAATGTGATCTGAACATGACTAACCTTGCATTACGAAAGCGCTCTTCTTCGCCGAGCTCAAGTTCTCAGATCAACGGATTGGGATATTCATGACACTAACACTTGTCGGTGATGTCGTACTGGGGATCATTCTCACAATGATCGCAGATCGCATTGGAAGACGGAAGATCATTCTTAGTGGCTCGTTGCTCATGGTCATGAGCGGAGCCGTATTCGTGTGGTTTGAAAACTTCTGGATCCTGCTTGCTGCGGCAGTGATTGGTGTCATCAGCACATCGGGAGGAGACTTCGGACCGTTTCGAGCGATCGAAGAGTACGTTAATTCTTTCCGTTTCATCGAGCACATGCTGACATGTCATAGATCGATGCTCTCTCAATTGACGACGCCGACCTCACGAGCCGATGTCCTAAGCTGGTACATCACTCTCTCCACTCTGGGGTCGAGTTTGGGCAGTGAAGTCACTGGACGAATGCTGGAGTATTTACGCAACCTGGAGGGTTGGAAGCTAACCGACGCGTACCACGCCCTGTTCCTCTCATATGTGATCATGGGCCTGCTGAACGCCGTCCTGATCTTCTTCTTGACGAAAGAATGCGAAGCCGAGCAGGAGCCAGAGCAGCAATATTCGCAACTTGGCCAGCATGAAGATGACAATCCAAGCAGCGCCGCACCAGGACGAATCGAGGGACTTAACCGCATTGCTGAGCCCATAGGTGACACGTCCCAGCAGAATACTTGGTGGTCCTATGTCACAAGTTTCCTAGCAGACATTTCGCGAGAGACCTTGGTCATATGCTACAAATTGTGGGCACTCCTAGCACTCGACTCTCTCGCCGACGGCATGGTCCCATACAGCTTCGCGAACTACTATGTCGACATCAAATTCAAACCTTCCAAGACAACGCTGGGCGATATGACGTCGATCGCATATCTGCTCTCGACGGTCGGGACAATATTTGCAGGTCCATTAGCGCGAAAGATTGGTTTGATCAACACCATGGTCTTCACCCACGTGCCTTCGTCAGCGGCGGTGTTATGCTTCCCTTTTCCGGACGCCTTGTGGTTCACAATTCTTCTGCTATTCGTGAGGTCGGGACTGAACAATATGGACCAAGCGCCGCGCACGGCGTTCATCGCCGCAGTGGTGAAGCCTTCGGAGAGGACTGCCGTCATGGGAATCACGACTATCGTTCGCACCCTTGGCGCAACCGCCGGACCAACAATTACTGGATTTCTCGCGGGAAGCGACCGCTTCTGGGTGGCATTTGTCGCTGCAGGAGTCTGTCGACTTTCGTATGACTTTGGCCTCTACGCCATGTTTGTCAATATGAAGCTGTACAGTCACGAAACCAACTACCAGGCGACTTCCACGCGCGAGGACGTCGAGCGAGATGCTGTTGAGGAATATGAAGCTGATGGTGTTGTTGAAGATCAAGCGAAGAAGCAAACAGGTCGTTGACGAGTCCTTGAGCTTTCAGCATATGCTATCCATATGACTATCTGAATCATGCCGGCAAAAACACTCACCAGCTCGCGAATTCACTGAGAAAATGTCGCAATCAGCTTAGACTACCATGAGCTTCACTAAGATGTGCCAAAGAGGCACAGGAGTCCATGTCTAGTCCGAGCACATTGCCCACAGCACGCCCAGCCAAAGAAGCGTTTCGCAATCACAGCCAGCACGCCGGCCCTTACGATTCTGAGGGAATCTTCTCGAAGCGGCGTGCGACAGATGCTGGGTGGAATCAATCTTTCGCATGGAATACTGAACAGGTCTTATGGGTCTTAAGAAATGCTCCACCTTGACATGCGAGTACGGGAAGGAGCGAAGGAGGGTTAACGTGTGCAAGCAAGAAAGCGAATAAGTCTTGGATGCGAAGAATTCCTCGTGACTGTTGGACGCCTGCGCAAAATGGAGGACAAGATTGAGAATTTTCCAAGACAGATATGACCAGATGATGATTAATGATGACGACTTTGAAGGGTGGTTGTTTCCAAAGACCACAAGAAACAAAAATCCAAGTTGCTTCAAAGGTGCTTCAAATGCGGCGTTCGCTGGAGCTGAGATACTATGAAATTCTTCGCTGACAAGGTATCTGTGAAACGTAAGCCAATCCGCTAATGATCCAAATCCAATAACATCCTGCTGCTTCATGCGTGCTCGGCCGCGAAGCCGACTTTCCGTGGTCGATTCGCCATGCCGTCGAGAAGACGATCCATGCCGCCGAGATCGAGCTCGCCAGCGTCCAACATGCGTTGATCCTGTAGTGGCGACCGTTCCGTAGCCACCGCCTGAAATAAGTTCCGCGCAGGCGCCGCAGGCTTAACCGTGTGCAAGACGATGGCTTGATATTCAGCGGCAATGAAAAGATCACGGGTCACGTTCATCTGGCCGAGATGCGCACCGCTTTCGCTTGCGGCGAATTGTGATATGGCTGAAATATTCTCGTTGCGAAGGTTGATCTCCGGGATATGCGCAAGACCAGGTCCGTACAGCGAACCGAAACTGCCTTCATTGGATGTGCTTCGTTGACAGAACGAGGCAACGCTCGGGATGGCATACACCTCGTTTCCATACCACATGACGACGCTTTCGTCGGCAGAAGTGCCGCGCCCAGGACTAATAGACACGGAAATACCCCCTTGAGGTGTGGCGCTTGCGGCCTTTGGTGCGCCAGAAAATAGGCTTTCGGCCTTGGCTTTGCGGGTGTTCGGGGTTGTCGGTGCGAGTCTGGAGATCCCTGCACGCGGCTTACTAGCGGCACTGGAAGCATCGCCAGCGCTTGATGTGCTGAGAAAGCCACGAAGTACAAAGCCACCGAAGCTCCTGCTGTCGGATGCCGCGCCACTCAAATCCCACATTCCCCATTCTCCATCTGAAAGCAATGCGAGGACACGTTTGCCGCCGAGAACAAACCTGGCATCGAGTAACTTTTTCCTTCGCAACGTATTGAGATGATTTGGAGAGCTGCTGTTGTTAGTCGGATAAGGGGCATGGAATGTAGTCAACCATCTCCCTGAGCCCTTTTCAGTTTCAGCGAGGACAGGCTCTCCTCGCGAGTCAGCAGACGCTAAAGGATCGTAAACATGAACACAGCCAGCCGCATCTGTAAGCAGTAGAAGGCTACTTCTCGGTGACACATGGAATGATATCCTCCTTACGGCAGCGGACAGGGGCACTTTCTGTGCAACGGTTTCTGTCTCAGCGGACAGACCTTGCCTGGTCAATGTCAATCGGGAAATGGCTAGGATTTGTGTCGCCACAGCCACTACGACTTGAGCGGATGCAGCGTCTTCGCCTGGTGATACAGAGATGATCTTCAATGCGATGCCTGCCGAGATCTGTCCTCCCGAGCAGATGACCGTCTGTGTCCGCCCAACCCAATCCAAGTACACAGCTTCCTTACCCAAGGCAGGAGGCGTCAACGGTAATCGGAGAATACTCACTGCGCCATCTGTTGAAGCAATGGCAACGAGTGCTGTCGAGGTCAAGAGGTCTGAAGCTGAGCCGAGATCGTTCAAGCTTGGAATGGCGAGATGGAGGACTTCGGAGCCGGCATCAATGTTGATTTCTTGATTAATTGCAGGGTAGGGACAGTCTGGGTCAAGTTCCTCCTCGTCGTCGAGGTCTGGGCTGGAACTGTACATGAAGATATCAACGATCCTGATTGTTAACCAGAGGGCGGTTCATGGACCTGTCACCGTGCGTGCTGTACTGACCTTAAGTTGCTTGAAGCGCTCTGGCGACCTCCTCGCCACAGTATCCGTAGTCCTCGATCATGGCCGTAAAGAATTATCGTCGAATCATTCGGAGCCTGTACTGGGTAGACTTCGGCGCAGTGGATGCGATGTGGAAGTTGATAGCTATAAGAAGAAGAAACAGGAATGGTGAGCAACGCTCATTATAGGCCAGGACAAATGTGTTTAGTCATCTCATTATACCTGAGGAGTAATTTTCGCTCGCGTTTCGTCACTCGGGGCTGCAACGCCATTGTAGAGGATTTTTGGACTGTCGAATACGCCGCTCGGAGCAGACCCTCCCAAGGTCTAACGTGTGTTTATTGTTGTATTCGGCGTGACGGAAGAATTTTTCTTGAAAGTTGCAACGTCGTGACACCTGAAACAGGAGAGGATGATTTGGCAGGTGCAATGGAAGACCTTTGTATGTTTTGTGTCTGGGAGAGATCGAGCAGTGCAGCCAACTTGAAGGTAGCGCTACGGCCAAATCCCATGCCTGTCCCTGCTGGTTTGCGCGCTGCTCGCGACGCGTCCGACGCCAACAATTCCTGCCTGCGACTTTTGGCCGCCGCCGGAAGATCACTCCCCACCCTTTGCTCTACGAACATACGCGCCGTTTCGTCTCATGCATTAATCTCAATAGAATGGCACATGCTTCACTATCTCGACATAAAAACATATTCCACACTCACCTGCACAACAGAACAACAGGATCGCAAGTGATACGCATGACGGAAATCTTCTACCGTCTTGTTGTCAATCTGTGTGGCAAGATGACAAATCAAACCCGATACATTTGAGAAACAGGCCGGATTACTCGACGTCGTTGCTCATTTACATACAACTGAGCTCGATCAGTTTCGCTCAAGTTCGTGTCCGGAGAGAGACCGTAGCATTGTCGCTTCTCAAGCAGAAATCATGCAGAAGAGGCTGCGCCTGAACAATCCACAAAATGGCCGCCGTCAAGTCGCTCGGCGTCCATACTCCAACGGCACTGCCTCGACTGATCGCTGAAGGCGTTATACCAGACGATGCACCTGCAAAGTCGTACGAATGGGAGACATATACATCCCAGACGGCAGAAGGTGTCATCGAAGAAGAAGTCTTTTATACCAAAACCCTGGTAGTATGGTCTCAAGGGCATTTCAGCAGAAATGTCTATCGCTTCGATCACGAAAATGAAGACGTCGTCCAGGCCTTGTTGACGACGTTCCCGGCAGTGCCAAAAGTCGTATCGGCTCGCATACGTCGTGGAACTATCGCCTCAAACGCGAACGAAGCGCTGCTGTCGTCAAGGCCGCCTCGGGACTCGCTAGATCAGGCTGCTCAAGATCCGCACGACAGTGGCGAAGCAGCTCGAGCGTTGGTGGTGATCCTGAAGACCAAGGCTTGCATGTACTTTTTGCAAGGAGGCAGTCACATCACAGATCTACCATTCGAGATTGCTCGGGCATTTCCTGCTCCTCATGGACTTCTCTTGCAGCGTAAAAATTCCTGTTCGGTATCCCTCAATACCTCGATCCAACTCCCGTCTGTTCCGCATAACTCATTCATGCCGCTCCCACGAGCGTCTCTGTCATACCTTCAATCACCGACGTTGTTGAAAAGTTTCGCGAATGTGCTACCTGGACGATCGAGTCCGTTGGGTGGTAGCAACAAGCTTGAAAGCTTGTTCCAGGATGTGATGCTACCAAAACCCAAATTAGTGGATGACGATATCGCCAACATATATTCGTTGAGTGGCCCGCTTGAAGATTTCGGCGTTGTGACTTCTAGTACCGAATGTTCTCCGCCCCGCGCACACGAGAAATCGTTGATGAGACCTAACATACAGTTTGACCCTTTGGACTCTGCCGAATCCATCATTTATATCACTCCGGGAAATGAAATTTCCTCGTGGTCGAGGTCTAATTCACACCCGCTGATACTACTTGTCACGCGCAACTCTGATACTGGCTGGACAACAGTATGGCACGCCTGGTACCTCGAAAGTCAGTCTTTACGGTGTCTTCTGGAGCATCGCGCCGAACAAAAGGCAGCAAAAGCACGACGGAGGAGTTCGTTCATGTCAGCAGGCATCGTCACAGGCGCCGCTACACCCGCTGTCAGAAATCGCGATGGAGGCCGTGAAAGTTACGTTCCCCCAGGAACTCTGCGAGTCCCGACAGAATCTCAAGTCGCTCCTGTATCGGCCTCCACGCGGAAAAAACCAACGAAACAGGAGGAAGAGCAGGCAATGGCGTCGCAAATGGACCCGGACTTCCGCCAGATACCACCGCAACAATCCTTACGACAGAGCCGACGAATAAGCTCGATGAATGCTGACGTTCGTGCATCTCAACCAACCGTGAATGCCACATTCGGCGGCCCCGCCAGTCGGCGTGCTACATCATTCGGCGGCCATATGGAGCGTAGATCTTTGGGACATCGCAAAAGTCGTGGATCTACGCCTGGTGCCGGCCTGACCCAAAGTACTCACATTGATGAACAGTCCGTGGACCTTGATATAGAGCAATCAGACCAGACTGTGGACCAAATACTTCGTAGAATTCGATCAACGCATGAGTCGGCTGGAATGGACAGCGTCTTTGGAAGTGCCGAGGACGATTTCAAGCAGGATCTCGTCGTGCGCAGACTATTCACCCTTCTGCCTCCAGAGCAAAGCACCTATGCCGACGTAAACCCTCCTGGAGGTGTCGCCGCACAAGTGGCGACTCTCGTTGGACCTCAGCCTCTCTCGTCCACTAACGATGGATCCTTGAGCATATTGATCCAAGAACGCGCTGACAAAGATGCCAGACGCATAAATTTGCGACTTGTTACAAAACCCCTTTGGCCCCAGTCTACTAAGTCGCCTCTGGTCACAATTCCTTTTGTGAACGACAGGCAGAGCACAAGGCTGCACTGCAACGACATGCTCAAGATATACGATGGTCTGCACCAATTTCTCACTTTCGATCCCCCAGGACTACTGTTCGCGCCGAACGATGATCCAATCCCGTTGTCGACTCCGTCAGCACCATATCGCATGTATAGTAAAAGTGAAGTCCTTCCGTCTTCCCAAACAGTAGACAAGGATGTCGGAAAGAATCGCATTTTGCCATCACCCAATGGTCCTCTGGTGCTAAAGCAGAGCGGTGCGAAAGCTGCATATGATGAGGCATCAAGTGACGGCATACAGCATCGACGAAAATTCAAGCTCACACCTGACAGCCCCTTAGTAGAATCGGCCATCTTAGCCTGCGAGCTGATCCTTCCTACTTCGTCTCGTACAAGCATGAGGAAACTCTGGTGCGCTGCGTACGCCGCTCTCGACAGCTATGCGACTTGGCTTTCACGAACTTCTTCGGACCTGGAGTTCGTTGCTTTGGCTGGTGTTCTCCAGGGAATCGCTATCCTCGGCCTCGATAAGAAGTCACGTGCATCTCTTGACCTCATATGTCGGAAGGCCCATGACGCTGGATCCGGAATTCGATCACCATCAGATTTGTTCAAGTCCGAGCACGAAAAGTTGCGATTTCGATCGCGGCTATGGCTCGATCTGGAGCCCATTCGCGAGCTGGGTCGAAAGAACCCCGAGCAGAAAGATATCCTTCCACTCCTTGCCTCCATGATTGGGATCGACCTCGTGTCAAACAATACAATAGCATTGACTATCTGCTTCCCCGTGGGCGGGAGTCAGCACCTGATACGTGGTTGTCTTACGAATATCATGGCATGTCTTCACATTCTGCGTGAGGAACACAAGCTCAACACCCTCTGCGAGAATCAAGCATCGCTTGGTGCACTGGCAGCGGTCATCGTTCAGCTTGGAACCTGGCTGGGCCATGATCATTGGAGTTGTCAACCGGGTAGCTTTTTCATGCTCGAAGGAATTGACGAGAACCGATGGGAGCTGGTGCATCTGCTGGGCCGATCAACCAAGGTTGCCCCAACGAGTATAGAGCCCCCTCCAAGCATCTATCATTGGTTTGAGACTGTCATCGAGAGGAAGAACACGGCGCCATTTACTTCGTTCACAGATATCATGTCCATCGATGTTCACTTGCCAGCCGATGATCCAATACTGCGAGAGTACATTTCAAGAATCACGCCGCGTACTGTGATCATTTCAAAGATAGTAGGGCTCACGAGGGGCCTTGCAGCAGACCCCGTAACGACTGTGGAATTGATGGCCCAGTCCAACCTGACCCTTGACTTGCTAGACTCGTTGCCTGGATCGATAGCAGCACCCTTCAAGGCAGCCTTGGCTCATTGCGAAAAGCAGCCCCCGACTACGTGGAACACCAGACTGCTGCAGCTGGTTGGCCGACAAGATCTCGTGCTTTTGACCAGTGGCAGTGCTGCTAGCTCACAGAAACCACTTCAGACCCCGATCCATTCGACTCGAGATGTGCATGCCATATGCCAAGTGACTGAAAGCACTCCTGCTGTCACCAAAACTAGAGAGGCTGGGCGCCATGCCGTCTCGCAGCTGGTTTTCAGTGAAGACCGGAGACTCGTCGAAGCCATTGGGCTCATGCACTTCAACAGCACACAAGTCGTTGAGTGTCCAAAACAGCCAGAATGGGATGACGCTATGCATTTAGATCACCAACGTCGCTTAATGACTCATGTCACTACACGAATGATTGCACTGCCTTGCGGAGATGGCATGATCCACTTTGACAGCCAGACCCCACTGCTGACCGAGCGCTATCATTTGCCTGGCTTCAATTCCTCCTGTCTCATATATCCTATGGGCCACACTTTGACGACCGACCGGTCTGGACTGACCGAGGAAAAGGTAAACTGGGCCTACTTCCACGCTGGCGTGGCTGCTGGCCTCAGGATCTCGCACAACGCCATTGGTATTGATACTTCGTGGGTCGCCTTCAATAAACCAAATGAGCTGACCAATCGTCATGCCGGCCTCCTCCTCGCGTTGGGTTTGAGCGGTCACCTTCGACAATTAGCCAAGTGGCTGTCATTCCGTTACTTGACTCCGAAACATACTATGACCTCGGTAGGACTTCTGCTTGGTCTTTCCGCCTCTCACATCGGGACTATGGAAAGTCTGGTTACTCGTATGCTGTCTGTGCACATAACGCGCATGCTACCTTCTGGGGCATCTGAGCTCAATGTTTCTCCCATAACACAAACGGCAGGTCTAATGGGGATCGGATTGCTCTACCACAATACGCAACATCGGCGGATGAGCGAAATAATGCTTTCGGAGATTGAGTTCCTGGAAGTTGAGGATCCCGACAGCGGTCCAGACATGCTGCGGGACGAATCGTACAGGTTGGCTGCGGGCTTCGCGTTAGGTTTGATCAATATTGGGAGAGGCAGTGACCTACGTGGTCTTCATGGAATGCGCATGCCCGAGAGATTGCTTGCTATCGCTGTTGGACCCAGACCTGTTAACGCGGTCCATGTTTTCGACCGTGCTACTGCAGGGGCGGTTATGGCACTTGCTCTCCTTTTTATGAAGACCGGGGACAAAGCCGTTGCTAGCAAGATTGACATACCCGACACTGAAGCACAATTCGACCACATAAGACCAGACATCCTGCTGCTGCGCGCCATGACCAAACATATCATTCTCTGGGACAGCATTGCCGTTGGAGAAGACTCCAATTCGTCTGATCGATCTGACTGGATAAGTCGCAATTGTCCAGCTTGCTACAAGAAGAAGCCATTGGATCAAGCGATTCTCGAGATGCTGAGAAAGCGAGCAATCGACAGTAGCCAGATTCCACTCTTCAACATCCATACAGGTCTCGCTTGGGCGTTGAGTTTGAAGTACGCTGGCACAGGCAACACCAGAGCGCGAGACGAAATCCTATCCCTCCTCGATGCCTTCCACAGTCTCAATGAAGGCATCGAAGCGTTCTACTTTGACGGCAAGCTTGGTCGTGCGTCGCTACGCCGATGCATGGATGTGTTGGCGCTCTCAGCAGCCGCGGTCATGGCTGGTACAGGGGATTTGATGACATTCCGATACTTGCGTCGCATGCACGGCCGTGTAAATGCTGATACGCCATACGGCTCCCATCTTGCTGCTCACATGGCCATCGGCGTACTATTCCTGGGTGGCGGCACATTTACATTTGGTACCTCTGACTTGGCTGTGGCCATGTTAATGTGTGCCTTCTACCCTCTCTTTCCCACGGATGTGCACGACAATCGCGTCCACCTGCAGGCCTTCCGACATTTCTGGGTTCTTGCTGCCGAAGCGCGATGCATCGTTGCGGAAGACATCGATACTCGAAGACCGATCCACATGCCGATCCGGATTACCGGTCGAGACGGTTCCACAAAGATCCATCGCTCCCCATGCCTGCTGCCCGATCTTCAAACAATATCTGTCATAGAGACTGCAGATCCCACATACTGGCGTATACGCCTTGATTTTGCTGATAATCCCGAACACTTGGCATCCTTCCGCCGCGACCAACGCATCCTTGTACGGAGATGCCCGGTTGCAGAAGCACATTCGTCAATATTCAGTGCAACACTGGCCTCCCTGTCTGAGACGCAAGCCAACCAGACAGTAGGACAAATCTGGCATTCCATTTTCAGGCTTTCAGCTTTTAAGATTCTAGACGAAGCAGAAACAGAACTCATCCTGCCTTCGGATGTACACAGCGATCGATACGATGATGTTCGAAGCACAGCTATTGACGAGCGACTCGTGCTGCAGAAGGCCACAGAAAGCAGTCGGCAAGATGCATTGTGGAATCTACGGGTGATTTTCGCCTGGGCGGAACGGGCGAGAGATGAGGGTAATGGCAAATTCGCATGGCTGGGACGGGAAGTCGTTGAAGCTCTGCGGTCGAAGATCGAGGATCGTGTGGCATCTGTTGCGGCCAACCAGAACGAGGCATCGCCATAACCGTATGGGAGATATATCATATCGTTTCGTGATCCTTGAATGGCGATCAAAATGCATTTCCGGCAGTATCAGCGTTCTAATTTCCCATAGCATTGAATATTGGGTCAACATAAATGATACACGACCGCAACCATAATCCGTAGGCCGGTATAATTCCCCTTCTCGCGAACAACCCCTAGCACCCAATATTTTACAGTCGCCATTTTGCGATTCCCATCGACGTTGAAAGGCAAAAAGTTCGGTGTCCGGATCGAGCAGACCTGACACCTGCCCACGCGGATTCATCGGTCCCGTACGAATCTCTGTGTGCCTACACCAGAAGTCCTTCGGATGATCATTTCTTACCACCCTTCTTTCCACCAGCTGCGCCTTTGGGAGCCTTCGTCTGCGATCCTGCATCACTGATCAGGTCCATTAGACTATACACTGGCTCGTCTGGCTCCTTCTTGGCATTCGCGGCAACATCAACGGGATCCTTTGAATGATATCTCGTCAGCCCTGCATCCTCCAAGCGAATTGTCCCGACGCAGTGCTCCAGTGTACATACCTCATCATCCACAATCACCTCCTTAGCCTCCGCGTCAAACCCTCTTCCGAATCGCTCTCGGAACTTCCTTAATCGACCAGCGTCGTCTTCCTCCACGTTCAAAAGTTTCTGTGATGAAGGGTTCCATAGCGGACTATTCTTTGTGTCTTTGACTGTGAGGTAGACCGCCTGCGGCGATGTCGTCCGGTGTGTGAAGGTGGAACCATCGCTGAGGGTGATGAGTTGTGTGAAGGTGTACGGCCGTTTCGGTCGCTTGATCAGGGTCGCATGTCGGACTTGTTGTATCGGAAGATTTGACGCCCGGCTCTGACTGCGCAAGGCAGATCTTGTCGTTATTGAATTCATGGCGACGATGTGATGAGGTGATGATAAATATTGCGCGCCCGGCCAGAGGATCTCGTATGAACGTTGGGAGAGTTATTGCGGAGAGTTGGATTGGATTTCGGGAATGCCACGACTTCTGGCAAGTTGAGCTTCATCGTCAACAACATCGTACAGTGCTCCTCTTTCCCATGTGCAGATCACAAACTAAAAATTATCAGCCTGATCGTTTTCATCGATGCAGGCACCCGGTCAGGCGTCTCAAGCCTTCTACAGACAATTTTATCGGTGGTCAATTGCTTGCTCGGTGCCCGCAGAAGTGCATCGCGGCATTACGCATTTACCTCGAAGATGTTATAGTAGTTCATTTCGAGGCGGCCGGTTGGGCAACAGAGCCTCACAAGCATATCAGGAGCTCAGAATATCGACAGTCAACGGTGTGATCAATAATACGAGCTCATCGACGCGCCGAGCACTTTCCTCGGGCCAAAAACATGCTTCTTCTCTTGGTAATGAGGGTTCAGGACTCGTTAACGACGATGCGCGACTGGAAGCCAGATCCACCGTGATAGACTCACTGAGATCGGACACCGATGACCAACTCGTGGAGAATTTCAAGACAGCTTGTCGGCATCTGAGCAATCCGGTCGTCCTGATCACATCCCGTTTGCCGACAAGAAATTCAGAGCTAAACGGCGAACATGATTTCGGTGTCACCGTCTCGTCGTTCACGTCTGTATCTGTGGACCCGGATGCTCTCGTATCATTCAACTTAAAGCTGCCGAGCGCTTCATGGAATGCCATATCATCATCTGGACGTTTGCGAGTCCACATCTTGAGGGCAGACGAAACAGGCGCAGCGATAGCGGATCTTTTCGCGCAGCCATCCAGCGAGGGGCCCTTTGTCAGACTGTTGAAGACCGGTGTCGAAGTCCGACTCTCATCAACAGAGCCGGCAAGTCTCAATCACGTAGTTGGTGTCGTTGGGAATCTGACCGCCGAGCTTGTCCGAGAGAAATGCGTCGAATGTGGAGACCACATGATTGTGGTTGCGAAAGTGGTCGCCTGCGCCGGATTCACTGCAGCAGAAACGATTCCTGACACCGGCTTTGAAGGATTGACGTATTTAAACAGGAGCTATCGACGATTGGGTGATTGCATTGAACCAAAGTTGCCGTCGCCAGAACTGAAACCCGACGAGGCTGTGAAGGAAGATGATCGGCGAAAGAGAGCGCGGTTGTTCATCGACAGACTCAATGCTGAGAGATCTGCGGCTGCGCAGCGCAGAGGACAGCAACAAATTCGTTCCTTCTCAACCACCACTGGGTTGAGGCATGCTGAACATGACAATACCTCCCATACAGACGACGCGACGCACTTGATTGATCCTGCAGCCAAAGGGATGACGGTAGCGGACTTCCTAGAGATGCCGGCCAACAACAAACCGCCTAAATCACATCCGCCTCGTATGCGCAAGATTGCAAAATGCAAAGAACATGTGGAAAAGGCCGAGGAGGCTCTCGCGCAGCATTCATCTCGTGAGAGCAGACTGTCCAAAAGTGAGGTCGAACAACAGCTAAGAATTATCCGAGCCTTTCGACGTACCATCGATGTGGAACTTGCTCATGTAGCCGCGCTCGACCTCCGCACTATGCTCGATCGCGGGAGGTCGGATCATGCACGAGCGGCGTGGCTGGAGAAAACGATTGAGAAAGGCCTTGTGATCTGCCAAGAGGACGCCATACGTGCCAAGGAATTGTTGGACGCGCGAAAGATGGATCAAAGACAATTTGATAAACGGAAGAGCAAACTGCTCGCAAAACACGACCTTTTCAAGATCGAAGTGGATCGATTGAGAAGCTCGATCATTGAGGAAAATGAAGGTTGAGATAGTATCCCATGGAGTCAGAGAGACTTTGTAATATATCTTTCCATTAAGCTCAACGCTGCGCAAAATTGAATAACTATATCCGAACCAATTTCGTTCCCTCCCCCTAATCCTGTTGGCACAGTATAAAAAATAGAGCATCGGACCGTTTGCAGGGTTGCCAGTGGCGCCGAACTCGCTCACGGAGAGCACAATTTTGACAAAAAGCAAGTCATACCATCATTCTACAATACTTCTTCTACATCAAACCGATTAATTCTACAATCGTACAACTCTCGTCTCCCTATCGAGAACCCTCTCCTTCAAAGCCTTGAGTACCGCAGACCTTCTCTCCTTCCTTCGCTGCCACTCCAAAACTTCTTCCTGTGTAACATCGCCCATCTTCTTCCTCGCACTTTCCGGCGCGCCAGGCGAGAAAATCGCACTGCCAGCGCCAGATTTCCCCAACATGCTCGCCGACGGCGGTGTGCGGAATCGCGAGGAGCTCAATCCAAACATGCCGCTCATACCCAATGGGTCGCCGTTTGCCGCCATGCGGACTGTGCGCCTGGGCGGAGTAGCGGAGGGACTGCCGTGAGTATTGAAGCGACTGCTGCGCATTTTCGATACCAGGGAGTCTTCGTAGTCGCCACCATCGGTGAGTTTGAGGGATGCCAGACCTTGCGGGAGCCGACGGATTTGGGACTCTAGGACGTCGACGTCACCGCTGTGCTGCTCGACCATTGCTGTCATTTTGAGAATCGTGTTCATGACAGCTTCAACGGTGGGAACGTTGGCCTGTGAAGAGGAGGTTTTATCAGCAGATCGCGAGGCGGCCGAGGCGAGCTCAGCACGGAGAAGGCTCATTTTCTCTTCGACTTCGGCGAGCAGCTTTTGGACGCTTTGCACGCGCTGTCGAAGCTCTGCTTGCTGAGCTTGGGTTTCTGCGTTCAGTGGTGCGGCCTCCTGGGCAGCTAGGTGCTCAGCATCGGTGTGTACCGCGATGAACTTGCGCATTTCGCTTGTTCTGTTCCGTAATCGGACCAGATCATTCTCGTGAGTCTTGGCATCTGCAATGATAGCCTCAGGCCGTTGCAGCATTCCCTCTGATAGCTGGTTGTCCATCTCGCTCAGGATTTTTGGCATGTCCTTCAGGTCTTCCAAGACCCAGGCATCCGCATCTTCAAGGTCATCAATTGTTCTGTCACCAGGGTGGCTGAGCGTCTTGTGACCTTGGACAAAGGCTCCAATATGGCGTGCGTTCAAGCCCGCGACGTCGACCATAGCGTTGATATCGCGGAAGACTTTCTCAATCTGTGCGGGAATACCGGTGGTCTTGATGGCGCCTGTGTGTTCTTGGTGAGTCAGGAATGACTGCAAGGTAGTAATGGGCTCCACCGGCGCTGCTAATATTGCCTTAATGCGATCATCCTCCTCGTCTTGCAGCTCGCCTGCACTGGGCTCTTTCGGTTTAGGTACCGCCACCTCCTTCCTCTCAATTGGCCTTGCAGGCGGGACAGCGGAAGCTTTCATTTGAGAGTGAACCGGGTTCATGGAGAAGTCTTTGCCACTGACAGGGTTGGTAACCGCGCGTTGCGGACTCGGTGAACGTGGACTGAGCTGTGGCCGAGTGGCAGGAGGTGGGAATGTTGGGCCTTTGGGAATTGTGCGCGGCATCCCAGCAGGAGTATAGCTAACCTTCAAGGTTGACTGTGGGGTTGTCGAATCATCCTGAGGAGACGTTGCTTTTGGAGATGCGGGCGTGACACGACGCATGAATGCGGCCAAAGCAGCTGGATTTTTCGCTTGGTAAGGCTTACCATCCTCGTCGTCATCTTCCTCTTCACCTTCTTCTCCCTCTTCATCTTCTTCTTCATCATCCTCATCCTCTTCATCATCGTCGTCCTCATTCTCCTCGTCCTCGTCTTCTCCTTCATCCTCGTCCTCAAAGCCATCCTCATCGTCCCAAGTCGAGTCCTCTGTCGCATCCTTCTTCGAAATCTCTTGAACGAGACTTTCCTTACCAAGATCGATCGGTGGGCTGCCCACAATAGGAGCCTCAGAGGTTGCCGACTTATCAGAAGTTGTAAACGAGAAACTCGGCTTGGGCTTTTCTTCCTGCTTCACAGCAGAAGACAAAGGCAACCCTTGCGCGGGCTTCTGTGAAAATGGATCCGGTGGTAATGGAAGATCGTCGGGTAAAGGCGCAGCTTTGTATCTTGATGGATCGGGTGGTAGAGGAAGATCATCTGGAAGTTTTGCTGCCTTGTATGTAGATGGGTCAGGAGGCAGGGGAGGGTCTGCTGGAACATCAGCCTTGGCAGCTGGGGTGGAGGCTTGCGGTTGCGCCTTTGGAGCCTCTGGGATATTCCTAAGTGAGACATCCTCCTCGGTGCCAGGTTCCTTTTTGACGAATCCGAAAGATGGCGATGCTGCTTTAGGAGGCTCACTCTTGTTCGCGGCAGCTGCACCTAAGGCGTTGCCAAAGCTACTGCCAAAAAGACTCTCGCCCGCACTAGCAGGTTTGATAAGATCGTCTTTAGCAGTGCCATCGCCTTTAAATGTCGTTCCCAGTTTGAAACCGCCAGATAGCGATCCTGATCCGCTCGCAGCTGACGGTGTTTGCTCAGCGGGCTTTGTGGTCGTCGGCGAGTCCTCCTCCATTGTCTCCTCTTTCGACAGGGACGGCTTGCTGAACAAAGAGTCTGTGCCGGAAGGTTTGCCGAAACTAAAACTGCTTCCTGTCGAACCTAGAGTAGCAGTGGAACCCATGGACGCCTCGGTAGGCATGCTGGGCTTCTGCTGCGCAAACGGACTAGGATTTGGTTTTGACGGCGTGCCAAACGTTGTAGCCTGTCCCACTGGGGCTCCAGTGCCAAATGTCGACAATTTGTTTTGGCCCGCGGCGGCGAACGGGCTAGTTTGACTGGCGCTACCGAACGGACTCGATGTTTTGCCGTCGCTTCCCAGAGCCTTGGCAGCGGCGGCAAAGGGACTAGCAGTGACCCCTGTGGAAGCAGCACCAAATGAGCTGGAGCTTCCAAAGACAGGGAGGGCGCCTGGAGCTGCATTGGCGGTGGTTTGGGCCGAAGCCGAGCCCCATGGGGAGCTTTTCTTGGCCCCGAGACCTGATGCTTGTCCAAATGCGCTTCCGGTCTGTGACGCCACCGAGCCAAAAGTGGACTGGCCAAAAGCCGGTACTGAAGGCCCTTGTGCGCTGGCAGGGACTGACGGCTGGCCGAATGCTGGTTGACCAAACGCCGGCTTGCCAAATGCTGGCTGGCCGAATGCTGGCTTGCCAAATGCCGGAGTTGTGCTGGCCGGGGTGGATGAACCAAAGGTAGATTGACCAAACGCAGGTGCATTAGTTGCGGGCGTCGCTGGACTGGGACTGCCCCAAACCGATGCCTGCTTGCCTAGGCCGGATGCACCTCCGAAACTTGAGCCCACAGCACTAGGTGCACCAAATGCTGGCTGACCGAAGGCGGGCTTGACGGCTTGAGGAGTCGCTGGAGCGCCGCTGCCGAAAGAGCCAAATGGAGATGCCGTTGATGTTGGCTGCGTTTGAGAGATTGCTGCAGGAGCACCGAATCCGGAAGGTGTCGGTTGCGATTGCTGCACGCCGCCAACGGCTTGTCCGTTCTCTGAAGAGTAGTAGTCGTAGGTGCGGTGGGGGCCAGATGCCTTCGTCATGGCCGAGTATGGTTGTGTCTGGCGAATAGCATCGTCGTACACAACCCACCATAGGCTGAGGACACCGTCAGTGTTCAGCATACAGAGTGCCGGCAGAGGAGCTCGTGAGTCAGGTACGACATCACTCTCTGTAGGAATGGGCCGTGGCGCGAGTTCCTGGACACTGAAGTCGAGAGCTACACCAACAGGAGTGGTGTCGCTCGAATTGTCGGTATAGCTTAGTGGTAAAGTGGCTTTGCGGCCTTCGTCCTTGATTGCTGCAGTGACAAATCGACCATTCTCTTTGAAGTTGGCGAAGATGCCGACGTCTATCGCAGCTGAAGATGCAACAATCAGCGCATCGGACAGTGATGGCTTCCAGTCATTGAGTCGCGAGATGAAGAAGTGAGCGGGAGTTCGAGATTCCACGAAAGCCGCGCACGGGTCTGATGTCAACCGATGAAAGGTGTATGGCTGATCTTTTTGGCGTTGTGCAATGAAGTAGACCGAATCCTTGGGCTGGTAGTCGTCTCCCGGTGGTCCGTGGAAAGGAGTATAGATGAGAAGAAATTCATAAGTCGACAGCCATGCGATAGACGAGATCGGCAGTGCCCTGGCAGTTTCGTACTGGGCCCGCCTGATGCCATCAAGCTGTGGTGGCTGTGGGATCGTGCCCTTGATGGCTCCCTGTGGATCAATTTGTACCGCGCTGCCATTTTCGAGACCAGCGATCACTTGCTTACCCAACTTCGACCAAGCCGCGCATACCACATTCTCGTGAAAAACCGGCGAACCGCTCGCGTTGTTCACCAACTTTCTCGCCTTGAGGTCTGCCAACAGGAACTGGCCGTTGGAGAGAACGATACCAAAGAAGTAAGCCAAGTTGGGATCTGGGTTTGGATTCGGAAGGAGGTGTCGCACACTGGTGCCGTTCGTCGATAGTTGAAACGCTGGTTCGTGACCACCCTTCGTGATCGCATTTGTGTCATAAATTGCCAGACCTCCACCCTCTTCAGCCGCGATCACAAGACAGGTCTCGTCGGAGTTGAATGTGACATGCGATACGCGTGGTACCTGCAACTTAGCTTCCGACTCGTGCAGTTTGATTTGTGGTTCATCCTCGGCGACACCACTGCCATCTCCCTTCTTTTTCCTACGCGAAATGTATGCTGCACGTAGCTTGTCTGTGCTGGCCACTACTAACGAATCTGGACCTGCAGCCGCAACAAGGCCCTTCTTGGATGCGATGCTCAGCAGGGACGCTGTTGGCGGAGGTAACTTGTCAGAGGGCCACGGTTGTGGGAAAAGCTTCAACCGGTCGCCTGAGGTGATCTCTGCGGCCTGCAATGCGAGATGTTCTGTGACAATCTCTTCGAGATCCTGGCCTGCGATGGATTGTGCAGTGTTTCCGCCTCCATTTGACGACACACTGTTGCCAAAATTTCCCCCGAACATGTTGAGAATGCGCGCATACGCGAGATGACGCGTTTGAAATGTAACTCCAGTATACAATCAGTGGTCTCCAACGATATTCCAAAAGACTGTCGCGATTGCCCAGAACGTCGCGGCAGGGAGCTGCAGCCTGCTGCGACGATGATTGTTATAACGGAGACGCTGGGCGCACTCTGCGTCTGTAGGTGCCAATCCGTCGTCTGCGTGAGTTGTGTCGCGACTGTGGTGAAAGGAAGTGTTCGGCCAAAGAATCGCCAGGATGGATCCTTGAGATGTGAAGCCAAACAAATTCCCAGGCGCGTCGGAGCTCCAGCACTAAGGAAGCTCTAGGCAGTTATCCGTGCACTGCTTCAGTCCACTCGCTCCGCTCGTGCACCACAACTCAACGTCCACAACGGTTCAACGTCCACAGGCTCGTCGTGACCATCATCGCCATCGAGATGACGCTCTGCACGCTCGTTGCCATCAATATCCTGCATTAGACGGAGCCATACTGGCATCAAACGACGTTTGAAGCCATTAATTACCGCCTTTGAATGCCTCGAAGTCATGTCTATAACATTTAATACAAGATTCAGTCGTTTACGACGATCCTTTACCTTCTCACGAGCAAGTACTTTATCAGCCTTCTCTGCCTCTTTTTGACGTCTTTTTTGGATGACTTGACGTGCTTGTGCTGCAGTAAGGACTCCTCCATTCTGTAGATACTGGCGCTTCATCGAGCGACGCTGATTGCGTACGTTCTGGGCAACCGTCGTATGTTGAAGTTCATCTACAGCCTCAGCTCCAGCGATTGCTATGGCGTATGCGCCACGGAAGATCCTCTGAAGCTGCTGCGTCGCTATAGGCTGGTCAGCTAGAGCAGAAGCAATGAATTGGCTCTGAGTACGTGCCAGAGTCCGTACTGTACGTGGTGTTGTAATCATCGTCGTCTCTAACGTAGCCTGATCAACTGGAGTTGCTGGCCGCGCGAGTGTTGCTGCTTTCTCTCTAAGGCTTGAAAGAACAACGTTTGGATTGAATGGATAAAGGCCAGTCTTTGCAAAGCCAGCACGTATTGTATCCGGCTTCATAGTCTTCTGTCTAAAGCCCTCGAAGGCAGCGAGGAACTCTGTCTTATTGAAGTCAATACAGCCGCTGCGCGTAGCATAGTCAACTGCTTCTGAATGCCAGTGTTTGAACGGCTGAAATATGGCTACGTCAAGCGGCTGCATAAGATGCGACATGTGCGGCGGCAATACAAGAGGTATAATAGCATGTTGCTCACAGAACTCGACGAACTCGAGGGTATAGTGAGATCCATATCCGTCGAAGACAAGTAATCGCTTCACGCCACGCTGGAGTCTTCGCGACTGCTCCTCCCAATGATACAGCCACTGGAGCGTCAGAGCGTCTGTTGTATAGCCTGTGTCGCTCAAAGCAAGCATTGTAGCTGAATGGAGCTCTGTGAACCACGCGTCTTGAAGTCGTTTGCCAGGGAGGATCACCATCGGCTGGATTGTTGCGCCAGCTGCGCTAATGGCCTCAACAACCGTCACTGTCTCGCGATTGTTAGAGCTCGGCGTCCAATTACGCTGCTCCGGATGCTGCGTTAGCACGTGCTGCGTACGTGCCATACCAACACGAAAGCCAGTCTCATCCATGTTCCAAATGTCGTCTGGAGGTATGCCTTCGGTCCGGACGATCTCTTCGAAGCGAGAATACCATAATCCAATACGGCCTGGCTGCTCTGCTGCTGCACGTACTGCATCAAGTGATCGTGATGGACGCTTATACCACTCAGGGTGGCGTGAAATGAAGCGTGAGACCCACATCTTCGAGACGTCTGGCGCTGGCCCTTCGAGATTGTGGCATCTAGCTAGGATCGAATTGGCAGTCTTATGCACGTCGACAACGCGCGCAGACACACCTATCTTATCACATCGCTTTAGCCACGTTATTAAGGCCTCTTCTTGAGCGTTATCCAGCTTCCTGTTAGCTGGTTGCCTTGTAGACTTGCTTTTCAATCCACGAGCGCGTCGTTGGAGTCGCTTGTACGAAACTCTAAACTCCTTTGCTAACGTAGTCAGAGGGCCCTCAAATTCAGTCTCCTCGCGCCAGAGGAGTGCAGCATTGATACGAGCCTCTTCTTCAGCGTATTCAGCCATGTTGTGATGGATACAAAGACGCGTTCAATCTACAATCCTATTAAGTCGCATCGTGGACGTTGAACCGTTGTGGACGTTGAGTTGTGGTGCACGAGCGGAGCGAGTGGACTGAAGCAGTGCACGGATAATGAATTTACAGCATCGTTGCGGAGGCGGCGATGTCTCCGACGGTGAACCCGACTCTCTATGCAAATAGCCTACCGTACAAAGTCCTCATTACTGCGTACGATATTGTAGCTGCCTATGAAGCAGGAACATTGCCGCATCAGCTCGTGGCCGCCTGTCACAACGCGCAGTACCGCCAGCAGCAGACATACGACTTACACCACCTCCTAGCATTATACTGTACCAACAACAAAACAAGACACCTCCACCACAATAACGTTCGGTTTCCTGCTCAATCGCCGACCCTCTCAGATCAAGACAGTATCACCAATATCAAGTGTTGTGGTGAACAGGACGCTCAACGTACAACAAGCCACCACAGAGAGAGATCATCCATAGTGACATCGACATCATGCCGGGCTTCGATTTCAGCAACCACAACAGAAATCTTGCCTTACACGCTCAAGGTGTCCCGCTACCAAAAGCAACATCGACCGGTACCACCATCGTCGGTTGCCTATACGATGGAGGTGTTGTCATTGCCGCCGATACTAGAGCAACAAGCGGTCCGATAGTAGCAGACAAGGTATGCAGATGAATTCTTGCTCGTGAAAGAACACAAAGATCCAACAGCGCGATGGGATATGAGCATGAACACATCATTGACGGGAACCTCTCTTCAGAACTGCGAGAAGCTCCACTACATCGCCCCTCAAATCTGGTGTGCAGGCGCCGGTACTGCAGCCGACACCGAATTCACCACGGCCCTCATCTCCTCCAACCTCGAACTCCACGCGCTCTCCACCGGCCGAAAGCCCCGCGTCGTCACCGTCATGACCATGCTGAAGCAACATCTCTTCCGATACCAAGGCCACATCGGCGCATACCTCGTCGTCGCCGGCTGCGATCCCACCGGCAGCCACCTCTTCACCGTGCACGCCCACGGGTCCACCGACAAGCTCCCCTACGTGACCATGGGATCCGGTAGTCTGGCGGCCATGTCGGTGTTCGAATCGACGTGGAAGAAGGATCTCACCGAGGACGAGGCGGTGAAACTGTGCGCGGATGCGATCCAGGCGGGTATCTGGAACGATTTGGGATCCGGTAGCAACGTGGACGTGTGCGTGATCACGCCGGAGAAGACCCATCTCAAGAGGAATTACATCACGCCCAACGTGCGCGAGAAGAAGATGCGCAACTACAAGTTCGCGCGGGGAACGACGGCGGTGCTCAACCAGAAGATCATCACCAAGGAGGAGATCAGCAAGTATGTCGTGGTGCAGGACATTGGTGACGGAGAGGCGGGCGTGGGCGAGAAGATGGACATCTCATAGACGGCGAATGGACGATGGGATGACGGGAACACACCGGACGATGGTACTGTACGAGTAGTGCGGTTACAGACCTCTTCCCACGAGAGCCACGGAATCGACCATACATCAGTCTATATTACGAAGCACAGAATTTGATGACGCAACCATTCGTGTCGTGAGCTTTGGCACGCCAGTGACGAACTTGACCAATGTGCGGTCGAGCATTGTAGGCATCCCCATCTTCTGCATAGATGACCACAAAGACTGGGAATTCAGAACACAGCAAATCAAAACAACCCAAACCAGGAGGGTTGCAGCAATATCGCATCCTTTCATGTTTCGAGAAGGCGAGACGCCTTACCTACAATAAACCATAGTCCCCTGCAAATGGAGAAGAAAATCATGTGAATTCCCAACTCGCCCGCGAGAAGGATCATCCAAACGGACCAAAAAGCGCATTTCCCTCGCTCATTTCCGCCGGGGGAAAATCCCACATCCACATTCCCATCACCAATTACAATATGTTTCCTATCCTCGCGTGCTCGGGAAGACCCCTCCACTGAAACTCCGTGCAGCTCCAATCCGATCCCATCCGACCCTGGATTCATCATCCCTCATCGCTCGTCAGAAACGAAAACACCCCCAAAGGTGCAGAGACAGGAGACTCGATGCTCCAGATGAAGATTTCCCTCTCTCTCTTGAGAACGCAAAAACCCAAACATGGCCTATTTCCACTTCACAGCCTCCCATGCCTCGCCTTGAAGATGGCCACCTTGTCATCATAGAAAAGGATCTCGCGGAGGCGCAAGCGGGAGGTGCTAGACGAATCGCTGGAGATTTCGCTGCTGCTATCGTCCAGATCCTCGTCGATGGTGATGACGTCGCTATCTTCATCGTCATCGTCATCGTCATCGTCGTCATCGTCGTCGTCCTCGGCTTCCTCTTCGTCCGAGATGACGTCGCTGTCGGTGTCTTCGGCGGCGGCGGCGACGGCGGCGTGGTGGAGGTGATGTTGGTGATGGTGATGGTGGAGAGGATGGTTCTGGCCGGTGGGCACGGCCACGGCGGGATTCTCGTCCTCCTCGCTGTCCGCCGCGGCAGCAACAGCGGGATGGGCGAATTGTGGATCACTCCGACTGGCATCGGTGTCATCGTCGTCGAGGTCGCGGCCGCCGCGAGGGGAAAAGTGGCGGTTCTCGAGGATCTCAAAACATTTGTTCGCGATGCCCATGTAGCAGAGTTCGACCTCCGGGCGTAGAGCGACAATGTCCACGAATTGCAGCGCGAGTTCACGCGGGTCGACGCCGCTGCCGTGGACGTGGTCGGCCAAGTAGGGGATGTAGAGGGAGCGGAGGTGGGGCATGTTGGGGAGACTTTGGAGGAGGAAGTGCCAGTCGCGGTAGTCGATGGCCATGCCCAACTCGCGCAGCACCGGCATCTTCCCGCCGCAGACAAAGGTCAGGATTTCTCTCGTGAGCATCCATATGCGCCACTTGTTACTGGGCGGCATACCGGCATCGGTATAACTCAGATCCGAACTGTCAATCAGGAGCTTTCTGAGACTACTACGATGCCGACGGATGGGACCGCGATAGATGGCTTCGATCGGAACTGTTAAGACCGTGTTTTCCGCATTCTGGAGATAAAGCTCCTCGAGGGTATTCGGAGCGAGGGTCTCTTTGAGGAAATTGATAAGTGACGACGAGACGCATGAGGTGTGGATTTTCTTCAGCTGGAGGTGATACTCCAACGGGACATCGTCGGGGATCTGGGCGATGCGAGTGCCAGTCTTGCGAGGAGTAGAGCTTTGACGGCGGCGCGGGGAAGGATAGATGGGTGATTTGGGCGTCGGAGCAAAGTCCCGACGGAGGGTCTTCCAAAGTTGCTCGTGGTTTTGGCAGTTGAGGATCGTAAGGGTGGTGAGGCGTGTCCAGTCGATTGCTTTTTGGAGGACGAGGACTGAGAGTGGGACCCGCTCTAATTCGAGCGTTTCGAGTTGTAGGATTTGACAGAGATTGGAGGGATCTTGTTGGGGAAGGAGTTTGTCTGCGTGAGATTCGAGCGGCGTAGTTCCCACGAGTCGTTCATCGATCACGACAGATGACAATTTCGACGAGAGCTCAGCTTGGTCGTTCGGAGAGGGAGACAGTGGTGCGGAAACTGAAGCAGGAATTGCCGCAGCTGTAAATTTCATAGGCGATTTCGGTAGTGAGTGCGTCAGGAATTCCGGAGTCGTTTCCAGCTTCTCCAAAGTCGCAGCTCGTGGGGAGAAGGGGTCCGGGAACGCAAACGCCACAGATGCCGGAGGGTGAGTGCTGCGCTGTGGAGAAGCTGAGTGTGACGGAGCCGCCTCCAGAACCGTGTCACTCCTTCTTAGAACCTCCGTCTGGGGCTTGCGGATATCATAAATCAGACTGGTAAGGACTCCGAGGACACCGCCGAGTCGTTTTTCACCCACAGTCAAGAGGCTCGTGGTCGGTCGATCGCGGTCGATCTGCTGCAGGTCGCCGTCCCATACCTTGACCCATTTCTTGTCCTGGACATGGCGAGCGATACCGATCCTCAACTCGCGTAGTCTGGACGCCGAGTGCCCGACCAACACAGCAAGCTCGTCCAGATATGCGAGCTCGTCAATTTCGAGCACGCTGAGACTCTTCATTGGCGGCAGAATCGAGAACGAAGGGCTCTCGACGCGATCCAATGCAGCGAAGCCGGAATCCGAGTAGGATGTGCTCGCATGTGCTCCGTCTGCGGTCGGCAGAGCAGGCGGCATGCCCGCAAGGTTCAGCGAAGGGGGGTGAGCGGCCGCGAGCGATCCCAGGGCATCGACAGAGGTATTGTCGTGGAAGCGCACCCACAGCTTCTCCAATCGACACTCTTTCCCGTCGTCCCGGTCGCCCAGCGAGGACAGTGCAAGCCAGACGTCGCGCAAGATGCCCGTGGGCATATCCCAGACAAAGGTCTCCAGCGCACGCATGCGCGCGACTGCGAGAGCGACCAGCGTACCCAGCATTTTCCCGCCCTCTTTGGTGATGAGATATTCTTGAACCCAGTCTGCGGGTCCGTTGCCGAGCGAGAACTTTCGAGTGAATTGTGCATAGTGATTACCCCTTCGCCGTCGGATCGCCATTTCGGATGCTCGGCCTTTGCCCGGGGTGTGTATCCGGTCGAATCGGGGGCCTCGTCGCTGATGTGGCGCCTCGCCGAAGACTTCCTCCGCCATGACCAGGGTCGCCAAGCCATACGTCAGCGCATCGACCCCGGATCGAGGCTCGGAGTGGGTGCTGCTGTCCGGCCAGACGATGTCGAAGCGGGAGTAGATGTGCGGTGTGGCCAGGCGATGCAGCGCGCTGTGACATAGAGCCAGCGAGGTGAGATCGTTGGTGTGCGTGACCTCCTTCACGACATCCTTCAGCACATCCACAGGCAAGTCCAACAGCTGCAGCGGTCTCCGAGGGTCCCGTGCCACGGTGTCTGAATGTTCTTCTCCACGGATCCAAGTCCTACTTGATCGGAGTCTCTTCGCGGGCGTCTCCATCTCGCGGATACCCTCTGCGCGCCCAGGCCCGCCGTCGTGCTCTTGCTCCGTGATGTAATCCAACAGCTCGACCGAATGTTGCGGAGTGTGTTTGACCGGCGAGCGCGGCAAAGGCACAGAAGCAGGACTGGCTGGCCCGAAATATTGCTGCTGTGGCAGTCCGTCATGACTGGGGGAGTCGTTGGCGGAGTTTGGCACGACGACTGATGCCGCCGTGACCTCCATGTTGAGCCACGATCGCAGCCAGCCTGTCGACGAAAGGCGAGGTGGATCCTATGCTGATGTGTCGTCGGAGCCGCCTTGCTAGAACTGCAAGGGAAAGGCCGGAGTCGCTGTGCTTCAATTCTGGGATCGGGACGGTTCGGAGATTTGCAGGGCAAGGTGTCCTCTGTCAAGGATGTCGCTTGTCTGGATCTCCCGGCGCCGCGCAGTTGACATCCGGTGGTGAGAAGGAGGCGTTGATCTTGAATCACGAGGGCTATAGCAACCGGCGAGGAGTGAATCTCTCAAGCCGTGTCCGGGCTGCGTTGTGCATACAACATCGACGTTGGAGAAGAGGAGACCAGAGAGCTACTACAGTGAAGAAGGATATGTATGGGTGTGAATACTGGATGCATGGACAAGTGCACGTGCGGATGTGATACTGTATGTGTGGATTGTACTGTATACAAACAAATGCAACCCATACAATGGAGTCCAGTGGGCGGTGCCCGGGTGTGCTGGAGTGGTGGTGGTGGTTGATGGTCCCGCGTTGTTGTTATTATTATTACCGGCAACGGGGCTCGACAACCAATCAAGCAGCCGCCGCGCCTCATCTTTGGGCTTCCTCCCGCGCCCAACAAGTGAGACACGCGACGGCCCGAATTACATGATACCTACCTAGGTAAGTAATGTCGTGATGCCGGGTCGGAGGGGGGACTTCATTCGAACATACCTAGGTACCTAGTATCGTATAGTAGAACACTGTTCTCCCTGTCTCATCGCCGCATGTACACTTCTCACAGAGCAGGACCTGATCGGGTGCATTGCATAGGGTCTCGTCATCTGTAGGCAATGGTTTATTCGGGACATGAACATTCATTTTTCCACTGTCTACCAAATATTTCAAGATTAGCCTCATGTTGTTATACGTCAAGATGGCACTTGATCCGATTCCCAGAGGATAGATGCTATTCGGCGCCAGAACTATAGTCGAGCCATACGAAGTAGAAATAATGTCCCGGTGATAAGACTAGTCATTGGACATGCATAGTCATCGCGGTCCATGAGTTGAACTCGACACTCGAGGTCTCCATTCGAGTAGGTCTATCAGGCGATCAGAATTTCCGCACTGGAGAAGGAGAGAGAGATGGAGAGACAAGGAGGCAAGTCGAACAGGGACCCATAAGGAATAGAATTACGTAACAATACATTAGTGTCAAGTCTTGTGGCAGAAGAAGACAACGATGAGTGAGAATTGTGAAGAGAAAAGCAGACGGTGAAGAAGGAAAAAGAAGAAGAAGAATAAAACCCCCCGATCGACCACTTCGTCCCCCTCGGGCGTCAAAGCAAGCTCACGAGCTCACCGACCGATGTTTCTGCACAATCTCCACTCCACCTCCTCCGACCACATTCGGAATAGGAGCGACGGCAGCAACAGAGGAGGAAGCGGCCGCAGCTGTGACAGCAACAGCAGCGGTCACAGCAGCAGCAGATCCCGCGCCATTAGGACCATGGAACAAAGCCACCAGCTGCTTACCCACTTCGGTCTCCAACTCCGTACCGTCACGCGCAACCTTGACCTCCTTGTTATCGTTCCAAGAATTGCGCATGCCCTTGGTCCGACGGAAAGGCACACATTGGAAAGATCGCCATTCGACCTGAAAGCGACGACTGGGGCTCTTCTCGTCGAAGGCTTTGTTGTTGTTGTTGTTGCTGTTGCTGTTGCTGCTGCTGCTGATGATGGTGGGGATGCCGTTGGCGCTGTCGGTGGGGGACTTCTCACCGCTGTGGGTGGTGGCGGCAGAGCTTTCGCTGCTGACGCTTTGGCGAAGACTATCGCTGGATGTCGCGGGTTCTTCGTAGTCGGCTTCCCAGAAGATCGTCCCTCGGACGATGTCCTCGACGATGTGGCCGGATGGAGCGGTCTCGGTCGCGGCGGTAGGTACGATGATCAAGCCGGCGTTGTGGTCAACTTCAGGCTCTACCCTCGCACCGGTCTCGGTCGAGGAGTTGGTCGCCGCTTCGTCCTGCTCGAATGATCGTGACACCATGCGTGCGTAGCCAAAGTACTCGCCGGATTTGTTGACGGAGAAGACGAGGTAGACGTTGTCGGCCGAATCAAACGCCTCGTCGAGGATGATGCGGTTGTGCGGTTGCGTTTCCCAAAGTCCGTTCTTGAGGCTGACTTGCAGGTCTTGAAGTGTGAGGCTCTTGACGATGAAGTAACGATCGCCAGCCTTCTGCGGGGTCGCGAGAGTCTGCACGGGTGAGGCAGCATCCCTGACAGAGCTCGATTCGGGTGTGATGGTCATCTCGGCGAGATCGTCGGCGATTTCTTGAACAGCTCCGCCTTCGGTGGGCTGCTGCAATCCGGGCGGGCAAGCGATCGGGCTACCGCGGCTCGAGGGCTTCTGTTCCTTGCCGTTGCGGACACGACATAGAAGTCGGACAGGCCCGAAACGCGATCCGTTGAAACGTTGGTGGGCAGCCAGGACCGCCTCTTCGGAACGGTAGTTTACGAACGCACAGCTCGACGAAGACAACAAGCAAAGACTCTCGATATCATGCCATGCGTCCCGGGAGAAGTGATCCTTCAGGGCGATGATGCAGGCGCTGAAGGGGAGGTTACCAACCCAGAGTGCATAACCCGACTGTCGAGCCTTGCGCGGGGGACCTCGTGGTGCTGACATCTCAACCACAGAATCAGCGCGCTGCATTGCGCCACCGTGGTTGAGAGAGATAGGTGAGATTTGGCCGTTGGACAGGCGCGTGGGCGAGATGATCTTGGGGCGGCCGTTGACCATGTTCATGTGGAGCATCGGGGGCTTCAAGGTGGTGACGTTGGGCCATTGTTGCATGCCGCCAATGGCATACGGGCCACCATTCGGTGCGGTCTTGTTGTTGTTATTGTTGTAAGGCTGCTGCGGCGGTGGTTGAACGAATGCCGGCATCTGCATCGGCATCATGGCGTGTTCATGGCCATGTACGTAGTGCGGGTTCATAAATGTGTGCGGGTGGTGAGGCGCACCATTGAAGTAACCGACATGGCCGCCCTGGCTGTTGTTTCGCTGGTTCGCTTGGTTGAACGCATCTGGACTCATCGGGTAGCTGTTGGAACGCATATTCGACTGATAGTGGTTATATGTGGCCGGATCGGTGTAGAACATCTGCGGGTTGTAGCCTGGGACCTGAGGACTCACGACGAGCCCGTTGGTGTGATAAGGTCCCGCCTGCGGCCACCAGCCCTGTGGCATCGTCTTGGCCGGCTGATGCCAATGTTCCTCGTAGGAATGAATGCCGGGAGGAGCGGCGGGCATGTCTCGAATCATCATGGTGTGTGCGAATATCTATCCCTCTCTGTCAAGATAGCAGACGGCTGCCGGTGCAGGGTTGGATGCAGGGTGCAGGCGTGACGGGTGAGGGAAGGTAGAGACTGCAGGGCGGACGTTCCGCTTCTTGGGTGGGAAAAGGTATACGAGCTGATGCCCAGCGGGAGATGTGTACGGGACGAGGACGAAACTGAAGCGCCTGACAGGAGGAAAATAGAAATCGAAGAGGCTGGCAGGCGGCCTTTCAAGGGCCTGCCAGGAGAAAAGGCGACATTGCCAACCCGGTCGTGATGCAGGTCACAAAGCGGTTCCGGAACGTTGACGGGTGAAGTGAAGAGCAGGTCAATTTTACACGCACGCGATCGAGGCGTCAAGTCGAAAGGGACGAGGAAAACGTCGATGGTAGTAGCCGCAGGAGTGACGAAGAGCTCGATGGGAAGAAAGGATACACAGCGCGGGACGCGTCGGTTTGGGGCAACAGGAGTCTTACAGCTCACCTTTCGAGCGAGTATACGGTACGTCGGCGGTGGTGGTGGAACCACGGATGAGATGGAAGGCTTAGATAGTTGGGTACAATTGCCGTGTCCTCCTTCGTGCGCACACCCTACGTGACCGAAGCAACGAGAAGAGGAAAGCTTGTCCAGAGGAGACGGCAAAGGACCCGGACGGTAACAATCCTGTAGCCATTCTCGCTGACGATAGAAAGAAATGCATCTGGATTTTCTGGAGTTTCTGTGAAGAGCACCTGGGCAGAGTGTCCTACCATCGTGGGGCAACTGCCGGCAGCAAAAGGTCATGTTACCGGAGCGCTCCATTGACAGGAGGCCCGTGTCTGCGAGCCATGATGAATTATTGTCACTGTTGATTGATTGAAAGATGTGTCTCTTTCATGGAAGAATGAGCCAGATTGCCATCTTGGATTCTTGGGTATCTCATTCCCTTTGATGAGATGAAAGGCAAGGGCCGCGCGATGGTACCACGGTCGTCCAAATGTCGCACCCGAACAACAGGCATGTGGGGGCGGACAGAGAAGAAGCAGTACGCGGGCGAGAGATTATACGTCTTTTTCGTGTCTTTTTCTTTAGGGTTAGTGTTTATGAAGTTGCGATCTCATATCATTAGGCTGGTCAATTGAATAAGATCAAATATCGCGCATTTGAGATCTTCAAGAGAGGATAATGGGTGACGTGGAGATTGGAGTATATGGTAATAGATTCCAAGGTTGCCCAGGTGCTTAGAGAACCCGAGGAGGACATATATGTCCGGGTCTTGGCATTTCGACTATATAGCAACCTTGGAATACTAATACATTTGATGGATATCTTGCCCAATGATCCTGTAAGACTTGGGCAGTTGACGGCAACCCCTTTCTCTGCATATCGCTTGTAAAGAACTATCACTTCCATCTTACTCACCATTTCGAATGCCCAGGGTCTACGAGAAAGCGGGATCCGATCATCACGACGGTAGGGTTGAGCAGACATTCTCCTGTACATTTTTCTGCGATTTGTAGCTGGCGAACTGTAGATGGCTCCTAGCATATTCCAATGTGTACACTTGACTCGTCCACGCACGCCGCTGTAAATGTCATGTTGACGTTCAAAAGACAATGGCCATGGATACGATCGACACACAGGAACTCCGGACCAATGGTTGTCACGCCCACCGTTTTTACGGTGCATAGGGCGGGCCTAAACGGCAAGAAGGAATGAATTTCGAATGAACATCTCCCTCTCTTACCCAGGCAGGTACAATAATACTCAAGGGACGCTCGAGCAGTCCACGTTCAGCTATCGAGCGTTGGATGACCTCTCCCTCTCTCTCTACCTACCAAGCAAACTTATCTGATTTGGATCTTTGGGTCGGCAGAGATGGAGACCCATGGGAGAAGAGGAGTGAGACATTGTGCTCCGATCACAATCCAAGGTAAATTACTCATGTGAACGGAAATATCGAAGTTCGTGACGCGCTCGTGTTGGGTCAAGTTCAATGAATGTGGTGGAGAGAGAAAGGTGTATTCGTGGTGTATTCGTGGTGGAGAGAGAAAGGTGCATTCGTGGCGGAAGAAGCGGAGGCATGGCGGACGAGACGAGACGAGAGGAAAGGAGACGAAATGACAAATGACCTAGGTACTTATCAGAGAGGCGTGAGGCATATCTTCAGAAGCGGAGGTATGGCGGCCGAGACGAGACGAGACGAATGACAAATTAGGTGCTTATCAGAGAGGAGTGAGGAGGCATATCTTCACAAGCCCACCCAGTCGGGGACAACGAAAAAGAAAATGAAGCCAGCCAAGTCCGATATCAGCCCTGGAGCATGAACGTCTGGCTCGCTTCCGACCGTCTCGCTGAAAGAGCTGGAGGGACAATAAACCTGCTGCTGAGGGATGCGTCGCACCAATTCTGCACCGTCATCACCATGATCATTGTGGGCAGTATCGTGTTACATGTCACGACATACAGCATAGCCTCCATTAAATATTCCTCGATGACGAGCATGTCCGCCTCCAATCATCTTCGGTCTTTCGTCCTGTTTAATGACGATGGTCCCGAATGAGAGAGAGACACAGAAGATAGGAACGACCGGTTATCAGAAGTGGAACAGCGCACGAGAGCTGTCAGATGGGTCTCCTTGATTCTCGCCGAAGCCATCGGCGATGATGGAAGAACTCGGCTTCGGCGTCGAGGAACTCATGTCCACGTCCGATGATCCGAGGATTCTCGCGGATGTGAAGGACCTGGGACTCTAGAGAAATCTACCTCGCAGGCTAAAAGCCTCGATGGGAATTAGATCTGGGTTGGCGAGGCGAGGCGAGGCGTCTGATCTTGAGACCATCTGACATAGCATCGACGATCCAGATGTTGGTAATTCTGAGCGTAAGCATCGTGATGCCTCTCTTGAGGAAGACGACACACCCGTCATGAAGCACATCCGCTGCGATAAAATAGTAAAGGACTTTCATTGCTTTTATCGAGATCTCAGGGCATTCTATAGGAACTCTAATCTAAGCCATCGCCGGCATCATTTACCATCTATCTACGGTCTTCTCAGCCACATCCCCTGCTCCCCACTTCACACGTTCACAACTTCCCACCCGCAGGGACGAGATCCGCCTCCGTCGCCCTCCAAGGGTATCCCGGCGCAAGGGACTCCCTGCCCTCCTCAACAAGAAAACACTCGTCCTTCCCCACGAATTCCGGATCAAACGTGAAAGCCTTGACCTCCGCGTTCCGCCACGGGTGCAAACCCGGCCCGGTTTCGGACGCCATCAACTGCCTCAAGAAATCCCCATGGGCGACGAGGACGATAGTCTTCTGCGGCTGCTCGCGGAGGAATTGCCGGACCCATTTCGCGCGTTCGGCGAGCGCGGGCAGATCCGCGGCGTAGAAGCCCGCCTTACTCGTCCAGTCCGGTGTCAGGCGGGAGAAGTCAAAGTCGGCGTATTCCGGGAGTTTCTCGAGCTCGGCGCGCGGTGAGCCGATGTTGCACGGCTCTGGGCCACATTCCTGCGCTTGAGGGATGCAGATTATGGATTTGATGCCCAGGCGTTCGATGGCCGGGGAGAAGGCGTAGGTGGTTGTTTGGAGGGTACGCTTGAGAGGAGAGGTGACGATCAGGTCGATTTCGATTTGTAGTTGAGGGAGGGCTTCGACGAGGGACTTGGCTTGCTTGACGCCGAGAGGTGTGAGGACGGCATCGAGGACTGTTTGGTTGATTGATCCATGTTAGATCATGAGGTTGGTTCTGGTTACGTTAGATGTGGATACTCACTGTGATGTTCTAGGTTGACATTGTGCACGCCTTGAGCATGCCGGACGAGGATGATTCGGGAATTCGGCGCCATGATGCTGAAACGATCGATACGACACGGTCTTGTTTAATCTTGTTTAATCTCTAGGGGCGAATGATATGTGTGATATGAGGAGATTTGCGATTTCACTCATTCGTGCAATTTCATAAACCATATCGTTGGGAAATGCTGTCACGATCGTGACTCTTCCAGGTCACTTCTTACCCTTTCCAGCGTAGCTCTTCAACAAGACCCTGGGAGGTGTTCTCCACAAGGATTCGTTACTTCGTGAGGACATGGTTTTTTTTTTTTGAAATCTCCGTGGGTGCGATTCGATAATATATTCCAGGTATTTCATATGAAATACGACACTGCTGAGCACTGGTGACTACGCCATACGCAACAATCGCAACATTGGAAGTATGTAATAATGTGCAGGTGCAGATCTATGCTTTGGTATGTAGCGCAAAAGCGGCAGTGACGGAGTTTATATAAAGACCTCCGAGCTTCATCATGCGTTCGTACATACCTAGGTAACTTAAGAAGGAATTTGGACCGCCTTCAAGGTCGGTCTTCTGCCGTCATGTCACAATTTCATTGCCTCTTCATCACAACATGCCTGTCGGCCCGAATGCGATGTGTTGCTTGATGGAAATACATCGTCCTCGTTCTTCAGATTCACTCCATGCAATGGCGCTTGGCACAAGCGCAAGCAGCGCTCCGCAACAACATCACCTTCAATGGCTCACGACTTTACCACAATGCTCGTCAGCCTCCACGTCAACGTCAACCTGAAAAGCTCACTACGGCAGACTGGTTTGACATTGATTCTGAACACGAGGATCTTCGCGATATCGATGAGGAAAGGAATGTCGTAAAGACAACACGTGCTGGGAGTCAGAATGCAGAATCATCTCAGAGTTTGGCTACGGAGAAGGCGCTTTCAAAGCGTGTGCAGACCGCTCTACAAGCACATTATGAATCCAACGTCAAGAGCAAAAAAACATTTGCGCCATCCGAAAGCGACATTGGATTGAGTCGGGCCGGTCTCAACGTTCTGCTAGCAGAATGGGCGGCCAAATTCGACCCCCGCGAGAACGAGCCGGAAAGAAAGAAAGAGAGCAAGACTGCAAAGAAGGGGAAGAAGAGAAACAAGAATGAGGAGGAGATAATCAAGACGGAGACGACGGAGAAATCCGACCTGTTGATAACTAAGGAGAGCATTCAACCTCTCTTAAACTTCTTAGGTTGGTTTTCGAATTTACCTGAAGCATTGAATTTCCGTCGCACGGCGAGGTGGATGTCGGTCAGACATCCAACAGCCGAAGCCGTGCAGGCTTTGCTTGATCTCGTTCTCCGAAAAAGGCCCCTATCGGATGAGACCTTCAAGGAGATCACCGACATCCTCGTTGACCTGCTGCAGTGCAAGCACCACGACTCCATCACTGCTCCCATTAGATCTTATCTCGACGCTCTTCCACAGAACGAACACTTTTGCATCATTCTAGGTCGGGTCATTCGTAACTTGTACACCCGCGCGCCGGAAACACTGATGTCCTCGGTCCCACCAAATATACATCTTTGGTTGACTATCCTGAAATCATTGCAGAAGCCCCTGAATGCCAGAACCTGGCACGGGCAATACATCTCCCTGGTCCAGCGAACGGACGATTTGGCAATGCTTCATAGCTACCTTGCTGGTTTGAGCAACAGCCAGCTTGCCTGGACACTTCTCCACGGCTGGGTGCCCAGACTGATCGGAGCTTTTGAGCCACCACGAAGAAAGGCCAAACTTGCAGAGAACGGCGGTCAATCGCCAGCCGAGAGTGCACACGATCCAACGGGACGCCATTCGCAACACTCAGACCAACATCTCAATTTGATGTCTCAGGCAAGAACAGATCTATCCGACATGCGCGCTCTGGCGTCTACCAATCCCGGGAAGTACGACTTGCTCGTCGAGTTGCTCGGACTTCTTCACAAGTGGGGTCTGTCAAAGGACATCGTCAGGAAAAGGACGCGCGAGGTTCTGAATCTGTTGTGCCGCCTTCGAACCTCGAGCGAGCTCAAGGCCTTCTACGATCGGGTCCGCGATCATCCTGAACTTGGGGCGACGCCCGCACTGCGAATGCAGCTCATTCGGCACTATATCAGCATGGACGAATCGTATTATGCCTATCATGTCGTCAGTCACGCTCCGCGGCTTGAATTCAACCGCGAGTGTTACAAGCTGCCTCTGTTGATGATGGAGAAAGAGGAAATCAGCTCTGTGAACGTCGTGGGAATGCTTAGCAAAGGCCGCCGCCAGAACAAGCTGAAGCCCTCTGCGCCTGCTGGAGAGTGGAATTACCGAACCAAATCCCAAGGCCCGCAAACAGTTGCCGAGTATGTTCATATGGTCCATCTGGTTGCGCTCGCCCAGGCGGAGAGTCCTCAGCTCAGTGACCGTCAAGCATTCCGACGCGTCTGGGAATGCTACCGCTTCCTCGTCGACAGCGGGATCCAGCCCAAGAGCACCATCGTCCGTGCTCTCATCACCTCCGGGCTGATCCGAACGCATCGCCGGACCGGCCGAGGCCTTGTCCTGACGAAAGCAAAATACATCATCGACATCATCCGGCAGACAGAAGGCGACGAAGAAGCAACATTGTTCGTGGAGAAATTGCAGGAGCGCCTTGCAGAAAATGCGGTCAGCGAGAAGACCTTGCGTGAACAATTGGCGAGAGAAGCTCGGCAGCGGGCAATGTCACCAGTGCCGCCAAGCACGGCGTTGCTGGCCCGTAAACGACAGGCAAGCGCTGCTCTCCGGGCGAAACTGCGAGTCGAAGTTCGGAGTGAGGATGGCTCGCTGAAGCGAATCGACCTTCCCAAGTCGTTGGTGAAGCTTCCCGACGGGTCGTATCTTCACGAAACCTGGACCCGTCAAGATGTGGACCACGTCGCCGCTCATCTCACGGAGCATCGGCAGCGGCCAAAGCCATTTACGCAACGGATGCGCTCGAAAACGATTAGTGTCAGAAGAATACCAACAACCAAAGATATCTCGGGGGCGGAAAAATACGCTCTATCGAACACGCAACCAACAGGAGAACCGCTCGGGGAGAGTCAGATCCCGAGTTCATCGGACAAGCCTCCTGGAGTGAGAACGACTTCTTCGACAGACTCCGATAGCATTATGGACAGCCAGGACGACAACGCCGCTCAAACGAACCCGGGTCCGCTCCGGAGCCGCGAGACATCATCACTCCTCGACAGTTCCTGGAGAGAAACTAGCAGTAGCAGCACGAGGGAAAGGAGCGAGCTAACAACAAAGCCCGTCCTTCCCGGCCCTGTTCGCAGGGTATGCCAAGATGGTGCTCGGAGGCCCTCGGGTCGGCGTGGCCGCGTTGTCGGTGTATCGCAAGCTGGAGCGCCCTCAGGTCGGCGTCACCGGATTCGCAAGATCGGCCGTTGACGCAAGATTGTGGACGAGGTTTTTAGCTGCTAGGGCGGAACGAAGAGTAGCAGCGGCAGAAGGAGAAGGTGGAGGCGGACCAGGACGAGGACGAATGATGCAACCCGGGTCATCCTCTCGTCTCAAAATGGGGTCGATTGTAAGATATCACTGTATGAATAGTGTCGAGATGCCCCAGATATTTTTCATTGTATCTACTGTATTCGATACTGTAGATACCTCCTTTTTGTCTTTGATGATGTCGCCCACACCACGGCCGATCCCCGCTCACGAAGACGTTTCCACTCCTCCTTGGCCGTCATGACTGCCGTCTTCCTGATTCAATTAATCCCATGGCATTGCGTTCTGAAACACGTTTGTTCACGCGTCGATGTCCCCCGTATCGTGGTGTTCCCTTAGCGTTTCGATGCCAAGGACGATATTAATTGTCCAGGGTCTGTCCCTCTTCTGCTGCTAGTGAGGAAAGCCGTTGTATTATGACGGAGTGAGGGAGAGAGGATATAGATTTCGTCAGTGGGCAACGCGATATATACAGTACAGGTTTCGCCTGGGCCAGGTGCATGAATTATCATTATTAAACAGACATGGGATGACACAAATATAACGGTGTGCATTATGTGTATATTTATGCAGTCTGTTATGGTCATTTCTATGCATGCCTTGGATAACAATAATACTGTAGTAACAAACAATAGGAACAGCAGGTTCATTCTGTCCCGTCACATGTTTCCATCGCTTGTCTTAGGGTAATGGGTGGACAAGTGGGTGATATCACGGAATAATTCCCATTTGGTCGGAATTCAAACAAACACCACCACCACCACCGCTAACTACACCTTTCCTCCTCTCCTCTTCTCTTCCCTTTACATCTTCCTCTCTCTTTTTCCTTTCCTCTTCACCTTTTTCGCCTTCATCCTCCCTCTGCTACCGACACATCCACCTCGCGTGCGCTCAGTTGTCTGCTCTCCGCTGCTCAACCCAAAAGAAACAACCCCGACAATTTCCAGAATTTTACCATCGAGGTGGATTTAACTATTCAACTCGATCTCGAGCGAATCAGCCATCTGCCTCAGGGACCGAGATCAACCTCATCGTCGAAACTAGATCAATCACCCCATTTTCGACGTCAACAATCGTCCTGGATACTCAAGCGCATCCTCACAAACACACCGCTTCAACCTCTCGCACCGAAATCCGAAGCCCGGACTCGTTGAAAAGCACAGAAATTCCAAAATCGCAATCTGCCTGCCCACAGCAATCAACCAATACACATAAATCTTCGCAGTCGACGGGACGAGTTTCGTACAGGAATCGCAGTCATGGCGCAACCAACGCAACTTGCATGTAAGTTTCGCACAATCGCCAATGGCAGGTGGGGCATCTCATGGCCGGACAAATGCTAAAGCTTTCCTCTCTAGACCGCACGTCTAAGAGCGTCGGCATGTTCGCTGCGGCACCGCTCTATGCGCCCGTACCTGGCTTTGCGCGCGCCGAGGGCAACCTCCGATGCTGCGTCTATTCTCCCGATGGCCGCTTCTTCGCCTGGGCCTCGCCGGACAACGTCTCAGTCGTGGATGCAGCCGCGGGGAACATTGTCACGGTACTGCCGGCAGACTCGGTGTATGAGCTGGGGTTCTCACCATTGGGCACGTACATCATCACCTGGCAACGTCCTTCCAAGGACGCCGATGGCAATGCGACCAAGAATCTCAAGGTCTGGCGTACTATCGATGACAACGCTGGTGAAGGCGGAGAACGAGCAGTGGTGGGACAATTTGTGCAGAAGAACCAGACGGGATGGAACTTGCAATACACCTCCGACGAGCAATTGTGCGCTCGCCGCGTCAACAACGAGGTGCAATTCTTTGAGAGCAAGAACCTCAGCGCGGTGTGGAACAAACTCCATGTGGATAATGTGCAGGACTTTGCGTTGTCGCCGGGCAAGACGCATTCGATTGCTGTCTTCGTGCCGGAACATAAAGGACAACCGGCAGCGGTAAAGGTCTTCATCGTGCCGCAGTTCAATCTGCCCGTGTCTCAAAAGACGTTTTTCAAGGGCGACAAGGTTCAATTGAAGTGGAACAATGAAGGAACGAGCTTGATTGTGCTCGCTCAGACGGAAGTCGACAAATCGAACAAGTCCTACTACGGAGAGACTATGCTTTACATTCTCAGCGCAAGCGGCGGCTTCGATTCGCGCATTGCCCTTGATAAGGAGGGCCCCATTCATGATGTCAAGTGGTCGCCGAATTCGAAGGAATTCGGCGTGGTATATGGCTACATGCCTGCGAAGACCACCATTTTCAACCAGCGCGCCGTCGCAAACCACAGCTTCGCATTGGGTCCACGAAACGAGATCATCTTCTCTCCTCACGGTCGCTTTGTCATTGTTGCAGGTTTTGGTAACTTGGCAGGCCAGATGGACATTTACGATCTCGAGAAGAATTATGAAAAGGTCTGCACCATCCAGGCGAGCAACCCGACTATCTGCGAATGGAGTCCCGATGGGCAGCACATTCTCAATGCGACCACCAGTCCGAGACTGCGTGTCGATAACGGTATCCGCATCTGGCATGTTGGAGGCAGTCTCGTCTATAGTGAAGACATGCACGAGCTCTACAATGTCGTCTGGCGGCCGCAACCTGTCGCGAAATACCCGCTCGGCAACCCGCTCGGTGCTACGCCCGCAATCCACTCCTCGGCACTCGAGTATCTTGGTAAAGTCAAGACGCCCTCCAAGCCCGCCGGTGCATACCGACCTCCTGGCGCTCGAGGCACCGCCACCCCGAGCATGTTCAAACGAGAGGATGAAGGCGGCGCCGCCTTCATCCGTGAGATGATGACCAGTGGTCGCGACCATACCGAAAGCAATGGCTTCGGGAGCAGGCCCCGGCGGCGTGAAGTCCCTGGCGCCGAGACGATTGAACCGCGACTCCCGCCAGGTGCCGCGCCGGGCGGCGGTGTTAGTTTGACCGCCCCAGATGGTGCAGCAGGCGGCGACGACAGCCTGAGCAAGGCAGCATTGAAGAACAAGAAGAAGCGTGAAGCGAAGAAAGTCAAAGAGGCCGAAGCAAAAGCGGCCGGCCTCGCCGCGCCAACCGCGACTAATGGTGGCGGTAACAGCGCCCCAGCAGCAGCGGCGGCCGCTACTCGCAACGGCGACGCCGGCGCGAACAACGCCTCTCGCAGCCGATCCAAGTCCAAGTCTGGCTACGAACAACCCCGACGAGGAGGCCCCGAAGCCGGCCGTCAACGCGCGCCGGCCTTCCCACCAGGTCTCAACCCGAACGGCGCACAGCCACAGCCACAGCAACAACAGGCCCCCGCCGCCAAAGCCCCCGCTCCTGCGGTCGCCGCCGCCGCAGCACCTCCGCGCCCACGCACGCCTCCTCCAGATGTGACCGTCACCGGCGCCGGCGCCGTAGGATCCCCGCACGAGAAGAAAATCCGCTCGCTTTTGAAGAAACTGCGCGCCATCGATGATTTGAAAATGCGTCAGGCCGGAGGCGAGAAGTTGGAAGGCACCCAAGTGTTGAAAATCGGGACCGAGGAGCAGGTCCGCAAGGAACTCGGTGGCTTGGGATACACTGGCGACTGAGGCATGAAGTTGGGTTTTCGTCGCTGGGGGAGTCTTTGTTCGTTGGATGAGCGGACCGGAAAAGGCAAAAGTTTATAGACGGAAGAAGAGTCGTCCGCGGTGACAGGCGAAAAGTGGCCCCTTCTTGACGAAGAAGCATGGATGATGCGATTCGACGGGAGACTTTTCTGATGATCAGACAAGCCCTCGGCATCGAAGAAAATGACGACAACGCTTGCAGGAAAGGAAGGAAAGGAAAGATTTTGAACGCGGCATTTGCATCCGATCCCTCTCTGAAGCAAGAGCAGGGAGATAAGGAAAAATGAGGCTGTTGAGAACGAATCTCTTCAGATTATGACATTACCTCTATCGAAATTCAATGAAAAAAACTTAGATAAAAGACGACGCTTTTTAAACGCAAGCAGTGACAGCACGCATGTGTCCTCGTGCTGGAAAATTTCATGCATTGCTTCTTGTCCTGTGCATACGACTTCATCTCTCTCTAGATCTCCGATTCCTTCCTCCCCTACTACTTTTTCCACTCCGTTTCCGCGGCTGCTCCTGCCGCCGCCGCTGGCGGCTCCATAACAGAGCGGACGACGACATTTCTACGGTGTCGTGTGTAATGAATCCGAAGATGTTGAGCTTTTGGCAGTGCAACAATATTCAATCTGCGGGTCACATGAGATATGGAAAAGAAACGACCATCCGTGAACACCACCACCACACCCCCCCTCCTGGAATAATAGCAGCGAGTCTGAATTTATGGCCAGACGGGGAAGGGGTATGTCGAGGCGGCATGCGAGACATTCACGACACGAAGGCGGGATGCCACAGGCGGGCGGGCGGCAAAGTGTGGAGATGGAGATAAAGAAGCGCGAAGGGCGACGAAGGGGGAGCTAGGAAAGGGGGAAGGAAGTCCTCATCTCGAATTTATGGAAAGGTCACAATATCGCGTACAATCCACCTCCGTTGCGAAGAAGGTTCCTCCAGAGCGCATGCCCATTTCCCTCCCTCTATCTCCATCGGAAGGCAGCACACGGAACAGAACGAAAGAAAAAACAACCAAATCCCGATTTGCATTTGTCATCCACCAACCCTCGTGTCCCAATCATCCCTGAACAAACTCCCAATCCCACCGCCACCACCGACGACGACCAGTCCATCCTGCGAACTGTCGCTACCGGCGATCCGCTGAGCTCGAATCTTAGCATGATGCTCCACCAAAGCCTCCTTCTTCCGAGCTTGTTGCTGTAAAGTGAGGAGGAGGGATTTTTCTTGTGGGGAGAGGTTTTGACTTTGGAGGGTGGTCGTGAGATGGTTGGTGAGGGATTCGAGGAGGAGGGTTTTGTCATCATCAGAGGAGGAGTGGGTACGTTTGGCGGCGGGATGTCGCGAAGCTGTAGCAGAAATTGTGGCGGTGGCGTCATCGATGTCCATGGCATCGGCGTTGCGTTTGCTGGCGGTCGCCGCGGCAGCAGCAGCAGTTTCGTTGGCTCTTTTTGCTTTTTCAGCGAGGTAGCGAGCACTGTGTCTTGAAGGAAGGCGATTGGCAGCTTTCTCTACAGCATCTCCAGCCGAGGTCTCCTCAGCGTTGAGCCCTTCACTCCCGAGGAGCAGTGGCGGGGTTGAAAAGAAGAGCACGCGATCGGCAGCATCGCGCTGATACAGAGCGCGAATCTCCGGCGGGATGCTGAAATTTGCAAAGTCGGGAAGGGTGTAGACTTCGACAGCGGGAGGATCGCGGTAGTTGACCGGAGCAGGTGCCATCGAGGCGGCAGGGGCGTGGCCAGCGGATGAAGACGAGTGATGAAGCGAGGGGCGTGGAGTTGCGTACGAGGTGGATGGGTTGGGACTCGCAGCGACTCGGCTCATACCAGCATTTGGATTTAGCATTCCTGGGGTGGAGGCGTACGAGTGTGCTTGCGCCGGGGGCCGGAGGGATGAGCTTCCTCCTGGTTGCGGAGTCGAGGGGTTGTAGTTGGGAGTTTGCCCGGAGAGACCGCGCTGGTTTGCGATGGCGGTAGCCGCTGAGTTGGGATATTGTGGACGTGCCGGAGTATACATTGCAGCATTACGCGAGTCGGGCCGCGCTGCAGGATTCGACTGATACGCTTGCGACGGCGTTGGGAGCGGCTTTGGAGGTGATGTTGGCAACCTCGACGATGGAGGAGGAGTGGGTTCAGGAGGAGGTGAATCTTTGTCGGAGCGGATGCGATGCACAGCACCGATTTTCGGTGGCGCACCTTCGGCTCCCCATTGAGCTTTGGGATACTCGTCCGTCTCCTTTTGATCATCTCTGAGCAGATATGCTATTGGCGATGGGTATTTCTTGGCCCTCTGGGGTTGCGGAAACATATCCATTTCATAATCCTTGTCTCGTACTTCGTCAGGAAGGCAGCTTGCCCAAGTTTTGATCGTGTTGAATTGTGGTTGCGCTTCGTTGTATCGTGTTTGGCATACGTAGACTTCAGTGCCAGTCGGCAATCCCCGCGGACGACCTTTGAAGAAACGCGTATAGAACATGATGAAGCATTTCCCTTCGATTTCCTCCACTTGATGATCACGATATCGACCAGTTTTGACCACTTCGTTGGCATAAAAGTGCTTATCATAACGATGAATGGTCTGCTCTGGACGATAATACCAGCAGACATTGACCGTGGGCTTTCCTTCTGAATTGCGAAAGATCCGATAAATCTGAGCAGGTATAGGTTTTGTAAGGTCATTGGCGTTGTGAAGATGAATCCAGTCGCCGACTCTGTAGTGCTCGCCGTTGTGGTAGACGCCACTTGGCAGAGGTATTTTGCCTTCGTCGTCGGCAAAGGTTTCGTCGGGCTTGGCACGTTCCTCGTCATACAATCGACCCGCTTCGATTTGCAATGTCACGGCGTCTTTGTAAATCTGCGACTCGTCGGTATTGTACGATTTGGCGTTGTTGAAGATCAGATTGACGTCCGCCATGAAGTCCTCCAGGCTTTTGTACTTCTTTCGCTTGGCCTTGCGTTTGAGCGAATCATAGGCCATGGGATGCTTTATCTCCATGAAGTATTCAGGCATGGCAGCTTTATCGGGAAGACGATCGAAGTTCTCGATCAGAAGTTGGCCATCTAGGCCCTTCGGCTTGCGGATTCCTTTGAGGATAGCCTGAATTCGTGCCTCCACTGGCGTCAACAACTTCGGCGGGCGACCTCGGGCTCGCTTGCCATCACCATCCTCGATCGTATCTCGCTTCGAGGGTCGACCTCGCCGTCTCTTTTTCTTACCTTCATCTCCCTCGTCGCCTCCTTCATCGTCGTCATCGTCCCCGTCATCCTCACCAGAGTCGTCGTCGTCGTCACCCTCACCATCTTTATCCGCTCCAGACACATGCTCATACGCTGGAATTTCTCCAAGGTCGGGAAGTGCTGCGATTTCTTGTGAGATGAGACCATCCTTGACCAGCTTTTGAAGCTGCATCTCCAGTTGCTCCTTGACGATCAGGGCATCTTGGAAAGCGCCGCTATCTGGCACATTGAAGACTTGCGCATTATGGGTGATCAGCGCAAAATCGCGTACGAATTCCTTGAAATCGCGATATGCGCGGGTGTGTATCTTCTGTTTGATTGTGGACAATGCCACTGGCTCCTTGATTGTGTCGTAGTATTCTGGAATAATGCGCTTATTCACCTTGCGGTGGAACAGCTTGGAGGGATCGAAGCCATCCTCAGTACGGTAGTCGTAGATTGCATTGAGGATATCGGTCATCGCTTCCCATTGCGCCGTCGGTAATTGTGAGCCATCGGTCTGCTCGCTGGTCGGAACCGGTGTAGTACTCGGACTCCTCTCGCGGTTTTTGGGAGGTCGGCCGGGCGGCATGTTGACAAGATGGACCGTGTTTGAGCAATACTGTATGCGACCGAGAGATTCCTCTCACATTGAAGCTGGAGCTTTGCGCGCGCGCGAGACAAGCGGTTGCTTTCAGGCGTGGAAGACGTGTTTGTCCCGGGCGCGAGCGTGGGTGAGCCCTGTGTTTACGTAAGCTGCTTTAGCGGAACGGCCCGCGCCGACGGACGTCTCTCCATCGCGGCATATCGTGAGATGCGCCAACACTCTCCAGCTGTGAGACAATATTGCAACAACATCGCCCTCGCTTGAACAAGTACAGATACTGTTCATTCGCTTTATGCTGAAGTCGATCCAATGTGCTGGTAAATATGTGTGATTGATACATGAATCGGCTGCGGGATCTGTCACCAGAAGCAAAGGGCGATATGGAGCAGCGAAATATCGGGGCGGGGCACGGGCAGAATGTGGTCCAACGATGACGACGGGGTCAGCAAGACATTGAATGGGTCAGCGACGATTGTGCAATCGGTAAAGCCTCCGACGCTTCGTCTTGTCTTGCTTGATCGCTTGTGAGCCAAGATCACTTGGACCGTAAATCACATGATGGACAATGGCATGACATCGTCATTGCCATTGTTTAACCCCAACCATAACCCTAGAGGCCCACGACACGATTGCCTTCCACTTCATTCGATGCTTGACAAAGCAATCACGTAGACTCCAACTGCCCTCTGTTTCGACAGAATGAAGAGATTTTATGGGAATATCACAAATTGATCATATCGTGAACACGTAGACCTTATCTCTTTTGGCGATGGCCGCAGCAATTCGCCTTCGAGTGCGTGGACCAGAGGGCATGGTAACGCTCGCCTTCGGAACCGACGCCACTTGGTCCGATCTCAAGCACGAAATATCTCAAAAGACAGGAGTCGCGGATTTCGACCTCAAGTATGGCTACCCTCCACAGCAGCTAAATACAGAGTCCATCGATGGCGATGTCAAGCTCACCGATATGCCTCACAAACTCAACGGCGAGCAACTCACCGTCGTACCGCGAACCTCCATGTCCGCCAAACTGTCAAGTCCACTAGGAGGAACTACACGAGGGACACAAGCTATTCCAACACTCCCTCCCACGAAAGTCACAGCGCCGAGCCCGTCCTCCGAATATCCTGCCACGCCCCTCAATCTCACACGCAAACCAAAACCCAGCCTCGAAAATGAACCCCCAGAAGTCCCGATCCCCTCTCTCGAAGGAATCATGGTTCTCCGCGTCATGCCCGACGACAATTCCTGCCTCTTCCGCGCCCTGTCCACCGCCGTGCTCGGAGCTGCATTAGACGGAATGACCGAACTACGATCCATCGTCGCGCAGACCATCATCGGCAATCCCGAACTCTACACCGCCGGTGTGCTCGAGAAATCCCCCGAGGATTACTGCCGGTGGATCCAGCGCGAGGATAGTTGGGGCGGAGGGATCGAGCTTGCGATTCTCAGCCAGCACTTCGACGTCGAGGTGTGTAGCGTGAATGTGCAGGATCTCCGCGTCGATCGATTCAACGAAGGCAAAGGTCGCGCGAGGGTGATTGTGGTGTATTCGGGGATCCACTACGATGTATGCGCGGTGACTCCATTTCGGGGCGCGGACCCAGAGTTGGATCGGAAGGTTTTTGAGGTGGTGCGGATGGGAGGGGAGGGGGGAGATGAGGAGGTGGAAGAATTCGATGGTGGCGCGTTGGCGGGTGCGTTGGATTTGTGTAGGGCGTTGCAAAAGCAGCATTACTATACTGATACGCACGGGTTTGCATTGAAATGTAATCAGTGTGGTGAGCAGGGCAATGGGCAGCAATGGGCGGTTCAGCATGCGCGCACCTCAGGACATGGCGATTTCGGAGAGGCCGATTGAGGGAGGATGCACCAAGAAATTTTTACATTACAGTCGCCCGGGAAGAGAATTTTCAGATTGGAAATTTGTAATAATTCGTGAAGCATACCGCCGATCTAGCATATCTATTCCAAATTTTAGACGAGAAAAATAAAGCCATGTATGGTACTACACGGACGACCAGCAACTCCACAATACTCCCGAGTAAATTCAACCGTGGGGTATCCACCACCATGACACCGATGCGAGTATAATTGCCATGTCCTCATTACCACTCTCTAACGACCACCGATCTGTCCTTTGGGAATCGGTGGGACCCAGCAAGTCACAGCCTGGATTCCCAAGATGATGGAACCAATGATCCACATGCCATGGGGGGTATCCGCCATGCCCTTGGAGTTGAGCGTGAACCGGAAAACGACCGCAAACATGATGCCACCAAAGTTACCGAACGCACCGGTGATACCCGAGACGATACCGTTGGCTTGAGGGTGGACGTGGGGCACGACGGAGAAGTTGAGACCGTTGGCGCCGGCGATGATGGCTCCCAAGGCGATGCCGATGACGAGAACGACGCTGTACAGTTCGGTGGGGTTTGTGAGGCCGAGGGTGATGAGGATGACGCCGGTCAGGGTACAGTAGATGTGGAGTAGAATCTTCTTAGACCAGACGGAGCCGGTGTATCTGTAAGCGAGATCTGCGACTACACCTCCGAGCGGTCGGAAGACAAGGTTGAGCAGACCGAACATGGCAGCGAAGGCGCCGTTGGTCTGGAGGCTGTTGGTGGGGAATTTGTTCTTGTAGAAGGCACCCAGGACGCTGTTGACGGCCAACTCGGCGCCGAAAGTGCAGAAGTAGGCCATGCCGAGCACAACGGTCTGTGGGGAGAAAACGACCCTCAAGCTATCCTTCAGTGTCGGCTTCTGGACGATTTCACCACGAGCGGCGTCGAGCATCTGTTGCTCGCCCATCTGGGCTTCATTGTCGCCGAAGGTCCCACGAGTCGAGTCCAGCTTCTTCTCCTCACGGACGAGGTCGCTGTTGTCATCCGAAATGGATTGGGCTGAGGAATGCTGGATCTTCTCGGTAACGGCACCTGGAACGGCCACAACGGTGCCAGAGGTGACGTGCTCGCGGAGGTTGTTCTCAGCGGCCTGGGCGCGGTCCTTCCATTTGCCCAAAGGAGTATCCTCGCAGAGAAGCAGGAGCGAGGTGCCAACAAATATGATGAGGATTCCCGGAACGACAAAGGTGACACGCCATGCAGTGGTGGCGGGCAGGCCACGGCGCATCAGGGCTTCGAAAACAGCCGGCATGACGAAATATGTGACACCACCACCAGAGTTGCCCAGGCCGCCAGTGATGGCATTGGCAGTACCGATGATGTTCTTGTCGAAGAAACCAGTGGTCCAAACCTGGCAAGGGACGAAGGACCCACCGAGGATACCGACGAAGAATCGAACAGCATAGAGCTGGTTTGCGGAGTAGACGGTTCCAGCCAAGAATGTGGGGATGGCACCGATGAGCAAAGTGGCAGCGAAGACCCTCCGAGGGCCGAACAAGTCACAGCATGGACCGGCAACGACACGAACGAGGAGGGTGGCGCAAAGAGCGACGATGTTGGAGTTGGCGACTTGGGCCGGAGTGAGACCGATATCTGCTGCGATGACCTCGCTCAAGAGAGGCGGGAATGCATACCTATATATCGAGATTAGTCGATGTGATCGGAATGTGTGAGACATCTGAGAAGCGCGTCCTTACCATGACCAGAATGCGATGAAGAAACCAAACCATGAGAAGAAGAACACTCGGCCATATTTGTTGAAGGGGTTGAAGAAGGGAATCGCTCGGGCTTTCCTGGTGATTGGGTTAACCTCTGGATCCTCCCACAGCATAGAGATGCCCATTCTGTCGAGTATTTGGAGGTGAACGACCAGTGTGTTTGAAGTTGTCGTGATCCTGGTGTGTAAATTGCTTTGAGATCCTCGACAACGATTGATTCTTTCAACACGCTCGAAGAGGCTGTTGAGGCGGTGGTGGATGGCAGAAACAATGGATCTGAACGTGAACTCAACGACCTTCTATATCACAGACAGGTCCCGAGCTGTCGGCAACAGGCGACACTTAGCGAAAGCATCTCCGAACCACGACCTAGCCTGGACCGCAAGCCACATCACTCAACGAACGCCTGCAGTGTATGTAAGAGCAAGTCCGCGGATGTGGAGAGACGGGGTGGCACCCACACAGGCACACTCGCGTCATGGCCATACAGGCACGACTTACGCTATCCATCTAGAATCTAGTTCTCGGGTCGCACGCTAGCGGCACGCACCCTGCTTCGATCCTCCAGGTGGTGATAAGCGCCTCTTCCCAGCATGATGGAACTGTAATTTGGAAGGAAAAACAAAAGTGTGACCAGGGTTCTCTTCCCAAGTGAAATGTGTATCAATCGGAGGCGATCGTTGACGAATCGAAGACAAGGCCTCGCCTCGCCTCTCAGCCAAGCAAAGTGGGCGTTCTGCTATCTGTTTTGTAATTCATCATGGCGGGATCTCTATTCAATGAACCGCTATTCCTGGATGGTCAAGTTATGTGGTGCCCAAGCTAAGAGGGTGACTGTTAACTTGTTGATTAGACACAATGGCCGATACATCTTGGAAGAGCGTGGTCATCATCGTCGGTCATACGAGCATCAGGAGAAAGCGTGGCAGCTAGGATTGTCGTCTGGAAATAGCATTGTCTATTTGGTGTTGAGACGAGCCAACGATTTGTTAGTGAGAGCACGGTTAGAGTCTAGCAGGGAGCCCTGAGTAGGCGTATCGTATGAGAAGTGAAGTGGTGGATGCGACAGGGTACGAGCAGGAAGTACTCGGAGCGTGCTTATCTCGAGGGCGTGATAACATCTTTCCCAAAGAGGAAATTTCGCCTGTAGGATGAGATAGCGCGCGCCCACACACCGATAAGCCACGTTGTGGACAGCTCCGGAGACTTCTCGTGGTGGAGGAGTTCCGGTTGGTCTCGCTGAGGCCCTCGAGAGATCCATAATTTTGGATTCACAGGTGCGTCGACTAGCGATCCGAGGTATAGATCTTTCTTCTCCGCGGCTTCGAATGCCCTTGTTCATGGTTGTGGTATTTGATATCGCACAACCACGATGGGCTTGGCAGGGCTATCTGCTATGCGAGCCTCACAGTAGACGAACCGTATCTATCGTTTCTGAGTCTAGGAGGTCTCGGCACTCTTCACACGTGGAGGACACGCGATCGAGTCAATGGAAAGGCAAATGCAGACGTGATGTCGCGAGGATCGGAGAGAGTCGTCCGTGGCGTGCTTCTCCGCGTGGCCACTCCCATCGAACTCGGGCGAATCCGACGGAGGATGATGAAAGGTACGGCACGCACCAACCCGCCCAATAGAAGTGGACGTTCTCCGCGGACACGCACAAAATGAACGTTAATTTGTCCAACTGACGTAGGTGTTTGTTGCCGCGATGCCGATGACAACCCCAAATTGTTGAACGCAAATGCCTCAGTCTCCACTTCACGTTTGTAATCTCCAATCACTCACCCATGCCATCATTCAAATGGTCCACTTGGTCGTCGTCAGCTTCACGACGATATGAGCATACTCAGGCGGTGACAGAAGGGTTGAAGTAATTCTCTCGAACGTCATACTTCATCATAAGTCGGGATTGTACAGCAGCAGGTTTGGTGCCATTGTACCCGATCTCTCTTCCGCCAGGAACAGTAGTCCTGGAGCTTTCCTGACGATCATTGCACACGCACCCGCCTGAGTATAGCAAGCCTTTGAGATGAATCGGGCTGTAGTCTCCCGAGGGTCGGGCTGTCCAGCATTCGCGATTGTACTTCGGCCCATTCCTCAGGCCATTTACCGCTCAATTGTGTAGGTCGACACCGAGCATGGGAGCATTGTTGACCAGCGTCCCTTGCATGGCATTGTTAAAATCTCGGTTTCGAAGGCCTATTGCGAAGATGATGCACCTGCACCGAAAGAGGCAAGAATTCATGCGCACATACTCAGGTAGTTGATCAGCATGCATCCTGCTAGATGGAATGGCCATGAACGATTTCAGTGATCATCAAAATGCACTATGATCAGCAAGTGGATCTGACTGAATGGGCGTCGCAGTCACATACTATTCAGAACAATATACGGTCATTTGTCCATCTCGCATACTCAATTTTTTGGCCTCACGAAAACGATACATGGAGCGTGGTCGCCCTCGTCGGTCACGATGATTCAGAGTTAATTGGGGAGAAATTAGTTTCCAAGAAGTGCGGCTCGACTGAAATGGATGCTTGCGGAATCCAGGCATTCTGCAAGCACTTCAAACTTCATGTACCATAACATCCCCTGCAACATCCGGCTCGTACTTCGTCGTGATAAGCGGGTGCTTAAGGGCAAGGATAGCGACGCTCGATGGCATCTAGACCGAGGATAGCGGAAACCAATGCAACAATCATTAGTAAACACTGTATTTCGCTGGCGAAGATCGCAATAAACTCCTTGGTGGTTGTAAATATGCACCGTGATTTGCAAGCGATTATACGAAAATCAACACCAGGGGCATGGGTTGAGGGTGACAATATCACGTGATGTTCATGTAGGTGTACGCATTCCGCTCGCTGCGACACCTCCAGGCTGCAGCGACAACCTCATCTCGCTCATTCTGCTCGAGATTATCAAGCTCAACTGATGCAACACTTCATGAAACCAAGAAGCCAACAGACAATCGTGGCTGTAGGCAATGTCAGCATTTGCTGGAGATCTGATGCTCCTTAACCAGCTTACCTGCTGATTGCACTGATCGTGTTCTTGAAGCGCCGCATCCAGAAACACAGGAGTATCTTTTCCGTTCTGCAATCACGCAATCATGCCTGCCAATCTGCTTGAACTCCCCGCCGAGCTTCGAATCCGAATCTTTGAATTGGTATTGCTGGCGCCAGCTCCTATTGCCCTAGAGAAGAGGCACTGTCATCCAGGAGAACAAAAACCGGAAGTTAGTCTGCTTCGGGTGAACAAGAAGATGAGCTCCGAAGCCACTCCATTCTTTTATGGACAAAATGAGTTCCAGTTCACATACTCTCCGACGAGGAAAGAAACAGCCTCGTTTCTGGATCGAATGGGCCGCAATGCAACGCTCATCAGAAGCATCTACCTCTACATGGACTTCCCAATACTTACCAGACGGCACGGTCTCCGTGCTACGATCGACCACGAGGCAACGAGTTATTTGTCAATCTTACCACGCAAATGCATCAATGTGCGCACTTTGACGCTTTCAAAGAGTTTCTTCGTAGGCATCAATTACGCTACGGGGAGCTCTCATTCGGATCAACTCCGCGAAGCACTCGACGCGTGCAACACCAATTTTCGAGCATTTCCGCTGATGGAAGACATCTTCATTGACTCTTGGACGGATACTGCCTTTCGTCATGCTCGGGACGAGATAGCCAAAATGGGGTGGAAAGTGAAACAAAACCAATAGCTGATTGTACCGATCATGCTTTTGGGACAATGAATCGCCTGGAAGGCACGAAAGGTATTTGTCCCAATATGAACATCTGCTAGAGTTGAATCCGTGAGCGTTTGAGGGGAGCCCTTTGTCACGCTGCGCATGAACCTGAATTCTCAGGCTGCCGTGCATGCCCCATATCAGAGATAGCTGGAAGCAAAGCGCTTGAATTTGCTGCACGGCGTACCATCATTGACAAATTCAATTCGTCTCGCACTGCTTCGAAGACACCATCGATATCCATCGCGCCGTCTTCTCGAAACCCAGCACAGCCATGTCGGCAAGCTTTCTTTGCCTCCCTCCCGAGTTTCGGGGATCAAATCCCGGCGAGTCGATTTGATAAAAGAGCGGTTCACGAAGCTGTTGCGATATCGTCATGAATAGATCGTCCATAGCGAGAGAGCCAGCGTGCGTTAATATTGCATCAAAGCTGTCGACCCTCGTCGGCCTCGCTTGGCCCGCGTGTGTTGACTACGTAAGTGTAGTGCTCTAAAATGATACGGGAAACCTTGCGTTGAATGAGTGTTTTGTCACAAGCAAGTGTCATGCCGAGCTCTGCATGGTCCTGAAACATGCGTGTCGCGACATGTGACAACGTTTACGCCTTTCACTTGCTCAATTCTTGCAAGCTCGCGACTTCTCGGCGGCGACGAAGACGATACGATTTTACTTCCGCTCACTTCTCCAAAGCCAACAAACTTGCGTCGCAATATGAGAACCAATGATGTGAGAATCGACAAACACCTATGATCTTCAAGAGGTACTGGCACTTGACACGACCTGATGCTTTGACACAACCTGCTGATAATACAAAAGTCTAGCGCTGGACCTACAACACTCTGCCAGAACAATCCGACGAATTTGAACATCGCGCACCCTGATATCAACCATGCCTATCTCTCTGCTTGAGCTCTCCGCCGAACTTCGCAATACCATTTACGAAGCTGTACTGCTGGATCCAGAACCCATCCGACTTGAGTCTAAATTCTACGAACAGCGAGCTCCCGGATGTAGGCTGCTTCGCGTGAACAGGCAGATACACCGTGAAGCCAATGCAACATTTTATGCTCAAAATGAGTTCGATGTTTCAGATTCTCTACTAAAAAATATCTCCTTCATACTGAATAGTATGGGCCGCAATGTTGCGCTCATTCATAGCTTTCGTCTTGAATTCCCACATTGCTACAGGCGTCAACAAGGAGGAAAGATAATTCCCGAAGGCGATTGCACGAAGATTCTGTCGATCGTGCGGAGCAAGTGCATCAACGTTCGATATTTCAATTTCTGTTTGTATCACAATGTGAGAGTGGGACATGAGTCCATCAGCACGTTCAGCATTCGGAGAGGAATAAGTGACAGGAAGCACAGAGATCTGTGTGAAAGGCTGCTTGAAGAACATGCCGAGAAGTTCAGAACATTCCACAAAGTGCAGAAGGTGGTCATCGAAGTTGTGCCGCACCAGCACCATCACCATTTTCTCGAGGCCATCAATCAACGTGGATGGGCGTTGGAGTATCTCAACCCGGGGGACGTCAATGCTTTGACTCCCTGCAGGCTGCCTTGGATAATGAAATGAGGCGACAAAAAAGAGACTCACGACCACGATTGCCGATGATGACCACAATGCTGCTGGCGAGATCATATTGAGCATCGATATCATTCTAAGCATGATTGCTCGATGGGCTCTGAGCATCTCTGGACAGTCGATGGACGGCTGGATATGAAAGGCTTCTGTGACGAAGTCAAAGCAATTGTGTGCCATACCACTTGAACGAGCTTGGAACTTGAATGGATGCCTCGAGCTGGTCTATCCTGATGGAGCTCCGTGGAGTCGATATCGTTCCCGGCGCCAACACAGAAAAACCATTTCAGAGCTCTTCACGGAGCATACGCACCCGTCTATACTGCAACATATGAATTGAGACGAATGAATGATTCGGAAATTCCAAGTTTGAGTCGCATGGAATGAATGAGGGTGATGTGTTTGTTGGCGTTGGTGCAAGCACCTTGACTATGGCATGCATTCCTCGATCGATAGAACCGTTTGTTTATCGCTGAATGATTCGTTCGTAAGCTCCTTGAAACTCGCCTCAGACCTGTCAGAGACGACATTTCGAAATTTGTTTCCTCGACGAATCGTGAGTTGTAGATGCCGAGTATACGTGTCACGTGCGAAGTACAAGGCCCGATACATGTTCGCTCTGGGGATTTGATCGTATAGGAGACAAACCACCAAGAAATCAAATTCGCGTGAGTCATCAAGACCGGAATCCACCTGGATTTGTACAGAGCAGAGGTAGACATCACGTCTTGGAACTCCATGCTGAATGCTGACGTCAGTCAAAATTCCAGCTATTGCCACTGACTGTGCCTCTTGAAGCCCGACTTTTTGCAGAACCAGAGCCTGTAACGGTTTTAATCTCCTGGTCATGTCTCATCGAGATCTTTTGAGCAGTGATATTATTAGCGTCGAGAGACAAAACATCACTGCTGTTTCTACACTCTGATCCCTTATATCGGCCCTCTCGAGACAACTCAGATACTTTCGAAACAAGCGCAGCCATGACCTCTGGACTAGAACGCATTCCAGCCGAGCTGCGAAATCGCATATATCAACTGTTGCTCCCGACAGCCATTGTCTCTGCCCGGGACAGGCAACTGTTCTTGATCCGCAGATCCTTGAAGCGGTGTGGCCCGATGAAACCTGCGGAGTGGCCTGGCTCTGGACTACTCCGATTAAACCGAATGATTTCCGCAGAAGCTAGTGCCGTCTTTTACGGTAACGTCGACTTTGACTTCGACCTTGCTCATGACAAACTCGGCGAGGACTTTCTCCATCGAATTGGGAGCCAGGCGAAACATATTCGAAGCATTGTTATTGGCTTCCCGGAGATCTCAAGGGGAGTCCATGGAGGGTATTCCATGAATTCTAGTTGTCAGCAACAATTGGCGATGCTCCGTGAGCACTGCGAAGATGTTCGCTACGTACACACAGACATGATGGGTAGCGACTTCAACTCATATGAACCCTGCGACAAGCAGCCTTACTGCGACTACATGCACATTATCGACAAGGAACTCCGGAGGTTCCCGAAACTGGAGGAGGTCAAAGTGAGAGCTTGGGAACCGACGATGGAGGAATGGATCAAGCAAGAGGTGAAGATCTGCGGCTGGAAAATCGTTGCAGAGACTGATAAAAAGAAGTTTGACGACGCTTCGTTTGTTTGCGGTTTCCAAGTATATGATTAAAGGTTCAAATCATGATCAGCAGACCGCTGAACGATCAAGTCGGGCCGGAGAGAAGATGGATCTGATTATTGTCGCCGCTTTCTCTGAGACCTCTGAAGACTCTGCCTCTCGACCAAGACGGCCAAGAATTCTCGAGAACAGCTTTACTCACTACGGATGTACAATCAAGCGCGCTTTCGAAAGCATCAACGAAGACTCGAATGAGTCTCTTGCGGCGGCGGCTTGGTGAGCCACGGGAGAGCAGAATCATCGATGTTTGAGACTGGAGGAATGACGAAGATAATCATCACACGAGAACACCACCAACGACACGAAACTTCAATGGATCAGCCTCGAGCACCGCCGGCGGAACATTCTCGCTCCAGAATCTCTTCGGCAAACGCCCATCCTCTTCATCATCTGCGGCGACGAATTCCCCTTCACACCACCACATTCCCAACGGCTCCAGATGAACCTCAAATTCTCCATCTGGCAAATCTTTCAGAATCTCCGAGATCTCTACTTTCCTCTCCAAAGTCTCCCCTGGCAGAATCGTGGTCATGCAATCCCTCTTCGGCCTGGGATCGAAGGGTTTGCGCATGTCCCTCAACCGACAAACAAATCCGGGAATGCCTCCGTAGACAACCTCTCGAGTGGAAGCATCTAAGATCCGAATGATCGGATGCAGCGCCCTTTTAGTATTCCCGGGAAATTCATGCAGGATGCGCGACCAGTACTGTTCATCGCCGTTGAGGCCATAGCGGCTGGAAATTTTCAGATGGCGTTGTTCGCCAGTGGTCTGTAGCATCAGAGGTTGAGATGAGGAATGAGAGACCGAAATTCGTAGATAGCTGGAAGGAGAAGTCTCCGAACCTTTGACAACGCTGATATGGGTAGAGAGGTTCGGAGGCCAGGATAGACACGCGACCGTCTGGAAAGTGCATCTCCCAACACTCGTCCCATGGCGATGAGACAGCGGCGGCAACCCACCACCCGCCGTGTCATCGTCACCACTGCCCCGTAGAGCCCAAGGCAGAAACTCCCCATCCTCCCCGATGAAATCCCCCTTCTTCCCGAACCGATACCATCGGATGCCCAACTCCGGCCTCAGCAGCGAGATCTCAAATTTCACCCCTTCGCCGGCCGAAGAGAAAATCCTCCCGAGCGGACTCGCGGGGTTGACGACATACTCGTACAAGGTCAGAAGCTGCATGAAATTCTCCTTCCTGCCGACCAAACTCTCCAGCACGATGAATCTCTCCCTCTGCATTCCTCTCCCCTCTCCACTTCCATCATCCTCACCATCACCATCACCACCATCACCACCGTCAACATCAAGCTCCCTCAGCCCCCTCGCCACCTCCCGCATGATCCCCCCTCCAGGATCGGTACTCAAAACATCCCAATCCAACAATCCCTCCCTCAACGCCCACGGGACATCCAGGAGGGAACGTCTCGTATCGAGGACGAGGTCTTCATCGGGATGGGAGTCGTGGCGTCGGTCGCGGGCGAGGCCGAAGACGATGGAGAAGGGGAGGCGGCCGGAGAGGTCGAAGAGGGGGGTCGAGCGGGCGAGTTGTAGATGGAGGCGGATCGTTGCGGGAGGATGAGGAGGAGGAGGAGGAGGAGGGGTGTTATTGGGGGTGGAGTGGTGGGTATCCTGCTTGAAACTGGGCGCGGTGTGCATTTGCGTCGTCGGTCCTTGTTTTCTATTCTTTTTCTTTTCTGGATCTTTTTCTGGGGGGAGTTGAGGTTATACTTTTTTTTTCTTGAACTTGAACGGGTGGTTCTAGGTGCTGTCGGGACGATGGGGGAGAGAGTTCTTGCGTTTGAGGTGGGTGGGAGAAGTCTACAGTCAGAGCGAGAGAGAGAGAAAGAGAGAGAGCTTCAATCTCGAAGGAAGGAATATGAGTCACGCTGACTTATCACTGTCCATATTTCGTCGAGTTGGGCTTATGGCGATTATCCTTTTTTGAAAAAGGAACAGGTACCTTTGGTTTAATAATAAGAAATGGATTCTCGTGGGTTGAACAGATACTGGAGGAAGAAGGGATCCGCGTGGCAAATCGTGGAAAAAGACGACGGATGGAAGGGATTGATTGCTGAGGCGAATTTCACATGGTCTTCCAGAAGTAGAAACGACCCCCCCCCCCCCCCCCCCCAAAAAGTACAATTGGCCATGGAAACCCTCGGAGATTGTTCCCCTCATCTACGCAATTCACGAGAGAATCCCCCCTCATGCCCCATAAACCTATGAAGAACGGGGAAGTGGAGGGGAAAAATAGAAGCAAATCAGAGGCAAGGAAGGAGGAAAAGGAAAAGCAAAAAAGAGAACATAAATGGAAGATAGAAAAAACCCAACTACAGCGGTCTCGCCTCCTTCCTCCCCTCCCAGAGCTCCGCCAGGACCTCGTACAGGAAGAAGAACTGCTGTTCGCCCTGCACCATCATCATGCGCTGCTGGCGGAGGATATCGACTGTTTCCGCGATGGGATCGTCCTCGACTTCTCCCTCGTCGGCAGCAGAGGAATTCCCATTGGCGGTGGTGGTGGGAGCACCGCCGGCCTCGTGGGCATATTTCTCGAGGGCGCCCGAGTACATCTGGCTGAGGAGGTAGTCGAGCGCGATGAAGGTGCCCGAGCGCCCGACGCCGGCGGAGCAGTGCACGATGCGGGGGTTGGACTGGTCGGTGATGGGCGCGGAGGGTTTCCGGTTGAGCTGCGCGGAGAGGTGGATGAGGTTGACGAGGGCGGCGCGGTCCTCGCCTTCCGGGATGAGGAAGTCGGGCCAGCCGGAGAAGAGGAGGTGGTGGATTTCCCTCTGCTTCGAGGTGTGGCCGTTGGTGTCGGGGCCCGCGTTGGTGTCGTGTTCGGTGGCGGTGGTGGTGAGGCGCATGGTGCGGATCTCGCTGCCGCTGGCGGCGTCCTCGACGACTTGGAGGAGTTCGACCTGGCCTTGGAAGTCATCGTCGAATTCCGGGTCCGACGGGATTTTCAAAGGGCTTTCCTCGGGAGATAGAGGATAGTATTGAAAGCATTTCTCTTTGCCAGATTCGTGCGTTTGGGTGAGCATCACGACGACGGCTTGGTTGTCGACGTCCGCGGCGAGCATTCGGTAGAAGTGGTTCAGATTAGTGTCTTTGGGTCCTTGAGTGGCGATGTAATTCCTGTCGCCCAATCTGATCGGCGATGCATTGATGTAATCGTTGACGCCGTCTTTGACTTGAAGTTTGATCCGGTTTCCCGCAAAGACTTCAATGTTGGCATAGCGATTCCGAGTGAGGATCAGGTCGCCGGTCAAGCGCGACCATTGTGAGGGAGTGGCGTTTTCCGTGGGAGGGTTTTGGACGCCGTGTAGTAACCGATCCCGTTGTTTCCATTCCAGATCGATGAACTTTTCATGAAGATCTTTGTTGAAAATGAGATTAGCGTCGTCTTGCACAATGTCTTCCAGCAGCCATAATGAGAAGATCAGTCTTTACCTGCTTTGCTCTGTCTCAAGAACGCTGGGAGCGTATTTCCATTGGTGGCCGAAGCCATGCGTCTATGCTCCGACACTGCCGATCGAGCACGCGAGCACTTTTGTCTGAATGAGGAGGCAAAGACTCGCGGGCTTTTCATACAATCGTCGATGGATTTGAAGATTCCGCCAGCAGAATCGTCGTCGCAGGGAAACCGTTATCGAGAAAGACCAAGAAGAAGCGCGTCGGACGTCTTGTTATTCTGTCGTGTGATGGACGCGAATTTGCGGCACAGTTCTGTTTCCCACCCACGCGGGATTGACGGCGGCTATGTGAGATTGCAAAGACGTATTATATGCTGACTGATCGTTATGAAGCCGTATTCGTTAATTCGTGAAGAAGATGAGGAAAGAGAAAGAAGGACAGCAGAAGGGAAGAAGTTGGAGAAGGATCGAAGGCCTGGCGGGAGAAAGTCGTGCTGTTCGGGAGAAAGTGCGAAGAGGAGGTCGAAGGGCTTTTGTCCGCGTCGGCGACGATGGCGAGGATGACTTGGCGGAGAGGCTTTCTCGTGAGGTTTCGGTGGCAACAAGATGGTGGAATTATATACAGTATTGGTGGTCTTTTTCCGTCTGATCTTTTCTTAGCCGTCGTCGCCGTCGTCGTCGTCGCGCGCGCGTGTTGGTGATATGTAGGGGGTGTATTTATATGTATATGTACATATATATATTAATATTGATATATCCGCGTGTAAAAATGGGAGGAGATGTCTACCTAATCGTTGGTCAGCATCTACATCTCCAGTCCAGTCCAGTCCAGTCCAGTACAGCACAGCACATACTGGTCGCCGCCATATCGTGATCGTGAAGCGCGATGGACCAATGACGCAGCCAAAGCACCCGCCAAAGACACTCCGTCAAAAACCTTCCTCCCATGCAGAGCGGGACGGTCTGTCGGGGGAATGGATGAGATGGTTAGTGCTGAGGACACGCGATAGAAGAGACCATCCAATCTCGGTCACATCACATATTGCCCCTCTTCTCCGGCGCTTAAATCTGGAGTCGCAGGCAAGTGTACCGATGTGATCAGTCATCAGTCATCAGTCATCCGTCGGGCAACTTTATGAGTCAGCAGATTGTGCCTCGATAGCGCAGTGAATGCTGACGAATTGATGTCCATTCTGATCATCATCATCATCATCACCATCGTCGTCGTCGTAGTTGCGACACCCATCACTCTCGCAATGTGGAACCATCTGGACCACGAACGCAGTCTTCAGGGATGATCCAACTTGGCATACCTTCGCCTATAATCCGAGGAACAACCTAAACTCTCCGTACATTCGTCAAACCTCACCCACCATGGCACCCTGGCTACAATTCCTCGAGGCGTGGGCCGTCCAACAACTCCTGCGCACCCCCGCCTTCCACCGCGCCGTGGAGAAGATCGCCCGGAGAGTGCATCGCGCACGACACGGGATCCCGCCCGACGAGCTCGGCGGCACGAACATCGACCAACCGGGACAGAGCGGATTCTTGAAACACTTCATCGACGAGGTCAAGACGCAACTCGGCGCCGCGGAGCAGCGGCAGGAAGGAATGGTCGCAGCTTCGAGGAAGAACCCGCCGTCATCCGCCAAGTCGACGGCGAGCGGACCAGTCGTGGAGAAGCGACATCAGCCATCCCCACCGCCGCCGCCGCCGATGCAGGAGAACGCCGATTCGGTATGGCGAGATGCGCAACGCAATGTTGGCCAGGAAGGTCCGAAGCAGGGCTTCTTGGGTGAATACATGAGTGCGTTGCGGGAGCAGATCAAACAGAATCCCAAGGACAGGTGAAGTGGCGATCGAATAGCCCTTTGCCACCCAAATCATTCGGACTCTCATACGTCCATCGAGAGAGCATCAACATGGCGAGAGCTCCGATTTAGAAACCTGCGAGTGAGGTACTCTGTGAGAGAAGAACAAATGCAGAGGAATTTGCTGTTTGCTAGCGGATCCTCAGCTTGCAGTACTCAAAATTATGAGCTACATTATCACTGTTGCGGATGTCACCCTCATAAGCAAAATCGCTTCGGGAGCTCATCAAATGGCATCACATGGCATCACGTTGATCACTGCTGTGTTTCTCACCTGACATGGCAATCAATGCCCCCGAGCTACGACCTCGTGTCCGTCCACCAAAGGCAAAACGGACAACACTCAGCGCAAGAGTTTACGAATCCCTAGAAGTTCACAAAATCGTGCAGCTTTCCGGGGATATATCGCAATTAAACTCTGGATAAGAGACACGGCAGCGGCATCGCGTTGCAGAAATTCTATGCATTGCCGATGGCGAATTCATGGGCTGATTGTCCCGATCTCGGTGACGACCGTCTCGGGCGAATCATACCCCACCTGTTCCGGACGACAAGAATATTTGACAAATGCCCGTGGTTGAGACATCCACTTGCTCGTCACATCGATTGTTGCATTGCAAAGGAACACTCCTCACTCGGTCAACACAAGCGTCGCAAACATCACCTTTAGATACGCAACACCAACAATATTTCAACATAGACATAGAATTCATTCTTCACTACAGGAAAAATCCATCGTCCATATGAAGACTACTGAAAGTCTCCATCATGTTATGTTGTCTTCTCTCTCCCATACATCGTGAATGAGCACTTGATTAAAGCGCTTATGCGGCGATGGTAACCTCGACCTCGACACCGGCCTCGATGTTGATGATGATCTGCTTGACGACCTCGGTGGGGGCGTTGAGGTCAATGAGACGCTTGTGGATTCTGTGAAGGAAGTATTCGGTCAGTGAATTTGATCGTGTGAATCTGTGCGCTGAACTCCATCTCTCCCGTCTGTCGTTTGACATGTTTGACATTCGATCGTCTCCGTCCTGCGGGCTTCTCCTGTTACTCCTCGCATCCACCAACCAACCCTCACCCTCTCTCCTTCACCACCAACTTCCACCATTCTTCCCCACACCACCTCTCCAACCCGAGAGAAAAACCTCACACGACAAAGTATAACTCACCTCATCTCATACAGATCCCAAGTCTTGGAACCCTCACCGCAAGGGGTCTTGCGGGTGGTGATCTTGAGGTTCTTGGTGGGCAGGCGGACGGGGCCCTTGACGCGAAGGTCCTTGCTCTTGGCGCGCTCGATCAGCTCGCTGCAGACCTTCTCCAGCGCGGTCACCTTGCGCGAGGTCAGGGTGATGCGGATCTTGTGGATCTTGGGGGCGTCGAGCTGAGCGCCCTTCTTGGCGTCGTTGTAGGACATCTTTCGGTTTGGGGTTTTCCGGGTGGTGGAGGGTAAGTTTGAGTGTTTATCTGGTTCGCTTCTTTTCTCCGGTCACGACTCGGTCTGGAGACTCGGCAAAGTGATGATCGGTGGTGCAGAGGGAATAGATCTCGCAATTGGAGACTCGCGCGCCGGAAACTTGTAGTGGGGAGGAATTTCGCGATGCGGCTGTTCCAAATCTTGGCGCGCTTTGCCTGATTTGGAAGTCGATTAGGGTTATGAATTTCACGATCCATCAGACGGAGAATTGATGACGGATGATGACTGTTCACCTGCAGGCGGGCAACGTTGGAAACGCGGGACACATCAATGATCGTTATTACATACAACTGTAGTGACTCCGACGTCATCTGGTAAATTTATTGTAATTCGCATATTGTGGATCTAGCGGGATCGTCACCTTCACCACATCCGTCGAGGTTCACGACTATTGAATTCAATGAAGATTCCTCCATTTACATCACTGCCACCGGCCAGTATAAGACGAAGCCTTACAACATCAGAATGGGAAGCCTGCATAGCCGCTTGGCTGACATTATCCCAAGTGACTCTAGACTTTTCCAAGGAAAGATTCGTCGAGCAATGTCATGAACAGAATTCCCTGCCGACATTCCTCGATTCGTTCTATACACAAGTCGCCGAGGCGGGACCTCAAGATGGACAACTCCGATCGATCCAAGCATTATCGTTGCGTAAGATTTGCTTCAAGCTTGTAGACCGAATGTATCGCGAGGTCGATCGAATACCGTCGCTGCTGTCGACCTGGCATTTCATATCGAACTTCTGCCTGGCTCATGTAAAAGAGGCCGCTCTTTCAGGGACCATTCACGCCATCTGGGAGAAGCAATCAACTACCATGAGGACGTCCTTGCAGAAGGAGACGCAAGGGGCTCTCGCTCTTCTTGAATCCAACAATGGTCCGGATGGTACGAAATGGTTGACTCGATTCGCTCCGGTTGTTGTTTCGTCGCCAGATATTGGACTCTCCATCATGACGGCTTCCGATTTCTTAGACACGCTCGTCAGTGCTTACAACCCTCGCACATCAGATGTGAAGCGGAAGGCGCTGTCGAACTTTGTCTTTCACGGAATGGTCGCACTCGCCAGGACTGACCCGCCAAATGTGTCGCTTCTTGCTGATCAACTTTACTCCCTTAAAACTCAAGCCGATGCCTCGTCGACCAACCTGTCGTTACTTCATGATGCTGTCACCAATACCCCTTTGACATCCAAGCTTCAACAAACCATTGCTTCAAACTCTTCCGATAGACTAGCGAAACTTCTGGCGACGCTCGAGACGTACCGTACACCGAGCATCGCGCGCAGGAAACGATCAGTACGATCCCGTCCCGCAAAGGGCAAACAAAATGCCGATAGAAACGCCGAACTGCATGTTCATCACATGAGTCTCATCACACAAGTACAAGATCTGTTTCCTGATCTTGGATCCGGGTTCGTCGTCAAAGTGTTGAGTGAATACAACGACGATGTCGAACAGACCATTGCACATCTCCTCGACGACTCGTTGCCACCTCATCTCGCATCCCTAGACCGATCTGCAGAGATGCCCACAGGTACAGAACCCCAACCCGACCATCTCGCACCCCGTCCAACACCACCCGCCGCCATCCAACCGTTCATCCCCTCGCGTCGCAACGTCTTCGACAACGACGAGATCCACAACCTCCAACTCGGCACCGACCGCCTGCACATCGGCAAAGCCAAAATCGACCTCTCGACCGCGTCCGACGCCCAGCCCAACAAAGCCGCCATCCTCTCCGCGCTGGCCGCGTTCGACTCGGACGACGACGAGCGCGACGACACCTACGACGTCGACGACGTCGGCGGGACGATCGACACGGCGCACCCGGACGGCGAACCGGGCATCATCGCGGCGAGAGCCGCCCAGGACGAAAACGACGCGGCGCTCTTCGCCGCCTACAGATCCGCCCCGGAGCTCTTCGGCCGCGCGCACGAGATCCGGCGCGGCCAGGCCCGCGCCGCGCTGAAGCGGGAGACGGGCATGACGGACGAGGCGATCGAGGGCTGGGCCATCATGCTCGCGCGCGACCCCAAGCGCGCGCGGAAGCTCGAGGCGCAAAGCGCTGCGTTCGACGGGCGGCAGGTCCATCTCGCGGGGACGGCGTATCGCGGGGAGGCCGCAGCGGACACCGACACCGATGGATCGGACGGAGGTGGTGGTGGTAGTGGGGTGATGAATGCGCCGAGGGGCGGGTTCCGTGGACGGGGCCGGGGTGGGCGAGGCGGGCGAGGCGGAGGGAATGTGGCGGGCGAGGCGGGCGAGGCGAGCACCGCGCACGCCCAGCGTCGGAAGGAGGCGAGCAAAGGCAGTCGGGCGAACCACAATCGCCGGAACCAGCGGGCGAAGAAGATGGCGAGGGGAGGGTTTCCCGGGTGAGGAGCATGTGACAAGGGACGGGGAGACGGTGAGCACGGGGGGCACCAAAAACCAAAAAAGATTCTCCCCGCGTGCAGCAATGGGGCTTATGGTTTCATCGACCGCTGTTCTGTCCATCTCGAACCGATACAATGTCCGTGTTTGTTCCTCCCACATGCCATATCGACACGAAGCCCTAGAAAGAGATCTATAGAACAGCCTCGAGGCCGAAAAGCAAAACGTCGAAGTGCTCCACCTCGCTTCGCACTTCCCTGATTCTGTTTCCCTCTCTACGAAAGCAACCTCAGCACCATCTCGACCGTGACAAACGTCCCGCTGCTGACGGGTAACGCCCTCGTCAGCGTCGGGCCGATGCCCCTCCAGAAGCCCCTCATGCCCTCCGCCCTCCACGTCTGCGCGAAGGCATCCCGCATGCTGGCGAACCTCCGCTCGGCCCCGAACCCATCCGTCTGCATCTTGCTCTTGATGACGTCGAAGGGGTAGGAGGCGATCCAGAGCATTTCGCCGGCCAGGCCGCCGTACAGCGCGACCTTCCAAGTCGGGACGTCCTTGCGCAGAATGCCGTTCCGCGCCTGGTCGGCCCCCATCAGATACTCGAAAGACAAAAACCAGAAGCCGTAGGCCTGCGCCTCCCGCAGCAGCGTCACGCTCGTGCCGCGGTACAGGCCGTGCGAGACGCTCGGCGACCGCGACAGCTGTCGGATGCAGTCCAGCGGGCCGGAATACAGGCGCGCGGGGCCGTGGGGTTGCGTCTGCATGCGGATGCGGATGTGCTCGATGGGCGCGGAGAGCAACGTGTTGGCGATGCCGGCGAAGGCGCCGGAGAGGTAGTACTGGGTGTAGGAGAGGGGGGCGGGGTCGAGGAGGTTGGAGGAGGAGGAGGAGGAGGAAGAGTTGCTGGCTTCGAAGGCCCGTTTGGCGTAGTTGAAGGCGCCGAACTGCACGGACACGCAGGCGCCTATCCCGATGAGCGGGGTGAGCGTGCCTTTGTAGAAGGCGGCGGCGCCTTCGTTTTTGAGGATGCGGGAGGCGCAGTCTAGGGCGCCTTTGTACTCGTTGGTGGTTTGGAGCCGGACTTTTACGATGTCTGTTTTCGGGGGAAATTTTGGAAGATCGGTTAGAGGGTTCATTCTTGAAACGTGAGATTTATGGTTTTTTCCTTACCAAACGGTTGACCTGTCGAGGAGAAATCGATATGTTAGCGATGATGTTCACAAGAATCGACAGCGTCCGGAAATGGACCTCTCTGAAGAAATGTTTATTCAAGGGAGAGCCTCTTCTGCCATCTTTCCCAGCTTCCACTCAAAACCCAACCCCGAGTCGCCATGGGATATCCTCAACCACCGAAACCTAACAAAAACAGAGAAAGAAGAAGAAGAAGAAGAAGAAGAAGAAGAAAACACCGTCCCGACCCATCCCATCTCGAACCAGAGAATTTCATAGAAATGGAAGAAAAGAGAAGGGAGGGAAAAGGAGTCCCAGGAGACATACCGATCAAGACCTGCGCGACACCGCCAACCGCGCCCGCGAACAGATCCTTGGCGACCGACGACGACGAAGAGGCAGCAGGGTTCTCCGCGGCCTTCAGACGGGCGCGGAGTTCCTCTTCGACGATGTCCGCCATGGTATCGGGTGGGCGGGTGATCTTCTTCTACTGGAAGATATGGATGGGGAGGGGTTCCGATCGGCTTCGAGGTCGGAAGGAAAAGGTTGGTCCTCTGGCGATTCCCGGTGAGTAGGAGAAGGGCGCGTGGAGATCTCTGGGAGGCAAGGCGAGGAGAGGACTTGGATGTCTGGTAGGTTGGTTGGTTGCTTTATTCCTTTCTTGCTTACTTCCTTTCTCTCTTTCTGTCTTCTTTTCTCGTGTGTGGGGAGGATCGCTGTTCTGATCTGATCGTTCGTCGACGGTGTTATAAAAGAAAAGCGAGGAGAGACAAAAATTAAAACGAACGAGGAAATCCTACTGTTGATCCTGTGAAGTCCGTCTCGGGAGGTTGCTTGAATATAAACCTACCAAGGTACAGCCATTGACATTGGACATTGGACATCTGACAATTCTCCAATGGCGACATTTTGCGCTCGGACTCCGAAGGCGCGCGCGGGCTGCGGGCGGAAAGATTAGATAAGCGGAAGGAGATCGATATGATGCAGCAAGGGTTTTGGGGTTATCTGTTCCAATGCACCTTACTATGTCCTCCAAGCGACGAAAGCGGGAACTTTGGTTTGTGTATGCATATAGATATCTATATCTGTACATATCATATTCGCGAGTGTCTATTACCGGCCTTTCGGTCCAGTTTAATAATAACAATACCAATAAAATGACAACAGGTAAATTGTCGCGTATGAAAATCATGCCCATTACACGACGAGCGACTCCTTCAGCGATGCACGGGACACAGGAGGTATGGAAGCAGAGCGTCTTGTCTTTTTTCCTTTCGAATCGGAATGCGCGATCACGGAAACGTGAATTCTGGACGGGATCTCACGGACTCGACACGGTGATCATCACGAAGGGAAGAAAAGAAAAAAGAAAAGGAAAAAGAACAGGAGAGAATGGATTAATCTTCGCAGGCGGGCGCGCGAAGAAAAAAAAAGGAATGACGATTTGGGTATCAAAAAACAACAACAGTAACAACAACGACTCTCCCTTTCCCTTCCTCCAGCTCGTTGGACCTTCCTCCATTTCCTCCCTTCTCCGCTCTCGTTCAACGCACTCCGTCCGTCCGTCCGTCAGACAGGAGCAACATGATCGTCGGCACCATCGTCATCAGAGGAAGCAAGAGCACGATGGCCGACCTCCTAGTTGGAGACCTTGGAGGGCAGCTTCTTGCCGGTGAATTTCTCGAACAGGGCGCGGAGCTTGTCGGTGATCTTCTCGTTCTGGGAGCGGTATTTGGCCGGGTCGACGTTGTGGCCGGTGGACTGGCCGAGTTTCTTCTCGGCGGCGTCGACGGCTGTTTTTGGAAGAAGAGATCAGTCTCTGTTTCTATTTTTTTTTCCTTTTCTTTTTTTTCTTTTGATATAGGTGGAGAGGTCGAGAGTGGGATGCATGCGTGCATGGACAGATAGATAGACGGATAGATACGTACCCTTGTCCAGGTAGTCGCGGTTGTCCGCAGCCGGAGCGGCGGCGGTGGTGGTTCCGGCCGGAGCGGCAGCAGCAGGAGCGGCGGCGGGTTCGGGCGCAGGGGCGCTGGTCTGGGTAGGGGCGACTTCGCTCATTTTGGCCGGATGGAAAGATGTGGTCGGTGGGTAGAAGAAAGTAGGATGTGGAGAGAGAGAGATGTGAGGCGTGGTTTCCCGGTGTGGAATGATGCTGAAGACGAGGAGGAGTGGGAAGGGACCGGGACTCGGGATGGAGAAGAGGAGCGCTTCCCTTTTATCTACACGGAGAGATCCTGTCTATCTACTACGGTCCGGACAGTGCAGTGCTATGTTCGCACACCGCAAGCGATGTCACGTCTTTTCTACGACGAAACCACCACGACAGCAACTAAAATAGTCAGACTGTGGGTCCCTGCTGATGCCGATGCCGATGCGATGCCGTGCTCCTCATCTTCGTTCCTTCTCTTCTTCTTCTTCTTCTTCTTCATCATCCTCCTTCCTGCACCACCGTTTCCGATGGCGTGAGAGAGAGAGGCACACAAAAGAAAAAGGGCTCACACACTCAGCTACCGCCTCCATGCGCGCGCACGCACGATGTCGCTGCACTGTCGCATAGGGAAGTGGCTGGTCGGATTGGTTGGATTGGTGGGAGGAATGGAGGGATGGAGGCTGGAGGGACAGACCAGACCAGATGGGTTGAAAAACGGTCGACGGGTTGTCTCGACTAGTCCGCAGTAGTCACTCCGATAGTATCAACGTCAGCTAGTGACAGGTAGGATGATAATAATACATGTCGCACTTGTGATAAGTAGATAGATAGATGGATGGATGGTCACCCCATCTATCCATCATCCATCTTTGACGGGATTATTATTCTTATTGATTGGCGCTATCCACCCGTGTATGTAGTAAGCGGTAGGAAGTGGTTGTTGTTGGTGGTGGTGGTGGTGGTGGTGACTGGTGGTGTGACGGATTGATATTCCCTTCCCAGAATTGGCGGCTGATGTCTATGTCGCTATCGAGGGTCCAGATGCAGGTTTCCAGATCAGGCGGTCAAAACAGGCCGACAGCGACCGACACGGCAGCTAAATGGCATTCCCTCTCCCGAGCTGCATGTCACCGACCCGAATGGTCCCCCTCTCTTCTCCCTCCTCCTCTTCTTCTCCGTCGTGATGTGCGCATGTCTCCAGAGCGTGACGTGAACGGTGAGTGCAATGCCCACAATTCATCCGAAAGCGAAGAGTCCCTCTCCTCCTCGCGAGATTTGTTCTCCCTCGGCGGTGGCTGGGGAGTCCGTCCCGAGAAAGAGAGAGAGGGTGACAGAGAGAGAGAGAAGGGTAGACTGATCATCAACACGGACTGACCCTCGATTCCTCACATGTGCAGTAGTCAGTGCAGTCCAGTCCGTGTGCAAGTGTGCCAATGCAATGCGATGCGATGCGAAGCGATCCCGCAGAAGAGGAGGCATCAATGCACGGATCGACGAGAGGGACGATGATACCCAGGTGATGGTGCACGTGGAGGGTTGAGAGCCGCATATAGGTTCGATGGTGTGTGTGTGCTTCGCATGTCCTGGTTATTATTACACTCCACCTGCATACCTACTGTAGAACCCGATGCGGGTCTTCCGCGATATTGAGTGTGAGAGACGAGATGAGATGAGATGAGATGAGAGTGATGGACTGCCACTGCCACTGCTCTGCTCCTCAGCCACATGCACATGCACATAGGCAAACATACATGGCACCGCCACATGCGGGCCATACACACACACACACACGCGACCTCTCCTCTTTCTCTTGTTCGTTCGTTCAATTCTAGTACGATCGATTCTCTCTCTCTCTCACACACACATCCCGTTCGTGTCGCGAAATCGAGAGATAATTCTTCAGTCCTCACCGGCCAGGCCGGACGGAGAGGGAGACAGAGAGAGATATATGGCATTGGTGGGAACTACCCGAGGGAGAAAATCAAAGAAATAAATAAATGAGAGAAAAATCAAAAATGAATAAAAGAAAGAACGAACGAACGAAGGATGACGAACACGAGGAGTGGTGTCATAGCGATGACCCGTGTCTCTCCATCCCATGATCTCCCTTTTCTTTGTTCTTCCGTTCCTCCTCCCGATCTCATCCATCGATCAATCAAAAGAGCAATCAAATCAAAAGAGCAATCGCTTTTCCGCCCACAGAAACAGGTCCTCAAACCTCACAGGCCCCATATTTCATCCGAAACCTCACCCGCGTCAAAAGAGCCATAGAAAAGAGGACAATGGCCACCCAAGCAAAGTTTCCTCCATGTCCGTGGTTTCTCCTCCTGCTCTCCCGCTCTCCTCTCGCGATCAAAACTCCAACCCCAACTCCTCCTTGACATCCGCCTCCTCCCCGCGTCCCACAATCTCCCGGACCTCAGCCCAGAGCTCCTCGCGGATCCTCCTCCTCGCGAGGGAGATCTTCGTCCAAGTCTTCCACTCCGCGACGATTTCCTCCCTCTCTCGCACACTCACCACCGGCGGCGGTCCTCCTCCGTCCTTCGCCGCTCCATTCACATTCAACCTCTTCAGACGATTCTCCAGATCGACCTTGTCTTGCTCGAGTCTGCCGATGACGACGCGGAGATCGGGAATGGAGAGGGTTTGCGCGATGCTGTTCTTGTGACGACCGTTGTTGCCAGCAGATGTCGTCGGAGAACGGAGTTGGGCGCGGAGGTCTTTCTCTTCGGCCTTCAGCTTGGCCGTTTCCTCGCGGAGGGAATCCGTCTCGGCGTCGAGCTGGGCGAATTGCTCCTCGATGGAGGCGGGATCAAAGTCCTCCTAGATGGTGTTTCTCACCTCCGTGTCAATGGGGAAACCAAGAATTCTCGAGTTTGTCTTGGGAACTTTTTATTTCTACTTCTTTTCTTTTTTCAAGCAGTCGTCACTGGAGAAGAACGACGAGAGAGAGAGAAAGATGAAAAAAAGAGAAAGTGGATTCCTCACCTGCAGCGCATGATAGACGCTCTGCTTCCCCTGCGTACAACCCGCGATCTCTCCCCGCTCATGGAGATCCTTGAGGATTTTGGCCGCCGAGGTTTTCGTCACGCGGTTCTTCAGGTTCGCGCTGATATCGACCGCACTGTAGGGCCGGCTGGGTTGTCGGCGGAGGTAGGTGAGGATCAAGGTGGAGGATTGTGCTGGAGTGAGCTTTTCGGTGGTTTTGTTCGTAGCGGTGGTGGAGAAAGAGAAGTCCTTTTTCGCAATGGTTGAGGATGACGATGGTGGTGGCGGTGGTAGCGGTGCCATTGTGAGGATGTTGATTCTCCTTGCTCTTTTCTTTCAAGTGAAAGGTGGAGAGAAGATGGGGAGAGAGTGAAAGGCAGTTGTCTTGTGCTTGTGCTTGTGCTTGTGTGGTGATGATGATGGTCCGGGTACAAGGTAAACAGAACAGGTAGTGGTCACGTTTTCTGAGCGTGCCAGTCTTGATGAGAGAAGGTGACCAAGTGAAGGCAGATTGTGACGCTGGCTGCCTAGATGGATTCCGCGCAATGTGACCGAGCAATTGATAGAGAGGAAAAGGTCATGTGATTGAAGAGTCAAACGTCTGCATTGGAGTATCTCTCTACGATGCAGCTTCACTTGAATTGCTGTACGCGTCAGTAGCAGATCGCCTCGCCCACAGGGAAACAATTCTCCACAAATCACCTGTTAACCGTCCATGTACGATATGTGACCAACCAACCAACCACTCAACCTTCTTGTCTTCTTCCATCAAGGACTTCCCATTTCCCCAGCCTCAATCGACACATACACGACAAAGTACAACTCCTTCAACCTCTCACCAGCCCGCTGAACAGAACCGTCCCACCGATCACCCACGCAGGCCACCAAACACACCAGACCACCAACGAACTCCAAACCCCCTGCGCGACCCAACCTTTAGCCACTTCCAGCAAGGTCGCACCCAGACCCTTCCCCGAGGCCCACGAAAGCGCGTATAACGCAGAGGGAGGCGAAACCAGCAGATAGACCGCCGTCGAGAGAACACTCGCGATCAGCGGAAGTGGAGAAGTGATGTCCTGCTTCTTCTGAATCTTCTCCGATGGCTTCTTTGCGCCGGTGGCGAAGGGCCGGGCGAAGGACAACGGCGAGGCGAGGAGGCCGATCACCAGCGCCAGGGAGAAATTGATGGTCGCCCAGGTGGAGAGGACGGCACCGAGGAAGAGCAGGGAGAAGGACTGCACGGCTTGGAGTTGTTGCGATGTCGTGTGGAATCCGCGCACGAGGACGGCGCTGGTGAGGAGCGGGAGGAGATAGGTCGTCGCGGTGAGGAGGGAGAAGACCCAGAGATGATGCTAGATTGAGGGTCAGTAACGGTGAGGGATATAGTCAAACGCAAGGATTTGTATGTTGCCATGATACGAGATGACGACTGACCTTTTGATGTAATGAGGTGAGCAAGTAGAGTGGAACAAAACTGAGCAGATGCACCGCCAAAAGGACGATGGCAGGCAATGCCAATTTCCTCTCGACCGACTCCAACTCAGCTTTGGGCAGCACCACCACGACACCAGAATCATTGTCACCGCCGACGCTGACAGCAACCTTTTCCTTCAACTTCTCACTCGTGCTCGGCGTCGTATTCCCTGGTGCTTCCACCGGACCCCTCCCACTCAGCACCCACAAAGCAAGAGCGTTAATCGTGAAACTCCCCGCGATGATCATCGCAGCAGGGAGATAACTCCCGATGCTCACAAACCGTAATTTGCTCATCAAAATATAAAAGAAGAAGCTCTGATGTAAATGTTCCAGCAGATTGTTGATCGACCGGAAGACGCTCTCCGTCACGCGTCCCAGGCTGATCTCATCATGCCAGCCGTCGCCGATCGTGCGTAGGGTGATGGCGTCGACGTGGTACGGCATGAAAGCCGAGTGCGGACCCGTGGCGTGGCCAGCCGCTTGTGAAACGATCCCGCGACCGATGCATTCGAGGCGGTCTTTGTATTTGTCTGCGTGCTCGTTCATGCCGTGGAGCGTGCAGTCGATGCCCATCTGGCCGTGTGCGATGTTGACCGCTGTATTGAGGAGATCGAGGTTCGGCAGGGCGCCGTTGATGCCGTCGTAGAGGACATCCAACTTGTCGAATCGCTGACCCCAGGGGCCTGCGGGATAGTCCAACGCGACCGCCCCTTGCAGTGCGCCAGACTTGATCGGTAGAGCGCTGATATTCCGAGCATATGTCGGCGTGCTAGCAGTGCTGTGGTAGGCGGAAACCCAAGCCTCGGAACCATATATGCTATCCTCCGGGATCAACAGAATGATGTCCTTGCTCCAGATGCTCCAACGCTGGAAATACCGCGCCAGAGATAACGCCAGCGCTACACCAGAGTAGTTGATCTCATTGTCGACATTCCTCCACGCCGCGATCAGCACCATCGCCTCGGTGGCATCCGCACGAGGACCTTGGAGGACGCCATAGACGTTGGTCCCCGAGATGGTCTCTCCCGCCACGCGGAATGTATATGGCTGCCGCGCAGCTTTCAACCCGAAGTCCTTGATGATGTTCTGCAACGCGTCCACGCGATCCTCGGGACTGTAATTCGAAATCGTAAAGACCTCTTGTCTCAAGGCGCGGAAGACATTGTGCTCACTGCCGCCGAAATATGTAAAGACCTGTCCCGGCAGGATGGCATTCTCCGAGATGTATGTCAGACGAGAATATTCATCCAGAGGCAAGAGTAGTAGCCAGATCACGCCGGCGAGCACGCAGAGCGCGGAGAGATATGGCGGGAGTCGGAGGAGGATTGGTGAGCGTCGCAAGGTCAACAGGCGCGAAGCTGGGTTTTGTAGGATAGACTGTCAGTGAAAGTGCCAATGCTTGGAGTGAACATGAACAAATGCTCACACAATGCCATGTTTCCTTCGCGATCAACTGCCGTCCATCCGGGCAATATTGGCGAGGTATACAGGAATTAATCCCTCCGTCGTATGAAGCTCTCAAGATATGTAATTCATGCTGGAAGCAGCTGATGGGGTCCTCTAGGGTTAGATGAGATGAGATAAGATCAAACGTCCAATACAATGCGGCGAAGTCTCCATCGGGCAGAAAGCTCCGGGGCAAGGAGAGGCTGATGAGTGAATTCACCGTAATAAATCCATCATCGTGGTCGTCCCAATAAGTACCGCAGTATATCCGAAATGGGACTTTGAGCATGCGACACCTGATTTCACACGATAAACGTCCAATTATTGTAACAGCCACGACAACGCCACGACTTTGTCTTTGTTGAATCACAGTCACCAACAGAACATCTCGCATATTCAACTCTGCATCTGGACAATTGAAACTAGAGGCGTCGCCAGCAACTCCCACCAAAACAACACCACCTCCCGCCGCGTCTGCGCTTCGGCGAGCGCAAGGTCAAGATCCAACGATGACCGAGTCCCGCAACTATGGCACATTTCCGTGGATCCCTCTTCCAGATCCTCGAAGACTGCGGAGTTACCTGAATCGACTCCCGCTCGCGACTCGAGGTTTCCTCGCTGTCCTGACGATTCTCTACGTCGTCAGTGTCATCGTACCAGGGATCAGACAGTGGGGCGCGTTGATCCCGATGGAGATCGGGTTACATACATGTACGTTGCACTTTGTGTCCACGACAGAGGCAGAGAAGGGAAGAAGAACGAACGAGAAGACTTGGAATCGAGAACAGCAGGAGAGAATCACGGGCAAATCACGTCGAAAGAGCAAAGACACCCAAGACTTCAAAATAAGAAACTGACTTTTCCATTCCAACAGTATACCGCCTCAACACCTACCCTCTCCTCCACTGGTCCATCTTCCACTACCTCCTCAACACCATCGCCTTCATCCCCCTCCTCGAACGCTTCGAACTCGAACACGGCACGATCGTCACCACAATCCTCTTCACCGGTCCCTTCGGATTACTGCCCGGCGGCATCTACACCCTACTCGAGCGGTACATTTTCCACTTCGAAGGCGCCGCCATCGGTGCCAGCGTGTGGATCTTCCTCCTCCTCTCCTCGGAGGCGATGAAGATGTACCGCAACAACCCCTACTTCAGCCTCGGCGAGAGCGTGCAGATCCCCACCTGGACCAGCCCGCTGTTCCTGATGCTGCTGATCCACTTCCTGATGCCGTACTCCTCGCTGCTGGGCCACCTGTGCGGCTCGGTCGTCGGCTACGCGTGGGGGCTGGGTTACATCAAATTCCTGGCCCCGCCGGACGGGATCCTCAAGTGGATCGAGGACAAATTGAACCTCCTCGGCCGACTGCCGCATTTCGTGAGCGTGGACCAGAAGACTTTCGGGCGCTATGGCGTCTTGCCCACGACGAACGGGGGCGGTGGTGCTGCGGCGGCGGGGGGGAGGCCTGGGTTGAATGGGCTTGCCGTGGGTCCCGTGGGGAGCACGCAGAGGTTAGGACCGTGAGAACCAAGAGATTGTGGATGGGAGAGAAGCTGAGCTGGAAAGTTGCGATACGAGTTCATAACGATATAGATAGAGTAATACTAATATGCCCTTCACTGGATATCACGGCTTCCCATTGAACCTGGAGTTTTGTTGATGTGGAGGAAATATACCCACGTTCGGGCGCAGAATGTAGAAAATTGAGAAAATTGTCATAAAACGACGAAAAGGGCTTGCCAACGCTGACTACCACAAACAAGAAATCACTCAGAAGGAAAAGCCATATGCTCATCCACAAAAGCAAGGGGTGAAACCAAAAAGAAAATGCCCCAAGCCTTCGAAGATATTGTTACAATCATTTGTTCCTCGGCAGAGCAGCGGCATGCATCTTGGCACAGTAGCCCCAGACCTCCTCCCTCGTCGGCCACCCACCCGCCCAAGCCCGGCTATTGTCCTCGTCGTCCATAATGCCCTTGACGGCAGTCAAGACCAGCTCGGGAGCCGGCTCTCTCATTTTCCGCAGGAGGCCTTCCCCTCTGGATTTCGCCGCCGACGACGACGGAATTGAAGATGACGAGAGTTTCAACGCCGGGAGGAAACTCCTCTCCAGGAACACCCTGATCGCGATGATCGCCCGCCGCATCATCCGGGCTCCGCTGCGGTCGAGGTTCTGTCGCTCCTGGAGTTCGGCGCGGTAGGTCGCCATCCAGCGGGTGAGGTGGAGGAGCTGGTCGTGGGCGCCGAGGGCGCCGAGGGCGCGGATGTAGGCGTGGAGGGCCGCGGGGTTAGGGACGGTCACTAATCGGGGGAGCGGTGATGACGGAGAAAGAGAAGTGGTGGACTCTTCGGCGGTGGTCTGGATGTCGTTCTCGGGGGTTTTCGCAGGGCATGTCAGAGTCAGGAATGAGGCGTGGAGTTCTTCGGCGAGGGATGTTGTGGTAGCGAGAAATCGGTGGCATTCGGCTTGGACACCTGGCCAGGAGTGGTCGCGGAGCGCAGACGGTTGGTCGCCGAGGTTCTGTACAAGTGACCATGACGACAAGGCCATCTTCTCGGTCGCTCGGCACAGGTCTTGAAATAGCAGGCTGTCGAGTTGGATGTGATGCTGTTGGGCGAGAGCCAGTGCTTCACGCGTCAGGCGGTAAGCTATCATAGCTCCGACATCGTGCTGGGTGGAAGTCTCGTTCCAAATGCTACTGCGTATGGCGGCGCGATCGAATGGTTTCGCCCCGGTCGGTTGTTCGACTACATGAACAAGGGCTGCGAAGAATTCCGGTCTTGTAATATTTCGAAAGACCGAATGCCAGGCGTGCTTGTTTGTGAGAGGACGTGCTCGAAGCAGAGTCATGGCTTGAGCGATGCAAGTGTTACGTGCAAGCTGCCAGTCGGAGAAGAGAGAAATCGCATCTGAACTTGACTTGTGCGATGAAATTGATTCCGGCTCGTCGAGAGGTTTGTGTACCTTGACATGAGCGAAACGAGAGAGCAATTTAATCGTCGCAATCAGGACGGATTCGCAAGTGTCGTTGAGACCCGCGAACCCGGCCTTCGACCGAAGAGGCTGCAAACCGGGCGAATGTTGTGCTGCATGCTGGATGTACTTGAAACCGGTTGCAACATCATCAGCACTCGTGACCAGGAAGGCGAGTGTCTCGCCATAGAATTGTACACCTTGCTCGCGCAGTTGCTCATACAACCCGTCAATGGTCGGTGGCGATGTGCGTGTATAAGTATACAAGTGTGTCGAAGGCGGCAATGGTTCTACGGTCGGAGTATCGCCAGGGTAGAGCGGCCACGCCGCAGATTCGATGTCTTCTGACTCTGTAGCAGTTCCCACACCCAGTTGTCGACGTTTTTCTGCGAAAATCTTCTCAAATACGGCCAGATATACAGACTGTGCAGGAGCCATCTTTGCATCTTCCCATGCTAGAAAGCATGCCCATGCTTCCTGCAACGTGCGCGTAGCATTGATACGTGCAGCCCAGATCCTTTCGCCAGTTGAATACTGATGATGATCGCGACCAAGAATCGATCGTGTCTGGATCGTAGGAGTCCAATCGGTATCCCAACCGGCGTGAACGTTTGCAATTCGCTCCCATTCTTTCCACGCATATCCGGCACGGCGCATTTGATTCAAAGTCTCTCCCGCACGTGAAATGCCGTGCTCAGGACCAATCGCCTCATCCATTCCGGTACGGTCATGTTTCCACGGTGGCCATGATAAAGCTTTCAATTCCGCCCACTCTTGCTCCTGTGGAGTTTTCCTTTGAGCTAGCTGAACCCGGATGACAGCGCGATAACCCTCTCGGCTGACATGCATGGCTGGTCGGTGTTCCGATAGATAACGGAGGATTTTTACGAGTGCCTCTTGCTGATAATCATTCAACTTAAATCGAGAATGGGTAGGAGCAAGAGATATCTGTCCCATTAGCGAGTTGAGAAAGTACGTGGTGCCGCACAGTTGTGCTTCCGTTACGGGTCGAGATTTCTTTTCTATGGCCGAAATGCACTCCAAGACCATGTCGAGAACGGCAGGCAACGCTTGAGGCCAGGAATTGAGGGCATGATCGACAAGTCGAGTGCTGATCTGCCGAAGAGGCTGTGCAAATTGGGTAGCTTCAAGACATTCGGTGTCCGCCGCCGCCAAGTTGTCAATCAATATATGAAAATAGTCGAGAGCTGCTCTCAGCGCAGCACCGTTGAGCAAAGGCCGACGAAGGATATGATGAAAAACGAAAAGCGGTAAAGTTTGAGCCCCGAGACGTTGATATTGCTCCACGAGCTTCCGCAGAGCAAGTGCAGCATCGGGCTCTTTCAAGGCTGACGCCCAAATAAGGACGTCATCATCACAATAGCCTCGAGACCGAAGAGCTTTCTGATCTAGATGACTCAGATCGTGGCCACTTATCCCGCTCTCGGTGCTTCCTTGTCGAATGACGGTGGCGGTGATCGTGGGGAGGGGAGAGCGGGCTCGACCTCGGCTCACTTTGCGTATCATGGAAGCATTCGTGATTTTGACATTCTTCGAATCGACGGCCTTTTGTTTCGCCTTCCATCTTTTGTACCAATCTTGCTTGGATTTGTCCACATATCCACTGTATGGCCGTGGTGGTCTAGGTGAATATGGAAGAGACTGCTTCAATTCTAGCGACGAGAGAGCGGCGTCCAGAGCTTGACTAGGCATGCGCTTGTATGTGAGACGGTCATCGAGAGTTTTCAAAGCCCTCGTGGATCTCATTGGAGGAGCATCTTTGCTCTTAGCAGTCTCGACAGTCCTATTGAGACGTCGTACGTGCGCTTTGTTTGTGAGACGGGTATGACGAATGCGCGTCCTTAGCTGCTCGCCCGGTAGGCTGCTCTCTTGTACCAGGCTCTTCATGTAACCCTCCACACTCCTGTCGTTTCCTAGAGCCTGGAGCTGTTTGTCTTCTTTCTCCAAGACATCGGAAGATTTCCGTGCCAGAAGATCACCGCCTTTCCTACCGCGGCCTGACGCTACCCTGGCGGTGTCATCAACGAAGTGTTCAGGCACACCAGGGATGTGACCGTCAACCAAAACTTTCCGCGATCTGGAAGCTTGTCGAGTCTTCGCTGAATCCCCGTCCGCAACATCGTAGCAGTTGTCATGAAACAGTTTGAGCTGTCCTATTGTCGACGCAACCCATTGGAACGGAGGCTCGGGTCTAGCAGCAGCGGTCAGACCGTGGATTACTGTCCGCAGCTGCTTGCCGAGCGGCGTTAGTCGACGCCCATGACGCATACATCAACGTCGCCCGGCGAGCCAATGTTGAACTTGAATGATATGCGTGAGACGTGCGCGTTGGTATGGAAGGTATCGTTGATGCCCGGGTCAGACGTCGTGTAGTTGTATAGTCGGGAACATCAATTCGATTCTATTCTTGCTGAATAAACTCCATTGGCAATGCTTCTCACCCCCGAGTGTTCTCCGCAATATGCTGGTTCGGCGGAAACTCCTCCGAACGGGGACCACGACGGGTCGCTACGGATGGCCATACTGGACATTCGGCTGCTGCCAGTTCGACGCGAAGCAACATCGTTAGGACAATTCCACATCGATCATACGCCCAGCACTACTACTGAATACATCTCCACGCCCTGCCTGCAGTCCGTTTCAGTCCCATTGAGGGTTCGTTATATGGACTAAAACAAATTCCATTCCACACGCAGTCCCGCACGCGTTTCTCCTCATGGCCGACACGTCCGCTGTCGCGCCTGCGCAAGCTCCTGCAACCTCCGCCGTCGACAACACTGCGATGCACACCACCGATTCTGAAAAGAGTGACTTGGCCGATACACTGTCCGCCAAACGAAAGCGCATCGACGACGACACCACGCTGCCAGCGACGACATCAGCACTTGACGAGAGTGGACCTCTCTCCGCGCAAAATCAATCTGATATCTTCGCGCTCCTCAACACGTACGCGTCGCGCCGATTTTGACGATACAGTCTTCACTTGCGGTGTAACTGACCTAGTAATAGAAACGATGCGGTTTCACCATTCCTCAATTATTCCACATCGGACTCGGTGGAGCCATTACAAAAGAAGCTGAAGGACCAACAAGATGCAGATAAAGATCAAACAATTGCAGCGTCGAAAACCATTGCGACCAAATTAAACAATGCTGAGTACGCCTCGCTCGTTCAGTTGCGCGAGGATGTTGCACGCGTGGGACGCAAATGGATCGCGAGCATCCAGTTCAAGGAGAGCGACGACCCGACAGTCCCTGCTCGGCCGACAATCGAGGATCTTAAGCGGATCAACCATATTCGATCTATGGAAGCCAAGATTCGGCAAGTGGTAGAACAGGAGATACAGTACGCTACCTTGAGAGAAGGCAGGAAAAGCAGCACCACAGGTACGGAAAGGCTTGTCGGGGATGGTTCGGTCTCCAACGGAACAAGCGCAATCTTGACACTTTTTGGAAACGCGCCTACTCCAAGACAGCTGTTTTCATCGGCGCAGATTACCGCTTCCGACAATGCAATCAAATCGAAGTTGCCCGTCGAAGAGCTTAACCTCCCTCCTGGCATTTCCGCTACAAAGGTCCTCTCTGGGCCTGTCGAAGAGACCAAGAAGCGCACCTTTGGCGAAGCGTTTGCACCTCCACTTGCTCTTACGGCCCTTCCTCTGCCAAAGGCTCTAAAACGCCCAGCAGCTCGCGACAACACGATCGTGTGGGAGTTCAAAGATCCCGTGCAGCGGAATAAGAAAGGTGGATACACTGTGCAGAGCCTATCGACCAGCACTTGGTTATCCTATGGCAGTGAAGGAGTAGGAGTTGATGCAAAGAGTCCGCGAGAGAGAAGAAAACAGAGGGACCGCGCATTGAGTGGAGGAGAGGCAATCTCAACTGCGACGTCTAACGCGGCATTGCTCGAGGCGCTCGCCAAGGAAGAAAAGGCGCTGTTTGCGCGAGCATACTCCAGCTTTGCGCCATCATGCGACAACTCCAAAGCATTGGTAGCGGAAGAGACGAAGGACATGGTCTGGTGGCAGAATGTTGGGAATCAGCGATACAGTAACAGCGCGTTCGCATTGGACCCAGCATTAGAGGATGTATTCATCGAATCAGGCTCAGAGGAGACGGGCGAGGTCTTGACCATCGAACAACAACCCGAAGCTTTCACCAGGATTATCAAGGAGCTAGAAGAGTATGAGCAAGATCTCTCAAGCGCAACTCCGTTGAAGTCAAGAACAGATGTCGATCAAGTCCTTGGAGAGATCTCCGAATTGATCAGCACATTGGCATCACATCGACGAATTCGTAGTGCAATCATCCCAACACCATCCTCACTGCCTCGAGCTCCGATTATCAGCCCATCGCCAGCTGTGGCTGCGGCTACCAAGCCGGACGTGCCAAGTGAGAGCGAAATCGAGACGTATCTTCGTCTGCAGCGAGAATTGAGCTATCTGATCTTGAAGCTTCCTCCTTATATCGTGGCGAAGATTGACGGTGATCAGCTTGCCGAACTAGGCATCAGCGGCGTGATTCCCTTTGAGACAAGGGACATCAGGGGAACGATGGAGGAAGACCAAGTATTTCGTCAAGCGAAGCTGGCCGCAATGAGCGCAGCGACCAATGGAACGACCGCCTCTACACGACCCAGCTCTTCCACCTCACAGCATTACAGCACTACTGCGCAACATACGCCCGCTATTGGCCAAGCTGCCAATACTCGATACGGACAACAAGTGCACTCGAGAACTCCCAGCGCCGCAGCGCCGCAATATGCAAGGACGCCAAGCGGAGGTAATCAATCATACAGCACGCCTACTAATGCCCGCCGACTCCCTGGCTGGCAGCAGCCGCAACAGCCATCGGCCGGTCAGAATCCTTCGGGTCCCGTTCGACCCGGAGCCGGCATCACCAATCCCAACTATGCCAATGGGCAGATACAGCAGCCGTCATACTACCAACAACGCGCGACCCATCAAACCACTCCGGCCAATTACGGGGGAGGATACAAGTCCTATCAACAACAGGTGCCTACGCCACAACAGCAGCAGCAGCATCCACGAGCGAACAACTATCCGCCCCAAGCTCAACAACAGCAATACAACCCTCGCGCCGCACCTGTCCCCCCGGGGACGACCATGGTCAACCCCGTCGCTGCGTCCGCCAATTACTCCGCTTCCCCTGCTCCACCAGCCATGTACAATACTCCAAACACGGCTTCTACTGGACCATCAACAAACCAACATCCCAGCTATGTCGTCCCACAATCGCAGCAGCAGCAGCAAATCCCTCCTCGCAACCCCACCTCAACGACGGGGATAACTCCGACTCCCTCTGCCGCGACCACAGCCGGTACACCAATGACGAATCCCCCGCACCCGGGATATCCCCAGCAACAGCAGCAGCAACAGCAGCAACCCGCCAATGGCTTCCAGCAACAACAGGCTCAACCACAACAACCTCCATCATCCTCGACAATCCCCGCCTCAGCAGCCACCGCGCCGATTCCCACCGCCAACGGCCCGACGCCTCCCGCTCCAGCCCAACCTACCGCCGCGCCACCAGCAGAGGCAACCCAAAGCGGCAGCGCACCGGCCCCTGCGTCCGCCCCACAAGCGTCATGATGAGAAAGCGAGTCCTTGCAAAGAGTGGGGATGGGAAATCCAGCGATACGATAGCGGTCCCGTGCTCTGTGCCCCGGGCGGCGGAAATGTCGGAGAGGATATTTCTTCTTCCTTTTTTTCGCTACTTCCCGTAGACCTGTCCATGTTGTTTATCATGTCCGTTCTTCGTCCTCGTCTTCTTCTTCTTCTTCCTCTCCTCTTGACCGGACGGGGAAATGTATTTTTGTTTTCCGTTTTCCGATCGATCGTCGAAATTGGGGAGAAATCTGCATCCATGTTCTGTTCCATCACTTCCCGTTTTCCGGCTCCTTTTCTTTGAGTGAGTAAGTGAGTGTGTGAGTGAGTGAGAGAGAGAGAGAGTGAGGCAGAGAGACCATCCCGACGGAGCTCTCCCTCTCACATGATGTTTTTCCATGGACTCGTCCCGACCAGGTGCACGTTTTCCATCCGATGGTCGTTGACCCTCCGCTAGGAGATTCGGCGACTGCTTTCCAGTTTGCACGCCGTTGCGAGAGGAAACAAAGAGAGAAAGAGAGAAGAGGAAGAAGGAGAAGAGGGAAGATGAAACGGTCCGTTGCCAGACGCGAGAGGAGAGCGACACAATGCATTTGTATATGTACCTAGTAAGGTGGGAGGGGATATCATGACGGATTTTCCTGTAGACCTCTCCTCTGTCTCTCCTTTCTTTCTTTCTTTCTTTCCTTCTCCCTCCTCTCTTGGTGTTATCCACACACACATGATGATGATGATGATGATGGCCAGGCGCCATTTTGAGGAACATTTCTTTTCCCCATATGAAATCCACCCAGAGAGAGAAAAAAAAGCAAAACAAATAACGGTAAATTAATCGGTTTCGTTCAAATCATGCTCTTCGCTGCTGGACCCCCGCCGCTGCGTCCTTGTCGTCGACCTTCTCCCATTCCGAATCGGTGCTGCCTGCTTCGTGGAGGGAATTCGCACTGTGGAGGGAGGACTGGCTCTGCTCGCTCCGGACGCTCTCTGAGGGCGCGGGTTTTCTCTGTCGGAGGGTTTCGTTTGTTGATGATAGAGTTTCGCTTTGAGTCTGGTCCGCGTGAGGAGTCGGCTGCTCTGTGTTGGACTGCTTCGTTGTCGAGTCCGTGGGAGGGTCCACGACGATCATCGAGGCCGTCGCGCCGTCGCCTTCCGTCTCCGTCTCTTCGCCTTCGTCGTCCGCCTCTTCCTGGCCGCCTCGCGCTTCATCCCTCCTTTCCTTCTCCCGTTGCCGGAGTCGCTTCGCTTCCTTCTCTTTGGCTTCGGCGGCGATCAGTTCGCGCGCGAACCAATTGATGCTGGCCCAGAGGCCGCCGCAGAGACCACTTAGGATGAGGAAGTGGATGCTGTAGGTTGCGAGGAGCAGGGCGAAGAGGAGGAGTTGCAGGGAGGCGAAGGTGAGGTTTGTGGCGAGGAGGAGGGTCGGTGTGGGGCCGGGCGTGAAAATGGAGGACCAGAGGGAGGGGAGGAAGTCGGCCATGGTTTCGTTACTTGTTCTTTGGGAATTTCTAGCGAAGAGGAGGTGTACTGTAGTTTGGATATGGAGTGGTCGGTATGGAGAGAACGAACGTGGTCTAAGAGAGGCGCGCTTTGTGAACTGACTCGTCAAGAGCTCTGCTGGAGTAATCGGCGTCCCGTTGTATGTTATGCTTGCGATGAACCTCCCTCACGATCGCGTGGTCGTATGTGCGTATATGTCTTTTCCCTCTTATTTTTCGAATTTCCCGCTCGATGAAAGATGTCGCCCTTTTGATATGAAGAGATCTCTTAAGTCCGGAAAGTCCGAAGCTTCTTCAACAGGCACGATGAACTGCCAGGCGCTTCTTCTGGACCGCTCTTACACTGAACAGATCTCCTTCTCCTAAAGTTCTCGAATGTGTAGTGGTTTCCTGGTCTCGGAAGAACCGTGAGATTTATTCTCCAGATGGTCAAGAAGTGGATCGCGTAGGTATCTAGACGGGAGAGGTCCAGCACGAAAGCGATTCACAGAACGCGGTGTGCGGATCTAGAGGCAGATCGATGTCCGACGTGAGCAGGTATACACTGGCAGGCGATGTGAGCGTGGTGATGGCGGTTGTGGTGGCAAAGGACAAGAACGACGAGATGCCCGTGAGCGGTGAGGGAGAAGCGGTAGTAAAGAAGACTGTAGCAGTAGCAGTAGAAGTAGCAGTTGCGGTGTTGACGAGTCGGTGACAATGGATGCAGGTGGTGATAGAGACAGGTGACTGGATGAGTAATGCGCTGTCTGTTGGTATAGTCGTGGGAGTCGGGTATGAGCCGTATGAGGTCGTGTGAGGAGATTCGAAGACGAGAACGTGGTTTATGGAGGATGGAGCTCTGACTAATTATGCTCGGACAATGATCTGGTATCCGCAGCTGATTGCTTTCCAAGAGAGTGGTCTGTAGAGGAGGAGGATGTACAGTACAGGCTGGAGAGAGAGATGATGTGATCGCGAGACCCGAGGAGCATCACTATCAAACAGCTCTCCATCATTAATCACCGCCCACCTGCAGGGTCTGTTTACAGCAATCATCCGCCCGTGACGCCCGCCCATTCACATGACAATCCCTCGACATCCCTCTCTCTCTCTCTATCTCTCTCTGCTGTAGCTATATCGGGCTCATCACGGGCACGATAAGGATGTTGCTCGCCCTGGGACGCACCACACCGTTCTATACCTAAGTACGTCTGTACCCGCTTTGTTGTGCGGAGAAAAGGTCACGACTGTTCTTATTAGACGGCGTCTCGTCCGCCACCGTCAAGTCAATCACATGGGGAGGTTGTCAATCAGCTGATGCCATCAACTGCCTGACAGGCGCGCACTACGAAGCCAAGAGCGCATAGGCTCGGGTTTAGCCAGCCGTTCTTCGCCTGGATCGCCTCGCTTCTCGTGATCAATCATCACGGATACTGTAGATCACTGGCAGAGCAAACGAGGCATTTGTGTGTATAATGATGACTTTCCACTCATGACGGGACCTTCGGTCTGGAATATCACGATTCATGATCGGAGAATATTCATCAGCGTGAGGCGGACGTACTTACGGGTGTGTTCCTGGCGGCTTTCCCTGTAAAGATGGGAGTGGGGGAGGAAGAGGGAAGAGGGAAGAGGGAAGAGGGGTTCAGGGTCAGGGTCATGGTCAGGGCTGCTTGGATTCGAAACAACACGGCGATCGTGGACGTGGACATAGGCGGTCCCAACGACCACAAAGTACAGACAAACAACCGATGATCGGGCGGGCCAGGGTTGGAATATAGACAAAATTTTCTTCATCATTTTTTTGTGTATTTTTGTCTCTCTCGGTTATATAAGATGTCGCGAGAGGTCGCGTTGGTCGTGTCAACGGGCGAGAGGCTCCGTCCGTGACCGACTGAATGCGATCACCAAAGAAGACCAGTGGACTTGGAGCTTGCCTTATTTTGGATGCCCCTCACAGTCCGTTACGAATGCTTGATCGAACACTCGCTTTTAAAACCATCGTCATCAACGTAATGGCGCAATCTAGAGCCATGCTGACAAGACCAGAACACGTCTTTGCACCCCAGAATTCGTGGTCATAGGAGTCGTCAACATCATTCGGGACCTTTCTTTTCCATGGTCGTCATGGTCACATTCTGGCCTTCAGCGAGAAGGAATCCCAAATCATTCCAATCCGTCTCTCACTTTCCAACAGCCTGGCTCAGCACTTGAGTCCGGAAGAAACCACCCTTGGTCCGCTCGATGACCTGCTGGTAGACGTTCACTGGCGGGTGGTTCATCAAGACCGTGCCGGCCTTGTAATCGATCTTCGCATCCACACGCGTGTCGCGGATGAGGTTAACAATCCACTTCTCACCTTCGGCATGCGTAAGACCCAAGCGGGTGGAGAGATCCCTGAAGAAAAAGACAAAAGGTTAGCAGCCATCCTACAAATCATATCTCTAGGTCGGGGTGACGAGAACTTACTTAATATCAATCCGCTGGTGAATTTTGCAATATGACTCAGAGATGAGGTGGCGGGCAGCATCGAGGAAAGCATCGGCTGAAGCGACCAAGAAGAAGTCCGCTCGAAGAATCTCATCTGCCTCCAGCAGCCGCTTTTGAGCTTCCTCAAAGTCAAAGTCCAAGAGCAGCGCCTTGACGAAGCTCGTTACAGGATCGTTGTACTCGTACTGCTCCTGGCGGACGACCCGGACGAGATCCTTCAATTGCTTCTGGTAGTTGCCGTAGACAAAGTTGCTCTTACCGCTGGGTCGGTTTCGGTTGGTGATGATGGCTGCGCAGAGATACCGTAGAATCCAAGGGCATGAGGTCTGGATGGTGTTGATGTAGGCAGGTGAAAAGAACAACTCCGTGAGGGTCTCTCGCGCAGGCTCGTAGTTGAAGAAAGGAAAGAGTGACCAGTGGCATAGCCATGTCCGGTGTTGAAGTTGTGCGAGAGGGTTGTTGAACAGACGAGACTCGATGCTCTCCTTGAGCTTGGTCACCTCCTCCAATGCGCTCTCCCAGTTGACACTCAGAATATCCGCAGCCAGTTTTCCCCACGTCGCCGCGTTGACTTTGTCGTTGTCGGTGGAAAGAATACGGAATTGGTAGAGCAGCTCTGATGCGCTGCCGTAATCTCCGCAGGCATATTGAAATTGGCCGAATTCGTATAGCTGGTCCACCATTTGGGGAGTGACATTGTGCGTCTCCTTCAAGAAGTTCATATTGCTCGTCTTGTCCGATCGCAAGTTGTTGATGACATCCGTGTCGCCCAACAGATTCTGGATCTTCTCCGTCTCCTCCTCAAACTTTTCCCGCCGAGCCAACACATCCTCACGCTTCTTGGTGTACTCCTGTGGTCTCTCCTTCAATCCGTTTAATTGTGCATAAAGGTCACCGACAAAATCGAACATGTTGGTCTCCTTGAGGAGCGCATATTTCATTTGTGTGATATCGCTGATGTCCTCGTCTTCCGGGGTTTGGTCTTCCAAAAAGTTCAGCAGCGGGTATGCCATGTGTCGGTCCAGGTTGGGTATCAGCTGGGCAAGAAGGCTGTACTTCTTGACCAATTCCTGGTTGTCACCATCCGAGGCCGCCATGATTGCGATAGCAGATTCTGTGGTGATTGCAGAGTCGCGAACAAAACGCGCATTCGTCAAAGGATGGTCGTTCTTGTGGTGGGGCAGCGGAATTGTGCTGCCAAGACTTCGCGTGGAGAGGGCGGGAGTCATCGAGGCAAAATGATGAAGCGAGTCATGACTAAGCATTCGGTGGTTTGATGCGACAGCCGACAAATGCGCGTTGGAGAATTGTCGAAAGAAAGCTCCCCTTACATTATCGACGACTCCATCAAATACATCTCAACATCACCACACTATCACGCGCAGCCATCATGGCAGGGATTGTACCCATCATGCCTTTTCTCAGACCATTGGCTCCTCCCCGACCGTCAACAGTCCGACAATTCCTCCAATATTCTACAACAGCGGCACGGTGCTCGATTCAACAAACAGAATCATTTCGATCACCCCGAAGCACAAGTCCTGCTAGACCGAGATCACAAAGGCCTCTGCAAGGTATGTCCTTGTGAAGATACATTTCCAGAAAATTCGTTCAGAAGTCTAACGCCGTAACCAGATCGCAATCTGCTCGCGTCTCGCAAAGCGGATGTTAGTTATCCGCCTCCAAGTTTCGTCTCCGACCCTCGTCCCAAAATCTCTCGTGCATCTCGCCGGTCGAGTAAAGCATTCAAAGACCGCTCCTACCTCAAAACCGCCGCCGAAGCTCCCGGCTACGGAACTCGACCACCGCTCAACCCTTTGCCCGTGGAATTCCTGCCAGAAGAGCAGAGCGCACCCAACCTACCTTACTTCGTCACCCGCACGCGCGCCCACGAGCTGCCGATTTACGAGGATGCGAAGCGCGGTGGAAACCTTTTCCTCACGTATGTGAAAAAGGTGGATGGAGATCTGACCGCGCTACGGGATGTGTTGAGGGAGAAACTAAGCTTGGATGAAAAACATGTCATCATCAATGCTCGGACGCGACATGTTATCATCAAGGGGCATTACAAACAAGAAGTCATCCAATATCTGCGGGAGCGGAGGTTTTAAATGATGGGCGCTCAACAGGAGAGGAAATGCTCACACCTATTTTAAGGGAATTGGTCAGATGGAGGACTGGGCGTTGGGCAAGATGTATTATGGTCCGGGAAGAGAGTTTGTATTCTACTGTACAAAATTGTCGAGCCATACTTTGACTGCTCGATCTCGTGAAAGTTGTATGTACTTGTCAGTGAGTATCATGTCGAATCTGTTACAATATGTTTGTCAGCACGCCCATTTTTGACGACATGCTGAGGAATTTTACTACGGGAGTCAAGGCAATACCATCGCCGCAATCGGTTGTTTGTCCATTGCATACTACAAGCGTATCTAGGTATGGTTCAGTTGTGGAGGCTGCTAGCTATAACGCAGCGCATCCGTTCAATATCACAGCAAGGTCACGTGACTGTCACTCCAATCTCGAATGCTTACATAATTTCATGAAATCGCGACGTCGAACTTTCGATAATCGAGCACACGAGAACTTCATGCGCGATCGAAATCAGCGCAATCGCACATCAAATAACTCATTTTGCGCAGAGTCGACCGACTCAATACTGCAATCATGAAGCTCGTCCGGTAAGTCGCGACGCTTTCCCCACCATAATCCTATCCCTCCTCGCATCAAGTGCTGAACGAGACCCTCTCTTTCCCAAAGGCGACCGCAGCGCACCAAGTCCCAATACATTACGAGACGAGGATGAAGAAGAAAAAGAAGCTCCGGCTGACCACAGACATATATTCATGATCGCGCCATCAGATTCTTGATGAAATGCCACAGCGAGACTGTCACGATCGAGCTGAAGACCGGCACCATCATCAGCGGCACCATCGCGTCCGTCTCGCCGCAGATGAACACCAACCTTCGCAATGCGAAAATGACGCCCAAGAACGGCGCGCAGGTCGCGCTCGAACATCTCAGCATCCGCGGTAGCACCATCCGTTACTTCATCCTGCCGGACTCCCTGCCCTTGGACACATTACTCATCGACGACGCGCCCAAGCCGAGGAACAAGGCGCGTAAGGAGAGCGATAAGGCTGCGAGCGGACCTCGTGGTGGAAGGGGAGGTGGTATGCGTGGTGGACGAGGAAGGGGAGGAGGACGAGGTAGAGGACGTGGCAGGTTTTAAGGGAACGAAGCGAGATCTCACCAAAGCGGTGCAGATGAAGGTGCTGGGGAAGAGGCGACTTGGAATCTACTGCTGTTGGGACTTGCTTGATCTGCGCCATCGACAGAGTGCAGGCGGGCGTCTCGATACAACCAGTGACTTTTCATGGATTCAAGTGCAGGCACTCGTTCAGCCTCGACGATGCTCGCACTGAGGTTCGATTCTCACACCAATTCTTGTGCTGATGCGACCGCAAACGAGCCGGACATACAATCAGACGGATATGAAATGCGCAAGGGGAGTTGTTTGTCCCATTCGCAAAGGATCTCACGAGCAGATCTCTTGCCGTCGAGGCACAAGCTCGAGGTCGCTCGTCAAAATTGGTATGGATGCTCACACATTCTCACTGTGACTAGGCCATTGAACGGATGTGACGAAGGTCGCGTTTCGGAATGAACACATGACAATTTTCAAATGGAACTTCAAAATCTCTCGTCCTTCCCTCACGTAGGTGCCCACTACACCGGCTGTTGGATTCTTGAATTCATGACAATCCTCCAAAGGACACGCCAATCCTCCCACCGTGCGAACGTGTGAAAGTTCCATCCACGCCTCGTCGTGCAGCGCCATCCCGACTTGTACTTTCACTGGCCACGGGCGACATGCCTGCATGCGATACTGGGCATTCCCTGATTATTGACTTGTCTGGTTGTTTCTTCGCATTCCATTCATCTTGTTGCAACTGACAAACTTCTTCGCTGCGGGTGTGTCAGTGTCGCTTCACGTGTCACTTGCACATGCTTGTTCGCCAGCTACTAGCCAGGTAAGCAAGGTTGGCAAGCAGTGCATTCATGCTCATCACATGCCGAGGTTTCGACATCACCACTGAACTTGTCAGTGTCACTTCTTGCACTCCAGCGGTACATTCATTCTTTCCCTTTACTCATCACCTTCTTCCACTCCTGCTTCTTGCAACACAACTACCTGCTTCACTCTAATCTTCATACTGTCTAAGCGAACAAACGACGACAACAACATCGGCAACCTCTGACAAGCTTTCATCAATCATCATCCGCTTCGTCACATGAGCATATCTGTCTCTCATCGACATTTCAGACATTGTCTTGACTCCACCGCTCAATAACATCCCTTCATATCAATCATGACGCTCAACTTGAACGAAAACGATCAGAGGGTGATTTTGCTAGCACATCAAGCTACACCAGTGACTAATTGGCTTAAGGTATGGCTGAAATTTTTACGGACGTGTTGTGCAAGTCTACTATGCTATAGAAATTTCTGACGAATGCAGTATTCAGCCCGACTTCGAGAAGCTGATGTTGCTCGGCGGTTACAAGAATCGAGGATCAGCTAACACCTCATTCTGGCAAGTCATGAAGAAGATAAAGGATGCGATCCAGGAGGTTGAGTCTGGTCAAGCGAATGGGATCACTGCTCCCAACAGAGGCAGAAAGGTGTCTGCGCAAGCCAGTAAGACAAATCAGCCAACGACGAAGAAGCGTGCTGCAAACGGCTCCAAGATCGAGAACGAACCGCGAGATGACCTCTTGAACTTTTCTGATGTCGAGTCAAGCATCAAGTCAAAAGTTAAGACGGAAGACAAGGATGTCTCCCAGCAGTCGGGCAAGAAACGCAAGCCCACAAGCAACAGTGCGAAAGGTGGCAGTCGCAAAGCACGAGGACAATCTGCGAGCAACACGTCAGCTGCGACGAGCGCTCAACGAACCTCTGTCAATCAGGGCAACCGAAAACGTAGGGGTTCAGACGGCGGTAGTGCAGGCCTCGAGCCCGAGCGCGTGGAAGCTCACAAGAGAGCTAGGATCGAACACGATCTCATCAACGAACGCCAGGCTTACGGCTTGAACAAGCGTCACGACTCTCCCAACAATGCGCTCGAACAACCTACACCCCAGAACCCCAGCCCCAACACGCAACGTACTCTTGATGACCTCCTCAAGGATTACGACTCCCCCGAGACCGAACAAGAGCGTTTCAATCGCGAACAGGCGAGCATCGACGGTTATGGCATGACTGATGAGGAAACTGATCTGCCGGCAATGGCCCAACTTACTGCTGGCATGGTCACCTCCGATGGAATTCCAACGCAGGCGGGCGAGGCCGTTCGCAATGATTCGAGTCACGATGCTGAAATGCTCTCATTCTGATTATTTGCATTCATTTGAGGGATTTTCGAGGTCAGGAAATACGAACAGTGAGCGACACGATCTCAAGGGTATCATTGACAGGGCGTTGGGCGTTATATTCGGCGAAATCGAGAGTCGGCTCACACCCAGGCCAGGACGGCCCAGGATTCGAAAGTCACTTTGGCTAAGTGCCTGTACTTTGGTAGCTTTGAAGCAGATGACGCGACAGGTCTGGCGAGGTCGGTGTGATACGTGTGAGTGAATGGTACTACTGAGCGTTATAAGCCACGACACGACTCGTCAAATCTCTATGATTTCGTGAGACTGGGACAGACAAAAGTGTGTATATCGACTTTGAGATCTTGGAATTGAAGCCTTTTCTTCTCACGCAGACCCGATTAGCATCTGCGCTGCTCGAAGCACGAAACCTTATGTTTCGATATGCTGAAGATGCATCTGATCATTTCCATCGTCAGAACACATAAAGTTATTGACTTTCCAACAACGTAGCTCGATCGCATGGTCGCGATAGAAAGTAGCAATGAAGTAGCCTAGGGTTACGACTGAAGCGCAACACCAATGCTTACATAAACACTCCATCTGAGCCGCAACCTCATGACGCGATGATGTCATCATAATGATTTATCGTCCACTGCGACAGTCGTAATAGTTAACCATGAACATCAATTGCATGTTTTGACGACTCGTGTGAGCTGGAGAGGCGATCAGTGACAAAGCTGTCTGAACATTCGAAGCATCTGGCGCGTAGGAAAGAAGTACCGTCCTCCAGTCCATCAAGCGTCCAAGAACACTGTATCTGCGCTGTAGGGAAATTCAAGCCAAGGCCTTTCTAGATCACGACGGGAACCAGGCAATCCCCATAGGAGATCTCGAAATCGGACATATCCTCACGACGATCACGTTCCAAGAAGGGAGTCTCGATCTTTGACCAGAAGAAGAAAAAAGATGTCTCAACAAACCACCTTCAACCCAACCTCCTCCGCACCTTTCCACCGCCTGCTATCCTACTACTCCAACCGGTCCCAGAAGCCCGACAACGAAACCGTCCGGCTCGGCGACTCCCTCCGCGGCAATCTCGCCCTGGGCCTAGACTTCCCGGTGGCCCTGGGCGTCGCCATCGGCCGGCATCTCTTCCTGCGCAACGTCTCCTGGCTCTCGCTCGACATCCACATCCCGCGCGTGGGCTGGAAGACGACCCCCCTCGAGGGCGTGAAGGTCGACGAGAAGCGGGACTACTCCCGCGCGGAATTCCTGAACGTCGTGAGGCAGACCAAGGGCTGGTTCGGAGTCCTCGATGCCCTGGGTCTCTGGGCGCTGGCGGCGGACTGTCGGACGGGGAGGATCTCCGGCGAGGATGTGGTCGGGTTTCAACGGGGCACGCTTTTGCATCGGGTTGAGGAGAGGAGGAAGATTGGACGGGAGCAGGTTTTGCCTCTGGTGCGAGGCGGGCCGATTTCGTAAGTTGGAGTTTTCTTTTCGGGAGAGCAGCCCATGTTTTTCCCCTTGTTTTTTTTCTCTCGCAAACTTGTTTCTGTCTCTGTCTGTCTGTCAATTCCGCAACATGGCCATCATTTGCTGACATGAAGTTTTTTGCTCCGACAGAGTCGCGGGCCATTCATGGGCGGTGAAGAAATTCTTCAATGTGGACGTCTATCGCGTCGACGGCGGGAAGCAAGATTGAAAAAGGAAAGTCATTTCTGCGCATCATTGCACAGCAGGTAAAAGGTGGGTTACCATTTCGAGATGTACCAAATCTATCACACCGGATCGGCATCGTCGAGAGCGCATTCGCAGCGTCTCATTCCTATGATGTTCCCTCCTATCCCAGCTCTTTCACGACATTTGCGTGTTCTCTACGATTTGCGGATTCGACCTCCTTGTTTCTTCAACCGGCGACGAGGAGTTGTAGAAGATTGCCGCCCGGAAGATGTGATCCCGATGCGCCATCGAGGCTATGTCGATTGGGAGAGGGCACAGCACTCCAAGGTTCGGTTCGGCCGGACGTCCTGTGCTCGACAAAGAGAGGAAACACGATCGATGACTTTGGGGGAATTGGGGATTTTCACGATAACGACACCGTAGCCTCTTCGCGCAATCCCACACACATCCTGCTGTCTGATAAACAAGATCGCATTCCTCGGCGATGAATCCGTGCCCGAAGTGTCCAGAGACGTACGTGCTGCCTTCCGGCCGAACCTCGCCCGTTTCCCGAAAACGACGAGAGGGATCCCGATGGTCGCCCAATGTCCGATTCCGCGCTTAAATGGGGCGGACTAGCGCTGTAGTCCAGCGAGCCAGATACCTAGGTACTGTGGTGTTCTATTTGGTACAATCCATTTATCATACTCTTGATGAATGTATCCTAGTCATGATGAGTCAGCAACCACCCACCGTAAGCTTGGCTTCAGGTTTTTTGATGAATCTCTCATGATGGGGGGGAAAAAGCCCGCCGCACCGCCCATTTCCCAGCGCGGGGAAAGGGAGGTTGGGTCAATGAGCACAAAAGGGAACTAGATCCCAAAAAGGGAATTCTCTCAAAAGAAGAGCCTGCAGATGGACAGACGGGCCCGGGAATGAACCGCGGGAATGAACGTTTCAAGGGTCTTTCTCTTCTCCTCGCCTCCTCTTTTCGCGTCCCTGGCCTCTTCTTCGGCCGCCTGGGCCAGGGAAAAAAGGGCAACGAAAACGAGAACGACAAGGTTTTGCGGGACTTTGGAGCTACCCCGAAGCTACTTTTGCTACTTTCTGCGGGACCCGACTCGACTCTTTTGGCGCGGGGGTGCCTTTTGCTTATTTTGCCCCCAACGAATTAATTTCTGCCCGTACGGCTATGTACCTTGGTATTTGTTGTCGATACTGTGTTGTGTGTATACAAGGACTAGGGAATCCTGGGGCTGTGTCTTCTCAACGTTGGGAAGCGGCTCGGGATTTTTGTCATTGCGGTGTGCTCTGTGCTGTGTTCTCGTCCCGGTCGTTTTCGGTTTCGATTCCGATGAGGCAGAATCGAGTGTTCACCATTCACGCCGAAAGAATTGCTTTGCTGTGTCAAGGATACTTTTGTTTCAGATTAGAGGGGGAGGAGGTGATTGAGATTTGTGTGGCTTGATTTTTTCTAATGAGTTTGGCTTGGCTGGGTTGCTAGCGCCCTGCGTTGATTAATCGCATCTTGGTGTATGGGTCTTTACCAGAGTGATGACGAGATGTGATATGGGTAGTAATAAATCATCATTACTTCAACGTGCCAAAAATGCGGGAAAAGAGTAGAGGTGGGGGTTTTTTCAAAGTAAATCATTTTGACCTTCGTGAAGCGTCTGTCACAAATTATAGAAAGCAAAAAAGAAAAACATCGCAATTGGTTTATCGCGTGATGCAGAACAAATGCCATGTAGCGAACAATTGTTCGACATTCTCAAACTCCTTATTCATGGAACCATCAAATCAGAACAATTCCACCATCATCCTCCTCTCCCATTCCTATCTATCCCACTACGAATTTCCAACCCTCCTATCTCTCAATCACTGCCAAGGCAAGTAGGTAAGGTATACCGGGGTGGTGAAGTCAAAGTTTGACGGCAATGTCTCGTAGCGAGGGCCAGTGGTGCCGAAAACCATGTCCCAGATCTTGGTCTGCTTTCCGTAGTTGGAAGACTTGCGGTATCCCTTGCGGTGGTGCAGATCGTGGTCCTCGATCAACAACTCGGCATCGATGAGCGAGACGAATGGTGTGTTGGTGGAAGGCGGACGGCTGAGGATGCGGAGACCGGAGTGACCTGTTTAAAGGAACATGCATAGTTAGTCTACTGGTCTTGCTGTAGAGCAGACGTAACCACAGGCGGAAACTTACCAACTAGCTCTGTGAAGAAAATGTAGCTTGAGCAGATCCAGAACTCGTAGAAACCCATGGGGAAGCCGAAAATCTTCATGGTCGTGAGGGCGAGCAGAGGGATGATGACAATGTCGAAAACCTCCTGTTCGTGGTCTGCGAAGAGCGTGAGGAGAGGTGTGGGGTGCTTGGTCAAGTGATGCTGGCGGTGGAATTGCCAGAGACCGTCAACCTCGTGCATGGTGCGGTGGTACCAGTAGAAGTAGAAGTCGAGGACGATGGGGTACAATCCGATCTCAGCAACAACCCACCACGAGAAGCTGATAGGCTGCTCGCTGGGCTTGTATGTGAGCATGACAGCCATCAGCGGTCGGATGAGAGCGGTGAGGATCAAAGAATGGACGGTGCTCTGGACTGATGCATCCGGCACCTGGTCGCGAGCGTGCTTGTCGCCATCGAGGAATCCATATTTGTGTCCCGCGTTGGTCAACATGTGCAACACTTGCACGCCGGTGATGTGGTATGCGGAGGTGTAGAGAACGAAGCACCATAGTGGTGACAGATTCTTGCCGTAGTTCCAGCAGTAGAGTTGCTGGAGGATGCAAGGCCACAGGGCATGTGTCAAGACCCAAAGATGGGTTTGTGAGTGTGGTAGGTATGGCATCGGGTCATCTTTGGCGTGAACGGGGATGGGCTTCCCAATCTTGGTCGGGTGGATCTGAAGAAGGTGGAGGACCCAGTTGTGGGGTGCCCAAGTCTTCTTGTCAGACAGCCGCCAGGTGGACTTCATAGAGTCTCTGGCCCTGGAGGGCGGAGTCGTCGCAGTAACGTGCGACGACATGATGGAGAATTCTCAGGTGTTGGTGAGGTTGTGAGAGAGAACGAACGCGAAGGTCGATAGAGGATCACGAAGAGGAGGTGTTCTGTTTTCAAGAGAGTCTTTTATCCCTAGTTTCAGATTGCGCTTATCAGGGGTTTCGCCACAGCAAGGTCCAAATCTTTCTGCCTGCTGGAGTCTCGGCCGTGGCACGCTAACGGATGTGCAGATCATGCCTGACAGCGATCTAACTTCTCCACAGTACGATTGAGGGCACCAATGGCAGCACGTGGGTAGCTCCTCGGAACATGGTCCTGTCTTTTACTCCTCGGTCGTCATGTCACTCATGTGAGAGGAGTACAGCAATTTGTGCCACACACCGCATCGGGCGACACTAGTACGATTCAGTGCATCGCGATTGATCGACCAAGAATAGGTTGTAGGACTGATCGAAGCCTGTCTGTTCCGAAGTGTCGGGCACTACGGGGTGGTAATGATGGTTTTTGGGGATTGAATTGTTGTTTCTTGTATGCGCATAAACTCGATCGATCGGCTCATTAATGACCGAACCGCAATTGACGGAATCCCAACACGAGAGCAGGTCCAATTCGTCGAGCTCGCGACTGACAGGGCCCATTTCAGAACTTCTTCTTCTCGGGCCTTTTCACATTGGTTTTGAGAAATACCACTAGACAGTGCTTGAGATCTACCGGGCGATTCCATCTTCATCGGTCGATAAGCATCACGGGAAGAGAAGGTTAGCATGTCGCAAGCTTCACCGGCCGCAATTGCACGGGATGTGTATGGACGCTGGCACTTCCTTGCCAACACTCTTCATGAACTTGGTTTAGCGTTAGAAATATGACCAGCAACTGTACAGTGTGTGAGTGACGGCATTGGCAGCTCATTCGGCAATGACCAAGCTTCGGAGTTTGTTAAAAAGTGCTTCAGCGTACGGTTCACGACCCGGCGGGACGATCTTGTCAGTGCGGCACGCTCATTTATCATGCCCTTTTACTGCAAATCCGAAATTTGCAGTGAGCCAGACTTCCATTCGACCGATGGCGAGGGCATACATCGGTACTTCTCCTCACATTGTCTCAGAGAATTGCGCCACGACTTACTCTAGCGTACAGAACCAATCTGCTGAATGGTAATACTGTGTAATAATAATGTAGGAACTTGTTAAATTAGTGGCGAGGACAGCCATCCTAGTTTGAGCCTAGGACAATTGAGAGTAAGGCGTATCTTTAGCAGGGCAATAGACTTTGAGAATGTACCCGATGGCTATTCGCAGTGAATTCCCCTCACATAATTGTCGTTCAGTGGGTGTCAGATTCGAAGCGGATGAGTAACATCGATACGGCCGTGGTTGTGTCCGCGAACGAAAGCGAAGTTTGGCAAATCAAGAGTAAAGGCATCCATAGATACTTTGGTGAATATTCGCGTGGCAGTTCATGGTTTCGGCGGATCGCGCCGAGGAACGACAGCTCGCCGTTCTCGCATTCGCAAGAACGCCCGTTGCAGAATTCATGAGAATAAAGTCGCTTGCTTCCGAGGTACATACAAAGTCACAAAAGATGGCTTGCAAGCTATCGCAGAGCCTCATCTCTGGGGAAAGTCGAAAACAAGCCAATTCGACGAGGCTTACGCGCGTAACGAGTCTCCGGAGCCGCGACCAAAGCGAGCGCTTCCGAGAATTGTTGAGAACTCTCGCCGGACTGATGGCGCAATTCCAAGATGGCCATTCTCGACTATGACGGAGCAGCTGCCCCAAGGAAATCGTGAGTCGCCATATGAACCTGATCATGATCGCCGGCCATGTCTCCAGTAAGTCAGACCTGGAGATATACATGCATCGACACAGCGGACACAGCGGACACAGCGGGCACAGCGGGCGCAGCGGGCGCAGCGGATGCCGCGTGTAGGATCATGCTCGCACAATGAATGAACCTGCAGCTCGAAAAATACAATTACATATCGCGCCATCTGCATCCGAGCGAGATGTCGATTCGCAGTCATGATGGTTTGACAGGGTGCATGTTGCCATATCGAAGGCAAGCATCCAGGCAAGATCATTGATGATGAACGCATTTGACTCGACGGCGTCTTCACATGGGATCTGTCATCGCACAGCCTGGTCAGCAAATGCGGCCGAACAGATCATATCAACGTGCTTGTGCATGCATTTATTCGGGTCTCGAATCTGATGGTGGTGATTGTGACTGCTGTGCGGCGCAGGTTGCTGTTGTGGGGTAGCCCAATGTGCTGATATTTGAGCAAGCAGAAAGCCTCGTACTCCGAACTTCACGTTGCATGTCGGCAGGCGCGACTGCATGTCCACAATAGCAGAGGCAGAACATATCTCACGATACCATGGACGTGTCTGCCGATGTCGCAGCATGGCTCTCTTTTGCAGTTACTGCGATAGGCCTCGGTGGTCTTATCTCTCAAGCAAATGCAATCAATGATAAAATGGATCCTTTCCATGCGAATCGCTCAGTGGAATATCTCGGGATCTGGTTCCACAAACAGAGGCAATTTCCCTGGTTTATAATCGCTAAACCACCTCCTGTGGGCCCGGTGATCAAAGGAAGTCTGGCGCAGGGATTTTGCGGACTAAACGATCTATATTTGACCAGATTACCGCTCACGAGTAGATCGGGCAAAGCAGGCTGGGCGACATTGCTGGCTATTTTCCATGTTCGCGAGCCGGAATTGAACAGGCCGATCCCTCTAGAGGACGCGGAGAAAGGTCCCGGTTGGACCATGACGGCGTCGACCCCCTCACGAGTCCTTAACATTGCCGCCGACGATAAGGAATGGTATTTCCTCGAACAGCAACCACTTGTTCGTCACAAAGCAAACGCGTGCACAGTGATCTCGAGGACGACTCTCATGACGATCATGTGTCTGACCAACGCCCGAAAAGTCTTTCAATATAGCGACGCAGCCGGATTTCGTGCAGGATATGCCTCATATAATGGCCAATGGTACCTGACCTGGCCGATTGGGCAGGATGCCACTGTGCAATTCGCACCTCATGACTCGCACTCGCTTGCCACAGATGTTTACCCATCGAGCTTCCCTCAACGAGTCGACAAATGTGTTCAAATGCTTTCCGGTGTTGTCGTTGCTAATGATAGCACAGACCTTGGACATTTGAAGGTCGCATTTTGCGGGCGGAAGTCTCCAGGTATCTATCAGCTGAGGTATATCCGCAACGGATTTCCAGGTGCACATGGTAGCCGGCATTTGTACAACATGATGGGTGGCAAAGTATACGAAGTCGACTTTTTGCTTGCTTCCCAGCTAGGCGGTCCTGCGCAACAGACATCGCCTACACCCGATCAGATCGAGCTGGTGTTGCCGAGCACGGAGAAGAACCTTCCAGTAAGTATGATCGTTGGAGAACAGGAGCAACGTGTTCTGTGTCACGCCCTTGATGTTCTTCCCTGGTCGTCATTGTCATGGAGCATCCACCGTGGCATGCGAGATATTCTAGTCGCCTTTGCCAAACCGGTCATGGATGAATACAGATCTGCCTTGGCAGAGGCGCTTCGGCGTACGGTTTTGGAAAGGCCTCACCTTCTCGACGCTCGCGGCTGGAACCCGTTGTTCGTCCGACAGAGCATGGGTGACATGGCTGCTTCTGCTGTCTTGGCCGGCAACGGAAATTCTGGCGACCTGGTGCGTGTCGTCTCAGATATTGTGCTGGTGCTTACAGAAGGTTGGGATCGTGCTCGTTTGGATACGGTCAAGTTTTGGAGATTACCCGAGGGAAAGAGAAGCTTAGACACAGATGCTGTGGTTGCGCTGACCAAAGTTTTTGTGTTGGAGTGGAGCAATGAGTTCGATTATCAGCTCTATCACGATCTACCTATCTCGTTGTATTTCACTTGAGGCCTTTTCGACAAATCTATCTTGCGCATACAATGGATTCATATGCTCTTCAACCATTCGAGTTTGCTCATCCGCTCAAAAGTGATCATCGAGATTGTGTAGGAGCTGCAACTACTCCATTTGAGCAGAGATGGCGTTCGATGTTGGAGATGCACGATTCCGAACCTTGGTAAGCGATATGATGGAGCGAAATGACCGTCATACAGTAAGGAGATACCTTGCTATATAGCCAGCTGAGGACGGAGCATGTCCTTCCTCGATGTCGTCCATAATGAACATAGATAGTGTTGTTGAAGTTCAGCAACAGAAAGCAGCAATCTTCAATCCGCACGGACCAAGCGGGCATATTCATGAGCCCTGAAACGCGTGCGAATTAAGCGCGTCGCGTCTTCCGCAATGTCCGCATAGATAATTATTGTTGCCTTGCGGGGCCGCAGGTGTGACTTGAGAAACGACATAACTACGGGCAGCAATTGCGACGAGCAGAGGATGTCGTCAAGCAAGCGAACGCGTGACGCTGAAGATGTGGATGATTACGAAGACGGTGCATCCGCTCGCCATGTTCAACGCAAACGGTCAAGGGTTTCGCTTGCAGCAGAAAGAGACGGATCTGTTGTTTCCGACGATGAAGATGAGGAGGAGGATGTGAACGATGCGACCGCTGATGGCGATCTCCGAAGCTCGAATTCTCAAGTCAGTAGTGAAGACGAAGACGATGACGACGACGAAGTCAACGAGCTTCGTGCAACACAATTCATACAAAAGAGTCGACGAGAGCATGCAGACAATATCGCAGCGGAACAAGGAATCATTGAGGAGGTCTTTTGTCGGAATTTCATGTGCCATACGAAATTACGAATCAAGCTCGGTCCGCTGATTAATTTCATCATTGGCCACAATGGTAGCGGGAAGAGTGCCGTCTTGACGGCGCTGACAATGTGCTTGGGAGGTAAAGCTACAGCTACCAACCGTGGCGGCAGTCTTAAGAGCTTGATCAAGGAAGGCCAGGAAAGTGCAGCGTTGTCTGTGAAGATAAAGAATCAGGGCGACAATGCGTACAAGCCGGAGCTTTATGGCCGAAGCATTATCGTCGAGCGTCACTTCTCACGCTCAGGCACAAGTGGCTTCAAGATTAAGAACTCGGACGAGCGTGTCATCACTACGAAGAAGGCAGACCTGGATGACATTCTTGATTTCTTTGCTTTCCAACTGGACAACCCAATCAACGTTCTTACTCAAGATATGGCACGGCAATTCCTTTCGAACAGCTCCGCAGCTGAAAAGTACAAGTTCTTCATTCGTGGAACCCAACTCGAAACTCTCAACGGCGACTACAAGCTGATCGAAGAGCATCAAAATAACATGGAAGAGAAGCTGGCACTCCGTGTCGACGATGTCAAGATACTCCACACGAAAGCTCGAGAGGCGCATGCCAAAAAGCAACGCCTTGATGCCACTCAGAGCATCCGAGAAAAGATCGAGAGGCTCGAGCGTATGCACGCATGGGCTCAAGTGGAGGAGCAGGAGCAGGCATTGCGCGTGTGTGAAGAAGCACTGGAGAAAGCAGAGGAGGCAGTCCGCGACAAAGAGGCCGACGCGGAACGAATTGGCGGGGTTTTTGAAGGTCACAACCAAGCTTGGGAGGCTGCGAAGAGCGGCATAGACGCTCTCAAGGAGCCAATACCCGAGCTTAGAGATTTATTGGGCCAGGCGAAAGAGAGCTTTGAAAATAACACCAAAGAGATAATGAGCGTACAGGCTGAACAACGAACAATTCGCGAGAATCGAAAGAAGCAGAAAGACGTCACAAAACGCCTCGAGGGAGAGATCCGGGAAGAGCAAGCACGATTGTCGGATGCGCAGGGCGAAGCATATACTCAGCGTCTTGAAGAGCTCGAGTCGTTGAAAGAGGCGTTTGAGCAAGCAAGACTAGCACATCAGCAGCACCAGAGAGACGTTGCACCACTCGAGAAGACGCGAGACGAATGCGCCATACAAGCAGGCGATGCTGATGCTAAAATGGCACAAGCTCGAGAAGAACTTGATCGTGCAAAGGGTAGACTCAACAATCTAGCTCGGGAACAAGGTCGGAAATTTGCTGGTTACCCTGACAAGATGGAACAACTGGTTCGTGACATTGAGCGCGAGACGAGATGGAGAGCAAAGCCTGTTGGTCCATTCGGTCTGCATGTCAAGTTAATCAAATCGGAGTGGGCGTCGATCATCGAAACGACACTCGGCGGATCGTTGAATGCGTTTGCCGTGACGTGTGCAGACGATCAAAGACTGCTTGCACAAATCCTCAAAAAGTATAATTCGCAATCGTCAATATTCATCGGCAATCCGCGGCCACTGGATACTAATGGAAAAGAACCAGACAGCGATGTTGACACCATTCTTCGTGTGCTGCGGATTGATGATGATCTCGTTCGCAATACCCTGATCATCAACCATTTTGTCGAACAGACTGTCCTTATCAAAGAACAAGAAGCAGCGATGGACTACATGTATGGTTCTGGCCATCGACAGAATGTCAAAGCCACCATTGCCATGACTAACCGACCTGGGTCGGGTACACGATACGAACATAGTCGCGGTGGTCAAAAATCGAGCCCCGTCAAAGCTTGGGCGGGCGCGGCAAGGCTGCAAGTGGACCGCGCTGACCAAACTCGCATCCAGCAAGAGCGAGTCCGTGCAGCCGAGCAGGAGTTTGAGACCATCAATGAGGAACGTCGCCGTGGCCAGACCGAGCTCTCACAGGCCAAGCAAGCTGTAATTCGATGGAAGCGTGATGACGAAAGATTGCGAATTCAGGCGCAGCGGGCAGAAGACGACGTCGAGGCGAAAAATAATGAAATTGAAGCCAATCGACCACAAGATGGAAAGCTTCAAGAACTAGAACGACAACTTCAGGAAGCAAAGGACGAACTCCAGGCCGCTAGTGCATCATTTGAGGATTCCGTTGTCGCGAAAGATCGCCTTGACGAGATGGCTCGAGAGCGAAAAGACAAAGTTGACAAAGCCCGCGAACAGCTCGAGGAAGCCGAAAAGCGGATAGAGAAGGCGACTAAACGCGCCGAAAGAATCGAATCGGATCGGACTCGAGCATTGCACGAGAAGAATGAAGCTTTCGGCGCCGTTGACTCGAGCAAGAACCACGTCGTCCGGACCCGAAAGAATCGAGACGATCAGCAAGAAATTGTCATGGAATACATCAGCGAGGCGTCGAAGATCTGCGATCGCGTTCCTGTCGATCCCGGCGTCAACGTAGAAGTGCTCGATGAGCAAGTGAAACGACTGAATGATGACTACGATCGAGCGGAGAGAGAAGCCGGTGGTACAAGAGAAGAGCTAACGCGGGCCTGGTCTGTTGCGCAAACTGAGTATGTGCAGGCGAAGAGGGAGTTGAATGACCTGAGACGGCTGGAGCGGGTAAGCAATCCTTTGGAACCTTCGAACGATTCTCGTTTGCGGCAAAACTGACAAGCTCTGGCAGAAACTCAAACTCTCCCTGAATGAACGGCAGCGCCGATGGACGCTGTTCAGAAAGTTCATATCTGTACGAGCCAAGATCAACTTTCACTATCTCCTCAGCGAGCGTTCCTTCCGCGGCCGCGTCATCCTTGATCATTCCTCCAAACTCCTGGATATCAGCGTGGAGCCGGACATTAGCAAGACGAGCGACGCTGGTCGTCAAGCCAAGACTCTAAGTGGAGGTGAAAAGTCATTCTCAACCATCTGTCTCCTGCTCAGCATATGGGAAGCCATTGGAAGTCCGATCCGCTGCCTCGACGAATTCGACGTGTTCATGGATTCCGTCAATCGTAGCACGAGTATGACGATGATGATTCAAGCTGCGCGACGAGCTGTCGGCAAGCAGTTTGTGTTGATCACACCTCAAGCGATGAATAATGTGGAGATGGGTGATGATGTGAGGGTCCATCGGTGAGTACATATTCTCCACCAAACGTCGCAGTGTTACAATCGAGCTTTGCTAACTGTGGCCCTTTGTCACAGAATGAGCGATCCCGAGAGAGGACAGACAGCATTGTCGTTTGCAACATAAGCGTCTTGGGCGTTTTTTCCTTGTCTAATGAGATACCCGCGGCTTGTTTGACCGCTTAGTCTGGTAGAGGTATATAATACCATTAGGAGCATTCCTAGATGCAGATCTGCTGCTCGACGTGATGATCGTGTGTGCGACATGCTGTTCCGCACACGCAGTCGCCCTGTCTAGCATATATCACCACGCACCGTCAAATAGTCATGCAGGCGTGTTTTGGCCCCAATTACGTCCGGCAGAACATGCGCGGGTCCTGTAGGACATGACAGATGTCTGGGCGGATCTATTGATATCGTCAGCACTAGTAAAGCAGCGTCATGTCGCTCGCCACGGTCCTTCCATCGTCAGCACGGTGCATGGAAGGAATCTTCTGCGAGCAGGCGCGTTACCGCATATAACAAACGAACATAATTCGATCGTCGTGCTCGTGACCATAGACTGTTGTTGCTCTACGACGCATGCTTGTGTCTTTCGGCATTGACGTGAGATCTAGAGGATTCTGAATCCGCCGTATATGCAGCCGATTTCGAGAATCCTCCGTGAAACGGAAACTGAAGAGATATGCCTAACCGCATGTGATCTAGGCGTGTGATGAGTGGGCGCTTAGGTGCATGCCTCATTTGGGCTAACAGTTGTGATGTTCGTATCGCAGTCGCTGTGGTTATTCTTTCAAACGATGTCACAGTGACCAAATGTTGAAAAGCATTGTGCCAGAGTTGGCCTTCTGACGATGACTCTTTGCTGACGGCAATAACAACGATCGTCTGACTCGGCGATGGACAAACTTGGAATATTCGATTGATGAAGGCCCGATTCGCGAAATCAAAGATCAACCAGCCCTGGGTAAACAAGGACCCGCATCACGGATCGGCCCGTCACGCAGGCTGATCACGACCTCCACGCCAATGCCATCCATCGTCTCCTTTGCGCCCATTCGAAAATTCTCATCAGACCTCGGAGCTCGAGCGACTGTTAACCACTGTGCAGATGCACACAGGTCGCGATACGGCGACGCTAGCACGGAGGACATTCAGTCTACCGCTACTAGTGGTCTGCAAAGGGACAGCAACAGCATTGGTGTTGCTCCAAGTTCCGCCTGATACGCCGATTATGGCAAGAAGCTCACGGCTCCAAGGCTGTGATACGCAAGGACAACTGTGAAGGCACATCAATAATGTGAATCGTTCGAGTCACGAGAACTTGTGCATTTGCAGGTGAACATTGTCACATAAGGCGAACGGCATGCCACGCAGGGCTGAATGGGTGAGCCATGTCTTTCGAGGCCGGAGGGAGGGAGTCCGCATGTCGATGCGGAATTAGACTTTGCTACTAGATTGACGTTGTCAGCTCGCAGACTAAGGGCGCAGAGTGCGTGCAGAGGTGCGTGCAGTCAAGAACTAATCACACCTTGTATAGCATGCTTCAGGGTGCCACAGATGCCATCGCCCCTCTGCTCACGGCATTTTGTAGTATTACGGCATTGTATCGTACTGGTCCCAGTCATGATCAGCATTCCTTTCGTCCCTTCTTTCTTGCCGTACGCTGCGCAGGCACGAAAATGCTGAAAATCATCTGTCGCTTCACCAACGACTATCTGTGATATCAATACGTGTAAAATCATCTCTCCTCGAGTTGTTCAACTTCTTCACAGAACTTGCGCCGCATGGCGCGCCCAATGTCTCTGACAGTGCTCATTGCGTTGTAGTCCACCGGCGGCGCTGCGCAATACTTGACAGGCGCTGGTGGTCCTGGGAATCAAAACAGCACCTTTGGCAACCCATTACTCTGCCGTGCCGGTGCTGGCACGCCCAATATCGTAAGTCATCGCAGAGCGTTGCATGGAAGACCTCGCTGCAATTCAGCTGACGCAACTCCTAAGACTGGCTCGGTGACTATCGCACCAACCATCTTGCAAGGTGGACGAGCGGATGGCAGCGTCAATTTTCAGCCCGTAACTTGGGGAGTCACCGTCTACCAACCCTCCAATATCCCAGCCGACAGTGCTCGTAGCGAATTGTCTCTATGGTTCAATACAAATGGTGCAAATTATTCCGACAATTACGCTCTTGGCTGGGATACTTGCTACTTCTGGATCTCGCCTTTCTCCCTGAATACTTTTTACCGAGGACAGAAAGATAATGGGCAGTGCAAGGAGACATTGGACGCCACCTGCATAAACGATTTGAAAACCGCGGCCCAGACGCAGGCTTCATTGCTCGTCAAAAACCCAACGCCCGGTCCGAACAGTAACTTGACAAGAAACTCGCTGCCCGGCGTGTGCTCGATGATCGCTGTTGCTGTCACCCAAAATTTTCCTCCTTCGTGTGCTCGTTTCATGGGAGGCCCTGGTGCGCTATACGGCGGCGCACCATCTTTTGGTGGAGGTATGCTTTGCGAACCAAAACTGCTTGAATGGTCGAGATGTCTGACAATCAATTAGCCCTTACTGGTCCAGATTCGCTAGTAGCCGAGGCAGCGTGCACGACAAAGTATGGTTCTCTCATGTGGACACAAGTTGGCGGCTCCGATCTCAGCACATACACGATTGCATCGTGGTGGGTTCTTGGAATCATGACGCTTTTCCTTCCCATCGCAGATTATGCTCGACCTGTGACACTACCGCAGCCGGTCGCTGAGTTGTCTTGTTTCAAGGCAAACAACTTTTCCCAAGGCTCCATCGTGACATCCGACCTCCCTCCTCAACCTTCCGTTGCAGTCAACTCGTCCAATCTCAATGACTTGACCAACGGAACTCACCCGACAAACTCAACGACTGGATCAACTAATTTAGGACCTGGCTCAACGGCTTCGTCAGGCCCTGTGCAAAAGATGTTGGGCACTGGCGCGATTATCGGCATCGTGATCGGTATCCTAGCAGCCTTGGCCCTTATCGCCGGCATCGTTATATTGCTTCGTCGGAGAAAGGCCCGCTCACAGCCTGGCGCCGCGCCAGATGCGAGATACTCAGATGGCGGGAAAGCCGAATTGCTCTTCCGAAATACTTCTGTGGAGGCGCCACACATGAACACCATCTACGAAATGCCCGCACCAAAGCAGATGATGGAATTACAAGTTCGGAACCCACCGCCAGGACCATTCGAAATGCCTGCGCATAATGAGGAAACCGCGAATTTCAGTTTCGACCCATCGTACAAGCGATGAGATGACGACTTTTATGACGAATATAGATTGCGATTTTCTTTCTCCAGGCGGAGATTTTTCTTTTTCTGGACTCGCGCACGCGCGTCTTCCCAACAATTTTTGCATTCTAGCTTTCTCAATGTGTCAGATATACCCAAAATTTCGTCTCCATTTGTCCGTTATAGAAATCTTGTCGATGTTGGGTAGAATCCATGGATACCATGCAAACGCAGAAGCTGGACCAATGGTCAGCAGGGAATGTCCTGACTGTGGGCTTGATATCTTCCTTGAGCACGTGAACATTTCCAATGACCAATCCCGACACTCAAGAGGCAAGATATAGAGCACGGTAATACTTGGAACCTTTTTAAGCGAGGCTCAGCATTATCAATCAATCTCTGCCGGCGATGCCATTCGGGACATGGGCGCAACATATCCTTACATATCGCACAGGAAATGGCCACTTCTCGCGACGTCAGCAGAGTGTTCGAAGGATCGCCATGTGCTTCATTGCGTGTGCGCGTCGAGCAACCACCAACATTCCTGCATCGACGCAAAATCCCGCTACGACTCGATCAAGCATTAGCATTGCTCACCTCTTGGGGAGCACCTGGGCACACATCGAAATTGCCAACCTTGGCCAATTTCGAGAATCCTTCTCTTGATGTTTGTTGTCGCGTCATCTCCGCGTCACGTGCGCACGTGCCCTCATCAGAGGATTGACGTGATGTCCGCAACGCTCCCGGGTGTCGTGTTTTTCTCTCACGCTTCACTCCTGTATCAAGTCATTATAGCTTGACTGCTCTCTAGTCCGTCATGCGATAAGTCAGATCTCCGGATATCGTCGAATCGTCACGAGCAACGTCATACGATTGATCGCGAAGTCAGAGACCTGCATTGTTCCCGTAGGTGGGACCTGACATATACCGTACGCTCGATTATCTCTCTTACTCGTCCCCTCCCGTCACAAACAATATCCATCTAATAGACGCGAAGATTATGCTGCTCAATCAACTCTCGTGGCCAGACATCGATGCGTCATCCCAACGATCACCGTCCCGCCTCCGATGCTCGCTCGGGTGTTCCGGTGGACTTGCCGTAGACCGGCTGTGCCCTAACGCGGCGAACGGGACCTCCCGAAATTCCGCGTTCGAGTCTTCCGTCGGCTCCATTTGACCCGAACAGCTCTCTCTCACTCTTCATCCATGGAAAAACCGCAGTATCCGTTTAGAATGAGTCCCTTGGAAAAAAGAGATCGAAAAAAATCGATTGCCGCGGCAAAAAGCTGCCTCCATTCGGAGTTGAACCGAAGACCTCGGCATCACGATGTTCTCGGCCCGACTGAGTTGCCGAGTCTTCCGAAAGCTACTAGTGCCGCGCTCTACCAACTGAGCTATAGAGGCATATGAAATGCTATAAAGTGGTCAGGGGTATAAGATCCACACCAAGATTGATTGACACCGCCAAAAGGGTGACGTCAACCACCACCGTCGGTTGACGATGCACCAACAGGGCCACGCGCAGTCGCCCTCATTCTTCATGTCGATCGTCTTGTATCCTCGATGATTCCGCACATCCGGCTTCCAGCAGGTGCTGCGAGTCGATCAAAAGAGCGGATAATTTGGCGGTATCGCGCGCGACGGGGAGGCATACGACTTGATGGCGATCGTACCATAGATCTGTAAGGGCATTACGATGTCAGACAAGGATTCCAGCGCTCCTGATTAAAGGGGAGATGGATTCGTGAGAACTTATAGGCATATGGAAGAAAGTAACGCACTGGGCGCTGACGTATGCATCACATAGGTTGATAACTTAGCCACAGCGGAACTTCTTATTTGGTCCGATGGTAGTACCTCTCATTTGATCCGATTGTGCATGAACTGCGTACAAGGGACCATAAATGCACGCGTTATCTTATTAATCCGCGCCGGTGTACAGAGTCGGCCAATGACGAGGTCTCTTGCAGGGATGTGTTTGGGCTTTTCACTTCCTACTTGTAGATTTACCTCCTTCAACGTCTTGAGGAGCTCCTTTGGACAGAGATTGAAAACCGACAGTAGGTAGGTCTTACTCTCTGCTCTTTGCTGCTCAAGTTCATGGAAAATCTTGGTCTCATCGCTTTCTATATCGACACTGTATTGAAGAAGCCATCCTGGGCGACGGCAAGTAGGTGGTCGCTGGTCTGAAAGACTCCTTCGATGACATGCTTGTCCAAACGACGACCTGCACGGCTCCTTCACGATGATGGAGGGCAAGATAATCCTTATAGTTGTCATGATATGCGGTCACTGGTTGGACCTCGTCGCCGCTACGTGTGCCATCCTACTTGACCCCGACGCTCTGGTTTTTGGGATCGCTTTCGATAACCATCCGTGGTGGCCGAAAAAACTGCCTCAGATCAAGCTCCATAGACATCCTCCTTCATGCACAGCTCGACATCTATGCAAGGCTTGTCTGGAAGTACTTGTTGGTGAGACCACCATCGCAACGTCTCATCACCTTGCGCAGAATTTTGATTCATACTTTAGAGCTCGCTTTTGCATTCGTGTTGATGAACATTCCAGCATCTGGGGTTATCATAACCCTAATATACCCATGACTCCGGACCCTGCCCAGTAGTCATGTTCTCCTCCTCCTATACCTACCTAGGTAGGTATGCATCGGTCAAATTGGACAGAGCATAACGATGACTCATCAGATACTGAATTGTGCGGTTGACGAACACGTATATCTGCCTGCATTTGGGCGCGTGTACGGACGGTATCGTTTTAATTAAGCGGTCGGAGCACCCCGTCCGATTCGACCAATTCCTGTATGAGCCACGCGAGCGACATCTCTAGACCCATGCCGCCACATGCGTGACAAGAAAGGGCGGTGCTTCTCTAGAGTGAGACCCACTAAATGACGATACTGTACCGAATCCTGGCCTAAACATCAAATTCACGATAGGTGCATACATGCAAGTAAGAAACCCTAGCTAGAGCTCACGATCCACCACGGACAGTCGGTGCCTGGAATGTTCACGCCTGCATTCTTCCATCGCTTCTTATAATCTTCCTAATTCCCACCTTTTGGACCGACACCAACACCTCTCGGGCTTCGACCAAGTTCGGCAATCAAACCGTCTTCGCGTCCGCGTGAACAGTGAATCCCCTCCTTGGCGATAGGCTATGTCTTTCGTTTCAGAGGGTCCTGGAAAGACTGCTCCCAGATTATTCCACGACTTCTTAACGTTCGATCCGCTCAAGGTTAATGGCCGAAATCTACTTCGAACGTTCCCTCCGCACGTTGGCGAGGGGCAAGATCTTCCACCGAACCCGCAAATAGGCGCCTGCGGACACAACTACACCCTCAAATACTCTCAGAGCATTCTCCCGCCTCGCGACTACCGGCCTGACAGCCAGACAGTCTTCAAGGCTGCTCTCATTTGCAAAAGATGTCGCCTACACGCCGACTTGCGTATCTCCTATCGAGCGTCCACAAATCCTTGCCCGAACGCCGATCATCCTGTACACCACTTTCAAGCCTTGCCAGGACTTGATACCTCAACGCACAATCGCATACAGTATGGGTGGCAATGCAGCGCCTCGGGCTGCCGCGCTCAGGTTCTCACCATTTTCCGATTACCACGATTGTCTGATGGGGAACGAAACCTCATCGCCACGCCGGAATTTCTAAAGAGACGATACGAGGAGGCACTCGCAGCGGGTCCAGAGCGGGATATCAAAGAAGCCACGCCCATGCAGGCTCTCCATCGAGTCAGGACATATCTCCGAGACGCACTCAACCCGGAGCACACACAGAGGACGATTGCGGAGGATCAAAAGAAATTCATTGAAGTGTTTGGCATGCACGGACAGGAGTCTGTTGGACTTTTGAAGAAGCTAGGATTTACATACTCAGTAAGGCGGCGATCAATTGCTGGAACGAGCGCACAGATCTGATTTAGTGATACTAGGACCATAGCTGGGAGCTGCCTGATCCTCCGGAATTGGACGAGGACGATCGACTGGTAGCGAACGGAGACAGCGCTCGCGAAGCGTTGGAAGATGTCCACGCCGAGCTTCTCGCCTGGATGCATAAGCTCAATGCGGAGACTGGTGTTGTTAACCTCGCAGCTGCAGAAGGATGGGCTGTTGCAGATCTTGAAGTCAAGCGCGTTCTGGCCGCACATGACTGTATGCTCTTCTATCTCTTACTTTGCTGTGATGAGGCCGATCAGTTGACACAGGCATGCAGATGCGCTCTACGTTCCTTTCCGAAGACCGTCGACGATGAATCCAGAACTCCAGTATGTGGTCGTCTTGTGACAAAGAGTCTTGTCGATGAGATGTATTGGCCACTGATTTCATTGATACAGATATTACATCGCCAGTCTAGGTGCGATGGCAGATTTTGGAGACGCCATGATTGATTTTGCTTATGAGCGACAGAGCATGTGTGATCCTCCAAATCGCCCATACTACTTTGAATGTCTCCAAGTTGTGGCCGAATCCCGGGGCACGGAGAAACTGCAGCTCAAGGTTGCTATGCTAGCCTCACAAGACTTGGTGAGCAGGCGCGACCTTTCAGCCGCGTATCGTCTTCTGAATGTGCCGGTGCACGATGCTCATAATTATGACGATGTGCGCATCTTGGACCAATTTCATGTAAGGCAGAGCGATCTCGGAGTGCAGGCACAAGAGGACGCTCGTCAAGCATTGTATCGCATTGGAATGGCGAGAGGAAGTACGCGATTGATCAACGCCTCGCGGCAATTGGTCGAGACATATGATGATGCACTCACGTGGATAGGAAATGGAGTGAATAGGGAGACGACTGATGAGTCGTTACTTGCTGTTGTTGGCATGAAAGTGAGCTCTACCCCTTCCCCATGGCGTCATCCTCACGCAGCACGACTCAATTGACGCCGCGTCTTGCAGATTCTCGATGACAAGGCGAACGAGGAAATCGCGCAAAAGGCCATCACGGTAATTGCAAAAGAGCGAGGAAGCAAACAATTGCAAAACTGGGTCGCCACAGGAAGAACAGAAACATTCGATATGAGCGCTGACGAGGCACTGCGAATCTTGGGGATCGAGGACAACTTCAGCGCCATCGATCAGACTCTACTTCCAACTTTGTTCGACAGCGTGAGGTCAGACAGACCCGGAGGTCAAACCGAACAAGCGATAGCCGTCTTGCAAAAGGCCATAGAAGGCAATGGTTCTACAACACGCGATCCAGCAACATGGCCAGTCGGATTGCGAAGTCACGGCAACACTTGCTACCTCAATAGTCTACTACAATACTACTTCAGCATCACACCTCTTCGAGATATCATCCTCGATTACCAGCAGTATGCACTCGACACGACCAAATTCAAGGAAAAGGAGGAGCGAGTCGGACATCGCAAGATATCTATCGTTGAGATCAAGGGCGGCCAAAAGTTCGCAGACGATCTCAAAAAGCTCTTTGAGAATATGATCAAGGAGTCTGGCGATTCGGTGATGCCTGAGGAGGCCCTGGTTTGTCGAGCCTTTCTGGAACCCAAGGATTACGAGCTCCTTGCTCCAGACGCACCGAAAGAAGTCAAACCAGCACAGGAGGATTCTACCATCGTTGCGGACGAGATGATCTCGGACTATGTGACCGTGACAGCGCCTACCGAAAACGACAAAGGTCATGAGTCCGATGCAAGCAGCACTACCCTTCAGGGCTCTCCGGAAGGCGATGGAAACACCACCACGAAGCCTCCGCAAGATCTTCTGACGCCTCCTGGTTCCCCTGCCATTGATGCCATGGACGTACAACCTGAACCTGAGCGTGCACCACCGCTTCCACCCCGATTACCCTCCAATACTAAAGACGAAGCCCTCAGCCGAGCACAATCTAATGCGAGACAGCAACAAGATGTCACTGAGGTTCACGATGGTGCCATGTTCCGTCTCCGATCTGGCATGATGCCCTTGGGCAAGGACGAAAGCGACGAGCAATACGATAACCTTCGATCACTATTCTCCATCGCATTAGCTGAGACGCCAGTCCGAAACGGTGCAGAAGGCCCAAAGAAAGTCCTCTTGGATTCCAGTCTGCAGCTCAATGTGCCGAATGAGTCTAAAAACATATACTCCGCCTTGGACGAGATCTTCGACCTGCAGGCATATGATGAGAACGCTTCGTTGGAGACGTACAAGAGCATTACGAAAATGCCACCATTGCTCCAGATTAATATCCCACGGATCGGCTACGATAACGTCCGTGGTGCATTCAAATCTAACGCATGCATCAAATTAGAAGAGGAGCTATATCTCGACCGATACGTCGAGTCCGCTGATCCCGAGGTCCTCGCTCTTCGCAAGAAATGTTGGGGCTGGCGCAAGCAACTTCACAATCTAAAGAAAGAGAAAAGTGTGCTTTCAAAGACGTCCACGAATCTAGACGGCCCAGACACTGTCACCCGAACCGCAGAATATCTCAACAACATTTCATCTTCGCTCAACGCCGAGCTTGCCGCCCTGGACCTCGACGGCATAGATGTCGATCCCACTTTACCTTCCGCGCTCGCCTCCGACGCCGAAGCTCAGCGCACCCGCCTCCTCCAGCTAGACCAAGAAATTTCCCGATTGGACACTTCCATTTCGCCGCTTTCCTTCCCACAGACACTCAAATATCGCCTCGCTGCAGTCTTCTTCCACCGTGGAGACTATGGTCATGGACATTACTGGATCTACATCTACGATTTCGCGCAGAAGCTCTGGAGAAAGTACAATGACGAACGTGTAGAGGAATTCCCTCAGGACAAAATCTCGAAAATCCTCGCAGCCAATGAGTGGAGTCACGGCACGCCGACCTATGCTGTTTATGTGAGCGATGACCTCGCCGAGGAGGTCATCCAGCCTGTCTGTCGGAAACCTGAGGGAGTCGTCGCGGCTCCTTCTGCTCCTGTAGACGAGGTCATGGCGGACGATGGAAAGGATGGCAGTGCCGCTGGTATGAGACCACGGTCGGATTCTACGTTGGCGGTAGATGATGCGGGAAATTTGAGGGACGCAGTGACGGAATCCTCGGGACCATGGGACCAGAAGAGGGAGGTTTCGAAATCAGAGTGGTAGGGCATCTAAGTCATGAAGTGGAATGTGTATCACATAGCTTTACGAGTGGATGAATGATGAAAAGACGCCGAGAGGATATCCCGGGTTCCATGCACGCAGCCGCAATACATCAATACGTAGCATTGTCTTCCAGTATCGGCTTAATATGATCCAAGTTCCAATGTGACATCGTGAACCATTACCCTGAACCCCACATGCATGCTCGCGGAGTTTACCATTTTGCCCCGCAGTCCCATTCGTGAATGCCACAATACTTTCGCCGAGCAGCAATAAGCATCATCGACAGCAAGCATGCTTGTACGATAACGGTGGCACTCAGCCTCCGCCCAATGGCGGTCATTCCAAGAGATATTTTATCGGGTAACTTTTCAAAAATCGCGACCGTCGCTGCTGGGAATAATCATGGACGACGGCGAAGAGCCAGATGCGCTGCTGCCGGCGCACATTTCGACTCAAGAGCAGTTCTGGGCTGGTACGCGGTTCAGAAACAACACTTCTCCGGCCGAGAAGCGCTGTGGACTACTTGGACTGATTCACCATCTATTGTTGAGCAGAACTCGACGGCATTCTTTCCTCAGCAGAGGACGACCACGAAGAGATCGACGATGTATTGCGCGCATTGTTAGAATTGGTCGCCGTGGGCCAGGGTATGTTCACCTCCAATACCATTCGGAAGAGTCGGACAGAGGATGGATACATGAAAACTCTGGGAGACACGCATTGGACTTGGGCTGATTCATGAAAGAGAAATTCCTTGAGACGGAACACGAGATTCTAGGATGTTGCGAACGGTTGCGCACGGCGCATTTCTTCGACTCTAATCGGGAATATATCCTCCGGCAACTCTTGGAGTGTCTGCTCAGCGTAGGTGACTTCGCATCATCTCAAGGTTGTTGCTGTTCCTCGGCGGACTCGATGCTCATCATTTCGCATAGGACGACGATGTCTACACAATCCACATCGCGGCATCGGTGCTTCTTCTGGACGCTCGTACGAATGGAGACTTTCATGGAGCAATGCAGGCCCTGGGTGCATTCCCGCGCCTGGTTGACTTGATCCGGCAAGCGACAGACAATGACAAGGGATTGCATCGAACGCTCCTCGAACTTTTGTTTGAGATGTCTCGGGTACAGAAGCTGGAGCGAGAAGACTTGAGTGAGTCGAACGGCAAATGATGGAATCTCGGCACTGGGCTGACTATACCAAAGCAACCGTGGACGATGCTTTCGTTGAAACCTTATTCGAGCTCATCGAGCAAATATCTAATGATGTTGATCATCCATATCATCCGCCAGTCATCGGAGTATTAGTAGGTGCCACTTAATGATATTTGAGAGTATTAATCGCTGATCTTTATATCGAAGCTTGTTTTAAATGAGCAATATATGTGTCTTGCCAACGAGCCACCTTCGCCATCCTCACCCATCGAACCCGTGACGAACCGTATACTCAAAATACTATCATTACGCACTCGATCATTCAGAACATTTGGTCAGAATATTGTATTGGTTCTCAACCGTGAGATGGATCTCAGTCCTCAATTGCTCATCCTCAAGCTGCTTTATCTGATCTTCACGACGCCTTCTACCTACGAGTACTTCTATACTAATGACCTGTATGTCATTGTCGACGTTTTTATTCGAAATCTTCTCAATCTCGAGCCGACTCATGAGGGCGATGCCTACGACCCCGGGAAGGACTCGCAGAGCGCCGGCCAGCGCGCTCTTGTGCACACATACCTCCGAGTACTTTGCCCGCTTCTCAAGAATACTCAAATGGCACGAGAAGGCAGCAATTACAAACGCGAAGAAGTTCGCAGGTTGTTGAACGTTCTTGCAAATTACTCATCCGACCACTTCACTCGCGTCGACACCACTGTTCTCAGGCTTGTCCTCCGTTGCAAGCAAATTGAATGGCTACGTGATGAAGGTGACGATGAGGTTGAAGTCGAGCTGAATCGGAAACTTGCCGACGCCGAAACTGCTCCGACCAGCGCTGATGTGGCGAAGAAACTCCTTGGCATGTCCATCGACGATCGATCGATCAGCGACCTCAGCGTGACGGAGATGTCGGCCAACGTCACCGACGAGACAATGGAAGTGAAATCAGCAGAAGATTCCGCAATCGACTCATCTCCCCCGACTCCCTCCAAGGAGACCAAGAAGAGGCCAGTCGCACCTCCCCCTCGACGGAGAACGAAGCTTAAGCTTGGCGTGTCGACCAATGGTGCATCGGATGTGAAAGAGGTCAAGGTCTCTGATGCACCGACCTCTTCAAACACTACTTTACTTCCTGTGCCTGATCCATCCGGCCCGGAAACTCCGGGCAGTGGTGGGATTTCTTTGAATCAAGCGGATGCTAGTCCCTTCGCAGATGAAAATGAGGAGCGCTGAGTGCGAGCACGACCTAGCGCAAAGCTTTCGGATTATGAACAGCACTTCAACTTGAAGTAAATGATGCCCAATGGCCGGGGAGTGGCACGACCTCAAGTTCGATCGCGACTATCGATCCGTAAGCACCTCCATACGCATGCGGAAGGACGTACTTCGCTTGGGAATCACATGTGCTTAGTCGAGCCGCGGGAGCACCGACGCTATGGTTGCACGACAGCCAACTACGCGGCTCGAGTGCCGCTCGACCTTGCGTTGTGTTCATTCAAGTAGTCAAATACATCAGTACATGGCACGGTCGTCCCAGGCACGCGTCAGCTCATGAGTTGCAGATTCGGTCGCATTGGCCAATTATCGAGCTGTGTACAAACACCGCGCCCAGCCAAAGGTTCTGATGACCGATGGCGGTGTCAAGTCATGACACATTCGTACAAGACTTTTGATCCACAACGAGAGATGATTTAAGCTTCTTTTTGACGTGTACAAAGTCTCATTCGCCATAAGACCATCGACTCTCAGGAAGTCGCTACCGTGAATCCGCACGTACTACATTTGGCAAGGCCGCATTGCAGCTATGGATCACCGTTCGCGGATAGCCGCATATGTGCGCGCTGACAATGGCGTGCTTATTGCTTTCATCATTGAAGCTCATGTGGAGAGAATACTCAATGATCGCGATCAAAGCTGACGGGACAACTGGCCAACCTTGGTCGCTGGGTTCCATGCACATATTTGTCATGAAATTTTCGACTCTGGACACGATCATGCATTTGCAGTCTCGGGCTCAGGATACTGCTTGCTGCAGAGCGTGTTAATACCGTCAATGAAAATGATTTGCATTAAGCAGGTAGCTCAAGTTCTGTGAGACCACATTGCTTTCAAGACAGCTCCACACCAAAAGTGAACAACAGGTTCATCATGTCGAATTCGAGTAATCTGTCATATAAGACTCTCCCTCGGTCGTGATATTCTACGCAGTCTTGAATCATTCATCGCGATTCGCTAAACTTCAAACGCAAGCGTCAGCTCAAATAGCATCCTTCCTATCACAAAAATCCCGTTTTCCTTCCAAAATGCAGCTTCCGTGCCTTGTTTGGATTATCCTGGTCTTGACCATACGTGTCGATGCACACTACATCCGTGGTGAGTCGTCCGGTACAAGGTCTCGCGGCTTATCACTGACGATGTCAAATAGACTGTATCCCTGAATATTATGGACAACCTTGCGAATCGGAACTCCCTCCTGTGACAAGCATTCCGTACGAAACACCACCTCCAGCCTCATCTACAGAAGGATCTCCCATCACGCAGTCTGAGGAGACTACCATTGTTTATACGACAAGCAGCACTCCCTCCACTGACGAGGCATCATACGAGTATCCAACGGCGACTACTGTCATCGTTCCACCGATTTCGACTGAGACTCCTCCCAACAGCTCGAGCTCAACCACCGCTGATGCCACCAGCCCTCCTGGAGAGACCCAGTCCTCTTATGTCCCGTCGATCACGACTCCTGGCTCGAACTCTCGCCAGGACAGCACAATCTATCTGACAAGCACAAGCTACATCACCCTCACGTCGACTGAGGTTGGTGGAACGGTTCCATATCCTCCAGGAACCATCACCTTGATCCCTCCGACAACTCGACCGTTCCCAACTTCAAGTGATTCTTCGAGTGAAAGCGGTCCAGAGACTCCTCCGGGTTCTGTACCTTATACCTCGCTCCCACTGACAACAGAATTCACGTACACTATCCCAGGACGTCCCAGCGATACTACAGCCGGACCCACTCCGTCAGAGACGCCGCCGTTGAGCACGGATACTGCATGCCCATGCTACACGACATCTGAAGTCACTCCACCGGTAGAGACAGGCCCTATCAACACCAGTCCACGGCCCACAGAGACTTCATCTCATACAATCACCTTGACCATACCTGTGGAAACACCGCCGCCAGTGACCAGCTATCCAAGTGAAGCGCCTACTTCCCCGAGCAGTGTCTCTGTGCCAGAGACTTCAGATGGCGGTACTACGACAGATAGCGTACCTTACAGTATCCCGACAACTGATGCTCCTTCGACTCCACCTCCACGCACAGGCTATTCTACGGAAGGCGTCCCTCCAACTCCCACATATGATATTACCAGTAGCACGCTCGGCTCGCCAATCACAGCTTCATCGACAATCACTCTGCCAACCTTGCCACCAGCGACTTCTACCTTCCCCGAATATAGCACAGTCCCCACGGACACTCCACCAACGCCGACCGAAGACCTCCCGCCATACACCCCTCCCGCCAGCACTCCTGACTCTCCCATCACGCAGACTCCGTCGCCGACCTCGACCGATGGCTACGGAGACTATGACAGCAGCACTGAAGGCTCTCCGATCACGCAGACCTCGTCTTACGATTTTCCGAGTGGTGGACCGTCCACTTTGACCACTGTCACGTCTTTGCCTGAGACGTATCCTCTCCCTTCTGAGTACTTCACTTGGACATATTAAGCGAGTAGGGCATGGCTAGAAAGGTTTCTGGACATGCGAGACATTGGTTGACGTCAGTCGTGACGGGTATTCATCAATGTGGAATGCAGTAACCAAGTTCAGAGCTTCCAAATTGAAGTGATTTCTTTCGCTCGGGACAGCTCGTGATAGATCTGAGATCTCGACGTTTCAATACTGGGGCTTCAATTTATGAAAGACATCCGTAGCACACCAATGTCTGCCCCATTGCATCCTATGTGCTTGACTCACCATCACATCAATGAACCTACCTCCTGTGATGTCCTTATGTTGACATCACCATTCTATGCCTGAGGCGCCCTGGCAACCAAGCTGGCCTTAAGCCGAGGTCTCATAGGTCTTAGCAACTAGACGATATAGTAGTAGAGGTTCTTATGTAGTTAGCATTAAATCAAGTCCTCCGAGCAATCCATCTAGCGATGCGGTGCCGGTTGAGGTTACCGGATGCGATTAGACAGGCGATGGGCGGACTCCAGGCACATTGCTTGGGCTGGTCCCTTCAGAAAGGGTCTGCTGTGCACTTCGAAATATAGAACCACACCTACACTGCTCTCTTAGATTCGGACAAGCATCGATTTCTAGGATATTTACTTCAAAGATGTGAATCGCAGGCACTTGAAGATATAAGCATCATCCGGACTCTTGTGACACGTGACGTCGAGGTTGTTCTGCCGTGAATTGTAAACCGCCTGAAGGGACGGCGAAAAACGCCAAAGTCTCAATGCTATTTGGATGACAGATGAACCGCGAGCTTGAGATGGGGTTCGTCTCTCCGGGCGGGCGAGATCGACAACGTGGCTAAGTCTGAACCCACCGTTCTGCAGCTCACCAAGACGCAATTACACCCAACAAAACGGACATTATTCACACATCGTAGACTCAGTTCGTAATCTCAAGCCTTGGAAGGTATAGACTATTTTCGGCCCCCAAGGTCTAGCGGCAGTATATAGTTGTGCCGCAAAGGCTTCGCCCTGTGTGTAGAACATCAAGTCTACTTCTTGTTGAAGGCCTCGAAGAGCAAAGGCAACTTGTACCCCGGGCGTACTGTGACACGAGTTGTACTCTGCGCGCGAGCAATGGACGTAAAAATGTATTAAATATGCCGGGACTGAAGAGTTGAAACCTCAACTTCAATTTTCTGCTATGTACGGTATCCAGCCAACAAGACATTGGCGCCAACATCATTTAGACCTTGAAGGCAAAAAATTCTTATGTTCAGCTTGATCCATCCTGATCCTGCCCAGCTCACCACGTCGAAGTGATGACGATGCGTCAAACTGTAATTTCAGTGCCGTCAAGTTGAATTGATCGGCCGTAGCTCCGAGTTGCATCACCCAAGGAGGGCACAGACAGCGCCAGCAATTCCAAAAACCGGTGCCAATTCCGGAACGAGGGGGCCGACGGTGTTGATTGCATTTATCGCCTTGGGACAGCCAGGGGTCTCTGCCGGTGTATCGCTGATGTACACGGCCATGAAATACCCGCTGTAGTCGCCGAAACCGCTGGAAGCAAACATGCTTCGGGGTCCATAGGTGAAGAACCGCCCGAGCGATTCCGGCACGACTGCCTCGCGGTGCTGGCTCCTGCGGTAGGCTTCCTTGATCAGCTCAATGAAATTGTCGCGAACCTCAGGCCGGTAATAGTTTCCATGCACGTGCATAGTAAGTTTGCCAGTAACACGGTCGGTGATGCTCTTCGATTCATCGCACTGGACGGAGTTGCAGATCTCCGGAATCCGGCTCAACAGGTCGTCATGCGGGTAATGGTCTGCATATCCGATGTCCATCCAGTTGTCATCACTCGGTTCCACATTGGTGTCGTATCCGGCACGCTTGACCAAGTGCGCATCGACGCAGCCCTTGAATGTGTCGGTGATGCTACTAGCGTTGAAGATTGGTTCGGGATGAGTGTAGCCGTGTCTTTCAACGACGTAATAGCCATCACAGTGGGGCTGTTTGACCTCAAGAACCGAAGGCAATGCCAGAGCGCTGGCGGCGAGCATGCCGAGGAGGGAAAGCCTGTAGCTCATGGTGAGGGAGCTTGTCGTTGTGGGATTGTTGTCGAGACTTGGTCTTGTTAATGAGGAGTGTCGTTGCGAGTACGAGCAGCAGATCCAAGGTCAAGAATGAGGTTGAATAGAGATGGCTCGAGGGAATTGTGAGTTGTGAGTTTGAGATGAGAATTATTCGTTTCGGAGAGCGAGGACGGTCCATTTATGTATTTTACGTTAACGTACCCTTCCTCGTTTCTCTGCGCCATGGAGCGCAATGACGTGACGGCGTGTCAATGCACCTTTCGACCTCCTATGCACTGTGATGGCAACCTGAGATCGCGATGATGGAGCTAATTTTCGTCAAGGCTGCACATTTTGACTTTTTGGCACAGCAGCGAATGAAAGGGCGGAATTAGCGAAGAACTCGGACACTGCTCTTTGTTGGTGTCTTCAGTATGTAGCGTTGAGCTTGCATAGGTGTAGTCGCCCCCAAATACTCATCGGGAGGCTGCCGCTGTGCCGCAGTTCGCGAAGCATTCGGCCGAACTCGAGCGGCACGATACGGCGGTCGATCGACATCATTCATCGGAAAGATGTTACATCGTCTGTGAATAGATCTAAGGATGGAATTGCTCTTCGGCAAGACTACCTAGTCTGGCGCTCTCAATATTGTAGCGAACCGAAGCGCGCCGGGCGGTATCTACCAACAAGTCCTTAACACCTCCTCGGTAATACCTTTGAAAATGATCGCGATGATTATTTGGATGGGCCCGCACTAGGATAGCCGATTCAGTCAAGGCTCGAGCATCAGTGTGCACCGAATGCTGTAGGAGCCTGGTGTTCTCCCGAAGGTCTCGTTGCAGGATGAAGATCAAGCACGTTCTCCAGGTCTTGATCTGAAATGTCGACTGTGCCGCTCAGCGAAGGTGACTGATCTTCATGCTGCAGGATTCGGATCAGACGTCATTGCGGCACGGATTGTCGTCTCGACAATAGGAATCCGTCTCGACATGCAGTCATGGAGGCTGGAGGATTCTACGCCCCACGCATGGATCGCAAGACACCATAGTCTCACCAACTGATAAATAAGCGCCTTGGCGAAGCTAGCTGGCCTTCGAAGTGTTGGTCAGAGAGCCGAGTGTGCACTGGTGACGCCAGACAGCCACTTGGAGGCGGAGAATGAGTTGTCTGGCGAGAACATGAGCGCGAAATCGCGGCTAACACACGCTCCATTCATTCCACTCGCGTGCGATAGCATATAGGTAGGAAAAGGCTCCGCACTCGTTGTATCGCCAGAACTCCGGGCATATTGTGGAAGGAACACTGCCGCCGATGTTCATCTTGGCCTCGTTGATGCATTGTCGTGGTGATAGTGTTGGCATCAGCATTCTTGGCACGTTGGCGGTGTTGGTGTTGGTGCTGGTGGTGTTGGTTTTAGTGCTTAGTTTGGCATTTAGTGTTTGAGTTGGTCCTTAGTGGCCTGTATTTTCGCAGCCAAAGCACGAAGATCGGCGGATTCTTTCCGCACCTCTATGGATGGACTCCTCCTTTGTAAATATGACTATCAGTGATCAACAGTACTTCGGGGTTATGACCAAAAAATGGCATGCTATGCTGCGGCGCGGTTGTCCTAGACCACAAAGTGACGTTCCCTTGCAGCCTGCTTTCGTTGTGTTGACAGTATCCGCAGGACCAGGCACGCGCTTGTCCCGCAGCGAGGTGGCGGAGAGGGTTTACGCTTTAAGTTCTGACGTATACGTTCTCACCACTTGAGACTTCCGGCTGCACCGACGCTGTCCATCATGGGCGGTATGTACTGCGCCGCGTACACGGGTCCTGAAGATCATACCCAGTCGTCGTGGACACAGAAGACGCTACTCCCCTCGAAATCGGCGTAATCCTCTTCTCCGGTTTTTAAACCCTCGACGTCTTCGGTCCTCTCGATGCGCCGAACGCGCTGTCGCGAGTCCGTCCATTGAGACTGGAAATACTCTCCCATGACCTCTCCCTCGTGAGCACAAGAAACCCGGAGTTCCTACACAGCACTGAACAGCTCCTGCACCCGACCGCGACGTTTGCCTCACGGCCTGCTTTGGACATCCTCCTCGTGCCCGGCGGACCAGGGACGCGTATGGAGTATAGCGAGGCGATCGAGGGCGCTATATCGTTTATCCGGGATGTCTACCCGAACTTGAAACTCCTGCTCACCGTTTGTACGGGCGCGGTATTGGCTGCGTGGGCGGACGTGTTAGATGGAAGCGCGCGACGACGAATAAGCGAAGGTTTGAAATAGTTTCTTTGGAGGGGAGGGATGTTCAGTGGGTACTTGAAGCGCGGTGGGTGCAGGATGGAAAGGTCTGGACGTCTTTGGGCATCAGCGCGGGAATTGATATGATGCTCGCGTAGATTGAGGAGAGGTTCGGGGAGGAGGTTGCGAGGGAGATCGCGGAGGGGATGATCAGGATTCTGGGAGTGACCCGTTTGCGTAAGTGAAACATTCGATTTACGATTGTATGGTGATCACGCGTTTTGCGATCATCATCACTTATCCTCACATGGCCCTTTCTCTGCTTGGAGCCTAGAGTTCCACTTGAAAGGTGTTCAAGCGGTTTTGGGCGTTAATTTACATCAAAAATATGGGAGTAGTCGAGACCTTGCGAGGCGAAGATACACCACAGAGTTGATCGCTATTGGTGATATCGCACAGCACGCGTAATGATGGTTCTCATTCAATATTTTCATCAATCAGTAAGAAAGTGCTTATCTCCATCGAGAATAGCAACACGTTAGTGATGAGAGTTCACGGTTGCATCGGTCATCCCGCAATAGTGAAGAAGATAATTTTCGTTTCTTCAGTCTGTGCATTGAGAAGCTAGTTCACAATCTGGGCGTGTTCATCGTCGGCCAATGACAATCTCCTTTACGGACCAGCGCACATATTCATTCCTCGTCAATCGTACAATAAATAAAGTTCGGCTTCCGCCTCGGCCATCGGCACTTCAACGCATCGTATCATAGAGTAATCCATAATTTCATCGACTATGTGCATTCAATTCAATACAGAACTTCAGGAGTGCTGACCACTCTTGTGGCCAGCCACAGCAGCAGCCTGAGAGCCATTGATGAAGGTTCCATCTGGGTTACGTCCTGGGAGATGAGATTGAGAGGAGTCCTTCACGGAAGAACCGTCGTTGTCGTCAATCTTGGAGTCGTCGCGTTTGTGGCTGTGTTGACATCCGATGTGTCCAGCCTCGGCTGCAGCCTCAGAGCCATTGGTGAAAGTTCCATCTGGATTGCGACCTGGCAGGTGCGAAGATTCGTGACTCTCTCGTTACTTAGTGGAGTGGTCCCCGTCATGCTGGTGACTGTGCTGGCCACCCTTGTGATCTACCTCAGCAGCAGCTTGGGAGCCCTTGGTGAAAGTGCCGTCGGGGTTGCGGCCGTGGCCCTGGAGGTGTTTCAGAGGAGCTTGTTCGGAGGTGGTCGAGGTCTTGAGAGTGAGTGATTTGATCAGCTTCTTGAGCGATGGAGGAGTGATGAGATGGTGCCGCTGCTCGGTCACAGACAAGGCTAGAACATACCTTGCTGTCGTTGTGATTGTCGTCATTCTCCTCGTGAGACTTGTGACCGCCTTGAAAAGCTTTGCCGCCCTCGGATGCAATTCCACGGACCTCTTTATTGGGACGGTTGGCGAAGTTGTCGGGGTTGTCGTTGTGAGTCGTCATGATGGGTGAACTTTGAGCAGTGTTGTTTTCAATTGTAGGATCTCTTTGATGGAAAGCTGAATCGATCGGCGGTTGGTGACGGATTGCCGTTGATGTGGTTGTTGTCCAATAAGAGAGAAGAGGAGATAATGAGACGGAGATTGAATTTAAAGAAGCAAGCGAAGAATGGCGAATTGTTTCAAGGTAGTCGCCCACCTCGTTATTGGTCATGGCAAGTGAATCAGCAGCAGAAGTGCATCATCGTGACCCTCGCCTTCACGGGCGACGCAAGGAAAACCGATGTGTTGGATCATCCACAGAGAGAGTAAGTGAATGGCGGTGGTTGGGTTGCTGCCTGATGTGTTTGTGGTTTGTGTCATCATCCAGCGCGTCGTTCCCTATTCTATTTGCGCTCGCCTGCTAAAATCCCTGGAATGTTCGCGATGTCACTTCTGGGCGGCACATTTTAGGCATGCTCACCATCATCGGCGTTCACATCCGTCGTTATATCGAATCGTCCTCGCCTTAGGAGATTCAATGATCGAGCCTTGACGACCCTGCATCCTGTGCCGTCTCTTCATTATTCGCGCTCGCTACGGTCTGGCGCACATGTAGACGCAGCCACGGCGTCGCGAGTCATAATAATTCAACGCCAGCTGGAAGTCCATCCCGTCTTGAATAGGCCATCAGATGGCGGTGCGGATCTCTTCTTTCTGCAAGCCTTGAAGATGCGCGGTAATGCCAGTGGTCCGCAGCTACAGCACCACCGTGGATTGGTGAGCGTCAAACCCTACTACAGGGCCATCAGCAGCAGTAGCAGCAGCAGCAGCGACGGCTTCCATTTCGGCACACTGCGAAGCAAAGAAACTCGTTATCGATTCTGCGGCAGCCAACAAAGGAGCAGGGCATGGAGCTTCAACTTCGAAGTGGCCTGCTGACTCCTCAAGCCGCAGTAAGGACTTGATTCAATACTAACTACCTAGGGATATAAGAACCTCTACTACTATCCATGGATATTATCTAGTTACTAAGACCTATTAGACCTTAGCCTAAGGCCAGGATGGTGGCTAGGGTGCCTCAGGCATAGAATAGTAGTATTAACGCCAGGACATCACACGACCAACCCCAAATCAATCACGTCGGAACCCTAACACGTTCGCCGTCATCACATTCACAATAGTGCTGTGTAGGCAAAACATAAAAATTTGTGACAGAATTACGTCAGGCTCGGTGTATGTCATCACGGCAAAATGCGTGCCGGGCTGTGGATCGAAGGATAACGGATGGGCAGCGGGAGACGAAGCCTTTTACGCTGATTGGCGCGATTTGGCTCCCTGGCGGCCGCGATTGTCATGACGAAAAGCTTCTGGATTACGCGAGTTATACGAAACACGACGGTGGCGACAATCGTGCGAAATGCAGGCTTGTGATGTGCACTGAACGGAGTGACTCCGCGACCGGCCGGAGATAATACCATATGATACCGTCGAGAGGGGTTTTTGAGGTCGAAAAAATAGATGATAAGCATTATGGAATGATAATCAGAGCAAGGCAAATGACAGTCCGATCACGTTGCCTTATTCCCCAGCGGTTGAGGGATTTCGAGAAGGGTCTTGCTTCTCGTCATGCAAGCATTCAACGACAGGAATGTGGGACCTTTCTCAGCTTTCTGATTCGCGGCTGCAAGATGGAAATCCTTCCCCGTTGGCCCTTCTGGGGAAGCTCGTGCCAGTTTTCTCTATAAGGTTATCGGCGAATCTGGTGCGCTGTCCATGGATTCAAGGACCTTGAATGTGTCGTCGTCATCCTGGGAGAATTTACACCATCATCTCACCGAGGATGATAGCGATAGCGATGTTGTTGAAGACGTGTCGGTCGTGGACCATCCACATCACGTGCTTCAGCGTTGGCATGAGAAGCGCATCCGCCTCCAACTTCGCTCGACAACGTGTGCATTCTTATCTTCGAATTTAGAGCCGTGACACCTTGACATCGCATGAGTGGCAGGGACTAGTTGGGAAAGGCTCACATTTTGCCCAGCTCCGACAGTATTGGTGGCAGCATCTGCCAAGAATGATGCTGATCATCCCCAGGCTTGGACAGCGGAGACAAAACAGCTCGAGCAAGTTTCGTGGAGAAGGTTTGGAGTTTGGGCAGCGGAACCGGGCTTGGACTCGCCGTGGCGATTATCGAACCATCAGCCGCACGAGCCGATTCATGATGAAGAATGGAAGCGTGCTTTGCGCCAATCATCAAGGAACCGTTTCGAACATCGATCTTAGCTGAGTCGATGAAGACTCTTGAGTAAAGTGATTCTTGCGGTCATTCAGGGCACTACACATATTTAACCTGATCACGGAGCCCACCCCACTGCCCACCTGGTCACTGGGAAATTTCCGCCACATGCGTGGAAATTTGTATCACGACATGGTGTGAGGCGATACTATAGAAATTCAGCGACACGGGCGAAACCACAAGGCGCACCGACTGCCATTTCCGTCATAGCGGCCATGAACCATCAACCGCAGCCGTTGTAGTCGCATCAGGATTATGCATCACATGCGGGACAACAGTTTTTATTGCCTGAGGACACTTTGGATGGGTGTGTCACTGTGGCGGCCCTGGCGGGCGTGCACAAATTACAGAGCAGATGGCGCACACCACGAACGGGAAGACTAAGCTCTGATTTGTCCTCGGTCAAACGCTGAATCGCAACATGCCCAGGTGTTCTTGGACTTTTGACAGACCAAATCGGATGCGGAGAAATCCGGTGTCTCGCCCAGTCTGCCGCTGCTGCCGCGATGATGTTCTCCACTGGCGACTGCACTGCTGCTGTTGGTGAACGCACATGTTCTCCCGCGTTTTCTACCGCACAGGAGTACATGTACATACGGCGCATGCAGGTGCGTTTCCAACCATCCAACCCATTGAATCTCTGCACCACGCCCGTGCCGAGTCGCCCCGTTCTGCTGTCACAAGACAATAATGCCCCTCGCGATACATAACATTATTGTTATTACTAGATACATCCACTGGAGATGCAGCTGGTGAGAATACTGCCAAGCGGCGCAAACGTTCGAAAAGGGCTTGATTGATTCAAAGGTTGTCGCAACGGCGATGATGATATCAGTACGTATTTTCATCCCGATTGACTAGCGAGAAAATTGAGAGACACCGAGGCAAGTTCGCGGATTGGTTCCACCGGGCAAACACGCCAGCACAAGATGGGGTTGGCTTCCCCGCAAAATCCATGTCCCAGCCGGTCGATCGCGCTTTGACCCTCATTTTCAATTTCCTATACAACGCGCTCAGACGTTGCACTCTCCTATCGTTTCTCGCTCAGTGCCTCTCCCGTCTCTCTCTCTCTCTATTCGCGTGGTCGTCGTTGTTGAACGAGACGGCCCTTTCTCTTGAACCTCACCTCCACCAACACCTTCCTTTGGTCTGTCACCTCAGGAATATCGACACCTATCGGGAGCACCATCGTCCATCATGGATGTCGAAAAGCACAACACGCTCGCGCTCTCGGAGAGCCCCAAGGCCCCGAGCAGCAGCAACGATGAGCATCACTTTGCTCTCGAGCATGCCGAGACTTTCCAGACTACCTACGAGCAGCCTTTGCACTCCGGTCTGTACAAAGATGGCGAGCTCATCAAGATGCCTGCCGCCAGTCGCGATCCCAAAGATCCGATGAACCTCCCCGTCTGGCGCAAATTTCTCGGTCTTCTCTGCTTGTCTTTTTTCGGTGCTCTCATCGCATCTGCTGAGCTGATTCTCGGTGCCGCGCTGCCGGTCTTCGCCGTCGAGTATTCGCCTTTATTCCAACCTCCGAACAAGACCCCCGAAGAAGCCGGTCCCGCCCCCTACTTCAAGACGTTGCAAAACGCCGGCACTGGTTTCCCTGCGGGCTCTAACCCTCTCGTCTTCCTGGAGCTTTTGGGAGGCCCGCCGATCTTCGAAATCTATTACTTGGCCACCTTCCCTCTGCTGGTCATTGGTGTTTCCAACTTGTTCTTGGTGCCATTGGCTATCGCTGTTGGTCGTCGCCCAGTCATCATCTTCACTGGTCTCATGGCTATCGCTGGAGCGTCATGGGCCGGTGAAAGTAACTCTCTCGCAACTCACGTTGCGGCGCGTTGTATCCAGGCCGTCGGCGCTGGCTCCGTTGAGAGTCTGATTCCTTTCATCATCCAGGACATTATCCACGTTCACCAGCGTAACACTTGGATCTCTGGCGCTTTTGCTTGCCAGGGCTTGGTCATCATCGCTATTGGTTTCTCCGCTCCCTACATGATTGTCAACCTTTCATGGAGATGGCTTTACCACATTACTGCTATTGCCGCCAGTTTCTTCTTGATCGGTATCATCGCTTTCCTGCCGGAAACCCGCTGGCCGCGTACCCGTGCTGAGATGAGTAAGTCGATTTCCTGATGAATCTTCAGACACGGACTTAGCTGACATTGTTTCCTCTCCCTCGCAGACGGTATTCCTCGTGATGATGCCCACATTCACTATAGCCCGCGCACCTGGAAGACCGACCTATCCATCTGGACCGGCGCCGCATGGAAGAAAGGAGCCATGGCTTTTTTGGATACCATGCAGACATTCTTCTACCCCTCGATTCTGTTCGTCACTCTCTTGAACGGATCCGTCATCGCCGCCGTCTTCGCCGCCGGCTTTACTGCGGCGCCTGCTCTTCTCACTGTCCCATGGAAGTAAGTTGAAAATATCCGTTCTGAACAACTCACTGTGTTTCATGAACATCAGACTGACGGCAGGTTTCATAGCTGGCCTTTCGACCACATTGGTCTCTGTTTGATCCCCGTCCTGATCGCCGCGCTGTTCGTCGGTGTCACTACTGGTCCCGTTGCTGACTGGTTCGCCAACCTCATCGCCAAGAAGCGTGGTGCTCGTATCCCAGAGAACCAGCTTATCAACTTGTTCCTCCCATGGGCTTGCAGTCTCCTCGGTGCGCTGCTCTTCGGAATCTCCGCCCAGCACAAGGAGCAATACCACTGGATCGTCTTCCTGCTCGGACTCGCGTTCATGGCCTTTGGTTTCCTCGGAACCAGCACCATCACCACCGTCTACGTCCTAGAATGCTACCCGCACATCGCCGGTCCTGCGCTCGTCAATGTCGCTTCTTTCCGTTTCATTATGGCCTTCTTCCTCACCCTCTGGGCCTCGGACTGGATCGTCGACCTCGAGTACGAGAAGACTTTCCTCATCTACGTCGGTCTCATCGCCGGATGCGGTCTGTTCATTCCGTTCGTGTACTACTTCGGCCCTTACTTCCGAAGGCGGTTCCCCGCCACTCGCATGGCCGCTCGCAGCCACGACTAGAAGAAGAGCGCGAAAGACTCGATTTCTCTCCGTTCTATACTGTGCACCATAGAACCCCATTTCGCGGATGGGTTCCCTTTTCCTATACGAGAGAGGATCCACCACCTACTGCAAGAGTCGTGTATGAAACGAATTCATCCGTTTATTTTTATTTTCAAAACAGCGGCTGTCATCCCCACGGGGAAGGAGAAAAGAGATATCCTTAGGACGACGGAAGGACAAGAAGTCTTGTATTCCTATCTACCCTATCATCATTCATATTGCTCGAAAAGAAAGCAATCATTACTTCATGTGCCTGACCTGTAGGCTTTTTCTTTCATCGCACATTCATGTGGTTTCCCCCTCGTGAGATGCCTTTCTCTTCCTGCGCCTCCTTCCTCCCATCTTGGTAGATCTGTACACCATAGAAGAGTACCAACAATATTTAATGCTGCTCCTTATCCTGAAACGCCAAGACTACGGCCTACATATAGTTACTCTCTCCAGATTCATGCTTCGTGTACCTGTCGAAGATCCTTGCCTTGTTTGCGGGCCTGCGTATCACAATTTCGTCCGAGTGGAGGCGCGTTTCAGATTTCACGCGGGACGCAATGCTACAATCGCCACGCCTGCCTGCAGGTCAAGGACGTTGATCTGTACGAGCATGGCGCACTCCTGAGAATGCCTGCTCAAATTGGCTCGCTTGAGGATCACTTGCATCAATCATCCATGTCTATCCCAAATTCCATTGCCAAGCCGGCCTGCACGTCGGGTCAACGTCACGAATGCATAGCATTTCCTGAACTTACGCGATTGATACATCTTCCGCGACCTGGGGATCCAAGATGTGATCGATCTGTCGGCTCCGCGACATCGAGGTGATGTGATGGCATACAGGCGTTCCTAAAGAACACCGAGACTCCACAAAGTTTCGCGCCTTAACGCCTTGGAGCGCCGCCGCAATGGACAGCATCTGTGAACGCCGCAATCGCATCGAGCCGCTTGCCTGATCGTTTGTTGACCTTTCTCTGACGACGCTGAACTCCACTATCGCCATTGAGTATTGGCCGGAACGTCGCGAAGATGCGCCGTGAGAACTTCATATTCAAGGAGCGTCCAACATGCCAAGCCAGTTGAACATTGCGACCGCCAGTAACAACTCGATGCGCAGGCGTAAAATCATCTAAAATCATCGTGTACCCGAAAACAGCCACAGCCGGCACACTAAAAAGGATTGTCGATGTGTTGCCAGTCCCACAATAAATCCAAGATCAGCAAAAAGAAGACCATGGATGGGTTGAAGGAGTGTCACAACCTGATTTCCGCGGGTCGCAAACTGGGAACGCTGCCGGCGATGACACAAGCCCAGGCATCAATCCAATCACCACCAAACATCGAAATCCCGGTTTTGCACATTTCACAGGGAACTGAGCTTCACTTGTCGAAATGGAGTTCAAAGCAGGGTCCTCGTCATACCGCCGCCGCTATGCTATATTGCTCTGTACTCTGCACCTTTGACCCTTGATCTGCTCTTCTTTCATCACATCAACGACAATCATTCTCACAACACGCTCCTACTCAAAAGGACTTTCTAACCACCCAGCTTGAGTGAAATCAACATCTGCCCTCACAATCATCATGTCCACACACGAAAACAACCCGGCCAACTTTGCCAACCTTCCCAAGGAAGAAGTTCGAGCTATTGCCTCCAAGGGAGGCAGGGCTTCTCACGGTGGTCACGGACATCAGGCCGACAACGATGACAGCAAGGTATGGCAGAGCTGCAGAGCCAAAGAATTTCACATCATCATCATAACGCATGAGACGCTGACGTGCATCACTCACAAGTCATCCTCCAACGAGCGTCACGATACTCCAGGTTCACACCTGCCCGACCGCAATCCTGACGGCACTTTCAAGAAATCCGTATCCACTTCAGACGATTCTCATCCCGAAGGCCGTAACCCTGATGGCACCTTCACCAAAGGCTCCGAAGCAGCTGCCGAAGCGGGTCACAAAGGCGGCCTGAACAGTCACAAACACGATGCCTCCAAGAGTGTCGATGGCGCACAAGACGAGAGTGGCGAATCCTCTCACCCGCCTGGTCGGAACCCCGACGGGACATTCATCAAGGGCTCTCAAGCTGCTGCTGAAGCCGGACACAAAGGCGGTCAGCACAGCCACAAGAACGACGATTCCAAGGTCGAACATTCCAAGCAGCACGATGAGTCTGCTCATCTCCCTGGTCGCAACCCCGACGGTACCTTTACAAAGGGCTCTGAAGCTGCTTCTGAAGCTGGCCACAAGGGCGGCCTAAACAGCCACAAGCACGATGATGCCAAGAAGAACGAGGAGTCTGAAGGCTCATCTCACCTCCCTGGTCGCAACCCTGACGGGACCTTCACTAAGGGTTCCCAGGCTGCTGCTGAAGCTGGCCACAAGGGTGGACAACACTGAAACTGATGAATGAAATTAATGAGACATGATGCGATGAATGTACGACAAGGCACTTTGAGATTGCTCAGATGTATGATATGATTTGTGTTTTGAGGAAGAATACCGGGGCCTGTCTTCGATGTGGGCCGCTGCCGCCGCAACATAGCTCCAGCGAAAAGAGATGATTGAATTATCACTGAGAATACGTCAAGCTCCACGCCCAGGCGTGTTTTTGTGATAAACGAAATCCGCTTTGCTTAGGCTTTTGTCTTCCGAGTGACCTGTGGTTAGCTACTGATATTTTTGACCTGCCGATTCAACTCGTTGCCCCACCCTGACCAATGACTTGCTACTCTATCATACGATACATTCGAGTGAATGAGATTTTATTATATCTTACAGATAAGAAAATCGCTTCTCGTTGTCTCATGTCAACATATGACAAGTCGGTCATTGGAAGCAAGCGGTAGGCATGCTTGCGGTGCGATCATGAGATGGATGAAGTGGACGCTCACGTATGGTAGAATTTGGCGACATATGCTGCAACAAGGTTTGCATTTCTTGCATCTCATATTCACACCTCCCGACATCTCTCCTCAACTGACGTCGTCGCATCCTCCTGCTTCACCAGATCCCCAAACCTCGCCTCCACCCACGCCACATCATTCGCATGCACAGTTCCCGGCGCAGGATACATCCACCGGCCTTCGCCCTTCGACCACTTCCTCGCCGGCACATACGCATCCAGAGAGTAATAGACATCCCTCGAGAAGGGGAACTCGAAACTCGCCGGACCCTCCCTCCCCAGAAACACATCCGTGCCACCCCTGACCTCCTCATCGGTGATCCCAAACGCCTTCCACGGCGTCAACGCAGGCCGGGTCTCGACCTTCGCGTCTTCGCTCCGCTTCACCTTGACCTTCCTCGTCAACGCCACCGCCACAACCTCCAAATACCGCTGCAGAACCGCCGCATACATCAATCCTTCGCGTCCGTACCTCCGACCCAGAACGACCCGTCGCACGACTTCCCGGTGGGTGTCCAGCAATCGCTCGTTCCATTCCGGCCGCTGACCCCTTCCGATCACCGGGAGCGGCTCCCGACGATGTAGCCTCGTCTTGGCGAAAAAGGTATAGTCGAGGATCATACAGAGGTTGTTCCAGGCCAGGAGACAGCTCACACAGGAGCAAATCTCCGCGGGGTCCGGAGGAGGGATATGCTGGGTGTACGGCGCCTTGTGGATGATCAGTTTCTCTTGGTAGGCTGGGTGGCGGAGGATGTGGGCGGCGCGAGGCGAGATGGTCTCGTCGGAGAGCGGAAAGGGAAGCCAGAAGGAGCGCGAGAGGTGGGCGTAGCGGGTCGAGAGAAGCGTGCGGGTGAAAGACGCGGAGTGGAGGGTCAGGAAGGATCGCAGGGAGCGCGAGACGAGTTGCAGGTTGAGGAGGTCGGTCGGGAGGAGGTTGAGAATGATCTGGGAAAGCAGTTCGGGAGGCAGATCGAGGATGGTGGTCGGTTTTGAATTGTGGCTCCCAGGCGACGATGCATCGGAGAGTGTTGATTTCTTTGATCTTCTCTGACTCTTTCTCTGGAGTCGCTCCGTCTTCTTGGACCGTAGGGTGAGTTTGGCCGTAGTGTCGATCAGAGGTTCCTCAAAGTCGTCACTGCTGGTTATGTTCGATACTGGAGGTCCTTTCTTGTGAAGTCTGCGGACTGATGTGATCGTGATCTCGTCTTCTGCTGTGCGGCTTGAATGGTTCGAGGTGTTGTCAGCCTGCACGCCGAGAGGCTCGTCGGACGATATGACACTCATTTTCAACAGTACGTTCGTTCTGTTCATCGATTTCTGATGTCCTATATTTTCAAAGCTTGACTAGAGTGTTTTTCTGAAGTTTCAGGCAATAAAAGCGCAGCGCAGAAATCATCTATTCTTGCGAAGTCCGGACATTTTGCTCAGGTGGCGATCACAACCAGACGCCAGTGACGCAAGATTTCCCGCGCATGAACACCTGCGCTTCGGAGACGAATTTCTATAAGATTGCTTGATTACAGCCGATAAACCTTTGCCCAGTCACCTCAAAATTGAAGTTGAGTTAAAAAAGAGCGCATCATCAATGAACCAGGCATCACTCGCGAGTTGAGACAAGCTAGGCCGAATTACCGAGAATTGTTTTCGTATGCATTCATCAGAAGTCATTAAAGCAACGGATCTGAGGGAAACTATGCACATTGCTTCGAATTTGCACACATGAGACGGGTCAATGTAGGTGCGAATTTTATCCCATCAAGCTTCCGGATCCTCCGCGTCCTCCACTTCCACCGCCTTGGCTTTGCCCTTTCCCGTACTACTGGGATGTGAATTACTCGGAGCAGCATCTTTGGGGAAGGACCAAGTCTTTGTCTCTTCTTCGCTGTCATCGTCCTCATCCTCATCCTCATCCTCACCGTCTTCTTCTTCTACTTCATCGTCCTCGTCCTCATCCTCGTCATGAGTGCCCTTCCCCTGAGCTGGAGGATGTTGGGCAGTAGACTGTCGAGTTTGCGGTATTGACGAGGCCGTCCCTGGAGGTGATATTGCCGGTGATGTCGATGATAGTGTCGATGTGGGATGAGATGCAGCCGTGCTGTCGGAAGGGTGAGGCCTTGCTTGTGGCAGAGGTATTGTTGGTGTTGGCGTGAGGATCGTTTGGGGATGGCGTGGCGCTGCTTGTGGCAGCGTAGGTAGAAATAGTGGGGAGCCATGCTCATCTGTGGGACCCTGCGATGATGATGATGTCGCCGTATCACGTGCTGTGCTCGAGATTGTGCTTTGATTTGCTGGGGTTGTGGTCGTCGTCGTAGGTGGTAGCACTGATGATGCATCTTGAGAATCCAGCGGCTGGGCCGAGCTCGAGGTCGTTGCCGCAGCGTTTGCATTGATTGCTTGGGCGCCGCCATTTCCTTCTCCATGCCCGACGGGGAACAATGGTGTCAACGTCCAGCCTTCAGGCAGCACCAGTCCCGCTGGCAGTCCTTCATGTCCGTTGCTCATCGTCTGATTGGCACCGCCTGAGCCAGCTACAAGCGATGGAGTGGGTAACGTAGATCTAGGGATCGCATTACCCGAGGCAGGAATGGTTGGAACTCTGGGCCCGCCACCGTTCGACTCGTCGTGTTGATCACGCAATTGCGCAAGTTCATCGTACAGTGCTGCAATCCGCGAAAGCTGTAACTGTTCGAGTCGGATGTTCTGCGCCTCTTGCATGATAAATTGTTCGACAGAATTGAACTGTTCGGCTCGGGATGGAGCTCCAGCAGTTCGGTTACGACTTGTCAGGAATGGCGGCGGTATTGCTTGACTATTATGCAGTGGCGAGAGACCGAGAGGAAGCGTAGGTTGTGATAGATGCTGTCCACCACGCTGTTGTTGTGGCAGATGTGGCGGAGGTGGTGCTGCTGCTGCACCAAGAGCTGCGACCGCTTCGGCCTGCCTGAGATCGTGAGGTGGTGCTGCGGCAGGTGCAGCAGGACGACCGGCGGGATTTTGCAACTGGTTCATCAAGTTCTGGACTTGCTCCTGTGGCCCGTTGAGAAATCCTATCCTCAAAGGGCCGAGATTGAACATACGTGCGACACCACCCTGAGCTCGTCGAGCCGGCGCATCGCGTCCCGGTTGCTGATTTGCAGCTGGCTGTCCTTGTTGCCCTTGATTTGCTGCTCCGGCATCGTTCGCGCCAGCTCCAGGCCGTGCTGCCCCACCGTTTGCCGAAGAAGCTTCGGTAGATACGACGGGTCTGCGACATGTTGGGCAGACTTGCTGGCGCTCCAACCATGCTTTCAGGCAGCGCAAGTGTAAGATATGTCCACATGGCAGTTTCTTAGCACGCAGACCTTCATCTCGGCGCCGAGGTGGTGCGGCAGCAGCGTTTCCAAGAGCGTGTTGATCAGCGCCAGGTGCTGCGGGCTGCTCCCAAGCAAGCATTGTTTCGCGACAAATGATGCAGACGTCACCCTGAATCTCCTGCGAGGTAGCATCGGGATAGCGTGTGTTCATGTGCGATGTCGCGCGGCGGTATGCGACATAATCGGCAACGCGCTTGCTGAAAGCCGTGAATGTCATGTAGACATCGCGCATGATGTGCATAGGTAAGCCATTGAAAGTGACGCTGACGACGAAGAAGAACAGGTAGATGAGCAGCTTGACAAAGTCTGTGATGACCTCCAACGCGAAGAGATATCTGCGCTTCTCCTCCCAGCCGGGCACATCAACTTCATTCTCATCCACCTCGATGGGTTCCTCGTCTTCTCCAGCAGCCGGAGTGGCATTGCTTTCACCCTCCGCCGCCTCCGCTTGCCTCGCAGCTGCTCTTTCTTCGCGAATCTCCTGTTTCCTTGCCTCGATTGCCACCACAGTCTGCTGTTGCTGAATTTGCGACTCGGCCACGCTGAGTAGATAGCGGCAAAGCGTGAACAGCGAGAAGATGCTCAAAATCGCAAACTCGAATGTGAAGATGACCATCATTCCCGGTCTCGGGTCGTGTATCACTGTCTTACAGCAATACCTGAACATTGCCAGATCGAACCCAACGCTGACCAGTAAGCTTGTCGCCAGCCGAGCATGAAACCATCGTGGATCTGCGGGGGGTTGTTGTTCCAGAATATCCACACGACCTTCCGCGATCCAACCCCAAACTTTCCCGGCCAGAAGGAGCACGAACATCGTGAGGAGCCACCCACCGACATCCTCTCGGAAGCTCGGCATTGCGAGCAAAGTGTCCAGTACCGCATACCATGCTTTTTCACTGAGTTGCTCAATCTCGATGGGTCGTAGAGGTCCGTAAAGAAGTCGCTGCAGCCCGTAGAGTGCCCAACAAGCGGTGACGAGGAGGAGATTTGTCAGGATGAGCATGCATGCATTTGATTGTGAGAGATAGACTGTTGCGCTGTAAAAATTGGGCCGCTGATGTGCTGCTTTTAGCAGGCAAGCTGCTGCCGCCGCTGCTGAAGCGCCGGCATAATAGGCAAGTCGCCGAGCCATGATCGGCAATTGGTGACGAGAAGAAGTCGAATGTACTGTCCAAACGATGCTTTATCGTTGAATCGTAGGTATCGTGGTCGTTCGGAGAATGCCGTTGCAAGTCATGTCCATGACCGTCAGCGAAGAGGTCGGGAAAGTGATGGAGCGAGAGAGAGTGTGTCGCAACGGGTATGGACAAATCCAGTGGTGGAATCTTGAGAATGTCTCTTCCTCAATAGACAATTGTTCTTGACATGTGTTGTGCATAGGTTGATGGATTCGCACGTGCTATTGAACTTGCGTTGTCAAGAGCCGAGAAATGGAACGCCAGAGGACAGCTTACCAACGGTACACGATGATCGCCCTACGCACACGATCCAAAGGAAAGTGTCGCGGGCTTTGGGCCATTACGTCATCCAAGTGGTGGGATGAAACCCTTCCCTTGACCAACTTCATCTTCTTTCCCATCTCGAACAATTGCGGTGATTCGCAAACTCATGTCTCCACCAACTGACAATAAATAATCCAAATGACGTTTGAAGTCTGCAAGTTGTGTATAAAACGACGAGACCAGCGTCGATGCCTGTTTTGAGACCCGCATGGCGTGAGCCCGTGGTAAATTGTACAGCAACCTTGGAACATTTTCGTCACAGGAAGAAACGGCGTAACGTTCGAGACGGTAAGGACAGTGTGATTCTTCTAATCAATGAAAAATATCTATCAAGTCAACGCGCCTCTCTTTGAAAACGACCTCTCAACTCTATCCACGTGTAGCGACGACTTGAATGTTTAAGACTTTATCACATCGCCAAACAATACTGTCATGACATTCAGAACAGCGCCAGGACCAGAGGGATACCAATGAAGGCCAAGCTTGCAGCCACCTTGACGCCATCGTTCGGCATTGACATGACACCATCACTAGGCTTGGTGTATGATGGCTTGTGCGAGGGAGAAGCAGCCGTGGTGGTGATAGACTGGTACGGCTTATTTGGAACACTTGATTGGCTGGATGTGACAGAGGCCATCGGTTGTGATGTCGTCTCAGAGCTCTTCTCTTCAGGAACTGTGGCACCCCATCCCCAAGGACCCGTGGTCGGAGCAGAGCTCGTGAAGATAGTTGTGACGGGAGGACTGGAGTCATCGTCGGAAGGGATGGTCACAGTCTCGACCCAGGTGGTGCAGACGGTGCACGCTTCAGGAGAGATAGGGACCGGCGGAGAGGAGACCGGTGTGCTGACAGAGGTCGTGACCGGTGGCGGAGATGGTGGGAGACCATAAGTTGAAGGAGGCGAAGGAGTTGTCATCGGCGGTGATGGTTCAGCCCCAGTGGTAGTGGGCGATGGAGGAGGAGGAGGTGGTGAGGAAGAAATCGTAGTAGCTGGAGGCAGGCAGTACGATGGTATGGTGGTGACCGTGACGGTGACCTCAGTCGCACAATTTGCAACAGCTATTTGAATCAGAGACCGACCAATACTGATGGGACTGAATCTGACTGCGGCTTACCTTCGCTGCGGCGCACCACTGGCTCGATTGGAATGGGTTCGGCGTGAACAGACATGGCTTTGGTCGGCTGTCAGCAACCGACGTACGACGGAGGGGGATCGGAAACCAACAAAGAGCAACGACAGCGAAGCTGACGGCGGTGGATCGAGACATGATTGATGACTGGATAAATACTTTTGCTGGAATGTTGCGTTGATGGAAGGCTGCCGAAGCTGATGAGAATGGTATGTATGCTTGCAAAAATGTCATGGGAGAGAAGATGGAACAGAAGCGAAGAAGAATCAGATTCCACATCAAGTCATGAAGTCGCTTCATGGTTGTCATGTCGACATCGAGCCGGCAGTCTCTCCTACAGCCATCTCCACTCCTGCCAATTGCGATGTGAAGATTGTCAAAATTGGAAGCACCGCCTCGTTCCTGGCGACGATGATCTTGGCAGGTTTAGCCTGACTGCGGCTCCGTTTCGAGCTTGCCCAAGTGACTGCCCATCATGAGTGGCAATGTCCACAATTAATTTTCGCGAGAACCAATGCGAGAGTGTCAAACCGCGAAATTGTTGGGCCATACCATACATGTCCACCTTCCACCACAACCTTGGAAGTGTTGCGAAAAACTTACTGATCGGGAAAAGAGGAAATCAAAGGCTGTTTCTACCTCAGAAGCAGATATGGCGGTGCTCGGGCACTGATAGTCCTCTGCTCCTCTTTGGAAAGGCATCATGAACATCTGAAATACCGCCTGATGTCGGACCTGCGAGGACTTTTGAGAATCATGTGTATCATACACTGATTCAGCGTGTGGGATTGTCGGGGTATAGATGAATGCAGGTGTTCATTTTGGACATATCAAGGAACATGGAGGCAAGTGCGAAGTCTCCAGCTGCTTCTAGTGGCGGTTTGGTCGTGACCGGAGATGCCGATGAGGATGGTGAAAGGATTCCGAAGTGCTGCGGCTTGCGAAGAAGACTCGTTCCTCACCTCTGCCTGCAATTTAGTGATTAACAGGTGGTGCTCGCACCTTCCCTCCTGCAAACTCCCTCCTGCAAACTCCCTCCTGCAGACTCCTGCAAACTCCTGCCAAGAGACGGAAATGTTGAGGTTGCCCCTCACGGCACGCTTTCTTCCATATCTTCCCTTCATCTCGCTGAGCCTTTTCCGTTAATCACTCTCTTCATGATCATCACAACATCAACCTTCATTCAGCTTCCTCACACATTCGTCGCCCTTCGTTGACATTTTCACAAGTCTCATCACTTGGCCCTCATTTTCAGAGACCCTTACATCGACTACTTTCGTTCAGATATCGTCTCCCTCCAGATCAACCGATTTGTTGTCAAGATGCACTTCAAGCAAGTCATCACAGCCGGCATGGCCATGATTGCTCTCTCCCAAGCGGCCAATCCCCGTGCGGATGGCTTACCTCCAGCGGTGGCAGCCCGTAAGCTCACCTCTCACCTGCGCAGATGACAATCGTCACAAGCTGATATGATCTCAGGCCAAGCGCCTGGTCAATACGTTCCGGCCATCACCACCATTGTCGTTATTGACTACTTCCCCGCTGTGTCCTTCTCCACCGTCTATGACACCAGCTACTACACCGTCTTCCGTTGCCCGGAGAGCGTCACCAATTGTCCCCTCAGATCTGCGGCCCCTTCACTAGTCACCTCCGTTGTGGCAGTATCCACCACGATCTGTCCCCTCACCTTGACTTCCATTGGCACGTCCACCGTACCAGGCTCGTCTCTGGTTCCAAGTTCGGCTACTCCAGGGGCTTCAAGCCCGACCACTTCGACTGCCCTACAGACGGTGACGAACAACTGGTCCAGCACTGTGACCATCTCATCCGTGCCAGCCTTCACCACCGTTCCGGTGACCACGCCTGAGCTGTCGAGCTATGCACCACCTACTCCCACTCCATACACTCCGCCAAGCAGCTCAGCGGCTCCACCGTCGTCAACACAACTGGCGCCGACAAGCACTGCAGTGCCGTCGAGCTCCTCTGCTGAAGTTGGGACATCAAGCGCTCCAGTCCCATACTCGACGACATCTTCCGTGGTTGCGCCGACAACATCGTCAAATGCGGCTCCTACAACCTCGTCACCAGCCATCTCCGCGACTTCGTCTGCAGCCCCGACGACGACATCTTCCTCGCCTGCAACTGTTTCCTCGCCATCCGCTTATGGTTCCTCCTCGACTGGGAGCGTAGTAAGCTCTTCCGCACCTTTAACAAGCTCCTCTCAGACCCCCGGGACTACAAGCAGTGCGGCGGCAACTGGTACGACCTCCAGCGAAGTCAGCACATCTGTGCCCGACTCTACGTCGTCTTCTGCACCCACGTCCAGCGTCACTGGCACCGCATCAGTCAGCGCTCCAGTTTCAACGTCGAGCGTGGCAAGCGTCAGACCAAGCGCAAACATCACGACCACCGAGATCACTTCGACAAGCACGACTACGTCACAAGTGACTGTGATCATCAGCTCCTCATCTGTGTCAAGTGCTGTTGCAACTGTGAGAGCTGACTGCAATATTATCTTTTGATACCAGCTGACTTTGACGTAGAACGCGACTCAAACCACCAGCGAGATCATAGTTGGCCCATCTGGCTACACTGTCGTCCCGACTACCTCAGCTCCCGCTGCAAATAACACATCATCACCTCCGACCACCACTGAGATCATAGTTGGCCCATCTGGCTACACGTTCTTCCCGACTACTTCGGTTCCCCCTGCTTACGGCACATCATCGACAGAGGGCAGTCCAGTCACTGCATCTTCATCCGGTCCTGGTGGATATGGCAGCCCCTCCGTATCCGCAACCTCTGCACCTGTCGGTTACGGAACTGTGTCAAATCCGGTCAACCCAAGCCTCACAACACCTGTCGTGCCATCCAGCTATGGTACTGGTACCCTTCCATCAGGGACAAGCAATGGTACCGTCGTTCTCCAGACGCCCAGCATTGTCCCTGCCACCGGCGATGCCTCTTCCTTCGCGATGCGCGGTACAACTACGGCGTACATTGTCAGCATCGTTGTGGCTGCCATTTTCATGGTATAAAGCCGCCTTTTCGACTGCTTCCGTCATGGCTACGGGCTTTCTGGGGTTCTTTGCCTTGTTTACGCATGCTTATTGATGATTCATTTGTTCAATTGATGCATTTCGCATCAACATGGGACTGACCATCGAGTGTCATACCATGACGGTCTATTTGTATGCTTAAGAAACTGTATGGCGTGATGCCATGCCACTTAGCTAGCATATCACGCCTGTCGTGAATCGTACAAAGATCATCACCGTCGTCCTTTTCTCCTTTCACCTTGCATTGTACTTTAGCTATGTATTTGACTTGTGACTCTACACGGAATGTCTATCGATCAATGGCAGGGAATCTTCCTGCAGGTGGTGTGAACACTGCTTGACCCCACGATCAATGCTATGTCCTGACGTTCGGAATTTCTTTGCATTCACTTTTCCGCTGTCGATGTGAAGTTTTTCGCGCCATTGATGAGATCTTCGCCAGAACAAAGCGCACAGGACTTCATTGACTTTACAGTACAACACCCAAAGCTTGTACGAACCCCGCCATGAAGCTCCCCAGGTGCTGAGCTGCGTTACACAGCAGCCGCTCACACCTCGAGAGGATGCGCTGGTCATTTCGTGACGTTGAGTGGCGCGTCGAGGTTATCGTTCGATCCCTTGCGGGACATCAATCAGCTGCGCCTCCGAATACCTCCGGACCATACCGCAACCGAGTCGTTACGCAAGACTCTTAGACTGACAGGATCATGTTAAGCGCATGATTGACCTTCTGCGTCCTCGTTCGAATCATTTTCATAAAACTGACGTTCCGAATATCGATCTGAAGGGTATCTGAAGAATGTCTATCAATATTTTGGCCGCCACGGCGACCGATTTACAAATCCTCCTTTCTCAAGGTACAATCACGAGCAGGGTATTGGTCGACCTATACTTGCAGCAGATATCGCAGTACAACGGGTACTTGAATGCTGTCATTGCGACCGCTCCGACGGAGACGCTCCATTATTGGGCAGACGAATTGGACCAAGAGCGGGCAAATGGCGCTTTGAGAGGGCCGCTACATGGTATTCCAATCTTGTTGAAGGCATGTCTTGTCTCTTTGAGGACACACGCGCCAGACGTCTTATTGACGAGCGCTTCTGAAAGGACAATATCGCGACTGGACCTGATCTGGCACTACCGACGACGTGTGGTAGTCTTGCGCTTGTTGACTCGAGAGCGAGATACAGCGCTACCATCGTTGGTAAGGTACGCATGCGATTCTTGGTTTGACTTTGTGTGTGATCGTTAACGCGAAATTGCAGCTCGTGAACGCCGGTGCTATCATTCTCGGGAAAGCCAATCTGTCGGTGAGTCGGCCCTTGACGCATGTTGCATACTAGTAGCTTAAGAGCTGACCAGTCGCAGGAATGGGCATGGTACAGGTATTGTATGCTGCCGTCTACTCCCGAGATTCCAGCTAATCCGATCGAGGTCCGATCTGGCCAACTGCGGCTGGTCTGCTGTGGGTGGTCAAACACAATCCCCATATGTGCGAGGGGCCTTTCGCGATGATGACTCTTGTGGCGGCCATAGCGTATGTGCCCTCATTCTGAAATCGATGTTCTGGCCTCATCCAATCCTAGAATCCTGGAGGCTTATCGTCAGGCTCAGCAGCGGCTGTTGCAGCCGGATTCTGCCCCATCGCGATCGGCACCGAGACGATGGGATCGCTCGTGATGCCGAGCCAGCGAGCTGCTCTCTACACAATCAAGCCGACTCTGAAGATTGTGTCACAGGCTGGCATCATCCCTATTTCGGACGAAGCGGACATGGCAGGCCCGATGGCAAAATTTGTGGCGGATCTTGCAAACCTCATGGATGTGCTTGTGGAACCCTCCAAGACGGACATTCCTCCGAATGGTTACATATCTGCCGTGACTGGATCCTGGGACGGCATCAAAGTTGGGGTGGTCGATCCCGAGAAATGGCTCTTTGGCCATGACACGCTCAAATTTGAGCAATCTGCGCATGATCAAATGATACGCGAGTGGAGCGCCGCCTACGAGAAGCTTGAAGAACATGCGCAGGTTGTGAAGCACGTCGAACTGATCTCTGTTGATGAATCAACGCAGTTCGGAAAGGCGAACATCTCGAAGGCGTTTGGTGAGTAAACAAATACCCGCTGAAAGGAGGATGGCAATGCTGACTGCATCATATACCATAAATTCAAACATGTCTTGGAAAAATACCTCTCCACTGTGGACAATTGCAAGATTAAGACTCTCGATGACCTGATCGAGTTCAACGAGCAACATGCAGAGCTCGAACTTCCCGCAGGTAAGCCGTCCAAAGTATCAACAATTCGAGCTTGAGACTCACGGCATACCAGGCGCCAACAACCAGAACGGCTTACTCCGAGCCCGAGACTCTAAGATGAGCGACGAGGAATACCACCGCATCATCGCCTCCGCCCGGGAGACCTGCGGCAAAAACGGCATCGACAAAACCCTCGACGACAACGCCATCGATCTCATCATCGGCCCGGGAGATGGACCTATGTTCTGCATCGCCGGCGCCGCAGGTCAGTCCGCTCCCCCTCTCCGTCTATAATATTCAAAAGGTGGAGGCGGGTCTCGCTAACATGGCAGCGACCAAATTAACGGCTATCCGATCGCAACGCTACCGGTCGGCTACCTCGATTTCAACGGAAGACCTTTCGGATTCCAAGTCATGGCCAGAGCCCACCAGGACGCACTTCTAATTCGAGTCCAAAGTGCATGGGAAGCGACGTTTCCGGAACGTCGGCCACCACCACTGTCTACGGATTTATGGATGTGAAAGTTTTCTTGTTTTAAGGTGGTTTTATTCCAGTCTTCCGCGCGAGCTCGGTGCGGGCGAAGAGGTAAATCGTCGTCGCCGTCGTCGCGACAATTCGCTTTCCGGTGAGATGCGCATCCCGCGAGCGGCGCGCTTTCATGCAGTCGGTGCGAAGGCACCACATCACATTCAAATGAATAAAAGCGGTGGAGATGGAAGTCCTGAGATTGAATTCGTTCGACGATCGTGATAAGTATATATTACAGAATAAAGGAGCAGAGGGGAATTGTTTCCAAAGTGGCACAAAAATATGTGTGTGCGTTTCGCTTCCTTTTCGCCCTTCGGCTTTTGAATCCATTCGCAGACCCCATAGAATTTCGCCCACCGGAGTGGAAAGAAGAAATCGCTCGCCGGGTTCTCAGGATATTCGACAGCCCAAAATAATTAAAAAGAGACAAAGAAATAACCAGATAACAACAAATCGTAAATTGCAAACCCCGCCGCTGCCGCTGCCGGACAAATGGCGCGCGGGAGAAAAAAAAACGCCCCTCCTTGAGAAACGCCAGAAAGCTGCCGCGAATATTCCCTTGTGTGTATGTGTGCTTTCTCCGCTCAAGCTCGTCGAATGCAAGAAATGAAACGGCCGTGAAAAAGAGCTAGGAGAGGAAATGCTTTCCCAACCGGTGAAACAAGGACAGCAGATTAATTGCGTCGTGAAACATGCCAAATGTAAGTTGAATCGAACCCATTTTCAAGTGGAAGGCTGGCCGAAGTCGACGAAGTCTTCCGGGTTCCAGCTCGGCTCGTTGTTCAGGCCGGGCGTGTTCCAGCCGCTGTCACCTTGCGTCGGTCCTCCTAGTGAGTACATGCCCGATTGAGGACCGACCATGGCGTCGTCGCCAAAATTATCGAAGCTGCAACCGGGGTTGAAGAAGCCACTGTTGTTGTTGTAGTCGAGTGATGACTCGGGAAAGGTTGAGGATGGCATGTTGGTGGATGCGGCGGTGAAGCTGGAATCTAGGTTTGAGAGGGCGCTGGGTGAGATGGTTTGGTTCAGGCCGGTGAGCGGAGTGTGGAGGTGATTTTGGAATTGCGATTGCTGGTTGGGATGGTAGAAGCTGTGAGGGGAGTACATCATGCCCGGAGCGGACTTCATGTCGTGGAAGCTGGTGTTGCGGCCGTTGCCGACTGCTCGCATGCCGTTGGGGTTATATGTGTAGGCACCCGTCGGCGAGGTAGCGGACTTCATCATTGACGAGAAGTTGTTGTTCATGGGAAAGCCCATGCCAAGGATCTGCTGAGTCTCAGTAGGCAATTGCAATGTGAGAGGATCGCTGTTGTTGTTATTCGTGAATCGCTGCATGGCTGTGATGGGCTTTCCAGCAGTCATGAGCGGTGAACCAGCAGAAGAACTCTGGCCACGTGTGTATGCTGAAGCTGAATGGGGTGGCGTTGGTACCTGCTGAGGTGAATCGTGGCTTGCTCCGGGTGTTGTAGATGGAATAAGACTGTGCGGTGTTGATGGATGTGAGGCCGTGGGTGACTTCACTGACGCGGAATCCTTCGCAGACAATGGCATCGTTGATCGTCGCTTGTCAAGCTGTAGGGTGAAGTTGGGGTTTTGGGGAAAGTACGCGGGCATATGCTGTTGAGAGTTGTTCTGACCAGAGGAGGAAAGCATGGGGCGATCATGCTGTGGGAATTGTTGCGGCTGCTGTTGCATCTGCCATGATTGTTGGTTGCCGAATGCGTCAGGCATGTTTGGTGAAGACATCATCATGTTCGATTGAATCATCGGATTCATGAAGCCGTTGGCGGCATTCGCCTCGGCGTTGGCAGTCGCATTAGCATTTTGGTATTGCTGATTTCGTAGCAGCGCTTGGCTCAAGGCTTCACGCATGCCGAGCTGCATTGCGAGCGAGCTCTGGAAACGTTCACCAAGAGGACCAGTGATACCGTGCAAGGCGTTGAGCCGCCGTAATTGTGAAGGCATGTCATTGTCCTCTTCTTCGTACATCTCCTCATTCATAACATCTTCCTCTCGGACGCGCAGTGATCGGCCTGTGCGGCGTTTGTGGATCTCAGAAGCTCGTCGTGCGGACTCGACTCGGGCCTCGAGGCTGCGGTCGCTTCTTCGTGAGGCGGCGATGTATGCTCTGTACGGTTGACAAGTCAGAAGAGAGAACGCAAAGACAAGCCAAATCGGGAAACGAACCTTTCCTGGTTCTCTTCATGTGAACGTTCAGTCTTGACTGGTTTGATGATGGGCATGGATCGAACGGGCGGCATGCTGAATATGTGGAGTGCTGCGGGGAGCAGCGGGATTGGAAGCTGGAATTCTGGTCAGCGAAATTCGGTACAGCGTGTGCGCGGGACGGTTGAAGCCGGACCATTACGGGTCGATTGTTTGCGGTACAACCGTTTGCCCTGCGTGGAGGGAAGAGCAAAGAAGCGGACCTCGGACCAGCGTGACTTACGTGAAGGTGTTTGTATGCCGCGAAGGGCTAGAGAGAGCGACTGATATCGCTCGCCTCCGTGGATGAATGTTGGTCACAAGGATGTGATGTCCACAGCTAGCCAAGTCGGCAGGGTGTGCGTATTGCCTGATGTGGATGTGTGGAATTCTGTGTCAAGCGCTCCAAAAGGTATCGACGATGGCGCGGTGGTAAGCGTTTCGAAGGTTGAGTACTGTAACGACGTGCGTGGAAGGTCGGAACAGAGAGGATGAGTCAGGTAATTCGACCGCAGTAGGTGCACCGGAGCCGTATCGACGTGAGATCGCTGAGTAGGCGATTGTCCAAGATGTCGATGGTGGAGAGGTAGTGTTGTCCACGTGTGAGGAGTGTAGACCAGTAAGATGGTTTGTTGTGTAGTGAAGGCAAGTCAAAATGAAAATGGACAGAGTGCGGAGGTGATAGAGGTGGCAGTAGTAGTAATAATTGTATTGCTGAGGGAGGAGGAGGTGGAGGAGCAGCTGGTACGATTCGACGCAATAGTGGTGTGGTTCTGGTGGGAACGCGTGTGGTGAGGGTGGTGCGTATATCGGCAGTTCCCAAAGGCGTGCGCGGTGCGGGCGGTGATAGTGTGTGGTGTCAGCTCCGGTGGCATCCACAAAGCGTGTGAGAGCGTCGACGGATGTGAGGGCGCGAAAGTGAGATACAGGATTAGCGTGCAAGATCTGAACGAGCGCGGTGATGGAGGGGGAGCGCCCCGGTTAGCTGGGCGATGCGATCGGAGCTTGCAGACAATCCGCCCGATTCCGCCAGGCCACCGGCGGAATGTTCAATCGAGCCACACCCACAAACAACGGACGGTGACAACCCTGTACGTACTGGGTACTTCTCCCCATGGAGCCTTTTTAGTTATGTTCACTCGCTCGTCACTCACAGCAACAGGCGCGTGCTGCAAGCTACATACATTACCACGATTACATACCTGTCTTCTCTTGACAGTCGTCCATCTATCGCGATCGGCGAACAGTGCATAATCCTCATCAATGCGACGACCATCGTAGATAAAACTTCGGACGAGCCATCCAGTCCTCAAGACGCACTCCCTATAGCACACCTATCTCTGCAGGCCCGAGAACCCGCGGTGGGGAAAACATTCAACAACCCACCGGGCGTCGCAAACAACCCGCTCCACCGCCAGGACCCTCAACGGGATTCCCTTTGTCGCCGTTGCCGTGTAGGCTCGGTTGGCCGATGCTGCAGTCCGGAAGGAGGCGCCCGTGCCAGTGTCTGAGAAGGCGTATAGTGATACAGCTTTCTCATGCACACTCCACCATCGTCTATGTTGTCGCAATGCCATGAGAGCTGTACGAGGAGGATGCCAAATCCAGGAAGTGAGACCCGGCGTTGCGTCTCGCAAGACAGCCAGTGTGCTGCTATTGATTCTTCCACGTTCGGATATATGGAGAAAGAGGAGAATAGCCGTCGTCGCAATATTAATCAAGCATTTCTGCGATACCATGCTATCCAAGAAGAGAGACTCGCAATCCATATGGAGATGGAGGGACAAGAAACAGGGCGGGGATGGGGTGGTGCGGGAAAGTCCTGCCGCATGTCCGATTTCCGGCAGAAGCGTCGATGCGATGCATATGCGAGATCTGGACGGCCAACACGACCATTGGTCGAAGGGCGTTTCCACCTTGCTCCAAATGGGTAAGCGGGTAGAAAGCTGGCCGATCCTGTCTAGACCCGAGCAGCATCCAGCACGCTACAAGAGCAGATAGCTTCCCGGCGAGTTCGTCCAAGCGTCCACGCGATTGCCCCACCCTTTTCGCCTCTGCCCTTCTCCTCTTCCTCTTCGGCAAACTCCTTTGTCTTTTTGAAGACAGGTCGCACATTTGGCATGTGTTCCCTAGACATGGTTTCGACAGTCTGTGTTCACCATAGTGGTTGAATATGAGACATCAATGGTAGAGTCTAGGCTTTGGATAGACAAAGGAGGAGTAAAGAAGAATGGTTTGATATCAGATGCACAGCAGCGGAGGACAGCATGGGATTGCAGTTCTTGCTCATCATGCGCCATAGAAAAACTCATACGAAAGGGCACAGCAACCATTGTTGAAAACCTGGGCAGGTTCAGTGAGATCCATCCCAGATCGATCGGCGCAGGAAGTGCAGCTCTTTTACCATATTCAGCAGCCTTGCGCGCTCTTCGTAAAAGTAACCGGACGCGGACGGACACGGCAGAACCTTTTCGACCACCGGCGCTGCTCTTCGTCCGATCGATCTCGCCACCCGTGAGATCTCATCACACAATTCCCTGTGCCGCGGGTACGACTATACCTGGGCATCCAGTGCCTTTGAACGGCACGTGGACGGATGGCAATGGCGGTTTGCCTGCCCCTCTTGCATGACATTGTGATGAACGCACCCTCTCGAGAGTTGTCGCTTTCACGATACGATACCGATTTCGCCTTCACGCTACATCAACTTTTAACGTGAAAATGATTTGGAGTATTGCCGTCCATTATTTGGAGCCGCTCTGCCATGTGCAAAGATCCCAGCGCGGTGGGACCGCCGCGACGTAATGTTGGCAAACTAAAATCGAGCGCGCGATGGTAAACTCCCAAGCGCGTCCCTGATTGCGAGTCGTCAATTTGCGAACCTGGAAGTTGATCTCTTGATGAATTTGTCAGCTATGGACCAGTGACAGACTGATCTACAGAGTCAAACCCAAAATGGCCCTATCTCAATAAGGTTAAGTGTGCCCAAAATATGTGAGCGTCCCGATAGATGAGCAGAGAAGGTGAAATGATGGGCTTCAAAGCGATGAATGAGTCCTTGTAACGAAATCCCTACAGCGACCCAAACATCGCGAGATTGATTCACACCGACGTCCGCCCAAAATCCGTCATAGTGATGTGCGCGCCGTTTGATCTTACCCACGCCGCATTAAACCATTTGGAGAACGGAAATGACTCTGTGGTGCCCACGTGAAGCGACACCCCTGTGCGCCTCATCAGCAAAGTAACAGACTAATTCATTCAGGGAAGGTAATTAGACGATATTTTCAACGAGTGTGTGCTAACCAGGGAGCAATATCAACCGAACCACGCCGGGCATTGATAGTTGCTCCGACACACTTCCGATAGCCCGCCGTGAATATCGCGGCCAGGTCCAGTACACACGGCAGCAGTACACTCAGGTAGAGTACGAGGTGTGCTCGGATTCTGTGCTCTTCGCGGCCGTTGATGTTCTGTCCTTCTCCGACGGAGGCAGAGTAGCCACTGAAACGGCTGGCGTCGAACTCTCCCAAACCATTCACATTTTATGTTCACGCCTATGACTTGCCAAGCGCGAATATCCCTTGTTTGTAATGGCTCGTCGACGTGATAATTAACATCTTGCTGTGGACGCCTTCTTCGGGGCTTGTGTTCTAAAGGTGACTACAAGCCGCCGACAGCAGGAGATTTGGGTTTTGGAACGGGGGACAATTCCACGGAGCGAGCAGTCAATCACATGTGTACAAAAATCCGCTGCGAACAATGTACACAAGATGCAATACACAAATCTCGCCAAGAGCGACAGGTTCTCGCAAGCTCCCTATTACGACAGGCAATACAGATCTCAGCGATGCGCGCACCTCCATGTCGCGATCGCGATCTCAACGAACGACCAACCATCACATGCGCGAGAGCGAACGACCTAAGACTGCATCCTGTCCGTCCCAGGACGGCTGTTACCGAAGGCAGATTGAAAAGGTGGGGTCGAGAAGCAATGACAGCGCGCGCGGCAGAACGGGACGGGGCGGACTGCGGATCCATTCTGACGGGTCTGCGATCGGAGATGAATGGCGCCAATTTTCACGCGGATCGAGGACGAGAGAGAAATGGCTGAAGTGGACAGATTTGTTTCAAGCTCACCAACTTTCACCCCTCTTGAGATGGATACCCAACGAGTCAACTCTGACATGACTGCAATTGAACATGTCCACGATGAAAATCCAGCGAATCCACAACTGAATCCTGAGACCTACACTCCGGATTTCTATCGCAGCGCGACACGGCAGAGAATTTCAACTATCCCGATCGCGGAGGTGCGTCATTGGGCTTGAACACATTCCCACCATCAACCAGTAAACAATTCCACCACGGTCTAGACCAATAACGTCATATCCTGTAAAATCGAGAGGAGAGTTCACGAAAAGTGAAACCCACCGTCTCCAAAATATCACTCCTACGCTATCGGTCAATTTGACGGGTCACAGCCAAAACCTTCATTCTGCTCCGCCGCATAATGAATTTCTTGGTTGCTCTACACGCAGGAATTTACGGCCGATGACGTAGGCAGGTACTGACGATTTTCCAGCCCCATCATCACAGCCTGCGCCCATATGCCCAGGTCGACAATCTAGGCCTTCGCGAGGAAGCAGATCGTACCTGAACCATATCTCTATTTTAGCCTCGATCTCGGATGAGAATTTAGAAACGAGCCAGCTTTTTCCTTTCCTGGATTACGGAGCGTGCGCCTCTGACGTCGTGGCGCCATTGGGAGGCCTACGTCACATCATCCTCAAACCCAGACCCGTCGATGTGGTCAATCGTTCAGAGCATTTACTGTAGGAATCGATGTCACTGCTTACTCACTGCGACATGCTGGCGACTTCCAGGAACAGTACCGCGAACGCCCCAGATTCTGATATGCCTCCTTGTCGGAGACCACAGTATCATGCGATGGCTTTGTTTGTGAGAAGAGTAGAGGACCGCGGCACGCCCTTCACCGTTTTTTCCATGAGCTGCAAATCTCCTGGAAGTGGCACAAATGCACATCCCGCCGATCACGACACCTTTCGATCACAGATGTCCCTGACGAAAATTGAGATCTTCACAGTTACAGGGCGCGGTCATTCCCATTTAACTTCCCTGCCTCGAAAGCATCCACTCCAATCCACCTGAAGACACCCGGCTACAGGCAGTCCCTTCCCTACACACCGCGGAGTCTCGGCCGAACCGAAAGACTTGTTTCGCCTCAGGCCTACACTCTCCCGAGTAGAATGACTGCGCATCGCGCCAGGCCTTCCTTTTCCCTGCAGCGACGGAGGCTAAGATCTCGCCAGATCTCGAGAGTGATGCAGGTGGCTTGAGATCCGAAGACACTTCCAAACACTCTATCGGGAAGGCAAAACTAGTCTACCCGGCTTTGTCTTCGTCTGTAATCATAAGGAGGATATACTGAAAGGTTTATTCCATAACCTGAGGCCAATTATGTGGCCTTTCCACAAACCATCTCCGGAATCGAGCTTGAGGTGGCGTCCAAACCTGGGTAGTTACCCAATTTTGTCGAAGACCAACACAGGACATCTCATGGATGGAAGCCGTCCACCGCTCTGTCTACTGCTTTGTCATGTCGCTGCTGCTGCTTCACACCACCCCGACGACGAGAGGGGTGCAGATCTAGATCTAGATCTTGTTTGACCGATTGTCCGGTAGTGCAGTAGTATGACAACGCATACAACCGCGTAGCCTTGCCTCAAACATGCCCTGATACGCTACGAGAACGCGAGTGTGCTCATCAAGCGGAGGATAGTATCATCGGCAACCACCTTGCGCTCAGCTTCCATTCCACGCCGACTCCGGGCGCAGGGATGTTGTTATCACAGATCTCAACACATCGTATTGAATATGTGCTCCCACTTGATCCCGGTGTTGTACGAACCTCCGGGATGAAACTTTCTTCAAGCACACCAATCTTTTTCTCTCAAAAGTTCAACGGAGAACGCAATTTTCTTACTATGAACATACACTGCATCAATAGCACAAGGCGTCAAGCGGAAGTGCGAGTGCCCGGCCTGCCTCCGTCGCACGCAGCCACCGGCAAGTACACAGGGTCAACTAGGCTCATCTTGAGATCTCAGATCTCACCAGATCCCCGATCGCAAACCCTGCACGCTACTGCACGCCCAGCACGCACGCACCCCTCAATGAGATATGGTCGACGTGGTTTTCTCGTACTCGCTCCTGACCGGGCAGATTTTGCCCATCCCATGTTCATTGGCTCTGAAATTTGTACTTCTTGAAGATGCGAGGTTAACGCGCGACACTTTGCAGGGCTACATTTCCACGGATACACAGCAGCCGATACACGAGTCGAGATCCTTGCTGGAATGCATTTCCTCCGACCGTTGATTGATTTGCGCCGACCTACGGATGTCCATGCGCGCATCGAGATGTGAGAGGCGAGTACAAATGATGCAATTTGCTGTGACGTCACAGCGTAGTGTTCAGTAGGCAAGCTTGGCTGTGCTGAGAAGGGATGACAGAGGGCTTAGGGTTGCCATTATCACCAACTTGACCCCAAAATCAATGGTGACTCGGGATGATTATTCGAAGTCATCCGTGAAAGCTGTCGTTCAAGGGCGTAGGCTAGTATATATAGACAAGGCCACCGCAGAGATCGCAAAGCACCAGGAGGGATCTCTTGACCATGATCAATTGGAACATGTAGAGCGTGACGAACGAACCAACTTTCAAGACTCAAAACCAAATCCTTCTTATCCTTGCTTCCCTCTCTCGACTCATTTTATCACACTCAATTATAATCTCTGCCCTGCGGTCATCGGCTTGCTCCTCACTCAGCGTCGAACGACTCGCATCGAGGATAGAATCGATCAGTTCCTGCGGAAGTCCTTTACGTTTGAGCAGATCCGTAGCGGCATGACCCCACCAGTGATATTGTTGCGGGGGCACATTCTTCGTCGAGCAGATGCGGTAGTTCGGATCGACCAGATGCAATGCAATATACCGAAAATGACCCATTCCTTTCCCCTGGCCGCGCTTCATCCCGACGCGATGCTCGAGAACGTTGGGGAAAGTGACAATGGTGCCTTGGCGTAAACCAACCTCCCCTGTGTACTGGTAACCCTCCTTTGACCCGTTGTTCAGACATGGATCGAGACATTGGGGATCAAATCCGTAGATCTCCGCCATGGCTCGTGCCTCGTTACAGTGGCAATGTCTCCGCCAGCGTATTTTGGATGAGTCATCCTGTTGGCACCAAGAAGGGCCTCGACCGGCCTGGTACCGATAGGCGCCGGCATTTATAGAAGTCTCCTGACGGAAATCTATGCTTCCAGAGCAATTCTCCACATCGTAGGCGTATATCGTCGTCGCTACAATATGCTCGTTGAGAACCCCTTCTACTCGCCAATGCTCACCGGATTCCCTAAGGATAGAATCCGAGAAATGGTCGCCTCGTACTTGGACGATCACTTGAAGACCGCTCGCCCGAAACGTTTTTTCGAGCTCTACTTCATATCTTGTGTGAGTGGGCCTCTTGCGAACATAATCATAGCCTGGGGACTGCATTATCATATCGACCACGGCTTCGTCTGTGTGCTTGCCAGCCTTCCATTCGGCATATGAGAACGATTCACCTGGTTGCGGATGTGACCACCCTACATTTTCCGGGTCCCCATAGTCCGGGAGACCCGAGGTATCGTCGAATGGAGGAGCCTTATCAATCCAGCCCCATTCATGCAGCGCAACTCCAGGTGTGTATCTTCTTTCATCAACATCGATAAGCTGCTGTGAATTATTCTCCAAAGACTGCTTGGCCAGCTTGACAGCATTTGCACCTGCGATGAAATCTTTATCTCTGTACATTGCGGCAAGGTTCAAATCGTTTTTCCAGACTGCACCAAAACTAATGATCCGCAGGGGTATCCGACCTTCTTGGGTCTGATCACCATTTCCGTGGCGACTCGTTCCAAACTCGTCTGAATCCTTCGAGCGCGACTCTGTGGCTTTCACGAGGCAGGAGTTCCACATGGGAATGCTGTACGACACAAGCTTCTCGACGCTTTCGTAGAACAATCGGTTGCTGGGATGTACATTGTTGATGTAAGAAGTGATACGCACATCAGTGCCTGAACCAATAAATTCGAGGTCGCAGGGCAATCTCTGGTACTTGAATGAGTATAGATTTTTGTTTTGTAGGTGGCGATCCTCGCTACTAGAAAACTCGTCGGAAGTCTCCGAATCGTATTCGTTGGAGACTTCCTCGCCGTTGTGGTCAAGATCGTCGTCTTGGTGGGCCCCTTGCTTCTCGTTTTCAATAGCGTCCCCTGAGGACTGTATATCTCGCGAGCTGAATTCGGACAGCTTTACGCGGCCTCCAGATTCCAGTACATGGGACTTTTTGTATGCGAGGGGGTAAAAGTCTGGGTCAACGGCAGTAAAGAGGGATCTTTTCGGAGGTCGAGCAGCAAAGGATGATGCCAGACTGGACTTAAGATTTGCTGCAACAGAAGGTGGCACGAGCTCTCTGGATTTGCACACACAGCTGCCAGTATCAAAGACTTGAACGAAACGATCTTGACGATATTGTGTAGCTTTGTCCCGCAGTTCTGCTAAACACCATCGCCAGGCTTTCTTTCCGACTAATTTGTCCCGGACTTTGACTTCCCTCGCCCATGCAGTGGCGGTAGAGTCGTCAAAGATACGCTCGTACCATCTATGCTTCTCCGTAATGAAGTTCATCGCTTCAGTCATTGCCAATTCGCGGGCAGTGATGGCCGGTGTCTGACGGAACTCTTCAAACCCATGAGCGAATCGATGCTGAGGTTTGAGTTGATAGTCAATCGGTATCCCGCCATAGCCAGGTACTCGCAATTGACCAGCGCCCGAATTGTCCATTGTCAGGGACATGGCTTGTGCATCAATCTCAGGCTCTAGGTGCAACGACTATTTCTCGCTGGTGATGATTCTTAAAACACTCCCAGTCGAAAGCGGGCGTGAGTCATACAGTTGCTTACCAGCGCCATCTGTCTGCGCCGCATTGGTGCATGGCCAGAAAGATGCCCATAATGTCTTCCTCTCATAGACTCGGGACTAACCTCAAGCAATGCACACGTTTGTAAAACCCATAACGCCACGACGAACTATCTCAGATAATACTACTTGACTACCATTGAGATTGCCTAGTCAAGTTTGTGCGGTTGTCCCAAAATGCTTGGCCCTCAGTATAAGCGCGTGTGCCATACTAGCGTGGGATCGAGAGTGCGTCCGCCGGTCAGAGAGCGTTCATTCCAAAGCATGGATGATCAATGGGTGAAACAGGAGAGTCGCGCTTTAGTGCCCCTCGATATCTTGCGATTTGTTCTCTCCGCAGAGAGAGTGACATCGACGAGAAATGGTCCACAAACTCCGCTCTGGCTCGCCATTGTTTCAAGGTCAAGTCGCCGAGGTACACAAGCGATGCGCCAAAGCGTCACGTCAGCCCCGACGGCGATCATCTTGTTTCACGGGACCGCACTTGGTCGATCCTCTCGGCGGCGTGTGCTGTGGGGCGTGTCTCGAACAATATTGTCCACAGTCTCCAGGTCCCGCTTTGGCGTCATATCCCCTCCTCGAGCAACCTTGAAAATGCGGGACGTCCGCCGATCCGGGGAAGCTCGGCGATACTGCTGATTCATTAACTCCGATGTGCCATGATGACATGGACTCCATGACAATTCGAGTTTTGCCATATCTCTGTCGTCTTACTCGAAGTTCTGAAGTTCCCCAGTACCTACGAAGACCAACAAAATTGCAAGACAACATGGCCGATGACTCGCAAACTAAGGTCCTCAGCCCAATCAGGCTCGCGCATGTCGTACTTCGAACGACAGACATCAAGCGACTAGTAGAATACTACACAGAATTCCTCGGAGCTACTGTGGTATACAAGAACCAATTCATCGCCTTCTTGACCTACGACGAAGAGCATCATCGCATCGCCATCATCCAGCGTCCGGGGACTGGCGAGAAGGTGCCGAACACAGCAGGCCTGGAACACATTGCATTCACCTACGACACCCTCGACGATCTCGCGCTCACTTACGAACAGCGGAAGGCAAAGGGAATGTTGCCAGTCCGCTGCTTGAATCACGGTCCGACCACAAGTCTTTACTATGCAGATCCCGACTTGAACGAGATTGAAGTCCAGGTCGATAACTTTGAAACCGCGGACGAGGCAACTCAGTACATGTTCAGCAACGCGTTCAATATCAACCCGATCGGTGTTCCGTTTGACCCAGAGGAGTTCGTCAAGCGAGTCAGAAGTGGAGAGAGTCACGCGTCGATTAAGAAAAGAATCGATGCTTGAGATTGATCGCATCTGACAATGTACATAGCATGTTATAGGGTCGTCATGTTCATTCTGCAGTCAGGTTTTGGCAAGAGCGTGTGAGAGGAGATTCCGTTTTATGTGTCTCGATTGCTACGAAATTAGGCCGATAATAACATGTCGATGGCTTTCTCGTGCTAGCGCTGTGTTAATCTTACTGGCAATGGCTACAAAGCTTCTGAAGCCTGACTTTATGTCAAATGCCCAGTGAACGCGCAGCCGCAGGGAATGCAATTGAGTGACTATTCACCTGGGCAGAAGATCGTCGGATTCAGAGTATGTATTTACAACTTCAGATCCGTCGAGGATTTCGAGGACTTAAGAGTCTTTTTCAAAAGTTCGATCAAGGTTGGAATAGCTTGCGCGTCCGCATTGATGGATCGCCAAGCGACGTAGTTGTCCGGACGGATCAAAATGGCACCACCTTGACTCAATTCACTTAAGTTCTCCCATTGCCCGTCGACGTCGATAAACTCGCTCGCTTTATCGGTACTTTGAGTACCCCGGGGCAGAATGGTGACGCATTTAACAAGCGCAGGTGACGTGGACTGCAGATCACTGATCGCATTCTTCCACGCTTGCCCACCGGCATCGGTGACCAGTACGAATTGGAGTGATTGCCCGACCAGATCATGAGTTGACACTGTCGGGATACGGCTTGAGGTGCTGGTCCGAAGCCAGCAGTGTGGTAGACGATGACCCGGTCTTGTGGACGGGTAGTAGACTTGGCCCAATGGGTCGACCTTTTCGATAGCCGTTCCGTCGGGGACAATTGAAACACTCTCATAGATGTGTCCAACCTCCAGATCGTGTGCACTGAACTCGACTTTCTGTGTCTCAAGGACAGCTTGAAGTAGCGCTTTTGACGATCGAAGACCGCCCTCGTTCACGCAAAGCTGTTCTGTCTGGGCAGCCATTTCGAGCGCTGTAGCAAGCACTCTTCTGTTCGACAATGCCATCAATGACCAATCGCAGTTTCGTCTTCCGGCGGGATGTCTCTCCTGTTCATACGAATCAAGGATGCCTCCGTTCGCGCCATGCTTCAAGACGAGCGCCAGCTTCCATGCCAGGTTGTGCGCGTCCGCCACAGCGGTGTTGAGACCCAGACCGGATGTTGGAGGATGACGATGTGCGGCATCTCCAGCGATGAAGACGGGGCCTTTCTTGTATGCATCGGAAAGCACACATTCCGGTGACCATGCACTGATCATCAAGATCTCAATGTCAGATGTCGGGATGGAGAGAATCGCGGCGATCTTGGTCTTGATCTGATCCTCTCCTTTGCCAGTAGACTCGCCTACAGGATGTGACATGTGTATGACCCATTCCTCCGAATGTTTGCCCCATGTCGGTCCCATGGGCAAGACGCCAGCTTCTCCGTGCTCGCCCTTCACGTTGGCGAGGAAGACATCCTCGTCCCAAATTTTGGACAGATCGGCTTTGAAGTGGGTCGTGACCACTTCAAAAATGTTCCGGATTCCATGCATCTGAGTGCCGATGTTGGCGCCCACGAACCTCCCACCGTCTGCTCCGACAACGTACTTGGATTGTACAGTATGCTCTAATCCTTCAGCATCGACCACCTTCACTACAACACCTGAGTCCGTCGAGACGATGTCAACGACTCTGTGTTCGAACCTAATGCCTTCGGAGTTCTTTTTGATCGCAAGCTGCTTCAGAATTGGTTCCAAGCGAATTTGTGGCAGATTTCGAGAACACATAGGGCCATGCGGTTTGTCTCGGTTTGCTAAATGTCCAGCTGGAAATGCATTCACACTCGCCAAAGTCCTCCGATCAGTCGGTTTATCGCCGCCCAAAGATGACTTCCAGACAATCCTGCGAAAGAAACGCCCATCCGCACCCGTGGCGACGATCTCATCTGCGAGACCATGTTGACGGAATATCTCCATGGTCCGCTGATTTATGTAATGTGCCTTCGGCAGGCGTGAAGTGGTAGCATGCTGCTCGAACAAGATATGGTCAACGCCATAATTGGACAATAGACTTGAAAGGGTCAAACCGCATCCTGTTGAGAAATTGAGCTTTCATTCAACGATTGAAATTTGGAAGACCAGGAACTCACCTCCACCACCTATGATTACAACTTGTGTGGTTTCCATGGTCGATATGAAGTACCTTTTCGATGACAGATTTGCTTCGAGTAGAACACTAGTAACAGGGTGAATGCTTCCTTAGAACGCGCCGTTTGAATGCATGCAATCAGGTAGAGATTGTAGCAAATGACGTACATACATAAACTTCGATCCTGTTGCTATGGATAAAAGCGCTGACAGACAACAGACGCAACTTATCATGGAGTCCCTTTCGTCCCACAATCACGAGTGCGGGACCCGAAAATGGGCGGGGTCGAGCCACCAATGAGTCCCTCGAGCCAAATGCGGGAAACTGTTGCATCGTTGCGTCGACATCAGATTATAACAACCTTCCGCACGTTTGACGCTTCCATCCAAGTACCAGTTCATCGGAGAGCTCGCATCAACCGGTACGTCGACTTTAAACATTAGATCTATCTAAAGCTTGAGCTGTGCTTAGTCGAGGATCTTAGGCATTAAGATACAGATATGTGTGTGAGAAAGCTACTTGTGTCATGCCATCATTGTTCCTGTTTCTAGAAGCGGTATTCAGAAGTCATAGTCGCGAGGCTTCATGGCCAATTTTTGTTCCTACTTTTTACCCCTGTACGCGCTGCGGAATTTCACAACCACCTACTACCAACCTTTTACAACGCGTAGATTAAGCAGACCACCGTTCTGCGGCTTGACAGTCACCAGCCTACAAATGAGTTAGCGTAATTCTTTCTTCTGAATCCTTCCATGTTCTTACCCTTCTGGCGGATATTTGCTGATGTCCTCTGCAAGCTCAAAATGATAACGACCAGCCAAGGCAGCCACCAGACATCTCAACTCGCCCTTGGCGAAACTGTCGCGGAGTCAGTACCACTGCATGGAGTGCAAGAGTTGCGATGATGACTTACCCTTGTCCGATGCAATGACGGGGCCCATGCAAGAACGTCATTTGCGCGTAATTGCTGGGAGCGCCTCCATTGTTGTTGAAGCTACCGTCAGTGATCCATCTATCGGGCACAAATTTGGAAGCATTCTGGCCCCAATAATGAGGAGAGCGATTGTAGGCCCAAACCGGCAGCCATACCTGTCCGCCAACCGGTAGCAGAAACTCGCCAAGTTGTGTCGCCTTGACAGCTGTGCGAGCGGTGAAAGGCACTGTCGGAAATAATCGCAACGTTTCATGACAGACCCCGTTGAGTAGTGGTAGTTTGTCGAGGAGTGCAGCCGGAGGCGCCTCGTCGGACTCGGACGGTGATGAGATATTCGCTCGAATTTCATCCCTGAGTCGCTGCTGCACGTCATCGTCTTGTGCAAGGGACACCAGTGCCCATATCAGTGCGGAGGAAGTAGTTTCGTGCCCGGCCGTGAGGAATGTGAGCACTTGGTCTGCGAGCTGAGCGTCACTTAAAGTTGTGTTTTTGACAAGACCAGAGAGCACGTCTGCCCTTCCTGTAGGACCCGCCTCGGCGGGTACCGCTCCGGCCTTGATCTCAGCGCGCCGGTTTTGTGCGATCTCAAGAGAGAGTTCATTCAATTTCCGCGTGAGTCGATCTGCGACGCCAGGAGCTTCCCAGATCGGAATATTGTTGACAATCCATTGCGGGAGAAAAACTGTAATTCCGTATCAGCATCCGGATTCAAGTTTAAGCGAGAGCTGTCTTGCTCACAGCTCGCCAAAAACCATATAGCGCGACTTGTGTCCACTCTGAGCAGCTCATGATATTCTCCGGCAAGACCAGTGTCAGATGGTTTGTTGAGACTATCAAAATCTATTCCAAAGGCCGCAACTCTTCGAGCTGTCAGCGCATTCCCGCGACTCTTACGAGGTTCTGTGCTATCACACCTACCCGATGATATCAAGGGTCACTTGTTCACACCAACGACCGAATGGAACCCGCTTCAGGTCACTGGGACTCGACAACTTCGACTGGAGTGCTGTGAGTAGTATGGTGGATTTTTGCCAAAACAGCGGGTACAAGTCCTTGATAGGCCCGGTGCCGAAAGATCCTCTCAAGATTTGCTTCTGTGATTTGTGAACATCGCCTTCAACTACGATCAACCCATCACCGAGAACTAGTCGAAGGATCTTCCTAATATTGTCGTCTTTGGTGAAATTGTACGAGTCCTCAACAAGGACTCTCTTGAGGATTGCTGGTGATGTTGCGATAACAGCGTCGCCGCCGAATACCTCCTTGGCGCGGATCATGCCATCATTAGGTACATTCCTGATCCAGTCTTCGAGCGAGGTATCTGTAGGCGTTCCGAACTTCGCCATCGAATGACCCATCGGGGAGTAACCGCCGGGAGCCATGGGTAGGTGGCGCAACGGTGAGAAAAATGCCGGGTAAACATAAATCTGCCACAAACTGTACAGAATACAGCTGATTGCAAATGGGACCAGTGCGCGCACGACATGCCGTGCTAGCGATGCTTGAGACTCAGATGGTAACAGAAAGAGTTGAGCACCGGTCATGAAGCCTATCCACAATAATGCAGCCATGTTGCTCCCGATTCGAAGGTTTCCCGATTCCAAGAGCTCTCAACTCTTGATCAATGCAGAGAGATGGCGCGGCGAGTGTCAACAAGATCAAGCAAGTGTTTCATGTAGACGGTTAGAGCAAAGACATCCTTATGTGATGTGCAGAGGCCACTTAGTCTGCGCTGAACTACACCACTGCGGGTTCAACTGATAGAAGCCACCGCAACGCCTGTGGACATTGCTGCCGAGGAGACATGACGATCTCGATGATCTTGAATGACTTGCGGGATCATTAGAGAAGAGAATTGTGGGACCGTTGACGTCGTCCGAGTGGTCCCGCAAAACGCCCCGCAAGCATTACAGTTTCCCTTTTCACATGTCCGGCTGTCTTTGCTACCATCACGCACACTTCAATGCACTATTTACAGATAGCAAATGTACGGTCACATCTGATGATATCCCAGAAGTGACACACAAGCTTGCCTCTTGGTGAAAGGGTCGTCCTCTTCTCATCAGCCCGCTTTTCACTGTGGGACGCGACTTTCCTCGTGCAAAATGATGCAACATCATGCGCAGCCGCACCATCTACACCTGTGACACCTGTGGTGGCGAGTACAACAAGAAAGAGCATTATGAGCGACACGTTCGTGTTCACACGCGCGAACGTCCGTTCGCCTGTCCTCATTGCCCAGCCAAGTTTCCTCGTCGCGACACCTTACGCCGCCACAGACGTGCTCGCCATGCGAGTGCAAGCTCGGACACGACACCGCCAGCGCAGTCTAACGTTAGCTTGACAAGAGATGATCAAGACCCGATTGCAGATGTAACTTCCATTCAGCAACAACCCGGCATTGTCGAGCCCGCGAGCCACGCGATTGTGTCACCCGAAGCCGTGGAAAACAATTCACATCCTAGTCACCCGCCATGGCCGGTGTCTTTTGAGAACTTTGACTGGCAATGGGACACCACGCTTGACCTCGATGCGTCGTATTCCGTCGAGGATTTACAAATATACACGCAGGAAAATGAGACTCTCGGCCAAAGCTGGCTGCCGCTACCCCAGTCGAGGCCAGAACTGTACCGGCCGACAACTCAACCAATCCACAGCCAGCGTGAACCAAATCTAACGCCTCTCGCTACTCCGCCCACTGTCCCTATCGACACACAGGTCTCTACTGACGGAACACCCAGCTCCGGAGTAGACGAGAGCTCTCGGGGGATGCTTTCGTTGAGCCTCGAGCAACGCGTCCCTGAGACAACGTTGCCGTCGACTACATTCCTCAATCGATGCATTTATATGTATACAACTCGTGTCTGGCCCATTGTCCCGATAGTACATCTTCCGACTTTTGTGCCTGCACGAACACACCCTCTTCTGTTGCTGACAATATGCGCCGTAGGTGCTTTGGCAGATGGAAGTGAGACTGCGTACGCTCATGCTGTCCGAATGTTTGAAAGCGTGCGGAAGGCCATTCTTGTGTCTTTCTCCCTGGAGTTCGCCAGCCACGATGATGTCTTTGCGGTGCTCCAGGCGGGGGTTATCGGACAGACGTGCGCAATTTTGTCTGGACGATCGGCATTTTTTCGGGTAGCTCGTTCTTTCCATGGTGCTATGAGCGGACTCTCGCGGGACTACGAGCAGGCATCTGCCCGATCTGGTGGTCCACCGTTCTCGGACGCCCATGACAGTAACTCCTCTATCAATGCTACCGCCGAGTGGCGATGGTGGATCAAGGAACAGAGTGCTGCACGTTTGCATAACGCTATCCAGATACACAACGGAGAGCTCGCTGCGACGCTCCACGAGCCAGCGCAGATACGGACCCAAGCGAATCGCATCCATGCTGCAGATCCTGACAGTATTTTTCTTGCGAAGAATGTGGATGAATGGGGCAAGCTCCGAGCACTTCGGGCGACCTCAGGCCGCCATTCGACGGCCGTGTTCTCATGCTGTGCTGAACTTGAACGTATCATCGCTGAGATCGGACATCGCAGATTCTCCAACATCGCAAGCGCAACCACTGGTAACAGGCAGGAGATCGCAATTTTGCTCATCCAGTGGTTGGAGGGTCGTCGTGAGGTCTTGTCGCAGGAGCGATCTCACCGGTTGTCGCCAATGATTTTGTGGCATTCGAGCTTTCTTTTGCTGGACTGCGACCTCGAGATGATGGAGCAGCGTTTCGGCGAATGGCCCGGCAATCTTGCATCTATCGGGCTCACAGCGCATACGACCATGTCCAGTAACTCGATCCGGCAATGGGCAAACTCCGATGCTGCCGATTTCGCGATTCGTCATGCTGTCCTGATTATGAGAAGTCTGGAACATATTCGCATCAATGAGCCAACGGCAATTCATGTTGCGCGCTGCGCATGGCACGCTGGGCTTGTGCTAGCTGCTTACTCAGCTTTTGCGCCCGGCCATGGTGATGTTTCGCCGTATAGTACGTCTGCTGAGACGCGGCACTCTCCAGAACTGTTGAGCGGATGGCGAAGTGGACTTTTCAGCGAAACTGACTGGATTGTTGTAGGGCAGCCTATTGGTCGAGAGCAGTGTCGCACGATGGCCTACTCAATTTGTAGTAGTCTTCGCTCTTTAGGGACTTGGGCTGGTGCTGCGCGGTTTGCGCAAAAGCTGGACAAAGCGCTCGAGGTCGCTGATGCGTAATTATCGCTGTCTACTATATAACAACCCTATGTTATAACCTTGCTACACCCAATCAGCGGTAAGGACTTGATTTGATGACCATCTTTATGCATTGGCTACGTTAGCACTTTGTCCTGTAGCAAGACCTTGTAATAACCTTGCTCACCCAATCCTGAGCTTGAAACGCATACGCACCCTATCGTTTATTTTCGGTACGGATATTTTGGTTTGGGGGAAAGTTAGGGTTACGCGCGAAGCGCGTCCATGTTTTAGGGTTTAGATGTTTTAGGGTTGAACGCGCGCGCAGCGCGCGAAATTTTTGGGGTCAACCCTAGGGTTATCTTTATCGTTACATTACTATGAAGGGTGAAGCGCGTACAACGCTATAGCTGCTACGCGTAGAGGGAGACGTCTACTAGCAAAAAAGCAGAGAATGGCGAACGAGTATTTTGAGCACGACCGCGACTGGCTGATCGCCGTCTGTCGTGAATGTAAGGTAGCAATCTGGCCAGCACATGCGGCGGCGCATCTCCGTGGTCCGCACCATCGCGTTAACGGAAAGAAGGCACAGCAGGTCGCAGATGAGCTACAGGCGTGGTCCGACATTGTACAACATGTCCGCCAGTTCGCAGTACCAACTTACGTCAACCGCCCCGTCCCAGCACTCGCGCTATATGCTGACGGTATCCAATGCCGGCTATCCACAAATTCCAGCTGTGATGGAGTCGATCACATATATTTACTAGCTACATTTGGTTCGGGTACGGACCCTAAGGGGGTCGATCACATGGGGTCGATCACATAGGGATGCCAATGTTTAATAATTTCCAGATGGGTACCCAAAAAAAGCGCAGATTTTGGCGATCAAACGGACATAGTTCTCGTAATTTTGCGACGTTGTTTGGTATGTCGTTGTCGGGGTTGGAAGTAACGCAAAAAAAAATGAAGTTTGCGCGGGAATTTGGGGTTGGCTAGGGTATACAGACACGCTCGCGTCGCGAATGTCACGACGCCGATAGCTATCAGCGCGCATGCGAGGTGCATATAGTACAGCCATTTGGTACAACATCATGGAGCTATTTCAGAAATACTTCTTACATAACCAGGCTTACCAGGTCATAATCTGTAAGCAGTGTCAATATGCCGTTAGCCCGGCCCATATTCAAGGCTATTTGCAAGAGAAACACAAGAGCACCACTGTTCGGCAACGAGTCGACATCGCAGCGTTTGTTCAGCGTCTGCCCCATGTCGCACAGACGCCCGACAAGGTTAAGTATCCCGATGCGAGTAGTCCGCCCATCGCCGGCATTCCCGTATATCCCAATGGACATCGATGCGTGTTCAACGTCGACGGCCGCGAATGCAATGTCACATACCGCGAACGCACGGGCATTCAGAAGCATTGCAAGGACCAGCATAATTATCAGAGTACCCGAGCAAAAGGCCGACCGGATTTCGATGCCGTCCACCGTCCACTATGGGAAACGAACCAACCATGCCAACGTTTGTTCCGTACAGGCAAATGGCAAAAGGTATTTCCCGTCCAGGTCGTGCCCTATGCCGGCCCAGCCGTAGACATCGATCATGCCGCCCAAGGCAAGGCATGGATAGCGAAGTTGTTTGCCGATTTTCAGCAGGCGCAGGAAGACGCCCGCACCGAACGGACGCGGTATGAGCCTAATCCATAGTTAGAACACACCGGATGGGAGCGTCATTTATCGAACGATTATCGACGATGGATCACCGAATGCGTCAAGGCCGAGCCTAATGTCGACAAAGTGCAGGCATGTTTAGAAGACGATGCCGCCCCATTCGCCCCCGAATCGGAGCAGGCGTTGTCGCGGGCGTGTGACGGTACCATAGTGTTGATCCGTCGTTCGTTCCAAGCCAGCCGGGTAGAGATCGTCGGACGACATGCGTTGCATTGCGTCAATCGCCGGGAGACCGGCGCCGACAACAACAACACGCCATTTTACGGCAAACAGAAGGTGCAGACGATCCGTAAATACGCCCATGTGTTCACGCAGGTTTTGCGGTACATTTGGCGGACGGCCGCGATGTCCGAGCGGCCCCGGTATCGATTGACGGAGACCCAGCGCGAGGCATTATGCCAGTTGCAACACGCCGCGTCCGGACGGGCCCGCGGCCCCGACGAGCGGGAGGCGATCGTGCACGCCAGTTCGGCATTTTGGATTGCCATGTTCGATCACGAGTTGAAGGACAATGAGTACGTCAATGGCATGTTAAGCGGGTTGGCCGTATTAGGCACATGCGGCGAGCGGAACGGGTGGGTGCCCGCCATTTCTTACACGACTACATTGGCCGCGGTAATCAC